AAGCGCATCGAGAAGGAACGCAAATTCATTGACGCTTCACGCTTAATCAGACAGGCAACCACGAATCCCGACGTACTGCGTCAAAATGATGCAAAAGTTCGCGAGGCAGAGCGTTCGCTTTCTTATTTCGAGGACACTCTCCGCGAGCTACAAGCTCGCAAGCTACAGCGCGATGATCCCTCTAGATCGGGCACTGCTATATCTCCTCATCAACACCTATTCAAACAAGGTCGTTCCTCTGATAGAGATCGTTCACTTCCCCGAATCCCTCCCTCTGATCAAGTTTCTACTCGCGGTGCCTCTTCTAGCGCCACTCTCATCCCCGGCGATGATACCGACGGCGTTCCCAAGGCAAAGCAATATACAAACCTCGACTTTATCAAAGCAGATACCCCCCTTACAACTCCAAAGATATCTCGTATGCTTCATCAGCTCGAGTTCAAATTACAAGTCGAAATGCAGTACAAGAAGGGCATCGACAAGATGTCCAAGCTTTATCAGGCAGACGGCGACAAGAAATCTCGCGCAGATGCGGAGAGCAAGCGTGTTGAGAGCGAGAAGAAGATTCAGCTTCTTCAATCTGCTCTCAAATGCTACAAGAACCTCCATATCCTCGATGACGTAGAGGAAGAAGAGCAACCAGCAGGTCAGTTTTTCTTTTCCTCGTCAATCCATATCATTTCAAATTTCATGGGCTAGGTCCCGACGGCGAACATAAAGATAACATACGCGCCAAGCCGTTATCCGGCAAGCTCTATGTGACTGTCAAAGGGGCACGCGAACTCGAACACACTCCAATCATTACCGGTTTCAGGTCCCGTCCTTCCTCCAAACAGGTTCGTGAGACCTTCGTATCTCTTAAAATCGAAGGAACGCAACGTGCCCGCTCCCACCCCTCGCGGACCGACCGCTGGAATGAAGACTTCGAAATCACAGTCGACAAAGCTAATGAGGTCGAGATCGCGGTCTATGACAAACAAGTGTCCGAAGTTCACCCGGCCCCTATTGGATTGCTCTGGATAAGAATTAGCGACCTTGTCGAAGCGCTCAGACGACAAAAGGTCATGATGGACAGCCAGGGTGGCTGGGTCACTGCGGGTGCCATGGATGGTGACTCTCCTGTCAATCGTTCTCCTCACCAAATTGGTGGATTCGGCGATGTCAATGCTCCTCTCAATATAGAACCTGATGGGGCGGGTAATCCACCAGGCGGTACAGCGGCGTACACGAGCCAGAACGAAGGCATTGATGCGTGGTTCGCGGTGGAACCGGCAGGTGCCCTTGGATTGCATCTCAACTTCGGTAAGTGACCTCCAAGTCTGTGAGTTGGATTCTTATGCCGAGTTTCAGTCAAGGAGAATGTGCGCAAGCGTCCGCTAGATGCCCCCGGTGGACTCGGCCGTCAGGGTGCTGTTAGAAAACGTAAGGGCGAAGTTCACGAGATGAATGGCCATAAATTCGTACAACGGCAATTCTATCAACTCATGCTTTGTGCCTTTTGCAACGACTTCTTGCTCAACGCCCTGGGTTATCAGTGCGAAGACTGCCGATACACTTGTCACAAGAAATGTTACGAGAAAGTCGTTACCAAGTGTATATCGAAGTCAAACTCTGGGGTGCGTATCTTCCCTCCCTCTATCATCGTCTCTCACACCTCTCTCTCCAGGAGGGCGATGAAGAGAAGATCAACCATCGCATTCCCCATCGCTTCGAGCCCCTCACAAACATCGGTGCGAACTGGTGCTGCCACTGCGGTTACATGCTTCCCCTTGGTCGCAAGAACGCACGCAAGTGCTCAGAATGTGATATCACCTGCCATGCCAACTGTGCGCACCTCGTGCCTGATTTCTGTGGTATGTCGATGGAGACAGCCAACCAGCTCCTCCGTGATTGGCGCGATATCAATCGCGCGCGTGGGGGTAAAGTAGCGGCGGCGGTGTCACGACCCATGACCCTCGCTCCTACCCCACAGACCCAAACGCAGGTGCTTCCACCTGCGGAAGTGCCGCTTAGCGATAGTCTAGACAGGATGCAACTTACGGGGGGAGAGGTGGCTCCTGTACCTGGGATGATTGTGGATGCGTTTGGGCGGCGCACTCCTACGCAGGATGGTGTCGATCCTCGTTATTATCAGCAGCAACCGCCATCTAGTGTTCCTCCTCGTCCTCCCCCAGGTGCTCGGGTCCCGGTGCCTCCTGCTTACCCCAATGAACAGTTGTTGCCTCCCCCACCACCTCCGCCACAGGCACCTATGGCGTATGAGCAGGAAGAGTACTCGATCCCGGCACCCCAGGTATGTTTCTGTGTTAGTGGTGTTAGCATGTGCGCTCACAAAGTTCTAGAAACAGACCTCGTATCCACAACCGGGTTTGCCAATGCAACCTCCTGGGCCCCAGTATGCACCGCGACCCCAGGACCCTCACTTAGTTTCGCCTGTTCAGGCTATGCCTCCGGCGCAGCGAGTTGCAACTCGCAAGCGTAAAGTTGGCCTCGATGACTTCAACTTCCTGGCTGTGCTGGGTAAGGGTAACTTCGGTAAGGTCATGCTCGCGGAGGAGAAAAAGACGAACGGTTTGTATGCCATCAAAGTGCTCAAGAAGGAGTTTATCATTGATAACGATGAGGTCGAGAGGTATGTCTGATAAATTTGATGCGATCAAGACACTTAATCAGAATTTGTAGTACCCGTTCAGAAAAACGAGTATTCTTGGCTGCTGCTCGTGAACGACACCCGTTCCTACTTGGCTTACACTCGTGTTTCCAGACTGAGACGCGCGTGTACTTTGTCATGGAGTACGTTAGTGGAGGTGACCTCATGTTGCATATCCAACGCAAACAATTCTCGCTTCGTCAAGCCAAGTTTTACGCGTCGGAGGTCCTTCTTGCTTTGGAGTACTTCCACGCGAACGGCATCATCTACCGTGATCTGAAGCTTGATAATATTCTGCTCACCCTTGACGGACACGTCAAGGTTGCTGATTATGGTCTGTGCAAGGAGGATATGTGGTATGGCTCGACCACGAGCACGTTCTGCGGTACTCCTGAGTTTATGGCTCCCGAAGTACCTGTTACATCTCCTTTCTGTGAGGACCGAACTGACGTTGATGCAGATTCTCTTGGAACAACGATATGGCCGCGCCGTAGATTGGTGGGCGTTTGGTGTCTTGACGTATGAGATGTTGCTTGGACAATCGCCTTTCCGTGGCGATGACGAAGATGAAATCTTTGATGCTATCTTGGAGGATGAACCTCTATATCCGATCACCATGCCGAGAGATGCTGTTTCCATCTTGCAAAAGGTTGAATGTTCCCGCACTCTACTTGTTGTGCTTGCTGATGGTGATTTTGCAGCTGTTGACTCGCGATCCCACCCGACGTTTGGGATCTGGGAAAGCTGATGCCGAGGAGATCAAGAGACATCCCTTCTTCAAGGATGTGAGCTTTGACGATGTCTTGAACAAACGTATCCCACCGCCGTACTTCCCCACTATAGTAAGCTCGATGTTTCAAGTACAAAGGAACAATGTTAATTTCATTTGCAGAACGGGAGTGCGGACACCAGTAATTTCGATGAAGAATTTACAAAGGAGCAACCGACACTAACGCCCGTTCACGGGCAGTTGTCTTCGAAGGACCAACAAGAATTCAGTGGATTCTCATGGGTGAGTGCGATGCCTATTTCTGTGGTGCTCCTCACCAAACAAATTGCGCAGGTCGCTTCTTGGGCAGATGTATGATTTGGACTCTACGCAGCATTGTCGTCATCATCTGTCTTTGTCTTGTCACAATAATACATACTTTTTTGTTCTTCTCACCTGTACTTGGATAGTCTTCGCAAAGTTCATGAAAGCGATCATGTAGCGTACCTGTCGAACAATTTCACTTTCCCTCTTTAGCTGCTCGGTGCTATCGTTTGGAGTTTGTAGACACGACGTGGGCGCCTGTGCCGGGCACGGTCGTTCTATCTTCGAGAACTTCGTCTCGTTGTCCACGCATCAACTCGTGGAAGCTTTGCCAGAGGGAAGCAATGGTTTCGTATTCACGAGTCATGCCTATCACTTCTTCGAGCTTCCGATTGAGTACGTTGCTGGATGAGAGAAGGTCTTCGAAGCCCTGTGGGATGGCGCGTCGGTTTTAAGATGCGTTGGGTTGGGTAGTACTTACTGCTGTGATGTCCAAGGATAGTCTGTCGCGCTCGCGTTCAAAGAAGGAGGGTTCTGATTGCGACATTGGGTAGTACTGACTAGTCGACTATGTACTAGGCTAGTACTTGGAGTATTTCGAGAAGGTGTGTCGGCCGCCGCGGTGTCGCGTTCTGAATCTTACGTCATCACCAAGTCATCACACTAGTCCGTTTCAATTTAGACTGACCAGCAGGAATTCATTTTTGACTGAGAAGCATGATAGGTGAGCGATCATTCAAATAATCACAGTGTGTGCGATCTTGATACGAGATAGAAGGTCGATATCGAAGAGCACGAAGGTACCCTCGAACGCTTATTGAAATTCATACGTTATTAAAAATCTGCGCTGGCCGCCGGGTGCTCATCCGAGACGTGTTCTTCTGGGGTACGCTGCCTAATCGATGGTAGTCGATTGTCTAGAATGGCCGTGATGTACCAGGATGCTGGCAAAGCAGTCCATCCTCCTATTGCCGCTCGCCCAGACAGGACCTTCACATTCTGCATCCCAATCAGTCATGTGCAGATAATCGATCGTCGACCTGTTGGTCAGCTGCCAGGTTTTCCATGACACGTGTCGAAGCCCTTATCAACTTTCTGTGACCTTAAAAGCAAGTCCGAGAAAGCTGCTTTGGCATTAGCGATTTCATTACCGTGCCCTTTCGTCCGTCATATCTGCCTCCCCAACCTATCGTTCCGCAGCCTACATTCGCGACTCGTGGCTATCATGTAATATCTAACATTATATTCTGATCTAGTCTAGGACAGGTGGAATGTTGCTATATATCGCCATATTCGCCTTGTCAGATCGAATACGAGATGTTCGTATCACATCCTGGTCAGTGGAACAATCCCGAAGTTGTAGGGTCTGCATACCGCGCGGTTCCAACTTATGACCCACCTGCATATTTTTCCACGAGATGCTGTTCACAACACTCCATACGGAAAAAGGTCAGTGGTGCGATGCTGTCCCATTAACTTTCCATCCTCTTCAGGATCCTTTGGCGCTCGAGGTACTCATGACCGACCCGCAGCTGATGCCCCCGCGTATTATTTGTACGGATTTGCGTACCAGTAGCACTGGTATTGGTAACCATTGCTGCTGGTTTGCTGATACGGTACGATGGATCGGAAATTTGAAATTTCCATTACTTTTTTCCTAGCAGGTGAAGAATCGCCGACATTATGATGCGTGCTTTCTAGACAAAATGCTAATATCTCTCTTCTATTTGGCTTTTGACTACGCCGCTGTTCTGCATTCGTAAGTTGTACCCCATTAAAGCTCGTGCTCATAGTATATTTGATGTATTTCAGTGCGATTTAAGGCATCCGCAAGTTATGTATGTAGTGTTACTGCGCAATTATAAAAATGGTTTAAGGAGTCGGGGCTGCGCGGTTGCTGTACTTGGCACGGCAATACTCGTAAAGGGTCATGGATATCGAGGCCGCAGGATCCGGCTGAATCTGGAATGATCTATGAACGGCTATGGTCAGAACTACATAGGAGTCGGACTTACGGTGTGGCTGCGGCAGATCTAAGTGCAGGAATTCGGATCAAATATCCGCAGGAGCTGGTAAACTATTGCGTTCTAGATCTGTGACGGGAGATAGAAGGTTGATGGAGGTGCGCGAACTGAATCAAGGATGGTACCCTTGAATGCTTATTGAAATTCATAGATCTCGCTGGCCAGGTGCTTATCGACATGCGGCCCATCACTCCTGCTGTTCTTCTGATCAAGGCATGCTGTGTAATCGATGGTAGTCGATGGTTGAGAACGCCCATGATGCGCCAGGGTGTTGGCAATCAGCCATGTCACAATGTACAGGTAATCGATCAGTCGACCGGTTGGTGCCAGCATTTCCCCTGACACGTCCTGAAGCCCTCTTATCATTAAAGCAAGATCATCCTTTTGGCATTAGCAGTGTCCTCCCCGCACTCTTTCATCTGTTCATGTCAGAGCTTCCTGCTGAACTCCCCTATCTGTTGTTTCCACAGTCTACATGACAGATGAGCCCAACGTCGCGACCCGTGGCTATCGCCCAATATATAGCACTCTCCACCCGAGTATCAAAGTATAATCTGTCACATATTCACTCGGTCACATCGATCGATCGAACACAAGATTATCATATATTATTTCGGTCAGTAAAACAATATTAATCGCTCTCTTCTGACTATGCGGTTCTAACTCACGTGGGTTCGTGTACCTTTCCGCGAGATCTCGTTCTCGTAGGACACTTCAGATGGAGAAGGTCGATGATACGATGCTGCTCCACCAATCTTCAGGACGTTCAGCGTCCTAAGTATGTTGGCCGTCCCGTGGCTCTTATATCAGCATACCCCCATCTCCCACTGTGCAAACCAATAACACTGCGCTCTGCATTGTGGTTGGTTTGCACAGTGTGAAGACTCGGAATTTTGTATCACCCTTTCTCGCCTGGTGAAGAGATGTCCAAGAGCATGATGTATATTTTCAATACTGCATTCAGGGTGTCTGTGATAACTTGCAAATGTTCTACTGCCTGCTTTGGTGCCTAGATCGATGTAATGCGACACACGGAACTCGGATTTAACAGCGAAGAAAAAAGGTATGAAACTGGCTCGTAATGGAAGGGGTCGTGACGATCTGGTGGCTGCACCTGACGTGAGGCTAGTGGCGCGATGATGATGCCTGGGCCTGTACTTGACCTTGAGATTCGTCTTGTTGATGCTGCTGTGTCGGTTTCACCGGTGGAGATATGCGAGAAAAAGTAGGACATGACCCCGCCGTGGGACGGGTCATGATTGAGCCTGGTGCGATGGTTACTGGTACCAGCGGGCACGTCTCGCATCGGCCGCAAAGCGACGGTCAATGGCTGCATGGAAATCGGTGATCGGAAATGCACGCGAGAAAATATACATTTTTATCCCGTACTACAGCTACTCCAACAACATGATGAGGATCATGGGGAGAAAAAATACTTCCGCTTGAGCGCTGCTGGAGTTTGGTTGCCTCGTTGGTGTTGGAGTGAGAGCGATTAAAGGCGGTCGAGGGTAAACGGACTCCCGGAAGGTGTGCGAGCACCGAACACCACAACGGTGATGTTCGGGGGAACGGTGATGGATACCGTGCGTAATTGAGGACTGCTGGTGAGAACAGAGGTGAGAACAAGAGATATTCAAAGACGTTGATGACCCATATGGACACCGTCTTGCGCGCCATCGAAGAAACCTTGTAATGGTCAATGGGCTTGCCCGAGCTTAGCTGGAAGTAACACTAACTGTAGAATCCGAGTCACTCTAGCATGTTGATGTTATTGAAAAGTTCAAGACATATGACACGTGCATTCTGAACTTGAACCAGTTGGGACCTCGGACAGTCCTTTTTGGTTGCCGCATCGGGGAAATCAATGAACGGAAGTACTAGACGCTCAGGTGGAATCAACATATGCTAAGCTGGCTAGCATCGTCGCAATTGATATTGAGTCCATTATGATCTCCAAAGATTCTAATATTACCACTTTTCCTCTCTGCTGCATACTCCTTCGATATCGTGCAACTGAGTATGTTTGCCACAGAAAACCTCCTTTTCCGCGGATTCGAAGACGATGATCTAGACCACATCCTTGGTCTGCGCAACGACCCCTCATCCAACGCACCCTGACGTTCTCAGCTATCGCGCCTGCACCTTCCTCAAAGTACAAAGAATATATGAAGACTTTCGCGGAGGGCTCAGCGCTCTGGTTTTCTTTGGTACGCAAGAAGTCCTGGGATTATATCGGCTTTTGTTGCATCAATTTATTGGAGGCGAAGAACCGGGATGCACGGTCGTCGGTTGGGCGTAACCATTGCCTCCAGGTTCTGGGGGAAGGGATATGGAACGGAAGCCGCACGGTTCACTGTAAACCATGCCTTCAAGCAGTTTGGATTGCAGCGCATCTTTTTAGATATTACAGAAGGCAATGCGAGAGCACGAACCGTTTATACCAAATTGTGAGTAGCTAATAAGCTCATGATGCGAGTAAGTTTTGTGACTGTTTCTTGTTCAGAGGTTTTAAGGAGGAGGTAAGGAAACGACGGGGGAATTGGATAGATGGTCACTGGGAGGATATTATCGCAATGGGGGCTCTAGACGATGAATTGAATGGGTGGAGTTGCATCCTGACAGTCGCCAGCTGTGAATAAGTTCGAGATCATTTTGCAATTGGTCGATGTTGATTGTAATATCCGGGGTCAACGGGGAAGACTTATCAATCAAATGGTAATTTGTACGATTTCTAGGCCTAGCCAGGCTAGCCTAGAGATAAAGCTTCTCCTGACCAGTCTCGCCGCCGTGTGCCGACGCTCAACTGCCTTATCGGATCGATATGTCTAGACTCTATGACGTCGCCGTTCCCGTATATAAACCATCTCTCTCAATCATCAATCTCTTACCCCCTTTCTCTTGAAACTCGTCGCAGAGAATAAATCTAACTACTACCATGGGTACTGAAGCCAGGAAACTCCAGGGTGAAGTCGATCGACTTCAACAGGAGCTTCAAACCTTGAAAGCACAATATCATAGCGAGGACGAAGAGCTTATCACTATCTCTGATTACATTTTGAAGAGATTGGAACAGCTCAACGTGACGGTATGCGTCCCTTTCGATCATGTTCATAAATCCCTACCCATTTGTTGCCCACAGTCCATCTTTGGTGTACCGGGAGATTTCAACATGCGTATGGGCTCATTAATCATCGATAACTTGGTATACTAACAATCTTGTGTAGCTTTCCTGGTGAATTATTGCGCATATGAACAGCGCAAGCGCTAATATTTTCTATCTCATCCTTAGGACTTCATTGAAGACCATCCCACAATTCAATGGATCGGGAACTGGTAATGAGTCCATCATTTAGGTTGCACACTTTCTTACGCCATTATAGCAACGAGTTGAACGCAGCTTACGCAGCCGATGGGTACTCCCGCGTGAAAGAGCATAGCATAGGTGTAGTTGTCACAACGTACGTTTGGTAGTTGACAATCATTATCTGCCGGTGACCTCATCAATTTATAGGTTCGGTGTTGGCGAATTGAGTGCCACCAACGCAATTGCAGGCGGTAATTCTTGCTTGTTGTTCTCCCATGTGGAGACTCACTGATCAGGGCCACTCAGCGTTCTCTGAAATGGTCCCTGTCCTTCATATCGTCGGAGTGCCTAGCACTACACAGTTGAAGAATAAGCCTATGCTCCACCACACACTTGGTGATGGAAGGTATATACTTCTTTTTTTGTTGATCCGGTGTCTCACGTCTTCCAGATTCAACGTATATACGAAAGTTGCGGAACAGATCACCGCTGCTCAGGCCATGATTATGAACAAAGCACAAGCTGCGGCCGAAATCGATCGAATCCTCATGGAGGCTATCATTCAGGTAAGTACTGATTATCTGCCTTCCCCTGTTCAAGCAGTAAACGTCCTTCAGGCTCGCCCCGTCTACCTTACCCTTCCGATGGACCTCACCACCGAAAAGATCTCTGCCAGGCGCTTGAAGGTCGAACTTCCGCGGACCCCTCCCCCCAATAACCCAGACGTCGAGAGCTATGTCATCGACGAGATTATGGAGCTCGTGGAGGATGCTAAACGAGACGTCATTGTCCTCGTCGATGCTTGCGCTGTTCGTCACGACTTGCGCGAGGAAGTCAACGACCTCCTCGTGAAAACACAGTTCCCTGTATACGCAACACCAATGGGAAAGACATCAGTGAGCGAGGAGCATGAACGATATGGTGGCGTGAGTTTTCGTCCCCGTCTTTCGTTCAAGACCGTTTTGACGTTTCTATAGATTTACATCGGTTCGATCACGCATCCGTCCATCAAGGAGAGGGTCGAGAACGCAAACCTTATCCTCTCGATTGGCGCGTTAAAGTCAGATTTTAACACGGGAATGTTCACGTACCACATTCCTGCGAGGCACACCATCGAGGTAATTTTCTGTGACATGCTAGTTTTCGACGCTTAGGTGATTTTTGCAGCTACATTCCGACCATACACTTGTTCGCCACGCAAAATTCCCGGGTATAGGAATGAAGTGGCTTCTCCCGAAGCTTACGGAGAGGTTGAGTAAATTCCAGGAGGGTGCATCACGAATCCCCGTTCCGCACTATAAGTTAGATGTTCCAAAGGAAAGTGACGACAAGATTTCGCATGCTTATTTCTGGCCTCGCGTCGGAAAATTCTTCCGGAAGCAGGATGTCATCGTTGCTGAGACTGGTGAGTCGAAACGTATATTGTCCTTCAAAATGTAAGCTGAAGCATGTGTCCAGGCACTTCAAACTTTGGAGTTTTGGACGTTCCAATGCCTGACCAGTGTATTTTCGTTAGCCAAATCTTGTATGGAAGCATTGGATGGGCGACCGGTAAATACTATAAAGTTTCTCGATTGAACCTGCATCTGACGGAAACGACTGTAGCTAGCACACTCGGTGCGGCGATCGCAGCCCGTGACAGACATCTTGGGCGCACCATATTATTCACCGGTGATGGTAGCATGTACGTGGTTCGTCCATCGTGCCTGAACATTACTTCAATATTTCATGTGACAGGCAATTGACTGTGCAAGAGATCTCAACCATGACTCATAACAAGTTGACGCCGATAATCTTTGTGCTGAATAACAAGGGCTACAACATCGAGAGGCATTTGCACGGCCTAGATAGGCGAGTGGTCATTGATAAGGCACTCTACGTGACAGTTAACAATTCCTTGCAGGAAGTACAACGACATTGCAGACTGGTAAGACGTCTCGTTCTCTTCATTTATATTTTGCTCAAACATTCCCACAGGAAATGGGCTTCGCTCCTCACTACTCTCGGTGATATTGAGGGCAAGCTGACACAGTCGTACACGGTCCGCAGCAAGTCAGAACTCGACAAGCTTCTCGACGATGAGGAATTCGCGAGTGCGCGGAAGATACAGTTGGTCGAAGTAATCATGGACAAGTACGACACACCCCGTGCGTTACAAGCATCCGCAGCATTGACTGCACAAGCTGCGGCGGGGCAGCTCTGAAATCATTACCAAATGTTTTTTTAACGCATCAAGATTGTATAACCGCTGTATTATTATTACAATGAAAATGACTGAATGTGTTGTGACTACAATTATGACTTCTAGTAGTCGAACCGACAGCTACAGGGGTGTTCACATTTCAACTTAACACGTGACTGACGCGTACCAGGCTGAGGCAATTGGCGCGTCAACCACGAGCAACCGTCTGTCTAATCCGAATCAACATATCGTCCACAATATTGTACTGCTCCACACATTGGACTCTGCCACAAAGCTGTCACCTTAATTCCGCTGTTGGTCACTCATCACTTCAACCCTGCTACCAACAGTACCTCTGTAACTCGGGACATTGACCGTGATCAGGCAGCATAATGGCGCACAACTCAGATACTATTCCTCGTAGAATGGGCAACTACTGGCTACAAGATCGACTTGGATCAGGCTATTCAGGTACGTACTGAGCCCACTCAACGCTATTCCTCACCCAGGCCATCTCGTCCCAGGCTCTATCTTCAAAGCACGCCATGTTCACGATAACACTTTCGTCGCGCTCAAAGTGCAAGACGTCGACCACGAGTGCCCAACAAATCGCTACGAGCAGGCCATCTATCCTCTACTGCAAGGAGGAGAGGGCATGCCTCGGTTATGGGCGAGCGGTATCCAGGGAAAATGGCATTATCTAGTCATAAGTCTCCTCGGAAGAAGTCTGGAGGGTATCTACCGAGAAAATTTGCAATGGGGGCACAATAGGATGGACCTTCGGAGCGTATGCTCTATTGCGATTCAGGTGGTGAGTGTGCTCTAGCTTCAGATCGATGGGATAACCTTGACGTTGATCGAATGTGCAGATCGCACGCTTGCAGATCATGCACAACCGCGAAGTTCTGCATCGCGATATACAGCTTGGGAACTGTGCTATCGGATTGACGCCTGAAGAAGACACCATCTATATGATCGACTTCGGGTTTTCTAAACGCTACATCGAATCGCACACGCGGCGGCATATCCCAGACTCAAAGGAGAAGAGAGATTTCTTGGGAAACTATTGGTTTACGTCTGTCAACGTGCATTGTAAAGGCAAGGGTCAGTATCCTAGATTTATTTATGTGTTACGGCTACCTATGAGAATTGTCGCAGTACCGTCTAGGCGAGATGATCTTGAGGCTGCCGCATTGATGTTTATACATCTTCTTACGCCTGGAGGACTCTCGTGGACACGAAACGGTGTACCAAAAACCGACTCGGCGCACGATCGTATCAAGCGAGCAAAAAAGAACGCTCGCCCTGAAGACCTGTGCAAGGGAATACCCTCTGAGTTCGAAGAGTTCCTGCGCTATTGTAGACGGCTGAAGTTCTTTGAATGCCCTGATTACGATCACTGGAAGGACGAGTTCCAGGCGCTCGCACAGGACAATGGCTTCACCGATATTGAGCGCTTTATCTGGCCACCACCGCCAGCTCCCAAGGTACGAGCGTCTGTCGGTACACCTCAGTTTGTGTATTCAGAATTTTCAGGTTCAGCCTCAAGCAGGACGGCCTGCTCCTACACGGCCCACGATTGATGCAGATGAGATGGAGAACGTCCTAAAAGACTTGGCCAAGCTCCAGCTCAACCCGCCTCGTCCAATACTTGGGGACCAAACTAATGTCCCTGCTCCTGCGCGAAGAGATGACACAAAAAAGGCTAGCGAAATCATATCCGTAAGCGACAGCTCCGATGACGATAGATCGAGGCCAAATGGCCAACCTCTTCCACCCTGCACTCCCGTGCGAACAAAGAAAGCGAGTCAGCTGCAGAAGCTCAGGCTTTCGGTACTTGATTCGACGGATAACGCTGCTCTTGCAGTCGCCGTAGACGAGTTCGCGAAATTCCTGCAATTGGGCTCAAAGACGCTCACCAAAGAGGGTTTCGCCTTTTTGGATGCATTGTACAAACAGCTCGCAGATCCTTCGATATTCGTACACCCGCTTCGGACTTTACGAAGTGTAAATCGAGAGGACGATCGAGCCCCCCAACCAGCGCATGTAAAATTGGGCGTGGTTGCGAGGCTTCGTCGGGAAGTGGGGATTGCATCGAGTAATAGGGTGCTTGCGAACCTCGTGGCTGACTTTGGTGCTGTTACCAACAAGAGCAGTGGGAGGACTATCACCAAGGATGGGTTTGCGTTTTTAGAGGGACTAGCTGCGAGGCTACAGGCGTTAAATTAGAGCTGGAAGGGAGTACTTGTGTTTGCCAGGCTCCTTTCATTGGGTGACTATCCGTAGGCAAAATAATGCGGAATAGATTATAACGGACTTTGAAAGATATTTGCAAAAGATAATCTGTATAGAAAACACAACCGTAACGCACCTGGATTAAAATAATTCGGTCAAAACTGCAATGGACGACCTGCTACTACAGTACCACAATCTGGTGAATGACGGAGAAGAGACAGGATTTCTCGACGACGAAGAAGACGCGAGGATGCTAGCAGCTACACTCGTTGCTGGAATAGAGCTAGCTCGACTTGATCGTGTCGAAACCCGGAACCCTAAGCGACTGTACCTTTGTCGTGCCCACTTACTTCCTGACCCACATCGGAATACCCCGTGGCAAGTGCTGTATACAAGTCACAGTGATCGTGCGTTCATTACCACGATGGGGATCGATGTTCTAACGTTTGAATTCATCCTTACCTCTGGCTTTGCCAGTCTGTGGTACCACAAGTCCATCACACGTCCTGATACCAACTCGCAAGGCATTCCACGCCTGAATCGCCGTTCACTCGATGCTGGAGGAGCACTCGGCCTCATGCTCCACTATCTCAACTCCACCATGCACGAGACTAGCCTGCAACAAATCTTCGCATTGATCCCCGCCACTGTTTCTCGCTATCTAACCTCTGGACTGCCCATACTCTTACAAACACTGTGCTCTATGGTTGATGCCTCAATTCGATGGCCACGGGGGCCTGATTTCGAGCGTTGTAGTGCCCTCGTAGTTGCGCGTCACTCACGCTTGGAAGGTGCTTTCGGAAGCATCGATGGCCTCAAACTCCCCGTGCAGACCTCACATGATGTTGATATCGAAAACGCCACCTACAACGGTTGGCTTTCCGAACATTTTGTCAGTTCAGTCATAGCATTTTCTGCTGAAGGTGCGTTTTTCGGTCTTTCTCCAACAATTTGTACTCAATAATCAATTTACAAAGGCATTGTGATCGCGGCAAGGACAAATGCGCCTGGAAGTTGGCACGATTCACGTCTCGCCTCTCACATATATACTAAACTTCGTCTCGACACACCTCCTGGCTACTACATCGTTGCAGATACTGCATTTCCTCGTGGGACGACTTCCGTTGACGGTCACATTTGCGCACCTTTGAAACATGGTCAAGTTTTGCGTGGGTCAGCTGCCGAGATAGAGGAGCACATGGTGTTTAACCGCCAACTACTCTCTTACCGCCAAACCGCAGAATGGGGCATGCGGGCTATCCAAGGCACATTTGGAAGGCTACGCATCCCACTTGACATCACCAACCAAGAAGCTCGCAGCGACCTTATCGAAATCTGTCTTCGGCTGCACAACCTGCACGCTGTACGTGTTGGGATCAACCAGATACGGACCGTGTACATGAAGCATTGGCAGGCTACTGAGGATGACCTGGACGTGTGGCGAGACTTTGAAAGCATGCTATTTTCAGAGCAGAGGAAGAAGGATCGGGTTTCGCGCTTCCATGTCATCTTAGAATACCAGTAGATACAACATGTAAAACTTATAACATCAGATGAGCAATGCAATGAAGTGTCATCACAGATAACCTTGGATGCGAGCATGAAAGCGGATACGAAAAGACGGTGACCTGAAGATCCTCAAGCAGAGGGGAAGTGCGCTTTGAGTTGCTGGATGGTGAATAGTAATTAGGTAGACTCACCTGATTGATTTCTCGCAATTGGAACATACCCTGGGCTACAATACTCCAGGATTTGTTGGAGTAAGTGTCGTCACAGATAACCTTGGATACGAGCATGAACGGGCGCAAGACGTTCGAGTCAAACTGAGCGCAAGATGCAGAATGGTGGGAAGCAACAATCTTTACATTGTACATTGGTACCCTAGATACATTATACATTACATGGTACATTGGTACCCTAGATACATTGTAAGTATCATAACACAATCAAATCTCTACTGACCCCTCCTTTTGAATGGGCTTGATAGGCTCATCAGCGATGTCCTCGAAGTATGGGCGATCAGAATACTTGAGACGCCCAGAGGGGCCGATTTTCTGAAGGCGCGGTGGCTTGCGCCCCTCGGATGCGGTACTTTCACCTTCATCAGTAAGCCACCTAGTGGATCCCCCACCCTCAGGGTACCACTCTTGATGCAGATTCTTGCGTTTGGGCATCCGAACATGCTGACGGCGCGTGGATCCACTCATTTGCATCATCTCGATGCGAAGCTCAGCCCGATCACGTTCACGTTCGATGTCGTACATGCGAGCGCGCAAATCAAAGAGTTGGCCATGCAGGGTTTCTGTGGCAGCTTGGGAATCACGGAGCTGCTGACTTTGGGTAAGTAGATGTGTGGTGGCGAGGCTGCGATTGGCACGATCTTCGTCACGGTTGCGCTGGGTGGCCGGGTCAAATGCTGTGGAAAGTCGAGTGAGTAAATCCGTAGCTGCCGCTCCTCGAGTATTGCGATGTGGAGCTGGGGCTTCTGCACGAGGAGTGGAGCGGGCAATGGCTGTATGCTGGATTGGGGGAGAGGTACGCTCATCCTGGTTCTGGTCAGAGACGACAGACAGACTGTCATCATCTTCCATGGCATCGTAATCCGTGTCGTTCAGGTCGCGTGTTCCTGCACGCTCGTTAATGAGCTGTTCAATGCGATGGGCGCGCGTGACTTCCGGAGGGCACACACCGTCTCCAGTCGGCTTTGTAGTCTTGACCAACTGTAATTATACTTGTCAGTAATGTTGCAGTCATGATACAAATTGAATCATACCTGTTTGAACTTCGTTTCGAGTGAAGTGAGTTTGCGTTCAGGCCGGTGCTTCACCTTGGCCCATTGGCAGAACTTAACTTGAACAGCCTGCCACCCGCGTTGACCGAGAGGGAGCTCGTCTTGGACTATGTCGAGGAGACTTTTGACGTCTGAGCTAGTATAATTGTTGGACCCTTGAGGGCGGCCTCGCCTCGCTCGTGCTTCTGCTTCATCATCCTCATCTCTGTCCTCTCGGGAACGCTTCTTTGGGTTAGAGTATCCAGCATTTTCCTTCTCCTTGCCTTTGCCCCTTGGGGCTTTGGCCTTGCGACGCACACCTGCTGTTTTGGTGGCCGGAATGTAGCCGCAGGCCTCCGCAATACTGGTGGGGTGAATCAAATCCATGTCGTCAGAGTGAGGTAGGGGGAGGAGCACGGGATTGATTGTGTTGGTGGTTGGCGCCTCACGTAGAGCAAGGCGAGAACTGGACGCCGGGAAGGGTGGAGGTGTGCCTTCGTGGGACTGGAAGGCTGGAGTGAGTGCGTAGGTAGAAGCAGGCTGCATGTATATAGTTAGTCATGTCAAAAATATCATATGATACTCGACGTACCTGATAACCCAGACTGTCGCCATGTTCGAACCGACAGGACCGATCAGATGTAAGAGTCTACAATAAGATGAGTATTGGCTGCCAGTAGACAATCGTTTGATAAGACTTACGTTGCAGATACCTGGATGGGACACCCAAGCGCCATCGTTATCACGGGTGAACGCATTTCCAGCGTGGTCGTAGTATAATTTAGGGCCCGGGTAAGACGGGGTACTACCAGGAGGTATCATGGATAGTGGAGGAGGAATGTCAGACATTGCACACTGTAGTTTTAATGAAAATGATGCTTATCAGTGCGTGCTCTTATATGTCTCGAAAACGCCAACTATTGGATGCATAAATGACTCTAGATGTTCGTAGTTAGTAGAACGACCCTGTGGTGGTCGCAGGAATATGTTAGTATACACAGGAAAACAAGTCTTTAATCTAAAAAAACAGTCGCGGTAGCTTGGGGAATGAGTTTTTTTCACAAGTCTAGAGAAAATGGTGTCGGCACTGCTCACCTCGTACCCTGGCCGGTTGCAGTGGTACGTGTCGGCGTCGTCTGCTGATAGCAATCTTAAAATATCAGCTGAAAATTTCGCCAGGGAGCTCAGGGATGGGACTGCGTATATTGGAAAATGTTTGGACCAGGTGGTGACCTTCGCCATGCTGAACATGTGTCAGGCGGACCTCAAGTCATGGATTAGTCAGCAGATAGCTTAGGCGTAGTGGCCCAAAACGGATTTAATCCGTCGTTTATAATCCGGATTAATCTGTAAGGGGGGGGGCCCCCCCCCCTTACAGATTTAGAGTTTGTAAGGGGGTCAAAAAATAATGTTTTGCAAATTCGATGCAAATGAACAGCGGCATCGCGGCACGACTTCCTTATATGGTCTCTTTTATTCTATCTTATTTTATTCCGCATTATTTCAGCCTACGGATAGTCACCCATTAGTGAGATGAGATATTCTAGTGCCTCACGGCTTTGTTCTCACACGCGTTGGATATATATACCGTATAGCAATGCTCCTGCCCATATTGCGATGTGTCAATATGATTTCTGACATTTGAGGAACGAGGCTTGAACGTTTAGAAACTTACGTCCTTACCATGAACGACGTGCATGGTTCATTCAATGATAAGTAGTGTGTTTTCCGACTCTCCTTCGAAGCTTCAAGTGCCAAGATGGAGTATAACCCAGCCCACGTGTGCTCTCGGTTATCACCGGGACAACCCAATAAATAGACGGGAAGACAGTTCGCTTCACTTGCTTTCCTTTGTCTCATTCTCTCTCCTTTTTTTATATAGAAGTTTGGATTAGACAGGAGTCTGCTACGACGACCTCAATCATGTCAGACGGATCAGAGAAAGGCGTCACGACTGTGAAACAGAATGTCTGCGTTATACCAGACCTCACAATCAAGGACTTGTTGAGTGCTATCCCGTACGTCTGCACGCGTCTTTGGATACATCTCGGGGCGAGGCGCTTATTACAGTCTTTTTTTTCAGCGCTCACTGTTTCAAGCGTTCAGCGTTGCGGTCATCATTATACATGTACGTTGCTATCTTGCCCAAGATAGCTGGCTCTGACGCGTTTCACACTGATTAGTGTTTATGACCTGGTGGTAATCTCGGGTATCTACAAGACCGCCACTTATCTTGACAGTCTCATCTCTCCCGAACACATTTCCCTCCCTCATCCTCTACTCTATCCTGCTGCACGCTTATCTCTCTGGGCGGGGTACTCCTTCTGGACGGGTCTCTTTGCAACTGGCCTTTGGGTCATTGCTCACGAGTGCGGTCACCAAGCATTTTCAGAGTCCAAGTTGATCAACAACAGCGTTGGCTGGGTCCTGCATTCCGCGTGCGGTCCTAAATTTTTATTTCCGTCAGTCACGTGACTGACAGTACCTTAATTAAAATTTAGGCTTGGTGTACCATACCATTCGTGGAGGATCACGCATGCGAAACATCATGCTTCAACTGGTCATATGACTCAGGATCAAGTCTTTGTCCCCAAGACACGTTCGCAGCTTGGCTTGCCCTCATTCGACCCGACGAAGGAGGATATTCTTGGTTCGAGTGTTTCGGATGAAGTAATGAAGGAGCTGAAGGAGGCGCTGGGCGACTCCCCTATTGGCGCTATGTTGGGTGCTGCTACCTATTTGGTTAGACGAATTGGATAAGATCTGTGTGATCAGTAGCTGACGGTTATTTTAGCTTGGCGGCTGGCCTGCATATCTTATCCGCAACGCATCTGGCCAGAAGCGTTACCCCAAAGGCACCAACCGTGAGTAACGATTCGTGTTGCAAAGAACGATTTAATGATTTCTTTTTGTAGACTTCAACCCTGATGCTGTGATGTTCGCACCTCACCAGCGTGACTCGATCGTTCTGTCTGACATCGGTATCGTGCTATGGCTTGCTGGTATCACCGGTTCCGTCTACACATTTGGGTTCTGGACTGTGTTCCGTCTCTACCTAGTGCCTTACCTCTGGGTCAACCACTGGCTCGTCCTCATCACGTTCCTCCAACATACCGACCCGCTTCTCCCCCACTACCGTGCCTCTGAGTTCTCTTTCCCCCGTGGTGCTCTGGCTACTTTGGACCGCAATCTTCTTGGTGGCTGTGGCTCGATTATGGGTTGGATCGGTGCTCAAGCTACCCACGGTATCTCTGAGACCCACGTCCTTCATCACGTCTCCAGCAAGATCCCTCATTACAACGCTTGGGAAGCTTCTGATGCCCTTCGTAAGCGCCTTGGGCAAGCAGGGATTAAGCTTGAGGGTGCTCCGGGTGGATGGGGGGAAGTCTATAGGGTTTTCAAGGAGTGCAAGGTCAGTATACTTTTACTTCGGTCTCGTATATGTTCTGAGGCATTGTTTAGTTTGTCGAGGATGAAGGCAACATTCTTTTTTACAAGAATGCCTCGGGTCTCGCTGCCACTCGCCCAGCGTTCGCTGATGGTAGCGCTAGCGACTCCGGCATCGAGATTGACAAGATCTAAAAGCATTGTAGAGTCGCTTGTAGACCGCCTACTTGACTATTCCTTACATTATGATCCATAACATAGATGGTGTCACGTCTTTGGGGCAAGGGGGTCTGGTGGATTATTATTAGAGTCCTACGATCTTGCGTTATGATAATTCTAATGAATCACAAAATGAATGATCTTTTCGTTCGCCATTATTGATTAATTGTTGCTTGTGGAGATCTCTTTCTGCTACAGATCTAAGAACTTGTTGATGTCTTGACTCTTGACCGCTAGTTAGCGCAAGGACTTCAATTGGCAGCGTGTTGCGTGCTGTGGCTGAATGTAGGGGTGGCTAGATGATACGAAGTCTGATCAAGATCTCCGTACGTGAATAGAATAAATCCGTTCCATCTTTCAAAAATCGACGTCATTCATGGACTACTGAATCTCATTCTTCCACAAATCCGAGAAGTCGTTAATGTCCCGACCACTACTCAGCGCGAGGGCTTCCATTGGCAGCATGTTGTGTTGGTGAGCCGGTGCGTTACGCGATGCGACCGGATGTAAAGGCGAGTCGATGATACGCAGCTCGGGTATGCTCGACCCTTGCGTGAAGACCAACAAGAGCTCTTCGTACGTGAATAGCAGGGGATCCGTTCGGGGTGCATATGGGTTGAAGTCTAGGACATGTACCCGAGACAGATCACGCGTCATCAGCACATCGAAAACGTCTTTATAAGTGTGATGAGTGCGCGGACTACGACAAAAACGATGCGACACATACAGTCTTGTTGTCCATGCCATTCGGACTTGATCTTGTCCTCCCAAAAACGCTGAAGCGTCTCTAAGATCTTGTTTTGTGTTTGCGGCTCGTTCATGAAGTCATAGAAATTCGTATCGCGTTGTGATATCCCTGTAGGAGCGTCGTTCGTGGCTTGCTGGAACAAGAATTAGAAACAGGACGTACCTATAAGACGGCCTTCACGAACGAAACACCTGAACTCGCGACTCCGGTCTATAGGATACCATTTCCTCAAGACAAGCTCGAGTTGGTATGATGGCGGATTCGAGGGATCGCATTGGCATCCCTCGAAGACCGTGTCGATACTGAGGTCGTGCGATATGAAATCCGAGGATTTCAGCAAGATGTAGACGTCTGATGGAGATGTGCATTTGAGAGGCGAGGATGGTGGAAGCACCCATGATGCGTCCTGTGTTCGATGTGAACGGCGATCGATTTCGATGGAACGAGCTGACCTTTGGTGAAGAAAAATTGAGCTTGGGGAAGATGGCGCCGTATTCTTTGATGATTTGTCTTATCCGCTCATCTAGATCGGGGAAGGAGAAGGATTGCCCAACTGCGGCGTCGTCCTCATCCTCTTGGTCCAAAGGAGAGCTTTCTGCGGGACTGGCAGTGGGAAGTGAGTAGGACTGAAACGGATGGTGATTGTCGTCAACTGACGCGTTTTCCGAGCCTTCTGGTACGAAAATGCCGTCCGAGTCGAGGTATTCCTTAAATGCTTGACTCAGGGGACGGATGATGGTGCTTTTGATGCTAATGGAGGAAAATGTCGGATACCATGATGAAAATTGGAAGGAAAGTAGATAATCTGGTGTTTGTAGAGGAAAGATGCTACTATGTGATGACATGCCGGTCTAGGTTACTATCAAGGAGCTGCAGTTGCTAGTGCTCCTCCTTGATCAAGGACAAAGATTATGGTATTATAACTGCACATTTATTATCTGCGCTTAACCGGTCGCTTCTCATGTTACCAGGGTGAGCCTTGGTTCTTGAAGTCGAAGGCTGGGGGCTCAACTAGATTTAGGGGAAGAACGAATCGGTATAGACGACATACAGAGGCTGAAGAAGTACATGAATTCTGAAACTGGTACCAATATTGTAAGGCCTCGGATCTAGTTCCTAGTGCTGGTATAATCAATAGATGAACGGTTCCACTACGAACAGGAATGAGAATGGACCATACACGTAGCCTGATAGTAGCACTCACAGTCACAATCATCATCCGAATTGAAGCGTTCGGCTGGCATGTCCAAATGGCCGACGCCGCGATCTTGTAAAATATTCGCGCGGGCATGAGAATCAACCCATCCGCCAAGGTTGGTGTCTTCATCGACATAGCACCCAATGGGCGGATGAAATTCGCCCCTTCTGCCAACAGAGTGGTCGATGACGCGTTTCACTAACAAAACATCGCAATCCTCTTCATCTTCGTTCGGTTCAGTATCATTCAGTGCTGTAAAGTCGCTCCCGATGAGTATGCGTGAGGGTAATTGCTCCTTGCCACTCTTGTTCTCCGCAGGAGGGAAATAGTATACTGTTCGGTTACTGGCACTGTGCGGGAGAAAAAATGGCTTCCGGGGCTTCCATACGGGCTGTTGATCCTCCTGGCCCTTCTCTTCTGTTGTACCAAACAACGGAATGCGGTAAACTTGCAGCAACTTTCTGCTGCAACTGAAGTAGAGATCCTTTGATGTCCAAGTGAGCGTAAATGGCATCTTCGATACGTGCAGCTGTGTAGTTTGGCCTAGCGCTAACTTCATGCGATGAATCTGCTGAGGTGACCTGGCAGTCTTTCTCCGAGAGAGACGGTACGTGCACACGAGAAGAGCTAGTTTAATGGGAGGCAGGGGTTCTGAGTTCTTCAATTCCGGAGCCTTCACTTGTGCTTCAAGAGTGGCGATATGCAAAAATTCACCACATTCAGAAAAATGGATTTTCATGAAGACATGACCCGCTGATAATGGTCATCAGCATCGATTGCCCTGACTTTTATTGGACTTACTGTGGGGGGTTGATGGCTGCAGTCGCCGGATGAAGTGCGTTTTGGCCAAGTAATCCACAAACAGGATATCGCCATCGGCGAGTGGCCAGACGATCAGGGACTTCGTGGGGTGGAAGACAGGCGGCGAAGCAAACAGTCTACACTTGATTGGCTGCCTCAGGCAGAAGAGACGAGTGCACAATTGAGTGTCAAACACAGTGATGGTTGCTTGAGCCTTTTGCTTCTCTGCGCGTTCACTTGATGGTCGCTCCCAGTTGTGTCGTTCCTCGTGGCGAAAGAGGCCATTGTTGAACACTTCATCATAGCTACTTTGTTCGGAAATGTCATTGCAGTCCTTCGAGTGGGCATTGATTTCAACACCGAAACCACTGATATCAAAGGAATGATAGCTCTCGTTGTCAGTGTCAGTATCTTCGTTACCAAAGTGATTGGCCCATAGAGGGAGTATATCATCTTCAAATCCGAAATTAGCAGAAGAGTCGGTGCTGCCTTCACCTATGCTCTCGTTGCTCGAATCTTCCGAGTCAGTTCCGCATTCAAATTCATCTTCTGAAACCGATGCGGTCTCTATGGAACTGTCTTCATCTTCAAGATCCTCATCAAGTTCATCCCCGTCTACCCATGAATCTTCATCGGCACTTGTGTCTAGGTCGTCGTCTTCATCACCTGCTCCGTCTGCTTTGATCTGCGTCACTTTGAGATCTACTTTGGAAATATTCGTTCGGGAAGTGAGAACGAGGAACTGATGACGACGTGCAAACTCTTCGATGTAGATGGAGCGCAGATCGCACGGAAAGTATCGCGCAGGAATGGCGACAAATGTGTCATTTTTGGCTCGCCTGTACAGCTGGGTGCCAATCCGGAGGGTTTGACAATCTGGTCCGAAAGCAGCTGGCGCAGCCTTGCCTGTCTGTAAGGTAGGATCGGTTACGGACTCTGTATATAACTTCCAGTTGCAACTACTGGTGCTGAGTTGTATGGTCTGCTTGTGCTGGAGTTCCGGAGGGCGCTCTTTAGATAGATTCCAGCTCTCGCAAGAGCATTTGAGGATGGATGATCTGTTGACACGAGCTTCTAGCCTTGATACCCAAGAGATTGATTTCAGCGATCATATGGTAGAAAAACATATTGACTGACTGTATCCGTAATATCATGACTTTGTCTCCTGCCTCACTGACCGCATCAAAAACGTACTGGACTCCATCAGAATCGACATTCGTTTGGAAAGCAAAACTTGTGTATTTGCCCTCCAATCGAGACAGAAAATTATTCGGACTAAGAGCTCCGAACCATATGCGATCTAATTGTCCGACGTATGGCAGTATTTCGCATGTCTTTTCTCCGCCGCACTGCTCACAGCTAAGGAAATATATCCACTCTTGCAAAAATCGGCAGTAGTCTGTCCAAAGCTTTTGACCAGGACCGGTTTGAGCTTGTGCAAACCATGATGGGAACACTCGCCGAGCATATGTGTTGAAGCCATTATCTTCATTGGGATGGGAGAAGAACGAAAATTGCGCTTCTACCCATAGGCTCTGGACCTGCACGCAGGTCCGAAAGTTAGGAGAAGTGATGAAGGACTCAACACTACCTATTTCCGCGATAGCGACGTCGTCAAGGTGTTTGTCCCAGTACTTTGCTGCATACACAAGCAAAGGGCGACAATCCAGCGGGTCTTCCGTCACGTCAAGCCACCTTCCCTCTCGTCTGACTAGTAGACCGGAATATCGAGATTGACCCAGGTAACGTAAACAAGCGCGAGCCGGCCACTCAGCGCTAATGCGAAGATCTGAGGAATTGTCGCACAGGATATTTGGATGGTCCACAAGGAAATCGCGCAGGGTGGAATGTAAGATACGACAAGTATATTGCTCCTGAGGGCAAGAATTATCTGTCCTATCGGTGGTGATGAATTCGATGAAGGGTTGGACTATGGTACGGATGCTGTTGAAATTGGGCTTGACCATGTGCTGGAGTTCTTTGTGAGGCTCACTCTCCAAGCACGATACAGCCTCGGTAAGTTCTTCCAATCGCAGAGGACGTCGGGCAAAAATAACGAGTGAAAAGACTTTGCTGTATAGTTGTATGTTCAGCATGGCAAGCATGTGGTAGAGTACATGACCGACATACCAAGCTAGTGGGCGGTCAAGCTTCTGCACACGCTCGAAAAATCTGTGATAATACTCTGCCAGAGTCTCTGGGAGCCCTTTTAGATGTTCTTCCATTCTAGCGGTCGACCAACATTCTCCAAGGGCGTCTATCATGAGCTTTGCCCAAATAAAACTACACTCGGCACGACTTTTCAGCGTTTCCAGGATAGAAGGTTGCTCGGAAGGACTCGACCATAGTAACTGAAGCTTAGAAACCTCGTCTGAGAAATACAAAGCGAGATCGCTCCTCGTGTAGCCATCGATATCGAGGCTACGGCACCCCCGGAGTTCCTTGCTGATGCAATCCCGGCGCTGGCTACTACACCAGACACGAACTCTGGTAGGAGAGTCGTCCACGAGCTTGGCGAGAAAACGAAGCACTAATACAGTATCATCCCACGAACTTTTCGTCGTCGTCTCTTCATCCAGACCATCGAGAAAGAAGTAGATCCTCGAATATCCTTCAATTAATGCCTTGATGACTTTTTGAACCCTTTCAAAGAGAGATTCGGGTGCGTGCATGATCTTCTGCAATTCATCTGGAATTTCCTGCAGGCGCTGGCGGTATTGAAGGAGGAGTTGTGCTGCGAGAATAGACAATGTCTGCTCTGGAGAAAGATGCTGCGCAAAGTCATAAAAGTGAAAAATCACTACATCCGATCCTGAGCTTTTGGCTAGGAATTCGATGGCACTCGAACACAGGGTCGATTTCCCGGATCCAGGCGGACCATGGATCCACAAGATCGGTGATAATGGGGAATTGTTCTGCCACTGGAGAAATTCGTCATGGGAAAACAGCCATTGGCAAGTGATTTGGCTACGGCCACGTAAGATCCTGTCTTGCCGTGCGAGACACTGATTGTTCAAGGATTTTGATGACAGCCAATCCAAGACCATGTCCAGCCTCTGTGCTCCATCGCACTCCCACTGAAACCGGCGGTGATCTTCAACCCTGATCTTCTCTTCTTCCACCTCCAGCCGGACTGCTTTATTCGCCTGACGGTCTTCGCCTGATTCTTGGTCGTGAGGTAGGCCAGCGTATGCTTTGATCTTCACAACATCCTCACGCATGTCACTTACAATGCATCCCAACTTCTTTGTGCTAAAAGGTGTCCCGAACTTTGGTCCTAAGCCTATTGTCAGATCAAGCTCAATTGTCGTTACAAACTTAGATCTGACCTGACTTGATGCATTCTTTATCAACTCTATGCCAGAAGCGGATAATATTGATGTAAGCATTACAGAGGGTCCTCTCCATTTTTTGGTTTGTTTGGTACAGGTCGCCATAGCCAGCGATATTCTCTAGATGATCACTGAGAGAGGCCAACTCGTGCTGGATGGTTTCAAAGAGTCTCCCGTATTGATCGAGACTCTGAAAAAAAGGTAAAGTCGAGCAAACGTCACTAAATTTTATGTTCGACTAGGAACTTGGCACTTGCATTGAGAGCAACCTTGAGACAGCCCCAGACGATCGATCGGATTGGATTCAAGGTGGCTAAAACGAGATGGTCAACATCCAGGAGGGCATCTACGACGAGCAGGAAATTGACTCAATGAATCCACGATACCAGTGAAGCTCGTCAGAGCATTCATGAATGGGAGCAGATACGCGCGAACCACCTTCCGGGATTGTTTCTGGTAATCCTGACTCCGAGTCTCCACCTCTGTGATAGCTTCATTTATGGCTGTAACAGGATCATGCCATTCTGAGGCAAACTTTGAACATTTTTCGATGAATTTGACCTTTTCGGTCTGAGACGAGTTGATGGTTGTGCGATACTCTTCCCAGGCCTGTTCAAAGGGAGTTTTCCTTGAGACAGAAGAGTTTAGTTGGCACGTTAACATATCAACTTTGAGGACGCACTCCGAGGACTGTAGGGAAGTTTTCTCGTCTGGCTGATGCATGAGCGTTCAGTAGATGCAACTGTTTACACAGACGTTCCTCATAGCCAGCCTGACAGTTAAGTATGTCATAGTTCGCAGGCACAACAAAGTCCTTCATGAGGTGTTCGGATGGTCGCGAATCAGAAGCCTCGAGGTTGGAGCACAGCCTAAGAAGGTCTTCTAGAAGTGTTCAACTCTGCTGATAATGTTTGAACTCGTGGTATCCTGGAGGTGGAAATGCCGCATTGCACAATGCGAGGCAGGCCCGATGGAAGTACAAACAGTTAATAACAACACATTCTGTCACGGTATACATGCGGGGCACACTATTACCACTTATGATAGCCTACATCATGTAGCGAGGTGCGATATTACTGGTCACTGGTTGAAACGTTGAGGGGGCTATGTAGTTCCCCGCAAATTCTACTAGTAGCTTCGGTTCTGCTTGGAGCAAATTACGATGGGATTCCCCACGCCCCGAGCCCACAGGCTCAGGACATCAGGTAGTACTACTAGTAGACTGATCGCGAGAACAAGTCGTAAAAACATCCTGTTTGCGCAATGCGCACTGAGCAGGTCGTACCATAGCCAAGTGTCCAAATTCCTTGGGCATAAGTAGTATCGGTAGCGCAACATGGTGTCCAATCAATGACATGCGGTTACATCTGGCCAGCTTATGCACTGTCAACTTGAAGCAACTTGAAGAAGAGATATACAAGAATGGCAATTGAGATGTGCGCAACTGAGACTGAATCTGATTAGCACTGTTCGCAAATATCCTGTATGGCCCGAAAATCCCCACAGAATACAACGAAGACAAACTTACTGTAAGGTGTTGTATATCGTGTGCCAGCCGGAACACCGACTTGCGGATGAGAGCTGTGGTGTTCCCGAGCTTTGTTCCAATCCTGCATGGAATCAAGCACTGTGCGGATGTGTTTCACGTAAAGCGTCGATTTCGAATGTAATACGAGAGAGAGAGCAGTTGCCACAGTGTTCTTGATCTATAATGTCGTTGGCACCATTACTTTCAACTATACGAAATGCAAGAAAGCACCGATTAACATACCTGACGGCCATTGAGCGTTTCCAGGGCCAAAGCATCAATTTCAGCCTCGCTGATCAAGCACCGATGGGCATCCGATGCCTTCTTGATGAACGTCTTCCAGATCTGTCTCCGTGAGGTTTGACACAGCGGTGGGTACTGTACTGTGAAGTGGATTCGGCCTGTTTTGCGATTGATTGAGCAATGCAAGTACAAAAAAGCGAAAGCACGTACTCTCGAATGCAGCATCACACTGTGAGACCAAGTTGGTCGTCAAAAACATGATTCCCTGATAGTATTCCAGCTGCCGTAGAAAAATAGATACCAGGGCATTCCGCTCCACATCAGTCTCCCTCCTTTGTGACAGAAAAGCGTCTGCCTCGTCGAGAAGAACGACTGCCTTCCACCGCTGGGCGAGTGCCAGAATCTGAGCCAAAGCGTTGTCTACGCTCTCAGGGCTGGATCCTAATTCGCCCGCTGAAATACAATACAAGGGACGCTTTGTCACCTGCCCAAAGGTGGTGAGGGTAGATGAAATCGTGAGCAACATTGAGAAATACCTCTGCTGCTGCTTCCGCTGTAAGTGTCTTACCACATCCAGGTGGACCTGCAAGCAATCCGACAAGACCTTTTCCTTTTCCCCGCACGAAGTCATCGAAGGTTGACGCACGCGATGCGTGCTGCTCCACTAATGCATGGATCAACTCCTTCCGTCCGTCGTCCAGGACCAGACGATTGAAAGGCTCCGATGACCAGGACACGTCCCGCAGGCAGTCAAGAGCGAATCCACCTGAGACGTGTAAGTTTGTGGCAGAAACGTGCGGAATCAATCAGAAAATTCTCGTACCCCACTGCTTTGTTTCGAAGCAAAAGCCTATGATAACAGGGGTGCAGATTATGTATTGCTCTTCCTCGAGTTCCGCTCGCTTCAATGGGGTGGAAACCGGGGGATTGAGACTAGAGTTAGGTTGAAACATACGAAATGCCCAAGGATCGATCATAACGTGCCCATACGCCTATATTGATTTGTTATAGGCCATACAGCAGAACTGGTTATTACTGCTCACCCTGCACTTTCGAAGGTTCTTATGATCGTCCATGGGATGGTGGTCGACACAGGCAGCCATCCCGGAAATCTCACCATAAGTCTGGCATTGCAAGCTTGCAAATATCCGACCTCGTTTGGCAGCAAATTCGCGAATGTTGCGTCCATTTGAGTGATAGAGGAGAGGAAAAACAGACAGGCTTTGTATCTTTCGCTCTCCTTCGAAAGACGGAATCAGAAGCCTTTGGTTAGCAATTCCAAAATGCTTCCCATCGTCAGTGATCACATGACAATGGATTGCAGCGAAGATTCCTTCATTTGTTTTCATGATCTCAAAGCGCGTAGCTCGGAGAATGTGATCCTGCTCGGTGAACTCGTGGTGACTAAAGACTAGGGTGCCATGACGAAATAATGTCCAAAGTAAATCGAAGGTGATGGACTCGTGTCTTGTCAATGACTGAAAGTCGGCGAAGGTAGTTTGGTATTCCTCCCAAGTAAAGTGAAGGGTTACTTCGATTTCAGATATTAGCGAAGTGTTGAGGGTTCCTTTCGACCTTTCCAATTCTAGTCGTTCCTTGAGCTCATTGAAAGAGAAAAAAAGCAGCTTCTGATCACACTGAAATACATAATGAGAATTGCAATGCGATGTTAAAATATTTAATGTTTAGCTTACGACAGGGGAACTTCGCAAGAGATCTAAACCCTCCACACCTCGGTGTATCTCCATGAGCACCTCGCAAAGTTCTTGACTTCGGATGTCAATTTCAGTCTTTGCGTGTCGACCCTTGATGTCTATGACTCGTCGGATGACGAGGACTGGTTTCTTTTGATCCAGTCTCTTGAGGTGCTTTGACTGTTTGTTTGTGTTCGTCCTGTTGTAGACGATTGCTGAAAATCGTCTGAGGGAACTATGAAGTTCAAACACTGAACATCCTGTTCTAAAGATACTTACGGATCAAAACTGTAACGAAGATTGACATGAAGAATTGGGACGATACGAAGGAACTCACCATTGGTCATAACGAACAATTCGTGCTTCCAGGGGCAGTGTTGTTGTTCCTACACCAGGCTCCGTACTAGACATGATACGAAAATTATGGTAACTTCTTGTGGACTGAGAACAACGCAGTGTGTCTTCAGCTTTATGTCTGATGAGAGTAATACAGGTGGAAGACCACGTGTCGAGTGCCTGTATACTGCATTTAATATTACATCCACCGTCACATTTGAAATGCAGTGCAAAAAAAGGTGAGCGAGTTCATACCGACTGCATAGCCGCAAACTTCGAAAGGGTCGTCAAAGTAGCAGGATGGAATAGGGTAAGAACGGGCCACCCCGAATCAAAACCACCCTTGAATAGAACAGCATTCGGAATACATGCAGCCAGTGTGTGCAGCTGATGTAAAAAATGACTTATCAGCATGAGCCCGGGCAGCCAGACCTGATATCCATGACTTGACTATCAACAAGGTCAGGCTGTCGTTATGATGTGATGCCTACAACCTTTTGTCTTGCTATGGGTACTTGTAGGAGCTGCGAGTTTAATGTTCCCTCCTTGAAGGTCGGATCGAGTAGCATACGATAGGTGGTAAGTGATATGTTGCAAGAAATACGTCAGGCTGGTCACGAGCCTAGCCACAGGTAGCAATTTCTTATCCGCGTCTTCAGGTCATCTAAGATCCACCTCCTGCGCCTGGCTCCAGTAGAAGGCATCTCAACCTTACTACTTTCTTCTTGCGAAGGAGAGATATGGGGGTTGCCAGCAACCATACATGTACATGCCCCGCGTGTTCCAAAAGAGAAATCAAATTGCAATGGAAGGGGCAGGACTGGCGAGTGACATATACATGCCGAGTAAATGAATTTGCCGCTTGCTAACAGAAAAGCACACATCAAGAGCCTGGGAGGGTGCGTGTATAGTATGCCTCGATCATGATGGCGCGGACTCGTCTGCATTAGGATGCAGCATGTACTGGGGTTTATGTAAGTTGAAATTGAATATTTATTTATTTGCTTATCGAATCGTTTGAACTTCGTCCGTTCAACGTTCAAGCTTGGCGGCCTACATACATGCATCTAGCCAGAAGCGTTATCTCTCAAAGGTACCAACCATACTATGAACCAACGAACCGTGTTGCAAAGAGAATAATTTATAGACTTCAGTTCCGATGTTGTGATGTTCGCACCTCACCAGCGCTAGTCCATCATTCTGTCTGACATCGGTATCGCTGGCTCTGTCTATCTTACATATGGGTTCTGGACTGTGTTCCGTCTCTACCTAGTGCCTTACCTCTGGGTCAACCACTGGCTTGTCCTCATCACCTTCCTCCAACATACCGACCCACTTCTCCCCCACTACCGTGCCTCCAAGTTTACTTTCCCCCATGGTGTTCTGGCTACTTTGGACCGCAATCTTCTTGTGGGCTGTGGCTTGATTATAGGTTGGATCGGTGCTCATGCTACCCACGGTATCTCTGAGACCCACGTCCTTCATCACGTCTCCAGTAAGATCCCTCATTACATGATGCTCTTTGTAAGCACCTTGGGCTGGGTATCAAGCTTGAGGGCGCTCCGGGTGGACGGGAGGAAATCTACAGGGTTTTCAAGGAATGCAAGGTCAGTATACTTTTACTTCGGTCTTGTATATGTTCTGAGACATTGTTTAGTTCGTCGAAGACGAAACCAACATTCTTTTCTACAAGAATGCATCGGGTCTCGCTGCCACTCGCCCTGCATTTACTGATGATAGCGCTAGCGACTCTGGTATTGAGATTGGCAAGATTTAAAAGCGTCAGAGTTGCTCACGTCTTTGGGGAAAGGGGATCTGGTGGATTATTATTAGAGTCCTAGGATCTTGCGTTATGATAATTCTAATGAACAACAAGATGTATGATCTTTTCGTTCGCTATCATTGATCAATCGTTGCTCATGGAAATATCTTTCTCGATCCTAGAACTTGTTGATGTCTTGACCGCTAGTAAGCGCGAGAACTTCGATTGGCAGCATGTTGTATTGATGCATTGCGCTGTGGCTGAATGTAGAGGTGACTCGACGATACGAAGCTGCGGCCAGGTCTGACAAAAGCTTTCCGTACGTGAATAGGACAAAATCCGTTCGGGGTGCATGTGGGTTGAATTCTAAATCTAATAAACGATCTTTCAAAATAAGACTGTGTCTATTAGTCGTCATCATTCATGGACTGCTGGATCTCATTCTTCCACAAATCTGAGAAGTTATTGATGTCCTGACCGCTAGTCAATGTGAGGGCCTCTATTGGCACCATGTTGTGTTGCTGGTGCGTCACGCGATGCGAACGCATGCAAAAATGAGTCGATGATACGGAGCCCGGGTGTGCTCGACCCCTGCATGAAGACCGACAAGAGCTCTTCGTACGTGAATAGCAGGGGATCCGTTCGGGATGCGTATGGGTCGAAGTCTAGGTCGTGTCCCCGAGACAGATCACGCGTCATCAACACATTGAAGACGTCTTCAGAAGTGTGATGAGTGCGCGGACTACGACAAAAACGATGCAACACATACAGTCTTGTTGTCGATGCCATTTGGACTCGATCTTTTGCTTCCAAAAACGCTGAAGCGTCTCTAATATCTTGTTTTGTGTTTATGGCTCGTTCATGAAGTCATATAAATTCGTATCGCGTTGTGATATCCCTGTATGAGCGTTGTTCGTGGCTTGTTGTAACAAGGATAACAAAACAGGACGTACCTAGTATGAGACGGCCTTCACGAACGAAACACCTGAACCCGCTACTCCGGTCTGTAGGTTACTAGGATACCATTTCCTCGAGACAAGCTCGAGTTGGTACGATGGCGGATTCGAGGGATCGCATTGGCATCCCTCGAAGACTGCCCAACTGCAGCGTCGTCCTCACCCTTTTGGTCCGAAGGAGAGTTTTCTGCGGCAGTGGGAAATGAGTACGACTGAAACAGATAGATATTGTAACCAACTGACACGTTTTCCGAGCCTTGAGTCTGGTACGAAAATGCTGTCAGAGTCGAGGTGCTCCTTGAAATTTGAATGCTTGACTCAAGGGACGGATGACGGTGCTTTTGATGCTAATGGAGGATAAATACCATGATGAAAATTGGAAGGAAAGTAGATAATCTGGTGTTTGTAGAGGAAAGATGCGATGACATCATGCCAGTCCAAGTACAGGCTATGATCATCATCATCGAGAAAGCTAGCTACTACTACTAGCCTACAGTTGCTAGTGCTACTCTTCAACGAATGATGTTATAGGCCAGGCCTGCACATTTATTATCTGCGCGTTCCGCAGCTTGCGCAGTGCGTGTTTTCTTAAGAGCTTCCACATTTCCACTCTACATTGTCAGTAATTGGAAGGCTTCTGACGGATTCAGGTTTGCGTGTTAGTATCTTTGTATCTTGAGAACACTTCAAGCTTCAACCGGTCATTTCTCATGTTACTCGGGGTGAGCGCTTGAGCTTTGGTTTTTGAAATCGACGACTCGGGGCTCAACTAGATTTAGGAGAAGAACGGATCGGCATAGTTGACATACTGAGGAAGTACATGGATTCTGAAACTGGTACCAATATTGTAAGGCCTCAGGTCTAGTTCCTAGTGCTGGTATAATCAATAGATGAACGGTTCCACTGTGAACAGAAATGAGAATGGACCATGCACGTAGTCTGATATTAGCACTCACAGTCACAATCATCATCGGGATTGAAGCGTTCGACTGGCATGCGAGGGTCTAAATGGCCAACACCGCGATCTTGTAAAATATTTGCGCAGGCATGGGATTCAACCCATCCGCCAAGGTTGGTGTCTTCATCGACATAGCACCCAATGGGCGGATGAAATTCTCCTCTTCTGCCAACAGAATGGTCAATGACGCGTTTCACCAACAAAACATTGTAATCCTCTTCAGCTTCGTTTGGTTCAATATCCTTCAGTGCTGTAAAGTCACTCCCGATGAGTATGCGTGCGGGTAATTGCTCCTTGCCGCTCTTGTTCTCCGCAGGAGGGAAATAGTATACTGCTCGATTATTTGCACTGTGCGGGAGAAAAAATGGCTTCCGAGGCGTCCACACGGCTTGTAGATTCTCTTCGGCCTTCTCTTCTGTTGTACTGAACAACGGAATGCGGTAAACTTGCAGCGACTTTCCACTGCAACTGAAGTAGAGATCCTTCGATGTCCAAGTGAGCGTGAACGGCATTTTCGATACGTGCAGCCGTGTGGTTTGGCCTAACGCTAGTTTCATGCGATGAATCTGCTGAGGAGGTGACCTGGTAGTCTTTCTCTGAGAGAGACGGTACGTGCACACGAGGACAGCTAGTTTGATGGGAGGCAGGGGTTCTGAGTCCTTCTTCGATTCTGGAGTCTTTCTTTGTGCTTCAAGGGTGGCAATATGCAAAAATTCACCACATTCAGAAAAACGGATTTTCATGAAGACGTGACCCGCTGATATCAATCATCAGCATCGATTACTGCGATTTTGATCAGACTTACTGTAGGGAGTTGATGGCTGCAGCCGCCGGGTGAAGTGCGTTTTGGCCAAGTAATCCACAAACAGGACATCGCCATCGGCGAGTGGCCAGACGACCAGGAACTTCGTGGGGTGGAAGACAGGTGGCGAAGCGAACAGTCTACACTTGATTGGCTGCCTCAGGCGGAAGAGACGAGTGCTTGATTGAGTGTCAAACACAGTGATGGTTGCTCGAGCCTTTCCCTTCCCTGCGCGTTTATTCGACAGCCCTTCCCAGTCGTGTTGTTCCTCGTTGCGAAAGAGGTTATCGTCGAACACTTCAGATGGGATAGCATCATCTTCATCAGAACTACTTCCTAAATCTTCTTCATGATCGGAAATGTCATTGCAGTCCTCGATATCAAAGGAACGACAGCTCTCGTTGTCCGTGTCTGTGTCTTCACCGCCAAAGTGATTGGCCCAAGGAGGGAGTATATCATCTTCTAATTCGGAATTAGCGGAAGAATCGGTACTGCCTTGACTTATGCTCTCATCGCCCGAATCTTCTGAATCTGATGCGGTCTCTATGGAATCGTCTTCATCTTCTAGGTCCTCGTCAAGACCATCCCCTTCCGAATCTGATGCAATCGCTATGGAACTGTTGTCATCTTCCGAATCCTCGTCAAGTTCATCCCCTTCTACCCGTGGATCTTCATCGGCACCTGTATCTAGGTCGTCAGTTTCATCACCTGCCCCATCCGCTTTGCGCCAGGTCACTTTGAGATCTCTCTTGGAAATCTTCGCCCGGGAAGTGAGAACGAGGAACTGACGATGATATGCAAACTCCTCGACGTAGATGGAGCGCAGATCGCACAAAAAATGTTGCGCAGTAATGGCGACAAATGTGCCATTATCGGCTTGTCTGTACAGCTGGGTGCCAATCCGGAGGGTTTGGCAATCTGCTCCAAAAGCAGCTGGCGCAGCCCTGCCTGCCTGTAGGGCAGGGTCGCTTATAGACTCTGCGTACAAGTTCCAGTTGCAACTACTGGCAGTAAGTTGTATAGTCTGCTTGTTCTGGAGCTTTGGAGGTTGCTCTTTAGATAGATTCCAGCTCTCGCAAGAGCATTTGAGGATGGATGATCTGTTGACGCGAGCTTCTGGCCTTGATACCCCAGGAGTTGACTTCAGCGATCATACGATAGAAAAACATATTGACTGACTGTATCCGTAATATCATGACTTTGTCTCCTGCCTCACTGACCGCATCAAACACATACTGGACTGCATCAGAATCGAGACCCTTTTGGAAAGCGAAACTTGTGCATCTGCCCTCCAATTGAGACAGGAAATTGTTTGGACCAAGAGCTCCGAACCATATGCGATCCAATTGTCCGATGTATGGCAATATTTCGCATGTCTTTTCGCCGCCACACTGCTCGCAGCTGAGGAAATATATCCACTCGTGCAAAAATTGGCGGAAGTCTGTCCAAAGCCTTTGACCAGGACCGGTTTGAGCTCGCGCAAACCACGACGGGAACACCCGCCGAACATACATGTTGAAGCCATCGCCCTCGTCGGGACGGGAGAAGAATGAGAATTGTGCCTCTACCCATAGGCTCTGGACCTGCACGCAGGTCCGAAAGTTAGGAGAAGTGATAAAGGACTCGATGCTACCAATGTCAATAGTGACGTCGTCAAGGTGCTTGTCCCAGTACTTGGCGGCGTACACAAGCAAAGGGTGGCAATCTACTGGGTCTTCCTTTGCATCAAACCACCTTCCCTCCTGTCTGACTAGTAGGCCGGAATATCGAGATTGACACAGGTAACGTAGACAAGCGCGAGCCGGCCACTCAGCGCTAATGCGAAGATCTGAGGAATTGTCGCACAGGACATTTGGATGGTCCACAAGGAAATCGCGCAGGGTGGAATGTAAGATACGACAGGTATACTGCTCCTCAGTGCAAGAATCATCTGTCCTATTGGTGTTGATGAATTCGATGAAGGGTTGGACGATGGTACGGATACTGTTGACATTGGGCTTGGCCTTGTGCTGGAGTTCTCTGTGGGGCTCACTCTCCAAGCACCACACAGCCTCGGTAAGTTCTTCCAATCGCAAAGGACGTCGGGCAAAAATAACAAGTGAAAAAACTTTGCTGCACAGTTGTATGTTCAGCATCCCAAACATTTGGTGGAGTAAATGACAATCGTACCAAGCTAGTGGGCGGTAGAACCTCTCCATACGTTCGAAAAATCTGTGATAATACTTTTCCAAAGTTTCTGGAAGCCCTTTTAGAAGTTCCTCCATCCTAGCGGTTGACCAACCCGCTTCGAGGGCGTCCATCATGAGCTTTGCCCAGATAAAACTACATTCGGCACGACTTCTCAGCGTCTCCAGGATACAAGCTTGGTCGGAAGGACTCGACCACTGAAGCTTGGAAACCTCTTCTGACAAGTACAAAGCAAGATCGCTCCTCGCGTAGCCATCAATATCGAGGCTAGGGCGTCCCTGGAGTTCCTTGATAATGCGGTCCCGGCGCTGGCTACTGCACCAGACACGAACTCTGGTAGGATAGTCGTCTGCGAGCTTGACAAGAAAACGAAGCACTAATACAACATTGTCCCATGAACTCTTCGTCGTAGTTTCTTCATCCAGACCATCGAGAAAGAAGTAGATTCTCGAATGTCCCTCAATTAATGCCTTGATGATTTTTTGAGCCCTTCCAAGGGGAGATTCGGGCGCATGCATAAGTTTCTGCAATTCATCCGGAATTTTCTGCAGGCGCTGTCGATATTCGAGCAGTTGTCGCGCGAGAATAGACAGTGTCTGCTGTGGTGAAAGATGCTGCGCAAAGTCATAAAAGTGATAAATCACTACATTTGATCCTGAGCTTTGGGCTAGGGATTCGATGGCGCTTGAACACAGTGTCGATTTCCCGGATCCAGGCGGACCATGGATCCACAAGATCGGTGATGATGAGGAATTGTTCTTCCATTGAAGAAATTTGACATGGGAAAACAGCCATTGGCAAGTGATTTGGCTACGGCCACGTAAGTTGTCCTCTTGCCGTGCGAAACATAGATCATTCAAGGATTTTGAATCTGATGACAGCCAATCCGAGACTATGTCCCATTTATGTGCTTCATCTGACTCCCGCCGGGCTGCTTCATTCGCCTGACGGTACTTCCTCGACTCTTGCTGACCAAGTCGACCGGTGCAGTCTTTAATCTTCTCAGCGTCACAATGCATGTCGTTTATGATGCCTCCCAACTTCTTTGTGCTAAAAGGTGTCCCAAACTTTAGTCCTAAGCCTATTGTCAAACCAAGCACGGTTGTCATTACAAACATCGATCTGACCTGACTTAGTGCATTCTTTATCAACTCTATACCAGAACCGTATAACATTGATGTAAGCGTTGCAGAGGACCTCCTGCATGTCTGCGTGTTTTTGGTACAGGTCGCCATAGACGGCAATATTCTTTAGATGACCACCAAGAGAATCCAACTCGCAGTGGATGTTTTCAAAGAGTCTCGCGCATTGACCAAGGCTCTGAAAAAAAAGCACAGTTGAGCAATGAGCGTCACTAAAATTTATGTTCGACTAGAACTTGGTACTTGCATTGAGAGCGACCTTGAGACAGCCCCAGGCGATCGATGCGATAGGATGCAAGGTGGCTAAAACAAGATGGTCAATATCCAGGAGGGCATTTACGACGAGCATGGAACTCACTCAATGCATCCACAATACCAGTAAAACCCTCCAAGGCATCCACGAATGGGAGCAGATACTTGCTGACCACCTTCTGGGATTGTTTCTGGTAATTCTGACTCTCCACCTCTGTGATCGCTTCATTTATGGCTATAACAGGATCCCGCCATTCCGAGGCAAACTGGGAGCATTTTTCGATGAATTTGACCTTTTTGGTCTGAGACGACTTGATGGTTGTGCGATACTCCTCCCAGGCCTGTTCAAAGGGAGTTTTCCTTGAGACAGAGAAGAGTTTAGTTGGTACATTAACATATCAACTTTGAACACGCACTCCTGGGAAGTTGTGTTGTCTGGCTGATGCATGGACATTGAGTGGATGTGACCGTTTACAGTGTACACAGATGTTCCTCGTAGCCGCAACCAGCCTGGCGGTTATATACGCCTGGACTCTGTAGACACAGGTCCTTCATGAGGCGCTTGGGTGACATAAGTGATATCACAAATCAGAAGCCTCGGGACTGGAGCACAGTCTGACGGGGTCACGGTTCTCTAGAAGTATTCAAATCTGCTAATAGTGCGTGAACCTGGAGCGTACCTTGGAGTTGGAAATATCACATTGTACAACCCGTTCCCAATGGAAGTACAAACAATCAATAACAGAATATAGGAATTTGTTACATCATACATGGAGCGAAGCGCGATATCACACTGGTTGAAGCGCAACGTCAACCTCAAGGGAGCTAATATGTGATCTCTACTAGTTCCGGACCGATCAGCAAATTCAAATGAGTGTTCGCAAGGCTCCACTATCACCTGTCTGCACTGGGTCAGCTAAATAATTTTAATGATATGGCGTATCAAGCTTCCATTCATGTCACTGTGCACACAGCTGAGCGCTGAACATTACTTTCAAAACGTTCCGAGACGGTGATCTGACATCGACGCAAACCCGACTTGAATAGCGGTACAATGAGAATCCCTAGGCCTCACAAACTGAGGATCGACACCAGGTAAGTAGTACTAGTACTATAGACTGATCGCGAGAACAAGTCATAAAAACATTCTGTTTGCGCATTAAATTTAATAGGTCAGGTTCGCCAAAAAGTAAAAGTTTACTGCGGCGGCTAATTACGAGGGAGTCCTTAGTTGCCCAAAGCTTCCTCTCGCCACATGGTTTCTATTCCTGAGCCAGTCAAACATGAAGCTTTGAAGCCTAATTTATAATGGTATGCAGTCTGCGATATTGAATTTGGGGTAGACCCTACAGAACGGACATCCAACCATGTACGTGTTGACTTGTGCCCATTGAGTGGCGCGTAAAAACATAGCTGAGTGTCTAAATTCTAGGGCATAGTGGCCGCGGCGTAGTGCAATATAGGGTCCAATCAATGACATGTGGCCAAGTCTTGCCAGCTTATGCACTCTTAAGCAAGAAGAGATATGCAAGAATAACAATCGAGATGTGTGCAACTGAGATTGAATCAGATCAGCACTGTTCGCAAATATCCTGTATGGGTCGAAAATCCCCACAGGATACAACGAAGGCGAACTTACTGTAATGCACTGCACTTCCAAGTTGTATGCCAGCCGGGACGGCGACCTGCAAACTTGATTTATGCTGAGATGCCGAATAAGTGTTGTGATGTTCTCGAGCTTTGTTCCATTCCTGCATGGAATCGAGCACTGTGCGGATGTGGATCACAGAAAGCAGTGTGTTCGAATGTAAAGAGAGGGAGAGAGCAGTTCCCACAGTGTTCTTGATCTATAATACCGTTGGCATTATTACTTTCAACTATACGAAATGCAAGAAAGCAATGATCAACATACCTGACGACCGTTGAGCGTTTCCCGAGCCAAGGTATCGATTTCAGCCTCGCTGATTAAGGACCGGTTGGTATCCAATGTCTTATCAATGAATGTCTTCCAGATCTGTCTGCGCGAGCCATGAGACAGCAGCGGGTAGTGCACCGTGAAGTGAATTCGGCCTGTTTTTCGATCGATTGAGGAATGCAAGCACAAAAAAGCGAAAGCACGTACTCTCGAATGCAGCATCACACTGTGAAACCAAGTTGGTCGTCAAAAACATGATTCCCTGATAGTATTCCAGCTGCCGTAGAAAAATAGAGACCAAGGTATTCCGCTCCATATCAGTCTCCCCCCTCTGTGACAGAAAAACATCTGCCTCGTCGAGAAGAACGACTGCTTTCCACCGTTGGGCAAGTTCCAGAATCTGAGTCAGACCGTCATCTACAAGCTCAGGGCTGGATCCCAATTCGCCAGCTGAAATACAATACAAAGGACGCTTTGTCACCTGACCGAAAGTGGTGAGGGTACATGAAATCATGAGCAATGTTGGAAAATACCTCTGCTGCTGCTTCCGCTGTAAGTGTCTTACCACATCCAGGTGGACCTGCAAGCAATCCGACAAGGCCTTTTCCTTTCCCCTCTACAAAGTCATCGAAGGTTGACGCACGCGATGCGTGCTGCTCCACTAATGCATGAATCAATTCCTTGTGTCTGTTATCCAGGACCAGACGATTGAAAGGCTCCAGTGACCAGGATACGTCCCGCAGGCAGTCAAGAGCGAATCCACCTGAGACATATAAGTTTGTTATAGAAATGTGCAGAACCAAGCATAAAAATTCCCGTACCCCACTGCTTTGTTCTGAAGCAAAAGCCCATGATAACAGGAGTGCAGATCATGTATTGCTCTTCCTCGAGTTCCGCTCGCCTCAATGGGGTAGAAACCGGGAGAATGAGACTAGAGTCAGGCTGAAACATACGAAATGCACCAGGATCGATCATGACGCGCCCGGAAGCCTATATTGATTTGTTATAGGCCATACTATTAAGCAGGACTGGTTATTGTTGCTCACCCTGCATTTTCGAACATCAACACCCTTATCGTTGACGACACAGGCAGCCATCCCAGAAATCTCACCATAAGTCTGACATTGCAAGCTTGCAAATTTCCGACCTCGTTTGGCAACAAATTTGCGAATGTCGCGTTCATTCGAGTGAAAGGAGAGAGGAAAAACAGACAGGCTTTGTATCTTTCGCTCTCCTGTGAACGACGGGATCAAAAGCATTTGTTCAGCAATTCCAAAATGCTCGCCGTCGTCAGTGATCACATGGCAATATATTTCAGCGAAGATTCCTTTATCTGTTTGTGCGATCTCAAAGCGCGTCACTTGGAGAATGTGGTCCTGCTCGGTAAACTCGTGGCGATTGAAGACCAGGGTGCCATGACGGAATAATGTCCAAAGTAAATCGAAGGTGATGGACTCGTGTCTTGTCAATGACTGAAGGTCAGCGAAGGTGGTTTTGTGTTCCTCCAAGATAAAGCAAAGGGTTACTTCGATTTCAGAAATTAGCGGAGCGTTTGGCGTGCCTTTCAACCTTTCCAATTCTAGTCGTTCCTTGAGCTCGTTGAAAGAGAGAAAGAGCAACTTCGTGTCACACTGAAACACATTATGAGAATTTTATTGCGATGTTAAAATATGTGATGTTTAGCTTACGACAGGGGAACTTCGTGAGAGTTCTAAGCCCTCCACACCTTGGTGTATCTCCATAAGCACCTCGCAAAGTTCTTGACTTCGGATGTCAATTTCAGTCCCTGTGTATCGGCCTCTGTTGTCCAGGACTCGTCGGATGACAAGGACTGGTTTCTTTTGATTCAGTCTCTTGAGGTGTTTTGACTGTTTGTTTGTGTTCGTCTTTTTGTAGACGGTTGTTGAAAATCGCCTGGAAGAATTGTCAAGTTCAAACGCTAAAAATCCCGTTCTGGAGATGCTCACGGATCGAAACTGTAAAGAAGATTGATACGAAGAATTGAGACGATACGGAAGAACTCACTACTCGTCATAACGAGCAATTCGTGCCTCCAAAGGTAGCGTTGTTGTTCCTACACCAGACTCCATACTAGACACGATGCAGAAAATTATAATGACTTCTCGTGGATTGAGAATAACGCGGTGTACCTTTAGCTTTATGTATGTGAGAGTAGCACAGGTGGAAGACCACATGTCGAGCGCCTGTACACTGCATAGAATCTTACAGACCCTGTCAAATTCAAATGCCCTCCATAGATGTCGGATCGATCGGCATGTGATAGGTGCCGGTGAGTGATATGTTGCAAGTTGAAGGGGTGCTAGCCTGTCATAGCCTTATGAGGTCCATCTCCTGCGCCTAATTCCAGTCGAAGGTGTCTCGGCCTTACTTGCAGTGGAGATACTCCGCATGTCCTGTGTATTCCAGAAGGGCAATCAGACAATGGAAGGACTCGACGCGTGACACATACATGCTAAGAAGAAGCATGTACGTCTGATGGGAACTGCGGTAATTTCCTAATAACACACCAATCCAGGTTGCGCGTCGAATGAAATAGAAGTAAATAGTATTTTAAAATAGGAAGTCAACGTTATGGTCAACTTTCACTAAAGCCACTGCAGCATACTATGTAGTATGCCGGTTCTTCACAGGCTTAGTCACCTTGATACTGTGCATGCGTCAATTGCTCCACGAGCTTTCCCATTTCCTTAAAGACGAGGATGAACCAGTATGAGAGTTCTGAAGGATTATTTGTTCGCGGAGTTATGGACAGCGAGTGAATAACACGAGCATCGTTCCGGAGCGCAAGATTGCAAGACTAGGACACAGCATATCGACGACAGATAGGATCCGATCCGAACGAAGTGCACGTGCCCAACTCCCTGGGATCCAACCCCAACACCCAGTGATTAAGCACTGAGGACATCTAAAAATTGCTTCCCATGAGTGATACTCCAGGCTCTTCAAGCTGACCACCTGCTTACCGGTGATTTTGAATGCCTGGAAGGTTCTGTTGCACATCCTCGAAATACGCCCAGCAGCAACAGCATGCATACGTTGTCCCGAAGCTGCCTTGTGGGTGAGGGTGCACCGGTGAGGACTGAGTACTGAGTTCCTGTTAGCAAGCTGTTCCGTAAGCAATGCCGCTTCGTAAAAGGTGTTGTCCATATGTTCATGTGGCAGCTATAGTGTGTTGATACTCAGGTTGTGCAATATAAAATCTGAGGATTCAGGTAGGACGTAGACGTCTGGTAGAGATGTGTATTTGAGAGGGTGGTGGTAACATCCATGATACGTCTTGTCAATTTTAACGGGGACCTCTTTGGAAAACAACCAAGTCCGCCTGAAGATAGGTACTGCACCATAACCTGTAAACGTCCTGGAATGGTTTATGACATTGAGTTCAAAACAGACCGTGGCGTGTAGACACTGCAGAGTGAAAAGGGAGTGCAGCATCCGAACTTGCAAAAAAATCCACGTTATGTAATTAAACGTGAAGTTGCAGAACACGTCTTTCTCAGTGAATTGATCAGTGATTCAAGTTAACGTTTCTGCTATACAGGTTCTGCAATAAAATCCTGCAGGCCATCCAAAGGTCACTTCCAGACTTCCCCTGCAGCTACTTACTAACCGACACTAATTTCCTGCGTAGATGAATTCATGGGACATATATCTCCACACAATGAGCCCCGGGCCTGGTCATATTTCAAGCACATAACGTAGTTGCTTCGAAGCCTTGCTATTGTTCGCCTCTATGATATTCCCAGAGTAACGTTATGATGCTTCTACTACTCACCACCATATAAAATGGCCCAGGTACTAGTAGGAAGTATGTCATCGAGAAGATGATTCCCTCTAGATCGCTTTCATCTCTTCTTACCTTACCGGCGCTTGCCTTCTTCTCTCTGTCAGCGAGCGCTTTTCCTCATCCTCGGACAGCGTCAAGTACGGCTACTCTCAGGCTCGCCGTTAGAATAAACTCGTACGGGACCAAGAACATCGCAACTGCAGATAGAGCTCGAATCCAAGCCCTACAAGCCGGCGGCAGCTCCTCCATCAGTGCAACCAATGATGTGATGATATACACCGCTGACATCGGCGTGGGGAGTCCAGCAACGTACTGTAAGCTGCTCGTGCCCCTGCTATTTCTTTATCTGACACATTATCAATTTCATACAGACACAGTCCTAGTAGACACAGGAAGCTCAAATACCTGGATCGGGTCTAACAAAGCTTATGAGAAGACTTCTACAAGCCAGGACACAGGCAATACATTCGTGAGTATTTGTCTCTACGTGGCACATACATTTTGTCAAACCGTTTCCAGAGTGTCCAATATGGCGATAATAGCTACACTTCTGGAGAGGAATATACGGACACCGTAACGCTCAACTCTGACCTGGTTATTGATAAGCAATCTATTGGTGTCGCATCTAAATCCTCAGGGATGGGTAGCCTGGATGGACTTCTTGGCCTTGGACCAGTTGATTTAACTGACAACACTGTCAGTAATACAGACAAAGCTGCAACTGTGACGGACAACCTCTATAAGCAGGGAACAATTAGTTCGGAAGTACTCGGAGTGTTCTTCACACCTGCTTCCTCTGATAATAGCAGTGGCGAGCTCACATTCGGCGGTTATGACACCTCCAAGATTACTGGAGACGTCAGCTACGTGCCGATCACATCGCAATCTCCAGCGAGTGGATACTGGGGCATTGATCAATCCATCAGATATGGGTCTATGCCCATTTTGGATGAGACCGCTGGTATCGTCGACACCGGAACCACCCTGATTCTGATTGCCTCTGGTAGGTATCCTATACGACATCAAAACCCTTCTAATCCACCATTCAGATGCCTTCGATAAATATCAGTCTGCCACGGGGGCGACCTTCGATGAGACCGTTGGCTTGTTACAAATCTCATCCGACCAGTACGAAAAGCTTTCATCCTTGTATTTCACTATTGGTGGGGTTACTTATGAGCTCACCCCGAATGCGCAAATCTGGCCTCGGTCGTTGAACACCGCTGTTGGCGGTGCCACTGACGGCATATACCTGGTCGTCAGTAACACTGGGAGCCCCAGCGGTTCTGGCTTGGATTTCACGAACGGTTATTGTTTTCTGTACGTTGAGCCGCAATTTTTTACCGGGAACATAAAATACTGAATTGTTCTTCCGTAGCGAGCGGTTTTACTCGGTGTTTGACACGACAAACTCCAAAGTTGGGTTCGCTACCACTGCATATACCTATGCCACAACAAATTAAGTTTCTCTTCTCGAAAAACCACCGTTCTATTCGTAGCAGCATATTTATACCTTACTTGTTGAATGTGCATTGCATGAATGAGATATCGTGTCCAGACGGACAATCGAGTACCGGTAGAATCCTAATGGGCCTTGTGAGTGAAGCAAGTTTTGACCCAATAATGCCATCTTCAAAGTTTATGTTCTGCACCGAGTCTGTAATTCGGACTGCCACGCAACGATCACACTGCGAGAAAAGGTGCACAACCAAAACCAAAGATACATTGATTGACATGTCTAAGTCCTCTAAACCTCCCCGACCATCTTGATAACGTTACCTCGAATCACAATGCGTTCATTGCGCCTCCAGAAATCTGCCAGAATCTCTGCCAGTTTTGTCGGACCGTCCTGATTTCATATCAACATACATGGGCAAACGTTCATCAAGTAAGCAACGAACCTTGTGCACAAGATGTCCCACACCCGAACCAGCCATGACTTTGAGCCAGAATTTGCCCTGCATCCGACTGACCGTGAGTGTCGTATCAAGGCGCTCTGCACCTGCTAATACTAAGAGCCGTGCATAGCTGAGCCCGAGGAATAAGGACGAAAGCGATGGGAACCAGCCTGGAAGAACATTGATGAGTAAGTGTGCAAGTCAAGGGAGTAATCGTAGGCTTACTGTCCGGGAGTGTGTACACCACTTGTATTTGAATCCAATATTTGCGCGCGTGCTGGGCGTAAGAGGAGAATCTGCAGGAACAATGATAGATGGAATCGAAAGACGGGCGGAAATGGGGTTATGGATAAGGCCCGTATTGACACTGTGTGAGCAAACGTGAATTTAGCATCTACGAAAGGCAACACCAAACACGTACTGCCACTTGATTGCTTCTTGAACGCTATAACCCTCGGGTCGAGAATTGAGAATCGCGTGCATGATCAGACTGAGATGATGTTGGATTCCCTGAAAATAATATTCCGCAAACACCTGAGGCGAATACATACCATGTCTCCTGGCATCAAAGGCCAGGACGCCGACATTATCCCTCGTGACCTCAGCTATCACTTTTGTAAGACATGCAAAGCTTGTACCCGCATACCCGGCACCGTGGTGGAATACTATAAAACATCCATATTCGTACTTCAGAGGAGTGTAATACACCCGAACGTCGAGGGCTTGGTTGGGGAGCGATATTTGCAATGCCTGAGAAAGGTATGAAGCAGGACTTAATGGGTTGAATTCAGGATTTGGTGGCTTTGTATTTCGGGCTGATGTACTTGGCTGTGGTCTATTCAACAGTGAGCAAGAAAGGATTGGAATCTGAATGGAAGGTGACATACAGTGGAGGTGGCCCCATGCCAGTCGAGAGTTCGCCGATGTGACCGGCGAGACGAGGATGAGATAGGAGTGCGGTCCGTGGCATGCGGTAACGGGAAAGTGAACGTCGAGATGAGGAAAGTTATCGCCAAATGGTCAGGCCGCATTGATCACTGTTGTGTGTGCATTGTGCTGGAGTGCAGATCGTAAACGGGTGCTGAGCGGATCCTGGAATGGGACTGCAAGAATTTGGGATGTCGAGAGTGGCAAAACTGTCCTGACAATCGAAACCGGGCACACGCGGGTGCGTGTGGTGAAATACTCGCCCGACACAATGAAAATTGCAACCGGTGGAGGCAAAGAGGATGCAGTCAAAATCTGGGATGTCAAGACTGGCGAGGTGCTTAGGACGCTCAAACATGATGCTGTTTTTAGCTTGGCCTGGACGTTGGACGGAAAGAAACTCATCTCCGGTTCATATCGCCTGATTAGGATATTCAACACAACCACTTGGCAGGTGATCGCCATTCTGGAGGGTCACACACAGGGTGTCAACACCATCTCCTTGTCTTCGGTTGGACCACCCCTCCAGCACGCAGATGCATGTGAACTGCGCAGTCATTTCTGCTAATGGAAAGCTACTAGTCACTGGTTGCCTAAGCGAAACCGGGTATACATGGGACTGTCCCATGTATACGCGGTTTCGCTTAGGCAACCATTGGGACATTCACGCCATCCTCAAAGAAGCTGGTCTCGAAGAACTACTGTCCATTGATACCAACATTGTGAGTGTCGACATATCACCCACTCTCTCTCACTGACAATGTCTGCCGTAGGCACCAAAAAATAGAATCGAACAGGAAGCATCCGAGTCTCAAGGCGATTCCAGAATAGAGCGCACCTCCCGTTCTTCACTCAGTGACAAGTCTTTCTTGCAAGTACGTCAAGTATTCTGATTCTTCTCAATCATTATAACATCAACATTCCAGGCTGATGCTACGCGATGTCACGACGAGTTTGGCGGTGTTGATGAACTCTCACCAAGGTTTTTTGACATTATGGACGCCCATAATGTGCGTGATCATCTATTAAATAGTTCCTGTCCTTATTTCTGTGCTCTTAGTCTTCCCCACCGGGTGGTGCCCGCCCTCATTCGTCTGCAAGTGTGCTCACTGCTCGTCTTTCCTCACTCTTCCACCACTTTCGACCCGACAATGCTGAAGCAACAGAAACTTCGCAACCCCCAACACCTTCGAGGTTGCACCCCCGTCTGCTTTTCGCTCGCCTGTCCTCACTCATACACCGTTCTTCACCTGAGAATGATGCACTAGATGAACTTCAACAACCCTCCACGCCTTCACGGTTAGATCTACATGCACTACTCGTTCACCTGTCGTCACTTTTCCCCGGCTCTCGACTCAATACAGGCGGAGAAACTGAAGGTCATCCCACAACGCCTCCAGGTTTACGTCCGGATGCACTTATTGATCGCCTGTCCTCATTCTTCCGCTCTCAACCCCACAATGATGAAGAAATCGAACTCCCGCAACGCCCAAGGCGTCCTCATGTTGTCGAAGTGGCGGCAGTGCGAGACAGGCAGGTATGGCTTTTCCCAATGTGTCAATTTCTTGCGTCTGATGATCTCCACGAAGGCATTGTATGTTGCTCCGCGGCCGCGACCTCGTCCACGCACTCAGCCTAATGGTACTGCAACACATGCACAATCACAACCTATCACATGGTGGGCTCATGTCGTGCTTTTTCTTTGCTGTGTATCTCTTCAGCACACCCATGGCAATGTGATACCAACGCAGCAGCAGCAATGTCAATCACAAGGCCCAGCTCAGCCTCAGGCGTTATCATCGCAGACTCAGCCTGCTGCCGTTTCGGATGCGACACCTCCTGCTTCAAACGTGCAGTCACGACCCCTTCCATTGCGAGCTCGTTTCGTACTTTTTCTTTGTTGTGTGTCTCCCCCACACGCCGATGGTCATTGATGCAGCGCGTGTACAACTATCTTACAAGTGTACTATCTAGTTCTTTCGTAAATATCATTTTCTCTCCATCGATTTGCTAGTTCCTTAACGTCGTCCAGTTAGACAGACATTCACTTTTCACAAGCTCCTCAACGTTCAACCTTGATTGTCCTTCTGGGTAAGCGGTTGTTGTCCTGGCTGCAGATCCTGGTGCTCTACGACAGACATCTTGTTTACCAATCGAATCATCAGCATTCTTTCCTTGGATTCCCCACCTCAGCCAGTGTATTTAATATATTTATTCTTTTCCAAAGATAATGTCTTACTCTGATCACACCAAGCATCATATGCCAGGAGGAATGTTTCTGCGAAACCTCCCCTAGAGAACAGTCCCCTTGTCCAGCTTCATAATTGTTCTTTCGCCATTTCACTGGGCAGGTAGAGGTGAATCAAGACCTCACGAAGCCACATAATTGATATGATCTGACTGTCCTACAGAAGCCACGGTACAACGAAAACACGTGTCGTAGTCTCTGCGTCGTATCAGTGAACCAGCAACAATGATTTATGAGAACCAATGCTATTGGTTTGCAGTTACGATGCAAATACACCTCGTATAAATGATAAATAGCCGCGTGTCAAGTTAACTCATGCACACAGGATGACCACGGACGCCTCGAGCGCTCCCGAAGATCGAGGAACGTAGATGAAGCATCATCACACACCGGTCTTTGCTATCTGGAGTGTTCTACGAGAGCAGGAGCTAGTGGAAATGTATGGGATACATCGTGAGTTGGAACTAGTACACGGTCCGAAGAACAGTTATCTCACCGACGGAAATGTGATACGAGCATTTTGTCCTCAGGAGAGTATTGTATACTCCGTGACGAGCGGCCAAAGTCGCGATATCGAGGTCATGTGTCATGTATGCTGTGGAACCTGAGGCCAGTGAGACGCTCTGACATGAACGGAGGATGGAGGATGGCGAGGAAACCACCAACTTGTGCTGATGGGGTGAGACGGTTTGGTCCTGCTTTTAAGTTGAAGTTGGTTGATAAGGGCATGGACACGTGTTGGGGAAGATCTGGCAGCTGACCCAAAGCTGACTGGTTCCAGGTTGACCAGTTGCTCGATTATCCAGGGTAGAGGTTTAGCATCTATGGATATAGATAAGTGTTTTGGGAACCACCCTTCATCGATATCGATCATCAGTCTCGTGCACCTCCATATGCTACCCTCCATCTTGCATCAGATCTTTGCAAGGCTATTGGTGCAATCGCCCCATCAGAACCTCTCGTACCCGGTGAAAAATGAGATAGTTGGTATCGGGCTAGTAATCAACGTCAACGTTGTATCAATTAAAGAATTTAAATAATTACTTGTGTTAACTGTGTTTGATTAGAAACGGACCATTGTGTAATTTCATGCTTGATGGAGGTGCGCGAGTTTTCATCACTTATCTATATTCTCAATGTTTGCAGATTGGGACATCTGGTACCTTCTGAGGCGCATTGCACGATCAGCATTCGGAGACTCGGACCCATCTGTCCGATCACCTGCAAAAAAGAAAAGGAACTTCGCTTTCTGGTACATGGTTACAATATGAATTCAACTGTCGTGCCAATCAACATGTATGGATAAGGAACCGGTCGACTGATATCAATCAGCTGCTAGATTTGCCCCAACATGTGTTCAAGCCCTCATCAATTTGTCATGCTGGACCGAGCGCACCCTAATATTGGTATCAGTGATTTACTTCCTATGCTCCTTCGTCCATTCGTGTCAGACCATCCCACTGACATGTTCTACAGCCTAAATGGCACATGACCCTGATATCGCGACTCACGAGTATCACGCAATATACGATACTCTCTCATGTTGTTTGCAAGAAGGATAGTGCTGTTCTTGATTCACTCAGTGAAAGCCATCACAAGATACTCGTATTACATTCTGGTCAGTGGAAAAATCGCTCTCGGACCGTGAAGTGCTGGTTCACGATGGATACTACACAGATACTGTTCTCGTAGAACACTCCAGATGAAAACATCAGTGATGCGATGGTGTTTTATCATCTTCGGGAGCGTTCGAGGTGTCCATGGCAGTCCTGTGAGTACCAAATTAGCCCGCCGTGTATCATTTATACGAGGAGAGCTTGCATTGTAACTGTGAACCAAAAACATTGGCTATCCAATCATTGTTATTGGTTCGGAGATACGATATGGAAACTCAGACATTTCGATGACGCTTTTCCTGGCAGTTGAAGAATTGTGCCGACGCCACAATGCTTGCGTTGTTATCCCAGTAGGACAATCAGACAAAGCTGAGATCTTCAATGCGGCTTTTGCCGCACATCTACTTCGATATGTAAGTACGCAGCAGTGTATCACCAAAGCCTATTATTATGTTAAGTACTAGTATACTAGTACTGGTGCATGTTAATATCAAGATTCGCATATCCGCTATATATGTATCATCACTTCTCTATGCAAGTGATTGATGGCTCTCAATCAAAGCGACTCCCTCTTAACTCGCAGGATGAACCACAATAGTAGTACGCGAAACTCCACCCACCAAGACGTCCAGGTCGATCGAGTCAAGGGGACAATATGACAGTATTGAGTTCAGAAATAAACCATGTGAAGTAGAGGTTCCTGCAAATATTCGGCGTAATCTCCAACGTAATCCACACAGGAAGTTGCACATAGTGCCAGTTGCGGACATGCGCATGAGCGCTCGTCTACACAGCATTTAAGCAGTGAAGTGACACAAGACAACAGAATCGGCAACAGGGACCTCTTTAGAAAACAAGTAAGTCCACCTGCTCCATATCCTACGAACGAGCTGGAAGATTTAGACATCGAGTTCAAAAATAGATTGAATGAGACGTGCAGTCTGTGCAGAGTGGGGAGGAAGTGCAGTACCTTGTGGAATGTGTGCCACAGCCATTGACGTAGTCCTTACTACGTATAGGAAGAGGGACATAGTAGCACCGGTCGCAGACATGAGCGCTTGATAGACACAGCAATAAGCTGTGCAGCAATCACGAGGATAAAGCATGGGACGGACCTCAAAAGACAACTTGAACGAACGGGTGCCCCAACTCCCTCAACTCCCAACCCGACGCCCTCTGATTGCTTGTGGTTAAGGGTTTGTTCAATCAGCGTTGCTCGTAAGGCGACTTCGCATTCCCACGAAGATCTTCTGCGTTCTTGAGTACCGGTGCAGCACGTGCATGCATTGTACCGAAGCTGTCTTGTAGGTGATGATTCCTGTTAGCAGGCTGTCTCATGAGAAATGCCGCATGTACTCGCATTAACCACAATGTAACAGGCCCGCCAGCTCACCAGGAACCATACTGTTGCCCAGTAATTCAAGATCCTGGCAAGCTTCTTGTGCATATACTAGGCTACAATCTACTGTAGCGGAACGTTGGAGCCCTTGGCGCCAACCATGTTTTCCTTCAGCACTGAGATACTACAAGACATAGATGATATTGAGATACAAGAGATCAAGCCACATCAGACGTTGCGAGGACATACCAGATGGGTTAATGGTGTCGTGCGTCTGCCTGGCGGACAACAGATCATGACATCTTCAGCGGACGGCTCACTCCGACTATGGGACCTAGAGAGCGGCGCACAGATAGGAGAAGATTGGCGAGATGAGGATGATGCAGGTGTGTGGTCGATGGCATTGTCACCAAACGGCAAAATAATTGCGAGTGGATGCAATGAGGGGAAAGTGAGTTTATGGGACGTCGAGACGAAGAAAGTTACCGCCAAATGGTCAGAACATACCAAAGTTGTGTGTGCACTGTGCTGGAGCGCAGATAGTAAACGGGTGCTGAGCGGATCCTGGGATGGGACGGCAAGAGTCTGGAATGTCGAGAGCGACAAAACTATCCTAACGATCAGAACCAGGAACAAGTGGGTAAACACGGTGATATACTCACCTGATGCAATAAAAATTGCCACCGGCGGAAACGACAAGAATGCAGTCGAAATCTGGGATGCAAACACGGGCAAGCTGCTTAACATGATCGAACACAACTTCATAGTTCGGAGCTTGGCATGGACGTCCAACGGCAAGAAACTCATCTCCAGTTCACACCTTATTAGGATATTCGACACAGCCACTTGGCAGGAGATCGCCACTCTGGAGGGCCACACACAAGTTGTCTATGCCATCACCTTGTCTTTCAATGAACGTTTCCTTGCAAGTGCATCATGGGATAAAACAGCACGTCTATGGAACCTCGACACAAACCTTCCAATCGGACCACCTCTTCAGCACAGAAATGATGTAAGCTGCGCAGCCATTTCCGCTGATGGAAAGTTGCTAGTCACTGGTTCCGAAAACGAAAACGCGTACACATGGGACATTCACGCCATCTTCAAAGAAGCTGGTCTTGAAGACCTCCTCCAACCTTTACTTGATGTAAAGCTCATGGTTCTTCGGTGAAAAATACGCTAAATTCTCACTTGTAGGTTGCAGCTCAAGAGTCATTAATGAATGTGCGTGATTTGTTTTTCAGCCTTTCCAATGGCTGTAACCTTGATATTATATTCAGGCGGATGCCACGCAAGCCATGAACGATGAACTTTGGCCAGGGTTTTTCGACAACGTCACAAACGGTGCTAATGTGCGTCATCAGTGTTTTTGATCGCTTCCTGTTCTGACTTCTTGATCTCAGCGCTCCAGAACGTACGGTCACAGTTCCTCTTCCAGCCGTCCCCACCCTCTCGCACCTTCTTTGGGGAGTGCGGGAGCACTCTTCGGACGCCTTTCGTCGCTTTCCCACCGCTTTCAACACCACACCAATGAAGAAATCGAGCTCCCACAACGCTCAGGGCGAGCTATCTTTTTTCGTCGCCGTCCTCGTGTCGTCGAAGTTGCTGCAGTGAAAGACAGAGATGTATGTCTTTCTGCAGTATGTCGATTTCTGGTGCCTGATAATTCTTGCAGGTTATATTTACTGCTCCACCGCCACCAGAGAAAACACAGCAGCAAAACCAATCACACGCGCAGGGGTCGTCCACGACACAGCCTGCTCCAGGTGATGATCCTATTCCACGTGCAAGATATGCGCATTCATTACCCGTCCGGTTGTTGGGTCATCTCGTGCTTTTTCTCTGCTGCGCATCTCCTCAACACGCCAATAGAAATGCACGACCGACGCAGCAGCAGCAACAAGGTCAATCAGAAGGTCAAGCCCAGGGCCAGGCGTCATCATCACAGACTGAGCCTGCCACCCCCTCGACATCCACGGCACCTCCTGCTTCTGCTCCTGCCGCGTCAAGCGCAGCGACCATGCAGTCGTGATCTCTTCCACTGCGAGCTCGCTTCGTGCTGGTTCTTTGTTGTGCATCTCCACCGCACGTCGAGGGCCATTAGTACTTAGGTCACGCGCGGCACCAACATTGCTCTAGCTCATTTGTATCGCGGTTGTATTTTTGTGTGACATTAGTTTTGTATCGTGCTGGGTCTGGATCAACCACAGGCTTGTTCTCATTATGTTCCTCCAACATACCGACCCCGTCTTCCCTTCCTATCATGCTTCTGAGTTCTCTTTCTTTCATCGTGTGCTGGTTCCTTCGGACTGCAACCTCCTCAGTGACTGGTTCAAGCATGAGTTGGATCGGTGCTTCCGGTGGCTGGAAGGAAGACTACTAAGTTTTCAAGGAGTATGAATTACGCATCATTAGTACATTAGAGATGTCTTCATACGTAAGATGAACAAAGGAGGTTTAACAAGTACAGTCTTGTTGTTTATGCCATCTGGACTTGATCTTTTGCTGTGTTTCCGTCTCGTTCATAAAATCGAAGAAATCTGTATCGCATTATAAAATCCCTACATGAGCGTTGTCGTCATGACTTGGCTGAGTGAGAATTAGAAAACTTGGACAAAACGTGCCTATCCTCCTATATATTTATATGATGCCATTTTCGCAAGACAGTTCGCATTGGTATGACGGTTCATTCGAGGTATCGCTTTGTGCTTGCTTATATCCTAAAATTTTGACAGCATCGAGCTCGAACATAGGCCGCAAGAGATGAGAGGAGTGGGGAGGGTGTGCGGCACCCCGGCGAATGTTCGACATAAGCATCAAATGTAGTCCTTACGTATAGGATGCACAGTGACTGGTCGCAGACCTGAGCGATATATCGATAAGCGCCTGGTCTACACAGCAATAAGCTGTAAAGCGATCACGAGGATTATGCATGGGACGAACCTTAAAAGACAACTTGAACGAACGTCGAACGAGTGTCCAGCTTCTTTAACTCCCAATCAGACGCCCTCTAGGCCCTGACCACTGGTGATCGAGGGATCGTCCAAACGGTGTTGCTCGTAAATGAAACTTTAGGTCTTTCTGCAGGACACAGCTGACGAGATGCTTGCCAGCAACTTCGGATACCCATAGAGATCTCTTGCACATTCTAATTTCTCAAATAACAACAAAGCACTTCCTCCACAGACAGTTCCGAAGTCATCTTTTGGGTGAGACGTTAATCCTGTGAGTGGGTCTTTTTAATAATTGTTCTGACAAGACATGAAGTGAAAAAGACAGGTTCCTGGACTCACCATCAATCATTGCTGTCGCCGGAAGACTCGATCTGATTCCAAGATCCCGCTCTCTCGTATACATAGGCCCCCAATCTGCCGTAGTTGAGATACAAAGTACCGACCATGCCTTCCTTTGACAGTAAGACACCAGAAATCACATGCCAGACGTTCCGAGGTCATACCAAGCGGGTAACTGGTGTTGTACATCTGCATGCCGGACGACAGATTATCACATGTTCGCCGGACAAGTCACTGCGACTATGGGACCTAGCTATAGAGAGCGGCACACAGATAGGAGAGATAAGGAGAGATAAGGAGGATGAGTCAGGAGTGTGGTCCATGGCATTGTCTCCAGATAACAAGACAATTGCAAGTGGATGCAGTGACGGGAAAGTCAGGTTATGGGACGTTGAGACGAGGAAGGTTATCGCCAGATGTTCAGGACACACCAATTACGTGTGTACATTGTGCTGGAGTGCAGATGGTAAACGAGTGGTGAGCGGATCCTGGGATGGGACGGCAAAAGTCTGGGATGTCGAGAGCAGCCAAACTGTCCTGACAATTAAAACCGGGCACTATTGGGTGTGGGCGGTGATCTACTCGCCCGATGTAGCACAAATTGCAACCTGTGGAGATGACGAGGATGCAGTCAAAATCTGGGATGCCAAGACGGGCAAGTTGCTTAACACGCTCGAACACAATTGGATAGTTCGGAGCTTGGCCTGGACGTCAGATGGAAAGAAACTTATCTCCGCGGGATATGGCCCAATTTGGATATATGACACAACCACTTGGGACTCGGAGACCCTGGGAGATGACAGACTCAGGCTCGACGCCATTACCTTGTCTCAGAACGACCGCCTTCTATATGTGCATCAGATCATAAAACAGTCCGTCTATGGAATCTCGACACAAACCTTCCAGTCGGACCACTCCTCCAGCACGAAGATTACATAAACTGCGCAGCCCTTTCCGCTGATGGAAAGCTGCTAGTCACTGGTTCCGAAGACAAAAATGCGTACACCTGGGACATTCAAGCCATCCTCAAAGAAGCTGGCCTTGAAGACCTCCTTCGGCCTTCATCTGATGTAAAGCTTATGGTTCTTCAGTCAAAACTGCGTTAATATGACATTCGCAGGTTACAGCTCAAGAGTCATTGATGGATGTACGTGATTTGTTCCTAAACCTTCCCAATCGTTGTAACCTAGATATTTTATTTAGGCGGATGCTACGCAGGCCGTGGATGATGAACTTTTGCCAGACTTTTTTAACGATGCCACAAATGGTGCTAATGTGCGTCATCAGCGTTTTTAGTCGGTTTCTGTTCTGACCTCTTGATCTCAGTCCTCCAGAACGTACGCTAACTATCACAGTTCCTCTTCCCGCCGTCCTCGCCCTCCTACATCCTCTTTGGGGAGCGCAAGAGCGCTCTTTGGTCGGCTTTCAGCCGCTCTCACTCCAAGACTCGTGGATCAACCGAACTCCAGCAATGCCCAAGGCGGGCTTCATTGTCTCCTGGGCCTTGTATCGTTGATGTTGCTGCAGTGAAAGACAGTGAAGTATGAATTTCTTCGCGTACATTCCCTATCGCCGCGGTTTAATGATTTCTGTTCAGGTTATATTCACTACTCCCTTGCCGCCGGAAAAAGCACAGCAGCAAACCCAATCGCACGCTCAGGAATCATCCACGACACAGCCTGCTTCAGGTACTAATCCTACTACACCACGTCGTAGATACCCACTACCTGTCCGATTATTGGCTCATCTTGTGCTTTTTCTCTGCTGTTGCACATCACCTCAGCACGCTAATGGAAATGCACAACCAATGCAGCAGGAAGGCCAACCACAATCCCAAGTCCATGCCAAGGCGTCATCATCGCAGAGTCATCCTGCCGCCCCCTCGACATCCACGACACCACCTGCTCCTGCTACTAGTACTGTTGCATCAGGTGCAGCGACCGTGCAGTCACGACCTCTTCCACTGCGAGCTCGCTTCGTGCTGTTTCTTTGTTATACATCTCCCCCATATATCGATGGTAATTGATACAGGTACACAACTATTTCACATTTGCTTCTAGTTCTTTTGTACTCTTATCTTTTCATCTCGCAACTACATAGATCAATCTCGTTTCCTCGTGTGTATCGAACTCGACAATACCAACTGTTACGAGGAACATTCTGAGATCAATTAAGAGGATGAAAGCCCAGGATCTAGCACGGATGATGGTTTGTTTTCTTACATAACCCATTCTCCATCCGGATCTTCATTCCGCAACCCAATCTCGACACCTACTAGGAGAATCATGAACGCAATGAATACCTGGCAAGAGAATCTCACCAGATGCAATATGTATCATCCGCACTATTTTGAGAGTAGTGTGTCATATGTGAAAATCTCTGACGGCGATCTATTGAGAAAGGGAGCCTGAGAAACAAGCGACAGCCTGCCACGGTAGTACTCAGTACAAAACTCTGCGTGCTCGACATCAACGCTGGCTCAGCATACCCTAACCATGAACGTCACCAATCCACAAAAGAGATGAAGAAGTAGCGATCAATTCTTGGTAGGAAATAATTGTGACTGTGGTCCTTAAACTTCGCAAGACAGGGGAAACACGTAGATCGCCATGGTCGTGGTGGTTATGTGGTCATGTGCCAATTATTCGGCAGAGAAAACGAAAACGCTCTTCAATCTGCACTCGGTGAAATATACTGGGCCCTATCAGCGTCCAATCACGCATAACAGCCCGAAAAATGGTGGAACGGCAGCACTCACTGGATGCAAGTGGCCATGGAATTAGAAAAACAGTGTCAGATGGTGGAAAAAGCAGTGAAGTGCCATATTTTTAAAGATATGCATGCATCATACCGTATCGTCATAATATCCATGGTGACCACGTGCAGAGCAAGCGACAATGCAGGATTAGCAAGTGGAGGTGGATATCAATTTACTCCTCTTCCTCCTCCTCTTCCTCCTCTTCGCCTTCCTCCTCTTCATCCTCCTCCTCCTTGGCAGCCTCGACGACAGCTGTTGCAATACGGTCCAAATCCCGCTGGCCGTCTTGGCTTATCCGTCGTCCACCATTGTCGGTCTGCTCCAAGACACCAATCTTCTCCAGCGATTGACAGACTTTTCTTTGGACGGAGGCAGAGGAGTCGGCGTGGTGTGATGGGCGGTTGCCGCGTCTGTTGCGGCCACCGTGAAGTTTTGTCAATGCACCGATACCGACGTCTTTGCGGAGGTAGATGTGTCGTGCAACAGCAGCTGATTATGATCGTCCTTTAAAATTGTTCTCTGATAAACGGTACCGAGCGCAACGCACCTGCACGGACGTAGTACCAGTCTGGGTCGTAAGGTGCGAGCTCCTTGAAAGACCCTGTTTTAACAATATCGACCCATGTTGGGACCTCGAGCTTTCCCGACCGCTTGAGATGGGAAGCATATGCGGTAATGAAAGCATCGGCGCTGCAAGTGATATTCACGATTAAATAATGGGTCAATTCGACACAAGTTAATTACGCACCTGATATCTCTTACTCCTGGCATGTTGAATAGTGGGAAAGACGACCGTGAATAACCTTGAGGAAAGTAACGCGGAACGTTTCGCGCGACGGTTGGCGACTTGTGTACGACTCTGAGAATTAGAGTTCAGTACTGAGTCGAAATTCAGCCACCGCTGTGCAGTTTCTAGATTAGTCAGCAAGGTATTTTCGAAACGTTTGCGATGAGAATCTCGAATCTATGCGAGCAAATTGACAGTCCTGCACGCGCGACACATAGAAGGTCGATACATAAATTCGAAGGTTGAGCAGCCCGCTGCCCTGTCCAACGACATGATTTTCATCGCAGAAGATTATCAATGTAGGCGTGTCGCTCGCAATTCCCAATAGTCCTGGATATGTTTGGGTACAGTCACCTGCTTGCATTCGAGTACAGGCAAGAATATTTGAGCTCCATTTGATCTGACTGGCAGGTTTTTACACGCACCTCATCGACTATCACAACTTCAAGCTTCTGCTTACGTAAATGGCATAATATCGTGGGGTTCCTCATCCGATGCTGTGCACCCACGGTACCATGATCATATCCACAGTTAACGATATTCAAAGTTTCCCTCCTTTTGCATCTTTACCTTCAGAATTACTCATCGAGATTTTTTCGACTTGCAGCCTCACAGGTGACTGGCATATCCCCCTCACACTATCTAAAGTCTGCCGTTTATGGAGAGACTTGATCGTATCGGCACCCTGCATATGGCAGACCATCGTCGTACTAGAATCGAGGCGCACCATGTCCTCCATCCGTACTCAGGCAGAGTTATGGGTCGCTCGCTCTTCGCCTCTTCCATTCAATGTAGTCCTCAAGCTAACAGATTTCGAGCGACTGTTACCCATCATGTCGTGCTTCCTCCCCAATATCGCCCGATGGATGCGCTGCACTATCACTTATGACGGAAGAACTTTCGAGACATCCTTGTCCGACCTCACCCTATCCTCGCCTCGTCGCATGCTACATCATCTCGATATTCTTCTCAAGACTCCCTTCGAGGACGTCGCAGGTGATGACGAAGATGATGTCATCTTTTTCTCCTGTGGAAGCGCGACATACCGTCACATATCCATGAGAGTAGCAACGACCAAACTGCCCCATACAGAAATGGTCAACCCCTTATTATTCACATCCCTCGACATCACAGAGACTGCATTTGAATACTCCGTCCGTTCACCGGACCTCCTTCGATTTCTTGCCCATTGTCCGAACTTGGAGCACTTATACTTTCACGGTTTATCCAATGATGAAGGCACTCTTAACGCACCACCGCCTTCCATTGCCCTCCCGCGATTACACACGCTCCTCTTAGACCAGGTTTGCAATCAGCGCAGCATCCTCTCGCATCTTCACCTTCCTGCATTGCGAGAGCTTCATCTGCGTCACATCAATGTAGACTACTCACTCGAACCATACCACGTCTCCGAAGAAGGTGACAGCGACGACGAGTCCCACGACTTTTCCCAGTCACCACACAGCGACCTTCACACTGGTATGGGCATCCGCAAACTCTTGTCGCGCTCACACCCCCCGCTCGAGATCCTAGACATGGATTTATCAGATATGCGTACCAAAGACTTCCGCTGGGTCTTTGATAAGCTGTCCGACCTGAAACAGTTCTCCATTGTTGGGTCGGATATGTCGGATTCAGTGGTTGCGCTGTTCATGCCTTTTGTTGTTGAAGATGGAGATGGGGAGCGGATGAGCGTACGCCTGCCCCAGCTTTCGGTTCTCAAGATGTACAGCTGTCAACAGCTCTCGGGGGATGCGCTTGTGAAAGCCTTGAGTGCACGCGTCCACTACACGGATCATGCAACGCCAGATGCTACGCTGACGACGGTGGTCATTTCAAGCTGCAATGATTTTACTGCGGGTAATGCTCAAGAGTTGTCCTGGGATTTGCACGATCGTCTTCATGTGTCGTGAGGCTGTCTTTGATTTGGAATGACATTGTTAGGGATTGTTTTAAGGGTATGGCCTCAGTGCACATAGACGTATTTATACTGTATTTGCTCTGTTCTGTATCATTATTATGCAAGGTTTTGATACCTAAACGTAAACGATTATCGGAAGGAGTTTCGACCTTGCTCAGTCAAAGATCCGAAGTATGTGATATAAAGTTGATAACATCGTCCCGCCGAAAAAGGTATATAGAGGGATTCCATCCCTTCTGCTGTGATCCGATAGACTGGTGGAAAAGAGAACAGCACGCCGCCCCTTTCATCTGGCTTGCGTCTCATTTCTATTTCGCTATTAGCATGAACACACGACTCAACAAAGCAGCTCACCTAACAGGAAAAACAACCCGCTGTCTCTCCGCCGACTCCCTCAACAGACGTCGAATATCCACAACGTTTTCGTAGTTGGCCCTCCACACATTATCTCCATCGCGCTCACCCCAATGGAAAGTATGGAACGTATCCACCTCGTATCCCTCCTCCCACTTTTGCCTCACAAAAGACGCGTTGAACGGCGGCTGATATATCCACCACTGTCATCCCGCAATGAGTCAGCACACATTACAGACAGTAAAAAGCACACCAAGTCTCACATGGTCCACAAAGAGAATCGGCTCATGGCGAGGCGCGACCAAGTGCAGTGTTGTAGGTACAGCAATCTCAAGGAAGCAAGTTGTTTCAAGGAACAGGCTCAATACTTCCATAAATATCCTGCGGTGCCGCCCTGGGATGTACATCGTATCTGCGGAGCCTCCGATAAGGCGCGTTTCACCATTGGTAAATGCAGCGAGGCGTTCTCTCAAGTGCATGGGCACTTTCCAGAAAGCTTCCATGCAGACTCCGACTCCCACATGTGGATCGCTATGGATGTGCGATAGCTATCAGATAAGCGCAGGGAAACACCTTGTGAATTAACTCACCCCCACCTGCCAAGAGATAATTAGAAACATCGATGGGAGTTTATCAGAATATCATGTACCACCAGTCAGATCCCCATCCCCTCCATGTTTCCGTGAGATTGATAGACGGATCCGGCGATACATTGACAGGGGGAGCATGCAGGCCAAGGCCGAGACTATTATCCTGTGCAGGGTTAAATACAGGCAGGCCCCATGGTGAATGATACCAAAAGAGTTCCCGGTCAAACTTCTCCAATCGTGGAATATTCAGCAGAGTGTCAAACGGCACCCATAAGTACCCATCATAACAGTCCTGCTCCTGAAGAGCGGTATACAGCATATGATGAGCCATCTGTGTGACTGATGAGCACCAGGCATGTGAATTAAAATGCTTGGAGTACATACGCGTCCTGCCATCTTATAATATGATGGATCAGTCAGATCCTCATCCGAATGGTACGAGTCCACAAAGACATCATACGAGTGATCAAAGCCGGAATCCTCGCGGGAAGCAGGTCCAATGTAGAGAATCTAACATCGGATATGTGAACCTAACCAAAAGACTCGGTCGCACAGCACTCACATTTGGAAAATAATCAGAATATACTTCTCGGTGGTAATCTAGGTTGGCGCCATAACGAGCGTGGCTGAAGAAGACTATTAGCAGGATGTTATTGAAGCGGTCGTAATTTTCCAGTGTCTTCCTATGCGAATGAAACGGTAAAGGCCGGCGGTGACAATCGCCTGGCTTGGACTCCAACTCCGAGGTGAAACCCCACTGCGGCTCAGGGGTGCGTGTTGTCCATTCATTCTCATGTGTCATTGTGAATGATACATAAAGCATATATCCGACCAATACCGCTGCAAATACAACCGGATAGCGAGGCTTGATTTTTTGTATCAGCTTAAGAGCGGGCCATCTGTGGAGTTTGCCTACCCGGGTCACGCATTCTTCAACATCTTCCTCCGTGGTTTGTCTTATGCTGGAGACATATATGCCCGCTGCTGTCAATGTGAGAAGACATCCTATGAACACACCTGGCTCATTGAGGAAACCTGCAGTCAGCGAGAAAAAGACAACGGTCGAGGCAAGCACGGTCATGATGCTTTCTAGAATGATATCGTAATCTGTTGGCCTAAGCATGAGACATGCATGAAACACAAAATACTCACAGTATATGGCATAGAGCGCGGATATGTCTCGACCGGCCTCCGATAGACATGACAGAGCCAGTGCGAACAGATCCGCGTGCGATCCAAAACCATGGCTTCTAGTTTCAAGGAAGGCGACGTGGAAAATATAGAACAATAAATGGGCAAAACAGCCGACAGCGAAAATAAGCAAGTTGATAGCATCGAAAAATGATGGATGGTGTGATTTGTAGACCTGTGTGTACAACAGGCTCTACTCTGAACTTAGGTCCAAGTGTGAGATTTTATGACTTACAATATCAACCAAAGTGTCAGAAAACGAGATGCTGAGCGCAGAGGCAAGCAACGAGAGGTATGGCAAGTCACTTGAGCGGACAATGAGACCGCTCTGAGTAGAATTAGAGAGGGCTCGACTACTGACAGTAGTTGCCTTACCCAAACGATGAAAACCCCGCAAAACTAAGTCATCAAATGCTGAGGAAGATCGTTATCTAACCAGTTTCCTGGAATGACATACCTGTAAAAGAGCAGCATACCACAGTTGTGGAGCATACGTTCTGCAAAAGAATGCGCGCAGCACAAACAGCGAACAAAGACTCGCCGCGGGGATTACAAGGTATGGCGCAAGTGGATCGATGTGTTCTCTGCTTCTAGATATCTATGAGAAATATGAAGTACTTAGTCGTAATTTCCCTGGGATAAAAAAAGAGCCGGACATACCACATAGGCCCGAATCGCGTACAGCGTGGAAATGCCAAGGACGGACAAACTCGAGCGCGCGCCACCAAGACTCGGGCTTGACCGAGGACAGAGTCTTTGTGCCAGCTCGTTGAGTCGGACATTCCTGGGAGTAAAAGACTCGTGACTGCACTCGAGTGGGATATTCATATTGTCCAAAGGCTGATCTTCGTTGTCATGTCGGCAAGAATCGAGCGAATCGTAGCGGAAGTATTTTTGTCTCCAGAAGTATAGACCGAATGCAATGAATAGTTTAATAGCTTCGGTGAGAGCGAGATGAATATGGATGTCGACAGGAGTTTCCGACTTGTTATGGTCAACCAGAATTTCGGATGAAATCCAGAGAACAAAGAACCCAATCTAGTAACGATGAGCTGGTTGGTATTGAGCATGATGTCAGATGTCAGCGACTGACTGGAAGAAGAGCTTTATTCTGCAAAAAATTGTAGTGAAACGGAAATAAATGCATGGGTGGCAGGCGAGGAAGAACCAGCATGGTTTGTGCTTTGGGTTCGGTTCTACCACCCGGCGTACGCTGTCGCAGTAATTAAAATTATGCCTGATGCAGAGGGCCTAGTGCAATGCTAATAGACCAAAAAGAATGACATGCGGTAGTGATAGTGAGTTCACAGTTCAAAATGTGGTTTGAACTTTGCTGGAGTAATTGCGGTTCATTGGAACGTGGAAACGACTCCGAAGTGATCGCTTCGCAACTCGCATGCAAAGTCGGACCTGCAAGAGCGCAAACTTGTCTACGCTAACTTCCGCCAGATTGCAAGCCATGAAATTGTAACACATGATGGTGACAGATTGGCTAAAGATGGGCACGGGCGTTTATCAGAAGATCATAATGCTTCTGTCGCAAATACCCGAGCAAGACCTTACTACTGCATGCACTACTGAAAGACAGGACATGGTTAAATCAAATAGCGTACATTTCGATATCTATGCGATTGAGAATACAAAAAGCTCATGATACGCGATGATCAACAGTAAAATCAACACACAACGTACACCGCATTAATGGTCATTGGACTTATTGATGCCACTGGCATCATTGAGCTTCAGGTCCCTTCGCGCCGTTAGCCAGGCCTTTGGATTTTTGAGAAACCAACTCTCGGCGAGCGCGAACACCTTCACGCAAACGCTCAAGAGCGGGGACAGTCATGTCCCAAGACAGACAAGCATCGGTGACTGACTGGCCATATTTGAGGCCAGTAGGACCACTCGACGGTAAATCTTGCCGTCCCTCGACGAGATTAGACTCAAGCATGACACCCATGATGAACGCCGACGTGTCCTGGCTCCCCAGTTGTTGAGCCTGAACGAACAGTAAATAACAATAGATAAAAGCGGGGGAATGCTCACGATGTCTTCTACAACTTCAGTCTGCCTACGATGTTGTTTTTGGCTGTTTCCATGACTGCAGTCAACCTGAATTTGGACCATATCAGCAATAGTAAGATCCTGAGTATGACCTGAAAATTACCATGATTTTGCAAGGAAGACCAGCTTTGGACAGCTTCTCGCCACAATCACGGATGTATTCTGCAGCATAATTAGGGCCCTTAGAGCCACCACGCAAGATTACATGTGTGTCTGGGTTGCCCTACCAAAGTTACTCGCTGCGAAGGTGTTAAAAAGGGTAAGTTGCCGTACCTCGGTTTCAATGATACTGCTAAGGCCTTCTTTGCCCACACTGAGGAAGACATGGCCACTCCGAGCGGCACGGCATGCATCTATCGCAATGCCAACGGATCCGTCGGTTGAATTCTTGAATCCAGTAGGCATCGACAGTGCAGAGGTCAGCTCTCGGTGCACTTGAGATTCTGTGGTGCGGGCGCCAATAGCTCCCCAGGATACTAAATCGGCGGTGTACTGAGGTGAAATTGTATCGAGGAACTCGCAGCCGGCAGGCAAACCAAGTTTAGCTATATCTAAAAGGAGGGTGCGCGCGATGCGCAGGCCCTTGTTGATTTGGAAACTGCAATTCATGTCGCTGTTTCCTTATTATTAGCACTCGTTGGTCGTAAATCATTGGAAACACACTTACGGATCGTTAATCAACCCTTTCCATCCGACAGTCGTGCGAGGTTTTTCAAAATATACGCGCATAACGATGTGCAAGTCATCCTTAGCCACGTCCGCATAGGCTTTGAGCAGCTTAGCATATTCGATTGCCGCACCCACATCGTGGACCGAGCAAGGACTGATGACTGCAAGTCAGTCAAGACTCATCTGCACATGATTAATTCATACCCAACCACCACTATGAGCCGATCGTCGCCGCCCCTGAGTATATTTTCGGTTGCCCGACGTCCCTCAACGACGGTGTTAGCAGCAAGAAAAGTCCTGCATGTACGTTAGAATATCATCATCAGAAAGTGAAAGCACGCACAAAGGGAGATCTTCCTGCAGAATTTGAGGCGGAATCAATGGACGCGTCGCTTTGACGCGATGGTTCTCAAGCCGTTGAAGTGCTTCTTTGAAAGAAAGAGCCATTGAGAGATCTAATTGAAAGAGGGTGAATATGTGTATGTTGAAGATGAGCGAGAATACAGAGCCTACCGTTTTCTGGCATTGTACTATATAGGCTTTTAAATGACGCTAATGAGTATTTTTTGCGGAATCAATATCACTGGTCAGGCTATCTTGTGAGAATGGCGATAAGTGGAATAAGAGAAACTCCTTGGATGGTGAATGAGAGCCTGATGAAGAGATTTCCCGAGCCTAGGTCGAGTCATCATGCAGCGCAAGGTTTAATCCAGCACCAAAAAAGTAAATTCACACCGATATTTGCACGTGTCATCCATTTACACTTTCATATTCCTCAGAAAGTTTATTTGCGTGCCTCTGTTCAACCAACCATCTGTCCAACGTTCTTGTGTCATTCGCTTTTTCTGCTATCCTCTTATCAGTATTCAGTCATGGATTTCTCACAGCTTAACTCTGCTGAACAGGCCCAAATGACCAAAATCATCGAGAAAAAACAGGTATTGGTTCGTCATGTGCGCTTCAGCAGAGTCTGAACATTGCATCACCCCGTCAGATGCAAGACTTCCTACGTCTATACTCAGGCCTCGTGGAAAGATGCTTTAATTCGTGCTGTAATGACTTCACAAGCAAAGCATTGTCTTCGAAAGAAGTGATAGCCCTTCATACCTATCTTCACATAATTCGAGTTTAACCTTTGAGCAGGAGCAATGCGTTATGAATTGCGCAGACAAATTTTTGAAGCACTCTGAGCGGGTAGGGCAGCGATTTGCCGAGTTGAATGCAGGTACGCTTCGTCGTTGTCCGAGTTGGAATAGGCTTATAATTGTTCTTCAGATGCCATGGGTCCCAAGCCATGAGAATCAACCGTGCAATTTAATCCGTGTGCTATGTGCTTACAAGGTGCTATCATAATTTCATCTTTTCATGTTTGATTAGTATGGCGACTTTGTCGCGACCATGCCCAAATCCAACGTGCTTGCTTTTTTTATTATAAAACGGACCTATTGACTTTGACCTGTGGCGCTTGTTCACGATGATAGTCCCAACTACTATCTATGTTTCCACAAGGCGCTTTATATTTTTCTCGTCATTTGGCTTTTCGTCTCGTCTAGATGTTGCGTTCATTCCTGTTATTTGCGTCGACGCTATGATCAGCGTTGTGGGAATGTTATTTCAGTCTCTCATGCACACCCCAAGCCCTTGGCATGGTTTCTGTCATATAGAGCCACTCCTCGGCCATTATCTGATATGCTCTCCATGTCATTCTCAGGCGCTTTCGCGAGTCCGCCGAAAGAAGTAAAACTCATGATGACGAACTTTAAGGATTTATTGGCACCATGGTCAATAACTAAATTCTGGGGTTTCGAATGCAGCCCTGAGAACACTTGGGCTGTGGTTGCTTATCGACGAGAAAGCTGGATGCTGATAGCGGCGACGTGTTCGACGTGCCATCTCTACTTATTTTCGGTGTGTCTGCCACTTGATGCGCCTGTTCATACCTAAAGGGTGACATATTCCCCATAACTCCCCCGGCGTCAGTACGCTCAGCCTTTCCCGAAATATGGGCGTGATAGCATGTAACGGACATGACAATCTGAATTTCGCAAAAGACAACGAAAAATTTGACAAAAACGTTGGGGTGACTGGTCTCGCCCTGGTCTCACAGTACCACTTAAGCCTTAGTTCTTATCCTTCTGCTTTCACTGCATCAAAGCACCCCCGCAAAAGCATTGATTTCTGCAGAGAATTCCGTAAACTCTATGCCATGATCACAGATAATAGAGATTTACGGTTCATGTCTGCTAATGCAGAGGTAGCATGGGAAGGTCTATATTAGGGGGTTGCCCAGATTTGTTACTACGAACTCGCACTGTGACTATCTCGGAACTTCACTCAGCACCAGCTTGTTAGTCGTCCTTGTGCTCCCTCTGATTGATTTCCATGGCGCCCCATCCTCTTATCAATGAGCCTGCGCCAGAATTCTCCCTCCCTGATGTGAACGGACACATGTTCAAGTTTCCCCCTGAAGAACAGGGGGTGCGAGTGAAGAAACCTATTGCATTGTTCTTCTACCCCGAGGCAGGTAAGCACTCGTGCATCGACATGCTCCCGGCGGCCCGAAGTATTGTATTCATCCATTCACTGCACAGGAACGTTTGGTTGCACTCGCGAGGCCTGTCAATTTCGTGATGCATTGGTTGGTATGACTCTCCCGTTGTTGCATAGATATGTATATGCATTGAACATGAATTTTCAGAGAAAGAGATCTTCAAGCGGACTGATGTCCAGGTCATCGGGATAAGTTCCGATCCTGTGCCAAAGCAGAAGCGATTTGTTGAGAGTCAGAACCTCACAGTGAGTTGTCTTGAGGTTTTAGAGAGTCATGGTCCAGATGATCGCTGCCTGTACAGTACCCTGTCCTGAGCGACGAGAAGCACGTTGCGTATCAAGCTTTCCATGTCGGCAAGGGCATTATGGGATTTGGCGACGCCAGAATAACTTTTGTCATCGACAGTGAAGGCATGATCAGGTAAAGCCATGTACGCTCGCCATGCAGGATTCAAATGTGACTAGAAATATATAGGGATTCGTTATCTGCAAACGTAAATTTCAATGCCCACGTCAAATTTGTCACTAAGGCCCTGGAAAAACTGGAGTCTCAGCCTTCTGTCAGGTCTCCGTCAGAGACCAGTGACGCGGACGCTGCTGCAGCGCGTTCCGAATCTTCCGATGACTCTTCATTGTCACAAACTCGTGACGAGTTGAGTCGGGTTGCATACGTGGTCGGTGCGTGACGAGTTCGTCTCGTGTTTAACCCATGATCATATGCGTCATGTGCGATAACTCAATAAAGTCCAATGTACCATGTAATCAGTGACATAAGGCTGGAATCTAGTGAGATCTGCAAAACCTGCCATTTTCCAGTAACTAGTATGGCTAGGCCTAGTTGATGAAGGACATGCTATTAGCAAAATTTGCGGGGGCCATATGGGCACCATCCGAGATCGGCTGGCCTTATTGAGAAGTACGACCCATGTGTAGATGGTGAATTCTAAGGGGTACGATAGATCAATATTCAATAAGAAACGAGACGAGAGAAGTTTTGAAGATGACTTTGTGAAAACAAGTTTTGTTTTCACAAAGATCAAGCTAAACGGACTAAAAGAGGAGTACATACAAATCTGGGCGGGACACGACGGCAGCCAACGGCACTGCGAGCAGTGTTTAAACTCCTCTCACAACGGCCAATCCCAATCCCGTGCATGTTCATGCTCCGCCTTAATTCTGCTCGCCCCTTTCCTTGCCTGCCAATCTCCTTGCCGCCCGCCATCCCCTGCCTGGTATTAATAACCGCCAAGATGTCGGAACACAAACATTCATATACATACTTCGTTTGGAGGTGCCAATGTCCCAGACCTGTCCCTAGACTTTGGCCCGTACCACGTGCCTCGGATGCGCGGACAAGACAACGACTTGCGCCTTGTTCGGAAGTCGTGGTCGGCACATAAAGGGTATCATATTTTATACCGTTATCAGAGGTCGCGAGACTCACTTGGTATTTTTTTTGGGGAGTTCAAAGCTAAATGCCAGCGCCCAACACCCGGCGCAACCTCGTCACCGAAATTCAGTATACCTAGAATAAATAGAAGTGCAAACCCCGCCGATGTTGCCAGTTTCAACTTTAGATGCGCAGTCTATCGCCAATCATATGAGTCGCCGTCATGAACCTCCAGATGCAGGGGTCCATAAGGTTCGCAGACGCGCCTCTCACGATGTCACGTAAATCTGCTCAGTTCACCTGGTTTGTCTAAGCAACGCTTAAGAAGCCCTTTTGATGTGGCGCACGTCCCACCAAGTCCCTGCAGTTCGCCGTGTCATATGCTTACTACCGAACGTTTAATTCTCCGCTCTTATGTCGAGAGCGACCTCGATGATATCCATCGCCTCTGGAACGATCCACTCGTTCAGCCCTTTATCATGAACGATACTGTCACTCTTCTTGGTCCAAAGTTCAAGGAGAAAATAAGACTTGTGATGGACCAGGCGAACTTTGGTGCCGTAATCGCGCTCAAGGAGACTGGGGAATTCGTGGGTCAGGGAGTGATCACTGTCTCCGAACCAAAAAATCGCGATGGCACATTTGGGATCTGTTTACTTCCAAAATTTTGGAGTAATGGATATGGAACCGAGGCGACAAAATTCATGATCGATTTTTCGTTCAAGTGGTTCGGTCTGAACAGAATGTCCCTTGGGGTCTTTGCAAATAATCCACGAGCAATTGCTGTCTATGAAAAAGTGTGAGTGTCCTTTCATCTCATTAGCCCGTGTAAAATGATGGCGGATTGATATCATTATCTTACATCAGTGGGTTCGTTATAGAGGGCAGGAAGCGCCAGGCAGTGTGGATAGACAATCACTGGCAAGATTTTTTGACGATGGGCATCTTGCGAGACGAATGGGAAGCGCAAAGGATGGCGGTGTAGGGAGTATGTCGTTTCGTGTCCATGAATACTCAGTACTCACCATTCATTTACGTTCAATTCAAATTCAAATTCCAATCTAGGCCAAGCTACGTCATTCAGCTTGCAGGAACATCCGCTCCATAAATCCGTGTTTGTGGGCAGTGCACACAAGATTCATATACATCATACGTTTTTGATAAGGATAACACCGATGAGTTTTCCTTCATATCTGAATCAGATGACGGTAAAGTAAATGCCAAGGCTATCGTGGAGCATAGAACTAACTCGGAACCAAATAAAAATCATATCACATCCGTAAAATAATCGGCCAAACTCTCTTGTACCTCCTTCACCTTCCCAGCCACAGCAGCCAAGACGTTGTCTTTGCACCACGGCATTCCATCGAGCATTCCCTGCGTAGGTATCTCCCGCTCCACAAGGGCCTTTGTAACACTCTCTGCAAGCATCAATTTGCCCACCACATCCGCATATTGTATAAGCAGGATCTGACGGCCCATATCCAGTGTTGAGCGCCATAGCGCAGCCCAGGCTTGATTACACCGTGCTTGAGCACCCCCTGTACACCGCGGACTATGTGAGATAGCAGGTGGCTCGCCTGGCAGACGTTCCCATAGCCGGCCGAGAGCGTAATGCCCAGAAAGAAGGCGAATGCGCTGTGCTCGCGTGAGTGACGAATCGTTATCCCAGACTTCCCGGCCTTGAAGCATCATGGCATGATACGCGAAACCAAGCAGGGTGCGCAGATTAAGCCGTTCTGCAACTCCAACAGCGAGTGCGATGTCCTTTCCAGATGCGAGGAGCCGTTTCCATCGCGATGTGGCAGCGTCAAGAAGATCCCGTTGCTCACAAAGAGATGCGAGTTCAGTAAGTTGCACAAGGTTGGGCCCCTCGGCGTCTTCAACTTGAAGGTTGGGAGAGTGCGTTGGGCGCGTGTATATAGTCGTAAGGGCACCAAGGGCCCATGCTTCGATCGAGCGGAATTCATACTTATGCGTAATACGAGCGAGATTGAACAACTGAGATGCATTCGCCTTAGGCGTTAGCGCGAGGGTGAGCTCGTGTGGCCTGCGTGTTATTGACTAAATCCAACTGTGTCCGGGGGAAAATTTGTGCAAACGTACGTACAAGGCGTATAAAGCCCACAGAAGAGCGCGGAACTCTTGTGCCGTATCTCCCTGGAGCCTGATCGGATTGTCGTCGCTTTCACCTTCGGGTCCCGCAGTGACACTCGGCGTACTGGAGCTTGAGCGTAGGTCCGAGTCTAGGGAGAACATACTGTCAAAGGTAGACTTGTCCTTCGTCAGTGTCGACCGATGGACCTAAGAGTGATGACTCCGCGTTAGCAGGACGCGATTAGATGCACGCAGAAACGAACCCTAAAAAGCGTGTTTTCTACGAGCAGAACGGTGTTTCCGTCGGGTATATAGTATGTTGGATCATGATGAGGTATAGAAAGCTGGAGCTGGAGCTTTGGAGTTGTTGGACTGATATCTCCTGAATGCATGAAGCTGGTTGTGAGATAAACGTCGGAAGGTAAATGTGCCATCAAACTATCGAATATATAGCAGAGGCTATTGGCGTTCAGGTAGGAACGGTGAGAATGTTGTTGGGCGGTAGTGGTCAAGGTGAAGGCCGATAAGATTGCTTACCTTGTTTAAGAAACGCAGCTGACCGGAGTCCTGTCAGATTGAGCAAGTCACTACAAATAAAATAAAACTATGGCCTTACATAAATAGTATCGTACAGTATACCTACAACGTGATACGGAAATTATATATACAAGCCGTATCACCTGAACGCTTGCCAAGAACCCTCCCACATGCAGAACGAACCAAAATAGAGAAATGATATGCAATTGCAGGTTCACAGCTAGGATAGCGAGCGTGTAGAATGCTAAAAGTTCGAATGTGAGGGAGGAAAGGCAAGCGAAAGGTCTAGAGCGAGGAGTACATGGGAAGGCATAGCGTAGGCGTACATACAAGTCGTTGGGAGAACTGTTCTTGAAGGACGTTTTCATACAAAGACATGGCGGTGTGCAATGAAAGATGACTACGTTGACGAATACAGTATGCTATGTTGAAAGATTGAGAATTGAGTTCAGTGGAGAAGTCATGACGTGGAGATATCACGACTCAAGGGCTTTAAGCTCTGCAACCAAGCGCTAACGGATAGAGATTAACATAGGTCCAGGTTGGATAGTCGATGGAGACGTACCTCTGCTTCTTTGGCGAGATACTCCTGATCTATATCGCCACTTTGAGCTTGCTGGCCCAGTTTAATACCATACTCAAGCAGCTGCTTCATGTAGTAGGGATTGATGACGGTCTCGTCTTGTGCTAGCTGGGGCTTCGCTAGTGGGACCTCAGCTACAGAAAATAAGGTCAATACAATTGTAGATGGAATACCTCATTTCTTACGTTCTTTCATCGCCAACCATTCCTGCTCAAGCAACTCAGGAATCGTAGCCCGTTCTTTTGAATTTCGCATCAAACAGCTTTTGATGCCCTGAATAACGTCCGCTCTGACAGGTTGTTGTAGATGCTCGAGCTTTTTGCGTTCGCCTGCCTTGTTCACAACAGTGGGTATACTGCAGCCCGGATACTCAATGACATGAGCTAAGTCCGGGATAGCCTTCATCTTTTGATATACAGAAAGATGTTGGAACGGCGGGTGACCATAAACCATCTGGTAGAGAATGCACCCGAGAGACCAGACGTCACTGGCTCGTCCAACTTTGAGCCGCCGCATGCCGTCGGGAAGTTCAATGGCTTCGGGGGACATGTAGTTGACAGTTCCGATCTAGAGAGAGGAATGAAATTAATCATGAAGGATGTATACCTGAAGCAGAACTTGCCTGATGATCTCGCTGGATGTTAGTAGTATCATTTGCGATGGCATTCGCAATACCGAAATCAATAAGCTTCAGCTGGCCCCTCACAAGAACGAAATTTGCGGGCTTCAGATCCGAATGAACAATCTTTTCCTCGTGGATGACGTGAACGGCTTGAAGCATCTGCTCGCTCACGTCAGTAACAGAGATGAACGATAAGGTGTTCTGGCTGACCTGCTGCCAATAATAGGATATCCAAACCATATTCATCGGTTCCTTCTGCTGCTCCTGCAGTAGCTTTGCCAGATCAACCTCTCCACATTCCATCACGAGCATCAGATGCCCTTTTGTCCCTCCAGGTCCTGCCTTCACCTCACTATCAAATAGCTGAATGATTCGATTGTTTCCTTCAAGCCGCTTGAGCAGCCCAATCTCATTCATGTATCCGCTCATAGTTTCTGCGTCTGTCTTGTCCAGTGACACGCGCTTGATAGCATAGATCTCGTTGTTCGCATTCATCACGCGATATACGCGAGACGATCCGCCTTTCCCAATCAGATCGAGTCGTGCATACACTTTCTTATTCACAACAATGTTGTGATTCCGGACGGGAGCAGGAGCAGGCGCTGGTGCGGGTGGAGGGGGTGCCTGCCGCACTCGCGACGCAGTTTTGGCCTCAGGCTCGCTATCCGCAGGCTCGTCCCCTGCAGCCCACGTCTTCCCATTCTTCGATTTGCCAGAACTAGGCGGCGGCGCTAACGACCCACTTGTAGTTGGTGGCTCGGGTGCTGTAGGATTTCGCCGATGATAGGCTTGTCCATGTACCTGTAGCTGCGACGATGATACATTTCGCGTGGACGGAGACAGTCTACCTGGATTTCGATCGGCCACTGTGGGTGAGGCTGCTGTGGGCGGGTTATTGATCGCGAGGGAGCGGACAGTGTCCGAGTCGCGCCGATGGTGCGTCTGGGTGCGTATGTGCGCCTGAGACATATGTGTCGGGGAGGGCGATTGGCGGGGTTGGGGTTGAGGGAAAGGTTCAGGTGCCTCTTCCGCTGCGCGGCGGGCATATTCTGCTGCATACTCTGTGATCGTACGGTCAATAGAGAGGCACATGCAAGCATTGGGACACCGACGCACCATCTTGCTCGGACGTCACGCGTCTGATGCGCGCTGAGTTGAGGCCCAGACTGGACCCTGGGCGTGGGGCGTGTTGCTGTTGGTTTTGGCTTGGGAGCAGGCGCGGAGATAGTCGGTCTTCTGCTGAGGAGGATGTTGTTAAATCCAAACAGCGGGTTTGTGCAGATAAAATTTTGTAATCATACCTCCAGAGGCATCACTCAAACTAGCTGAACGGCGAGGTCGCGTACCGCTCGATAGAGTAGGAGGAGCGACATAACTGCGATGGCGAAGCATACCATTTCCGGGTTGTGGGTCATCTACGTCTACATAAATGGTTTGGGTTGGGGAACCAGAGAAGAGTGAAAGATACGCACTGGGATCAGTCTCATCGTAGGCATGCTCGGTAGCAATCTCATTCTCACTGCCTTCATTCTCATTAATCTTGTCGAACCCACCCGAACCCACGCCATACTTGACAGCCATACCCATCAATACCCGTCCCGCGCGATTGGGCCCAGGCATGATCTGCCGGCCAGGCTGTAGTGGCTGGCGTGCGCCTGCGGATGATCCATATGCGCGTGTGGGGAGGCTAGAAATTGCCCGTCCGTCGAGTTGACTCACAGATGCCGAACGAGCGGTCAATCGCGGGGATGTTCGTTTGGAGGCGGCGCCATCTGACGACAGGCCTTCCCCATCAAGAATAGTTATTAGATTTTCTTTCTCTTCCTGCACTCGCAGGTCCTCCTGCTCATCCAGTGTGAGTGGAGGTTGTTCACGGTATTCATCTCGAGGCACGCGTTGGGGACGCCCAATTTTTCGACCAGTCCCAGCAAGGCCACTCGACAATGGTGCACGTAGTGCTGGTTGAGGGGCAGCTGGAGTCAATGTGACAGGTACAGACGCGACCCGTTGGAATGAACGAGCGGAGTTGCCTGTAGCTGATGACTGAGCTCGGTGCTGAGCTGCAAGTGGCAGTGATTCAGTCCCACTCCCGCTTTGAAGTGACGGAAAGGCGCTCTCTGACCGCGAGAGAGAGTTACGTCGCGATGGTATTGGAGAATTGAGTAATATAGGTGAAGGAGGTTTAGTGTACGCATAGGAAATAGAGGTCCCCTGGGGCGGGGAAGAAGACGAAGGCTTGAGAGCACCGTCAAGCAGAGCATCATTTGGTGTTGGAGGACTCGAAAGATTAGACCTTGATGAACCTTTTGATACGCGGACATAATTGCCCGCGGAATCGAGCTCGTAGTCAAATGAGAGCTCGATGATCGATGACTCATCAGATGGTGAAGTTGATGCCCGACGACTAAGAATCTTTGGGTCATCAAATGCTATCATTGGTGGTGTTCGTGGTGGCGAGACACGGTGCTCGCGATGAGCGGGCAATATAGTTGGTGGTGATGTTGAGGAGATCATCTGTGTGGGGAAAAGCTAGGACGTCGAGGATAGAGAATGAACGCCGACAAAAAGAGAGTCGTCGTCGTCGGTGGCGGCGGCGGCGGCGACGATGTCAAACTTGAGGAAACGAAGGCAAAGTCACAAAACTCTTTGTGAAGACTCGAACCATGAACGAACACGAGGCAGATACGCGGTCACGTGCAAAGTGTTAATCTGATTGTAGACCGTGTTAGTCCATCGTGGACTTCTTCTATAGTACGCGGGACCTCTATCGTCCCAGTATCCAGTTATCCCTTTCAACTTGCTCAATCATCAGCTCACCTACGGGGAGCCCCTGAAGCATAGGTTTTGCCAATAAAACAATCATAATAGGTCACTGCGCTGAGTCCTGATCTAATATGAACCTACCTGAGCAGACCAATAAACTGGTAGCTTAGAGCAGCTGGTGACCATTTGCGTCACCCTCAGCCCATGGGGACCTGGGTCATTCAAATAACATTCCGAGTCAGTATTATCTGCAGAATTATGAGTACTACTAATGATGACAGAGAGGAGACCAGAACCCAGTTCAATTTAACACGCGCGCTCGTGACTGAGAAGGACTCCCACTTGGTTTCCCTTTCTTTATCGCAGTTTCTAGTGCAACCTTGTGCAAGGCACCCAAAGTTTTCATGAAGTATAGAGGAACATTTGGAGTGGGAGGTTCTCAGAGTCAGACTCGGAAATCATCGTCACCCCAACGAGTGATGAGCTGTTAGGATGCAAATGGGATAGAACCTGGAACAAGACGAAGGCCGAATCTCGCCTCAAGGTGAGCGTCAACTGGATTGATGATCAGTGGAAGTGGAAGCCAATATTCGTGATTTTAGCCCCAGAGGAGATTGCTCCGTACGCAGTGGACATGGTCACACATCTCAGTTTTTTTCTCTTGTACCCGCTGTTCGCCTGGTCGACCGTAATGCGAAGACTCTCAAAGTCCTTTGCTCGACAACATTGCCAACACCCGACATGTTTATGTACATCGATCGTGATTGATATACTCTTGTGGACGTGATCGATAATTGGATAATACCAGGACTGGGATATATCAAGCACGTTCGGGATCACCTAGAGGCAAGCACAATTTGCAGTTAGATGTGTAGCAGCACCTGCATGCTAACCCTGCTCATGCAGCTGAGCTGGGTACCATTGGACCTCCTTCCAACATCGCTACCATCGGATGGGCAAAACCCATCTAGCAAAATCTAAAGAGTGCAACTCAGCGCCGGAAGCGGCTCTCTCTCGTGGATTGTTCCAAAAGTCGGCTCCAACTATCGATTCATTTTTCGATATAATGCTCATCAGTAATCACCAAGTAAGGCATGTTCTCGGTCCTCGTATAACACTGCAAGCACCAGGATATGGTAGTAGCGAATGCAAGCTTTCTGTCGTGTATCAGCCTGGAAGCCTCAGCCGATTCGAAATTTCATTGGATGATGCATTCATCGAGTACCTTGACTTGGACACACTGCACAGAGGGTGTCTCCAACAAGCTATGCACGGTGGCACTTCCTTGTTTCGTTGAGCGGTAGACCTGATCCTTGGGAGCGGATAATGAATAGAGTAGAACTAAGAATCTCAATGTCTTAAGATATACCCATTGTAGTCCTTCCCTTGCGAAGGATTCAACAACGAGTACCTTCGTTCTACGAGTCTACAAAGTACTACATACCACTATAATGGTTGCAGCCTAGTGTGGTTGATAGTGAGGAGCGGACCTCCAGCATATAAAGCGTAAAAGCACGTATATCATAACAGTACTATTCAGCATGCATGTTGTTACTGTGAACATGACCGAGCACGCTGCTCCGATACACTCATCGGTCGAAAACATACTAATGAATGCCACAGCAACCATTTAGTCAGACCGTCAATGCAGTACCATGTGCACAAGTGTTAGCATTCCCTCTCAAACAAAGAATAAGAAGACCACCAACGTAGTCTACTCCAATCTGTTAACTTACACCACCCCATGTCCGTAGGCAAACGGACTCAAGTGGAGTGCGTACATAGTGTCGACGCACAGGATCAAACACTCCGTGCTTACAGTATGTAGACACACACCATGGGAACGGATTGCTTGTGCACCAATATCACGCTCGAGTATTAGCGAAATGATCACGTATAAGTAATAAAGTATACTTGAACGCATCTATGAACTGGCATGCGAGATGACTATCGGCGCATCGCGATCTGATATCCGAGAGCTTCACGTCGTGCAAGCGCAACTCAAGCAACCACTCCAAGTACAAAATAGCTAGAGGTAGGCGAAAGCCATACAGATGCTTGAGAAAGAGCCAAGTCAGATCGAGATTGGTCGAATCGAGCAGTGCATGATACGTGAACAGCACCTACAGGCATATATCCGGAATCAATCATCCACTTCCTCCCATTCCGATTCTGAGGCCTCGTGTTCCTCTTCAATATCTACTAGTGACTCGAATTCATCGTCACTGGCCTCAAAGAAATCAAATTCCTCCACATTGTCTTTCAGCCATTGTAGATCATGAGGTGTGACTTCGTCGTTCTCCTCCATATACACAGCCTTTAAAGGGACACCTGCTTCCTTTCGCTTCTGCACCAATTCGCGTATTTGGTCTCCAGGGACGTCGGCAGTCGACAAAGTGGTAAGCGAAGGGAGACAGACGTGACAAACATCCCGCTGGCAAGGAACAGAACAAGGGTGATAAAGTAGCTGGAGGAACGTAAGAGGGAGGTACTTCATCACGAGGTTGAGCGTCTTGAGGTTGCCGAGCTCTGCGTACATGAGCTCTATGCTGCGGTCTGAGCAGGAAAGGCCGGATAACTTGATGGAGTCAAGTCTGCTAAGTAAACTGCGTTTCTTTTCTCCATCCTTTGATGTCACCGGGACTGCGCTCATCATAGGACCAGCAAGTTGGAATGCGAAATCCGTAAAATCGCCATCGTCCAAATCAAGTGTGAGGCTTTTGAGTGCGGGAAATGCCAAACGGCGAAGCAACCCACTAACATAAACTGGTGAATGGAATGCCAGGACAAGCTGTGTCAGTGAGCGCAACTCGATGACTCCGGTATAGTCATTGCCATAACTTCCTGAACTCCCTTCATTACACCAGTCATGGGGAGCACCGAGGGGACCAGAGCTGCATAAAGAGAGTGTTTCCAGCTTAGGTGCGCCGCAAAGGATGGCAGCAAATTGTGTCCATGACGGTCGCACATCATCTGTATGATAAGCAAGCTCCAAGTCCAAGAGATTGGACCCGCAAGATAACCATTCTTGGCACCAGTCGACATGCACACCCCACAACGCTACACTCTTGAGACGCGGAGCAACGCCTCCGAACAACTTGAAATGTTGCACGAGGTCAGGTTGGGCGAAAGCTGTGAGGCTTTCTGCATCTTCGTGATGGTACAATTGGAGAGCCTCGAGCTGGGGAGCACCCGTTATGGAAGGATCTGAAACTGCAGAGAGGAAAATAAACATGTGCTTGTAACAAGCGACCGCCACTTCGACAGATCCCCAGCGTGAGATATGGGGAACAAGAAGGGACATGAGATTATCGAGATCGGAAAAGGTCATCGAATGTGGGGACTGACCAAGCTCTGAGTCTTCAGAGCCTGAGGAATCCTCTTCTTCATCGTCATCTGGAGGTTCGCAATCTATGCGTATGTCGATAGGGAGGCTCTTGCTGCGCTCAAGAAAAGTCTGAACTCGTTCAAATGGGGGTGAGTCAAGAGGTGATACGTCGATCTCTGTCCAGAGCGACGGCGTGTTAAGAGCCACCACACGCCAATGGTGACAGACATGCGAGATGAGTACCTCAAATGATGGCATGGGTTCGAATGTTGCGTCGCTGTCCATCGATGATTCGGATAAACCATCCTCATCTATGCCATCGTTCCTTGTCACTCTGCTCCGTTTTGTTGTTTCGCCGTCTTCGTCTGCTCCATCTTTCGCGCCTGATTCCAGATTCCAATATACTGCCATTGCTTCATCCTCCTCATCTTCTTCGTCTTCGTCCTCTCCATCCTTGATGGATTTGGCACCAACCTCAAAAATGAGAGAAAGGAGCTCCGGAGGGATGTCATTCACTGGACAACGTGTGCCCTTCGGTGGGATGAAGGGGTTGTCTTTTGTTAAAACGTCGGAGCAGCAGTCCATTCTTTACACAATGACCGATCAGCTTGTGCTACTTAATTTTGAAGAAAAGAACGCACTTGACAAATCCCGGTTTGACGTTGCAAGAAGGCTCTAGAAAAACGAAAGAAGATGATCAAAAGATCTGCCTTGATAACTCAATATGCCAAATACAGCAAGCGCCTTTTCACTGGATATGAGTATTTTAAGTATCCTGTGTAGCTGCCGCTGTCTTACGCGTCCCGTTGCTTGTAGCTCACCGCTCAACGTCAACCGTCACTACTAATACCATCCCGCTCTGTAGAGACATTTCTATGTCTTCTCCCGTCAAGGTCTATGTTTATGACCTCAGCAAGGGTCTCGCCGGCCAGGTCTCTTTGCAGCTCACTGGTAAGCAAATAGATGGCGTCTGGTTAGTATCTTCTTACATCGAAAACCAAGATTCATGTGCTCACTGACCACTATATGTATAGGCATACCTCAGTGGTGGCCTTCGGGAAGGAAATCTTCTATGGACCAGGCATTTGTGAAACTGAGCCGGGTCGGTCCCATGTAAGCTGCTAGGGTCGCGGGTTGGTTTTATCACTTTAACATAGTGAGCTGTAGCACGGGTCACCTTTGAGAATCGTTGATATGGGTGAGACACATATGGACGAGCAGACGTTCGTGGAATACCTTAGCCAGATAAAGGAGCATTACACTGCCGACAAAGTAAGTGTTTGCTCTGACGTGAGTTACTTGTCTTACTCACCAAACTTAGTACCATCTGTTAGGTGAGACTGCAAGACGGGACCATGAATCACTTATTAACCTTTGAGAAGACTTCAACTGCAACTCATTTACTAACGATTGCCTCGGCTTTTTGACTGGAGGCTCGCTTCCACCGTATATCAAAGGTATTGACCCTTAATTGCCACCTTCGGTTGAATATAATTCTGAAAACACTCCTACAGATCTACCATCCGACTTCCTATCGACACCATTTGGCGCTGCCTTGCGACCAACTATCGATGCCATGTTTAGAGGCAGGGCTTCTACCGGCGTCCTAACCCCTCCCCCAGATATCTCAGCCACAGCTGATTCACCCAATCCAGCATCGGCTTCGTCTCTGCTGCAGGCTGTAGCGGCTGGCGCAACCTCCAACAATTCTGGGATGCCGTCCTCATCCAGGAACTACCTTCCGACACCTGCACCAACATCGCCTCCTACACCTGTTCAGAGCAACAGCCTTACTACACCTGTGCACATTGCTACAAACCCCTCATCTTTCCGCAATGTGCTTCACACACACCGTGCTGTGGTTGCATTCTTCACAAGTGCAACATGTGGGCCTTGCAGGATGATCGAGCCTGTGTTCGAAGACCTTGCAAAGAGCAAGAGCCGAGCCAATGATGTCGCGTTTGTTAAGATAGACTTGAGTGTCGGAATGAGCAATGCGGTTGGCGGCGAGTATGGTGTAAGAGTGACACCGACATTTATCCTATTCTTGGACGGAAATAAAGTAGGAGGGGCACATATGACGTTCTCGCGGTAACTGACACACTTCCGTAGACACATGAAATGAAGGGTATCAATGCACCCGAATTACGCACTCAAGTCGACTTGCTCCTTTATCAGGCGTTTCCTCGTGAGCATATAGTCTTCCTTTCCTTATGACAACGAACTGATGCGGTGACGGCGATCAGCGCATCCACACACTACGTTATCCCTTCCTGCGATTGAAGCCATGCCCCTTAATGCCATCCTGTCTTCTCAAGTTCCGAATCTCGATATCGTGCTTGCAAAAGTGACGGGGTTCATAGATACCGCTCCTTCATGGTCAGGCTCCGCTACGAAAGAAGCCACGAAGCAAATTCTCGCGAAGAATATCATTCCGTACCTCAAAGCACGAGGGTCTTCGTCACCCCCTAACATTTCTTTCGAGCCTTGGAAAGACGCAACGATAAGCCTTGCGACAAATCTTTCTGCAGGAGAATTATTCCCTGTGGCAGATATGTGGCGCGTTGCACTGCTCGAACCAGCCGTGTGCAGCTGGAGTGCAACGAAAGTCGGCCCTGAAAGCCCGATCCTCGTCTTGTTATCCAAGGCCGAAGACGCGCCAAGGAATTATTCCCTCACGCTCTTGAGGATGATTTCAAATGCGTTTGCGAACAAGATTGTAGCCCGAGAACTTCTTCTTTCATCTCGAAGTAGCATTACAGCGCTAATGGCGGCTGCCTTGTTTCACGACGATGCAACTGTACGGTTGGCAGCAGCCAACCTAGCATTCAATATGACTGTGCACCTTCAGAGACTGAGAGTAGAGAAGGTGCGGGGGAATGTTGAAGGGGACGATGTGGGCGAGAATGAAGACTGGGATGTTGAAATGACAAGCGCGCTTTTGGAAGTTATAGAGCGGGAGAAGGCGAACGAGGAAATTGGTACGCTCTCGATTCAATCCAGTCTCGTAGCAGCACTTGATCATTGCATTGTCTGTAACAGTTCATCGTTTGACAGCGTCATTGGCATTGTTGATCCGACTATCTCCGTCCATTGAACAGTTTGTTTCCTTGTTAGAGGTTCTGCAAGCTCGGAAAATACTCAAGGATAAGTTGGAGAGGGGCGGATGCGGGGACACGGGGGTTGTAAAGAAGGAGGCCCGCAAGCTAATTGAGGAGGTTGCTGAGAAGCTTTGTCCTTGATCGTGGAGTGTTTTCTCCTTGTTGTACTGAGTGTATTGGTATCATATGTACATATCTCATCTAAGAATACATACAGGCGCCTTGCAGGATCCATATATAGAGTCTGCAGGGACTTGTGTTTGAGGTCATACATTTCCGAAGGAGAATAAGTGCCCGCTAAAACGGGCGGCATTTCGCGCGCACCTTTCAATATCACGAGCACATGAATAACCGGAAAGCCGACGGAAGTCACACAAAACGTCGCCTACGACAACACTGATGAGCCTTGCGATTTCCCTCTGTTCTTCATCTGCTGGATCTTAGACGCAGTTTCGGGTGATACCATCCAATCAATCGTTGGTCCGGGACTCTGGCATAGGCGCTGGCGATCTATCCTCTCTATCTCCACTTCTTAAGCATCTGAACTGACAGTGGATACCTGAAGGACAAGCATCCTTCCATCCATTGTCGCTCACACATCTCCGGTTATTTTGAGTCCATGCTGAAGTTCTCGAGCAGATTAGCCTCTCGTTCGTCGCGTTCACCGGTACGTAATTCACTGGTTAGTCACGCCTCTGACGTTAACTACTTTTCCAGCTTGTGTCTCAAATGGCCACCAAGCGCAATTTCAAGTCCTCAGCCCCGAGGAAGTCTGATATTCCAGAGGGATATGCTGTTGATCCTACTGCAGGGAACATGTTACGGTTCCAGGCGTCACTTCCTCGGCTTCCAGTTCCGGCGCTGTCCTCAACCGTGCACAAGTACCTTGAGACCATTCGGCCTCTACTGACGGATGCGGAGTATACCAAGTCCCAGGCTACTGCACAAGACTTTCTTAAATCACCTCAGGCTGCTGAGCTTCAGAAACGCCTAGAAGCCCGTGCCGCAGATCCATCCATCAAGAATTGGCTAGCGGACTGGTGGAATGATGCAGCATACATGGGCTACCGCGACCCTGTCGTGGTTTATGTCAGCTACTTCTACGTGCATCTTGATGATCCACGCAGACGTGACCCGGCGAAGAGGGCTGCTAGTCTGATCAAAGCTATGCTACCTTTCAGAGAAATCACAGAATCGTCAGTTCTCGCACGTCTTTGGCCTTGATTTATTACTCATGCCAAGGCTGAGCAGGAAACAAATAGAACCTGAAAAGGTTCGTGGGATGCCACTGTGCATGGATTCGTACAAATGGCTGTAAGCTCTCATTCCGTAATCCATGGTATCGAATTAAATCCTCGCAGCTTCCATGCATGCCGATACCCTACCAAGCCATCCGACACTGCCAAGAAGTTTGATCCAAAGGCACACAATCACGTCGTGTTTGTGAGGAAGAACAAGTTCTATGAAGTTCTGCTCGCAACCCCGGAAGGACATGAACTAAGCGAGGCTGAACTAGAAGTGTGCGTGTTGCGCATTAATCGCTCTGAATTCATTGAACTTAGTATCTTTGGAACATAGACAAGTGGAACGAGTCATTAGAATGGCAGGAAAGGAGACAGGCGCTCCGGTCGGCGCGCTGACAGCGGAGAACCGAGATATTTGGACTGATGTAAGTACCCGGTAGTTCCGTTTAGCCGCTATTTCCAAGGCCTCAAACCTTTATCCGTCCAGGCACGCTCTGCACTAATAGCAAGTTCGCCATTGAACCAACAATCTCTCGAGCGGATAGAGTCTTCCGCGATCATCATCTGCCTTGACGACACTACGCCCGTCTTGCGCGAAGATATTTCTTGGTCTTGCTGGGTCGGAGACGGCCGGAACCGTTTCTACGACAAGCACCAATGTATGTGGCTATTGACTCTCACAATTTTCTCCAGATGTGCTAATGCACTTGACTTGTGTTAGTAATCGTCTTTGATAATGGGCGATCGGGTTTCCTTGGGGAGCATTCGTGCATGGATGGCACGCCCACGCTTCGCCTGAATGAATTCATTCTTGCTTCTCTTGCCCACAACAAGGTTGATCTTGGTGCGCCTAGGTCTAACTCTACCGGTGCCAATCTTCCGCAGCCCGTAGAGCTAAAATTTGAGCTTGACGCCACATGCGGGAAATACATTAATGAGGCATGTCAACATTTTGACGAGCTCGTGGATCAGCATGACATGCAGGTAAGTGCAGGGTCCAGTGAAATCTATCAGGGCCCTAGATAATTAAATTGCCACCGTTCTTAGGTGCTCCACTATGAAGGCTATGGGAAAGACCTTATGAAGAAGTTCAAGGCTTCGCCTGATGCATGGGTTCAGCTTGTGAAACAACTTGCTTTCCACAAAATGTTTAATCGACCTGGTGTGACGTATGAAAGCTGTCAGACGCGCAAATACCAGCAAGGCCGCACGGAGGTCATTCGTAGTGCCAGCTTAGAAAGCAAGGAATGGGCCGAAGCCATGCTTAATTCAGAAGAATCTGTAGGTCCTCATGCGGAGATCGCGTAACACTTTCCCATTGCAGTTAGAGGCTAAATGTCATGCGGAATTCGCATCTAGGATGAACACCGCGCCGTGCTTTTCCGCCGTGCCGTCGCGCGCCACCTGCAGTATGCTGCTTGGGCCGCGGATGGGCAAGGGGTGGACCGACATTTATTTGGCCTAAAGAAGATGGTTCGTGATGGCGAGTCTGTCCCAGCTATCTATTCGGACCCAGCGTTTTCCAAGACGAATCATTGGGAATTGTCAACATCTCAACTTTCTTCCAAGTATCTAGATGGGTGGGGCTACGGAGAAGGTAGATGTTGTCGTTGAGAGTGTTTTTGCGAATCGAAGCTGATGATTATCACACGCAGTTGTCACGGACGGTTATGGACTTTCGTATTCCATCGATGATCATTACATCCGGTGGACCATCACATCACTTTTACGAAATACTGCCGAACTGAAACACTACCTCGCGGAGGCTGCAACGGAGACGAGGTTCATGATGGAGAGAGTTGCTGCCGCTGAGCAGAAGGGGAAGTTGTGATCAAGTCACTGTTAGCACAATGGATGTGTGTTATTTAATGGCATAATTTGTTTATGATAGTTTATGATCAGGGATGGATCTTTCGCTTGCGTAGGTTAGTAGGCTTGTGTGTCCGGGGGGTGAGAAGAAGATGGGATACCTTCCTTTTATTTCCACATCTTGCAATTGGAGAATCTTGCGTGCGGTCGCAAGGGGATCTCCGAAACCCGATTTCTACGGAACGAAGGAGCTCCTTTTAATCATATTATTTCCTATGATTTGATTCCTGCGGCACAGCGTTGACAGTGAAGTTGAAAGGGTACTACGGGTACCGCCGCACTACCCTGGCTACGGAAAGTCCGGCACTGGCAATACCGACGGCGTGGGTGGGCACCGTCGGCGCGGGCAGCCTATCACATACGCTGCAATAATAGTCTGTTGAGCCCCATGCCCCATCAAGTCTGATGACTGGCTCCGCATTGAAGCTAAGCAAAAACCGCTCCAGCGCCTTTCGTCTAGACTGTAGCGGCTCGACGGACAATTGGTGACTTTCCCAGGCGACGACGGATTTTGCCTAGCGCTGAGGCCTTTGAAGCACCGCGAGCGCCTAAGAAAGACCCTGGAAGTCATGCGGCCGGCTGATTCCGCGAACAGCTTTGTTCGAACCGTAAATCATCTCGCCCGTTTCGGCAGTTTGTGAACAAAGGAATGGGTGCGGCACAAATATTTGCAATATTAATGTTCTGGATTCAAACTTTGTACGAGTGGAACCTTGGTAGTACAAGCTAAGGTTTGTGCACGTTACATCACTATCCCACTCACTCAGCATCGTCCTGTGAGTATCAACTCCATCTTCCTTGTCTTTCGGAGTAAATACCAGCGGCAGTTTGGCTAAATTTTGATGCGGGACTTACGGACTGCGAAGTAACCGTGAGTCCTTTTTTGATCAGGCAGTATAAGCAGGAAACCGGACGAGTAGAATCGTGATAAGACTACCTTTACTCCGAGTCGTCAGGATTATGCCCCAATTGTATTGGTATCACCAACGTGGTTTTTTTGACCATTTCGGGTCGTTGGAAATTTGGCGGCCTTGTATTTGCTGGCAGTTCCTCCGTAGTTTCATCAGTCCGTATGAGTTCAAGCATCATTCTCGATGTTGAGACTGGTTGTGACATCCGGTTTGTGGCGTAGACGATTACTGACTATCTAGAATATCTAACTAAATCGCATCATGGGAGCCTTTGTGTCTGTTCAAACCCGCCGGAGAATCCGACTACTGAAGCCAAGGGATTCGAAGTGGAGTTGAACGGCGAGAACTCAGATGAAGATAGTAAGTCAGGAGACTCGTGGTTCATTGATGCCGTAACCTACAGTCACGGTGCTACATATATCTATCCATTGAAACAATGAGTCCGTTCAACTCGGGGTCTCTTTTAAGCCGCGCAAACTCGTACACAAACGTCGATATCCAACACTGATAACATGCTCGCAGACGGTAGTGAGCATAGACAGACACCCACAAGGGGTCTCGCTGATGTGAGCACTGACACTCGTGCCTCCAAGCGGGCTCGCAACACATTTGATTCCCCTTTGGCCGCGTCTGGTGCCCCTGAAGAATTTGCTCCAACACCCAGGAAAACACATAACAAGAAGCAGCCTCTGTCCTGTGCAGAGTGCCGAAGGTGCGTTTCAATCCCTCTGGCCTCAAAGCTTTGACCATAAACCCATCCTGAAGATTAAAGCTGAAAGTGTGACCATTTTTCCCTCCCACTTTTGCACATTCTAAAGCTGAATGCGCTAGTGCGATCGTGTCTTTCCATGTCAATCATGCTCAAAACGAGGCTGCGCTGAAATATGTCCAGACGGTATTTACCATCACTATACTTTTGAGCGTTCAATCTGACCGTGTCTTGTATACAGGTGCTCTCACCTCTGGAAAGGGCAGCAGGTTAGTAGCGGGGTCTCTGGCGAATCCTTCCACTAATGATCGATCAAGGTTCATTCTTGCCAACACCGAGCAACTTCATGCAAAAATCATTCAGATGAGCGATCGCATACGACAACTTGAAGACGCCTTGGAGAACGTGCAAGCAAAATGTTCATCCGACCCTCATCCCCTCTTGCACCAAGATTCCCTACGTATTAAAAATTCGCTGGAGCTCTATAGCTCTCACGCGACCAGTGGACGACATACCCAGATGGATGGGACAATCAAAGAAAATCACTCAAGCAATTCCCAACTCCCTGTCGCCTCATCTTCAACACGAGACGCAGACAAGGTTCAGGATAGCCGATCTGAGGTAATCTGCTTGGCGCCCAGTTTGCAGGGTGGATGCTGATTGACTTTCTAGGAGAGGTATTCACCGGCAGAAGCTTTTACTTCAGATGTTCCTGGATTGTCTCCCGAAATCGAAAAACTCAGCCAAACATTTCCTTATCCTTGGTTGCCCAATAATCCCATGAGGCAGCGGATCCACGAGATGTTGCCATCTCGGGAAGAGGCGGATTACCTTTGTACGCAAGCTCGATTGAACGCTCTATGGCAGTGAGTTTTCTCGTTACTGTCCTATCCCGATGTATTTATGGCGTACATGCAAGGTATAACCTCGATACAAGCGAAACTTGGCTTCCGAATCTAGTTCATCACGTATACACCACGCCAATGTCAAGCCTTTCTTTCCGCCGCCTCTCTCTGTTGTTCATCATGATGGCTATTGGGCTACTCGTTGATCTTAATCAACCAAATGAGTCTCCGAGAGCTGAAGTATTCCATCGCCTGGCACGAGCCTCCTTATGTGAGACAAATCTGATGGACGAACCTAGTTTAGATCTTCTACAGACTTTGGTGTGTTGGTCACATTATCCGACATGCGGTTGTGCTGACGAGAAGGTAGTTTTACATGATTTGGTACCTTCTGATTTTTTCAGACAAGAGTCAAGCTGTATCGTATGCATGGAGCATCATGGGTCTTGCTGTGAAGCTTGCTCAAAGCGTGGGTCTTGCCCAAATAGTAACTCTCCACTCGCCTAAAACATATATTGTTCCAGTTAGGTCTCCGTACGTCGGACATCCATTACCGCCCTGAGATTTCCTCAACATGGATTTTCATTCATTTTCATAGACCGCGACGGCAATAGATGGAAGGTAATTCCCGAAGAGGCTCAGCGGCGGCGAATGCTGTTCTGGGAACTTCTGAATTTAGATGCACGCCTGGTTAGTTCTGATTTTCAACTGATTGCACATGTGACATGCGTACTGAACCTCGAGTCCCAGTCTTTATCTCTTGGTCGGCCACCGTCACTTTGCTTACAACATGTCGATTGTCGCCGACCATCCTATACTTCAGAGGAGATGTACATCGTGTCGGAAGCTCAGTCATGTTGGCTAATTTATCCATTTACCTTCATACCAGAACTGATTATTCCACAGATCATGAGTGGAAACACGGATTCTTCCTGCAATGTCTCACACCAGTCATAGTAACCACGATATCTGCACAACCACAACCATATTCTAGCATTCTAGATGTCGATAAGAAAATCCGGGACTTCCACATCCCTCCAACACTCAACATATTCAACTCAGAGGGCATCACGGATATCCGACAATTGACTATGCAACAAGTACTAGTAGCTAGCGGGCGAGAAATAGGTGAGTTTTTATCGCAAAGGTTGTGTGCCTGCGCGCTAAAGCTGGACACCCAAAAGTCCTCCTGCAGCTTCATAGAAATTTTTTTACTGAGGCACTGAGTGACTTTGATGCTTTCACGTATCGACACAAATACGCGCCGTCAGTTCTTGCAACATTCCTTAGCGCCTCCCGCCTTGTTGCCGCGTTAGAAACCATGCTGCGTCGTGAGCCACAGCTGAGTAAGCGGTTCATGTGTTTCTGGTTTAATGCATTCTCTGGCGCGGTGAGTGATTTCTGAAGCTAGTGATTTGTTACATCTTGACTGGGTGTTTTGATCCAGGTTGCATTATCATTGATTGTTTCCAGAACGCCTTTCCTAAGTCTAGCGCCATTTGCGTTGAAGGAGTTGGACACTATTTACCGCATTTTCGCGAACGTGGCTGAGGAATGCTCACAGGTCGCTCAGGCGCTGGTTAGTGCTGAAGATGACTTTTGGGAGATCATTACTGAACAGGAATATAGCCTCTACTCACTAAAATCGCAGAGAAGTCACGTCGGACGTACGCCCAGTGGCTCAAAACGTCCAGAGATAGCTCGACCATGGATACCGACCTTGCATCTCAAGAATCACCAGTCAGATCAGCTGCGTGCAGCATTTCAGGGGATTGGCCAGATTCTTTTGACGCTGCACACTCGTTCCTACAAAAAACGCTGCAGGATATTGAGACGACTGCTCCACCGACCATTCAGGAGCTTCCTACTTACTCGCCTCGGCACCAAAATCTAGTCACAAACTCACAGGTGGATCACGCAGGGCAACCTGAAGAGCTGTCTACAGACATGCTTTCACTTGATTTGGGTTTGAATGAGGATTTGGTTGCTGCAACTTTGAGACACAGTGCAGACCCCTCACCCCCTGCAGGCCATACAGTCCAGAGGGTAGGGAATCACACATTTAACTTCGATTTTGGTGCACTGGCGTCAAACGTCGAGAGCCAGAACAACACATATATGTCATGGTTTTGATGGTTTGTATTCGAGTAATAAGTACACGACTTAGATGAATCATCACAAACTCCCACGATTGGAATCGCAAACACATGCTTATGTAATATTGCATTTGGGCTTGCTTGCCTTCAGACCACGTACTGCTGCTCAGTGCTATAGCTAGATCTTCTCGCTGGATCCCTTCCTGAAACTGTTCACCACGTTGATATTCCAGCAAGTTTGGCTCTTGAGATATGTCCCGGATACGGGAAGTATGGGCGCCAAATCTTGAGGCAGAAATGCGGAACATACGAGACCTGATCGACGAATACCCTTACGTTGCAATTGTGCGGCGCGTAGTCTGATGTTTCTTGCAGATGGATGCTCACTATGAAGTAGGACACAGAATTCCCGGGCGTAGTTGCACGACCAATAGGGACTTTCAAAACATCTTCAGACTATCACTACCAAACAATGCGATGTAATGTCGACCTGCTCAAGCTAATACAAGCCGGTATCACACTCGCGGATGAAGAGGGTAACTTCCCCCAGGATGTCACAACTTGGCAATTCAATTTCAAGTTCAGCATAAGGTGCGTTTTAGAAGCCAAAATTGTCGGGTATCGCATGTTAAGAATGAAATCATAGTGAAGATATGTATGCGCCAGAGTCAATCGACCTGTTACAGAAGTCAGGGCTTGATTTCCAGCGTCACGAGGAGATGGGAATATTGCCGTATGACTTTGCTGAACTCTTGATCACATCGGGTCTGGTCCTTGCGCCCGAGGCCAAATGGATATCGTTTCATAGGTAAGTCATACAATGTTCTCTGACAAGTAAGGGCGCCAAGTACTCTTGAAGCTCTATCGTTCAGTTCCGTTTATGAAAGCCTCTTTTCTACATTCACCTCACTTACGTATATCTTCCATATTCTAGCGGCTATGACTTCGGTTACCTGGTCAGGCTTTTGACTGCGATGTCCTTGCCGACCTCAGAAGAACAATTCTTTGAATGGCTGCGCACTTGGTTCCCTTATTGCTATGACATCAAGTTCATGATGCGTGCCTCCAAGTCCCTCAAAGGAGGACTACAGGAAGTCGCGGATGATCTTGGTGTGCGTGATTCTCCTGTGGTTAGTTGATCACCAGTTAATTACTGATCCCTACAGGTGATGCGCATAGGAACATCACATCAAGCCGGATCAGATTCCCTTCTTACTGCATCCACCTTCTTCAAAATGCGAGAACTCTACTTCAATGATCAAATAGACGACGCCGAATATAACTGTAAACTGTATGGTCTAGGGCAGACCTTCGCAGTATCCAACGGCATCACTGATACCGGTCGAGGTGGAGCTACCATTGCCGAACGAGAGGACAGGGGAATACCAAGGGATTCACAAAACCAGACTCCTGCCTTGTCCGCCCCCCAGAACCAGGGTGTGATAATGGGTATGGGCGTGCCTTTACCTACTCCAGCACTAGGCGGTGCCCTGCCTGCGCCACTACCATCTGGCACACCATATGGGCCTATGGGAGCAAATGGCCCATTCATACGAACGGCAATTGGAGTAGGGGGGAGATAGCCTGCATTTCGTTTTCTCCTTTTTCGTAGGACTGTTTTATGTAATTATTTCACTTCATTGGTTTCTCCCTGTTCAAATCTTTCGATAAATTGTCACTCATTCGGCATGCCAACGGGTTTACATCGACAGGCAGGTGAGTACTTCACTCATCCGCTCGAACTTACGATTATCATCGGGTCTACAGTAAGAGCTACTCGCAAGCTTGTCAATGATATAGATGATACTACTAAGTATAGTGCGTCATCTGCTGCGTCCCCGCTGTTCTACCCGGCGAGCATGGATTGTATCTACGCGTTAGCGAGTGTTACCTGATAGGGTACAGACTCCAGCGTCTCTGACGCCCTATACTGTCCGCGCAGCGGTCTCCCAGTTGTGAGTGGTATCATTGACCTCGCTAGAGCTTTTGGACGGCATAAGCGGCATTGCGACACAATTGTCATGCTGCCAGTGCTTTGTCCATGGTGAGATGAGTGGGGTTCGCTGAAGGGGCTGTACAATAATCCCCTTCCCATGGATCGACGTCGCAGTCATCCATCGCAAGAGTACACAACCAACCTCGTCATTATCAAACGAGGGTCAGCAAGTGCACTCGTAGCGTGGAGCTACGACGCCGATGCAGGTGAAAGAATAAGTGAAACGACCCCCGAGCTCACAGTGTCTCGGAATTCAGGTGTGTGGCAGAGAAAAGCAGTGGTTGGGAGTGTTGAAGATGGTCAACGACAACAGGTGAGTTCTTATACAAATCTGAGCGGCACAGGTCTCCCGTGTATCCACCAATTTTTTATGAACCTCGATCAGATAAGTCATTGCAGCTTCCATGTGCTCCAGGTGGAAGCAATGTCATGGAACTCATCTGAAATGTGAGAAACACAAATCGCCACCGAGGTACAGTGCCCATGAACATGCTCCATCTCACCGCGGAGTCAAATTGCATCCTGACTTAGGAACATCCAAACTCCTTATTGGTGCCCTAATTTTCTTTGTGAAGCACATGACCTTTCTATGTGTGGAATGTACGTCTTCCGTCTCCGGAATTCCATCCTTTGACGCATTCATGCAGAGACAGTTCTCCGCAATCACCACTGTTGAGATGATGCTTATTCGGACTCCAACATCAGTCTCTGAGCCAATTTATCCTGCTGAGGGAAGGCAAAGATGCAGAATTGACAGCTCATTTGGAAGATGGGCTTTCAAAGGAGCAAGTGGCGTATTTCAGGGTACTTGCTGATTTCAACATCTTCAACCAGACCCATCTGTCCAGATGCGTTAATGTCCGGTTAAGTCATCGAAATCGACAGCTTGCTCCTGATGCCAGGGCTTTGGTAACTATTGTTTGTTTAGGCTTATTCCTCTGATGGGGAACGGTCGGCCGCAGGCAATTCTTTTTTAGTCCCAATGCTTGTCTATTAACAGAAAAATAATCCTTCCGCACTAGGCTTAAGAGGGCTCGAGTTGTCCCCCTGAGAAGTTCTAGAATAATTTTTTGATTGCGCACTTCCAGCATGCAGGCCTAGTCCTGTACCGTACTGTCAAATGACAAATTTGTCAAAACACCGTCTACCTATGATGGCTAGCCGAGATCACAGCTTACTGGCTGTATTCGTTGTAAATTGTGATGAGGACCGTAGACCACAGCTAAATTTGTATGAACTTCATGTTCGCTGGTGCATTGTGACGTACGATAGGGTCCATTGACGGCACACCTAGACCTCGGCTACGGCCGACCCATTCCGATCATACTCTTCCTACGAGATGCTGACTTGCCAGGCCTGTTCTATGTAAATCTGTATCACGAATAGCTGCTCTTTCAGAAATCACCATGTGCAATGGACACCTCAAAACTCCTCGATCGGTCTAATAATGGCACCTCCTGGTAAACTAAAGAACAAGAATGGCCTCGGAGAGGGCGGTCGCGATCAGGCAGGATCCCTTTATTAGAATGGAGAGATACAATATCGCCACGAAAAATAATACCTTAAATGAAGGAGGTGGTGTAGTTGGTTCTGAAATACGGAGATAGAAATTGGTGGTCATCATATGGTATGTATGTACCATTATTTTCCAATTTGGTTCCGACTACGGTACAGGGTGTTCGAAATCGTGATTAATCTATCGTCAACTAACGGCAGCGATAGAATCGTTGCGAAATAATCAAGCTAAATTCACCTGACACATGTTCAGCAACTTTATGTTCTGTGTTGACAACCAGGCCCACGTACATAATTACTGGGAAATATCCCCTTCTTCCCGTCTCTGGAAAACCCTAAAATTATAATCAGTCAGGCGGCATTGAAATGAAGGTCAGACCATCTGAATACCTTCCCACCAACCGTCTGCATAGTTTTGACCTCCGTTTGTTCCAGAGGACAGCTCAACAAGGTCCCCCTCATTTATCGTCAGCTCTCCTGGTTCTTGAGCTCGATAGTCGTAGAGAGCCCGTACTTTTTATCGGGTAAAAGTGAGAAATAACTGATCGTACGAGAAAATAGGCGGCACTCGTACCGTATATGCCTGACGCTTGCTGAGAATCTCGTTGAGAGGGTTCAGATTTTTCCAATGGCCATCCGCCTGCATCTTCCAAATAGGTCGCAGGGACCAACCCTTTCTCACCATCGGAGTCGGCCACCTTTACCCATCCGGAACCATCGTCTTCCTCCACCACACGCACCACAGTACCCTCTTGTAACCATATCAGCACGTGCAAGATGGGGATATGTCGCCACACAGACCTGTCACATTCAATTCGAAGGATGAGGACGCCGCGAAGTCGAAGATAGCACGAGCCAATCGATGCGTTTCTTCCACATGAAGTAATGTATTGTGTGGCACAGAAGATGATGGTATTGGAGTTTTTCTGGAGCTGGTGGATACTGATGCTGCGGATAGTTTGTGAGTCCTGTTATAGAACTTATCAATCACCTACATCTACTCTCCGATATAGACACGGCAGAAGAGGGAGACTGCAGAATTTCCGAGGCTTTGTAATTGCCGTGAACATTACTGCACTCCGCAGGTACCTAACGATGTCCGTAAGCGGCGTCCCTACATGGTTTAGATGGGAGAATGAAATTACATTTAACTCGCATTTAGAGTGCACAGATAAGCCACAACTTTTACAGGTCTTCCCCTGCTTACTTAGACCCCAGATCGATACCTAGGCAGTTATTGGTCAAATAGCACAGGCACGCATCCACCAGTTTCTTAATCATACCTTACAGTATCCGCATGTTGTAGGTATCGAAAAGGCCGAGCTCTTGAAAACGTGTGGGCTCGAACCTCCCTCGTCGCCTTACGCATCAATATTAACTGACATATGCTCCATGTTCGTCTAACATGTTACTTACCCCCCAAGACTTCCGCGATCATGTTGATTTCCGAGTTGAGGACACATGCTGAGGTCGAGAGGGCGGTGACCTCGTGGGCAGTGTCAAGGTAGCTCTGCATAGGAGTTAGTAAGGAACCCATACTCCACCCATAATGACTACGCACATTCATGGCGTCATCCATGTCTCCAGGTGTGTTATCAGTGGCGCAAGCTGTAAGCATGACATGATATTTCTCGGCGTCAGTCCCTGTGCACAAGATGGTGAGTGCAACCAGCAGTCCACGGGGCGAGATTCCACTCACGTTTTTTTCCAAGCACAGGGTTCAGTTCTCTCAATTTAGCTCGCGAGCGCGCGAGCTTATTTTGTAAGAGCACCTTGGGACCTGAATCAATACAAATATCTCCCTGCAATTTACACTTCTTAACACAGTGCACGTAACTCAAGTCAGTCAGGCCTACCGTATCGTAGTGGTTTGAACATGGTTCAAATACCCAGTCGTTGGGTAGGCTGAACGGATATATGTTGTATTCTGCGAAAAGCGCCTGATCCTTATCGGGTTGGACTTCAATCAAAGCGGCGATAACGGCTGTAAGACGGTCCTTCAAGATATTTTGGTGTGATAATTGGATATTCTGGGCCTCTCTCATGACACCAACGAAATCCATCACTAGACGAGTCTGTAATTCTTCTGCAGACAGTCAGCCGAATCATGTGCACAGTGGTAGCCGCTCACGGAAAGACTTGGCGTGATGTAAGGTTGTTCAGTATGTGCCAAATAGGATAATGTGACTTAACTTACATCTTCAAGACTTGGCAAGTCCTCGGTATAAAACTTCGTCTTCACACTGTTGGCGGTTGCAGTTGAAATAATATAAACACTGCTGGAAATTGGATAACATTCTATATGTTTTTTTTAGCACGTACTTCTTGCTATTGAGCATGTCGAGCCTCTGCAGATCATATTGTCTCGCTGAGCGCTCCGCGTGTCGATCGTGACCAGACTTCACAAGAATTTATGACCGTGAGAAGATTCTTGACGAGCTTCCTTACCTGCTTTTGACGATGAATTTCAACTTCGGCGCAATCGGCGTCATACTTTATGAATATGGTGGTTAGAATAGTTGCGTTATAGTGCCCAGGATCTCACTTTTTGCTTGCTCTGTATCATGATGGTTAAACGTGCAATATGGGACCAGCTCAAGACCTTGCCTTGATGCGTTCAGCATAGATCTTATCGCGTCCAGCAAGAATCGTGGAAAAGAACTGCATTTGCTACATATATCATCAGTATGCATAGGCATGATTTTGCACGATAATGTAACCTTTTTCTTGTAATCATCATTGCGGCGCTCAACAACCTTCAGAGATTCCGTAATTTGAGACCATGCCTCCGCTAGGTTGATATGGTCCTGAGCAGAGCTTGACATCGATGATAAGATCTCAGAATATGCATGATTCAGGGTGCTACCATCAAAAATATGAGTGCCCGGCCAAAACTGGGAAGAAATGACATGCTTCTGTTGTACCACACTTTCCGTGTAGGCAAGCTTGTCGTCTCCAAGGACTAGTAATAGTTCATTCTTGTTCTTCTTTTCGCTTGCTTTCTTCGCTAACTGCTTCAACTTTGTTGCATAATCGCGTTCTAACGCTGCTCTCTCGCGGTACAGTTCGCGTGCCTGTATGAGTCAAGCAGGTGAGTGGTCAGCTGTCCTAAATTTCGAATTTCGAAGACGCACATCGGCTAATAGACCAAGGTGGGCATCAAAAAGACTGGAGATACGATTTACCTGATCCTGATCGTGAAATAAGCATCAGCGATGAATGCCATGATTGACTGCGGATTCAGTAGGTTACAGGCAATAGTTGACCATAGCTGTTGGTTTGTTTCTGCATTTTCTTTCAAAACGTATGTCTGTTGAGTTTGCAATTCGAGCTTGAGTACTGAGTACTTGAGTGGTCAGGTGAAGAGCAAAAGTAGCGATTGCGGAACGGAACCTGACAGCCGAGTCTCATCTTGCCGGATATGTAGTAAGGGTCGAGACGCCTATGACTCGGATCACGGGCAGTGCTATAGCACAGCGTGTTGGAAAAACATCACCGTTGCACTGAACTCGCACATCGAATATATTCTAATAAAGTCATGACAGGGACAGGGCGGCTATCGTAAGTCGGGAACTGCATTTAATCGAGACACGATGCAGACAAGCGACTCTTGCCTACCTGCTGATTCATGCATGTCATCAGTTTCAAGTGAGCAGAAGTGAAATATGGGGCGGTGATTAAGTCAGATGATAATTACAGGACAAAAAACATAGAGATTATCGATCATTAAAGAACGACGAATGCAAGATTTGAGCTCGAAGCTTGAAGGGTCGCAATGTCTTATGTGTTCCAAGTCGCCAAATATGCATGTAGTACGCTGGTAAGGGAACGTCGCCTTTACATCGATGCCACTACGGGAGAATATTCCGAGCCACGAGTTTCTCATCAGAAATTGACGTGCCAAGGATATGTCAGGCTCGCTAATGATTCCGCTGACTGTGGCAGTTTTCATCGGTCCGTGAGGCACGCATGCATTGCTCAGCCGTTACGCGTAAATGGCAACACCCCAATTGACTGGCGGGCTGAGCGCAGCACGTCAAGCACTAACCGGGTGGACTCGTATTTTCTGAGCGTCGATAGAGAGGGTTTCGAGAAGCGAGAAAATGTCGGTACCAGATGAAACTCTACCGATACTCATTCCTGAACCAGCTATTAGGCATCAATATTTGCTAGCCCGCAGAGACAGGAATCTCCTGGAGGCGTAGAGTTTTTGTAGTACGAAGGACGGCGACGGCACCGAGGAATTGTCATGTGCCCGCATCGCTTATTGGAAAGCAATCCCCGCGGTGAGAGTTCGGTATGTCGGAAGCCGAGAGAACGACAGAGTCGGACAGACATATTGCTAGTGCTGAGAAACGAAGTGGACAAGAAACAACACGAGGTGCGGGGAAGTTGGCGCGGAAACAAGACGGCCGGAGTGGAAACTAAAAATTACTAGGTGCGTGGGATACAAAATGACTACTTCACTTGAAGCAACATTCAAGTCAAATCTTTCTTAAAATTTTGGGTTACGAGTTCCAGATCAGCTATATTCAAATTGTAAGTAATAGCCCTCATAACATTATCCAAGGGTATACACCTTAGCCGGACGGCATTACTTCTGTTGTGTGTGATTTCGCAAGTGTACCTGTGTTCAAACTTGCCGTAATTTTCGGTTTGCCCTCGACTCGGAGACAATAATATGTCCTCAGGACTTCCGATGTACGTTCTTTGATGAGGTACGTATCCGCGTACCCTCTTTTTCTTTCCTAGACAACGCGACTCCAGTGCGGGGACAATCTATAACTGGCACAGCAATAAAATTTCCCGAAGAGCATGTCTGATGTGAGGTAAAAGCCTGTCTCCAGGTATATAAAGGCCTGTGGATTGTATATCGAAGTAAGTGCAAGTAGAGTGCTCCATCCCCCTAACGTCGTTTTCACGCATTCGATATCTTGGCCCCTCACTAACTGCCAACATGTATAGACTAACGACTATCTTGATCACGCTATGCACGATTTTCCTCACCGTTCTGGCTGCGCCATTACGGATCGATAGAGCTACGACAGGATCACTTGAAAAGCGCACCACACACTCAGGCGAGGTGAATTGATCAGAGATAGTTGTTGGCTGATTGCTAATTGCTTTAACAAAGGGTACTTGGTTTGAAGTTGGCACAGGAGCCTGCGGATATACGGATACAGATAGTGATCCTATAGTTGCTATTTCTGCCGAGATATATGACAGTGGAGGAAACTGCAATCAGGTAGGCCCATCTCCCATTCCCGCAATGCGGACATTGGATGCTTATCGCTCGTAGTGGATTCACATCACCAACACCGACAACGGACAGAGCGCGTATGGGAAGACGCGTGACGAATGCGAGTCTTGTGGCTCAGGTAGCCTAGGTATGTTGTTATTTCAGGGTTTAACTTGTGCTGCACCCGTTAAATTCGTTTCGTAGACATGTCTCCTGGCCTGTTTGAAGAACTAAGCACACTCGACACCGGTGAAATCCCAATTTCATGGCACTTTATGAGTAAGGACTGGTCGCCTTAACTGCGCGCCCATCCTGTATTACAAATCTTACTTCGGATACACGATTTCCTTACGGTTTCCATCACGACTCTTTAGATTATAGACGACAAATCCTCCTGGTCAGGAAGGGGATCAAGATTCAGGATCTTTTGTATCATTTCATAACGGTGTTTCTGTCGCGCTCTATCACTTACAGTAAATGCAAGGCCCTAGGAGCCTAAGTATACCATTTTCTTGACCGCAGTATGCGCTCCGTGTTGTTTTTAGTAATTCTATTGGCATCTGATCTTATTAGTATTAGCACCCACATTGAATGGGTGGATTTATTTCGGTCGACTCTTGAACAACTTGCACGTTTGGAAGCCGCAAGAATCGACATCAAGGTTCAAATAAATCGCTAGGCTCCTCGTCCTGGTGACTCGAAGAGCCGAAGATAAATGTAGTAAGTATCATTGCATGCCGGTATCACCCCAAATGAAGACCTAATACACATAACATCGCAGGTTTTAAATCCCTTTGTCTAAGTAACTGTTGCGGTATATATATTAATCATAAATGTATGTAGAATCCTGTTCGTTGAATGTCACGTGACTCACGTCAGACTTTTGATCCACCATGATGCAGACCATGCCCGATCGCCGTGCCTTCGCGATATCGATGATGCTGATACTGGTTATTATCTGCACGCGTTATACGCGTGTAGACACAGCATCCGACCTGAAACTGACATCTTCCGTGAGCGTCGGAGACATCATCATGAAAATACGACATTACCGTGACCGCGTCCCTCCGCGACCACGGGGACTAGCACTCACCTTGAAGCCTTCGTGGGACTGTATGCGATTACGAATTTGTTATCAAAGATGTGGAACCTGATGGCACGTTCTCCAAGACTCATGCCTGGTAGCTTCTAGTTGATTTCGGGCCTTCACCGAGTCTTGCAATAATGGTTTGCCACCCCACCTACAAATCGCGATGCACCTCAGTTTGGTAGCATGGCAGCTATTTCTCTGAAAAGCACGGCATATTCAACAGATGCACATCGCGCCTTTTCCTTTCGTCCTCGACTCTCAAGTGGCCGAGGACAATTATAATCAAGGTACAAGTGGCCTGGGCTGGTGAAAGTTTGCGCCCCAAATTGTTCCAGCCTTCCGGAATATCAAGCGAAGAGCTGAATATATGGAGGTCACGGAAATGAGGCCGAAGATACCAAACTCGTCGGATATCCTGGAAGGTGCGCATCATCAGAAGTATCTGTCTGTCCGAGGCAGTCCTAGGCGCCCCTCGAATGATCAAATCCCGAACAGCAGGCATCCTCATTCCTCGAACGGTCTGGAGCCTGCTAGCGAATAACGTCGCTGCTGGTACTACATATGAAGGGCGTGCCATGCGGAGAGCAACATGCCCATCATCGTGAAATGAAGACCATACAGCATGCTAGTACTCGCATCAGTTTCTAACATGAGCCTCGCGTTCTCCTTCCCCCCCTTTCCTTCGACCCATCTGGAAAGCCCTCATACTAATAGCAGCGTTGCATTTCGCATCTAGTTTGCGACTTGGATCGTCGAGCAATCTGATAGACACTGTATGTTCGTTTCTAGATCCTCGAGTTATCAAACACTTGATAATCATCTGGCCCTTGTTCTCCACACGGCACGAAATTGTGCCCAATTCGACGCTCAGGTTAGGAGATTGCCGCTTTTTATACCCCTTGTAACCTTCCCTAGAATCAAATAGCGAAACAAGGGACCCGTTTTCCCCTCAATGAATCTAGAGCGTCTAATTTGGAATGCATGCAGCATTGATCATCCAGTAGTTTCCGCCACTGGTAGGTACCGCGACTCAACCAACAGGGGCTCTTTGAACAGGATTTATTACATCTAAATGAAAATCATGCACATGGTGTTCTGGTAGTGGCGAGGACTCGGAGTACTTCTAGACAGTTGATTTCTGAGTACAGAATCATAGAATACGAATAAAGTATATAGGTGCCCTAGATCCACCTTTGTCACCATGTCGTACAAATGGAAGCATCATGTCCGTCGCTCAGGTCCTTCACGATAGGGCCTGACTTCAGTTGGTGTTGGTAGTATACACTAAGTAGAGTTTGCAGAGCATATTTTTATTATTTCTTTCTATCATCGGTCACGGTCTATTCGTGATCAAGTTGCGTGTTCCTTCATACTTAACAAAAACTCGTGGAAGAAGCAGCGAAAAATATGACCACCCCTTGGACTTAGCTTCGAACGTACAAATCATCCAGCAGTGCACCTGTCTTGCGACTCAACCGACGAGCACTATTCCAGTAACCAAAAATTGCTACATTCATGTAAATCATGCACAGTGTTCCAATAACAGTGATATCGTGAGAATGCTAGAGTAGAGTGATTGAATGCCAGCCAAGTATGTGTCGTAGATCCATCCACCTTCGTCGTCAAAATCATACAATGAGTAAGTAAGAGTTCGTGAAACTGAGTCGCAATCATTATGGACATGTCATCTGATTCTCAGAAATGCTTCGCCAATCAAAGCTCATGGCGCCTACAGGATGTAGAGCAGCGATACCAAGGCGAGTATAATCGACGCGCCTGACGCATGGTTCCTCCATGCAGTACCCGTGAGTGTAGTTTGTGTTGGCGCTACAGTAGACGTGACAACTGAGGTTGTACCAGAACTTGAAGTAGGTTTAGACGCCCCAGTTGTAGGTGTTATGCCGGAAGTTGTTGGAGCCAAATTGACCGGAGTTGATGACGTGGTTCCCGAAAGAGCTTCAGTTGTAGGGGATGCACTGCTCGCAGGAGTGGCCGACTGATCTGAAGTTGAATATGTGGATGGCGCAGGAGCAGACGAAGATGAGCTGTCGTTGATGATGGTAAATTCTGGACTGGCGTTGCCAGAGTCCCCAAACACTTGATCAAAATTATTAGAACTACCTCTCCCGCAGATACCCACCACTTACAGACAACGATATAATCTTCTCGTGTCTCCACATCGGGGACGGTGATCAGAACTTGACCGTCCGTATAATTGATGTTCGTTGCAAGCGGTGAGCCTAAAAGTATGTCATTTAATCACGATAAAAGCATAATATTTCATAACATGGTTGACTCACTCAACATTAAGTTCTCGCTGTTGTTGTACATGTATCCCAAAACCAGCATCCCAACCGGATTGGTAACATTAGGAGATAAATCGTCAGTGCTCCTGCGGTAAATGTGTTATTCGAAGGTATCCAATCACACCTGGGTGTACATACTTACCAAGTTACCAGCTGCTTCTCTCCGACTTGCCATACAGTGTCCGCCGTTGGACTAGTGATGGGCGGATCTACTACATCCCTCAAGTTCAGTGGTAGTGAGAGTGCCAATGATATCAGAGATGAGATGGCGAATAAGAGGGTCGTGAGTGCAAACATCATGTTAAAATCTTAGCTCAAGGCAAGGACGAGTAACTGGAGCTGGAGGCCTGAGCGCTGAGCAGTTGCACCACATTGTTAAGACTGGTTGAACATGTTAATAACATAGCAGTCGTGGGAAAAACAGTTAGGTAAGCGATAGCCTTACATACCGTAGGGGGATAAATCTAATTACACATACATACACATGCATAGTTTTGCCTCAAGGGAAATTGAAATCAAAATGTAATTGGATGATTAGAAATTCTCACTTCGAATTTCGATACTGGAACAAGCTCTTAGCACATTTCGGCAGATGGCGAAGATGTCCTCGCGAAATGACACCATGCTGACCCAAATTTCGAGTTTGATCTGAAAAGGTAAGTTTTGAGTGCGGGAAAATGTGATGGGCAGTTGGCTGTTGCTGGGTGGTCTCTATTGTTGGAACTGTCTTGGTGAAGTCCAGCTGACATGTACAAGACCATGAGAAAGTTGCGTCTGTGCTCTCCACTGCTATGCTAAGGTCTGCCAGGCACTGTCATTGATGATGGGGAGCCTTGTGATACGTAATGTTCGACTTCCATGCACAGACCATTCAGAGGCTTCTGCATGGGACATAGCCTGCCTTGGTGGCCGAGTACAGAGTATAACCTCTTCAGGATCATGCATACCTCACGAAGAAGCTGCAGTTATCGAAGCCAATGGCGGGGTGCTAGTCCCTTCGTATGTTTGACTTTTAGCACAAATCAATTGCCAGGTTTGAAAACTTTCTATATCTAGGTTGTGCCACTCGCACATCCATCTCGACAAGTGTTTTATACTCGGTCAGTGTGACCCGTTGGTTACTGGGTACGTTACATTATATTTTTCTTCAAACAACATGATTGAAATGTTGACCTTGTCCAACTTGAAGGTCTTTACCTGAAGCTCTTAAAGTAACAAATAAAGCTAAAGCAGAATTTCCAAAGGATGTCGATAATCTTTACGCTAGGGCAACTTATCTCATCCGAGAGAGCGTGGAGTCTGGTGTTACTGCGATGCGAGCCTTCGTTGAGGTGGATACAACGGTTGGATTCACATGTCTAGATATGGGACTTCAGTTAGCGAAAGAATGGGCTGAGGTTTGTCATATCCAAATAGTTGGTCTGCCGCCTTGAGTTCCATTACTACATTTTTGGCGGCACTGATATCTGTTTTCAGCTTTTGCCCAAGAGGCACTCTACGAATTTGCGGACTCAACAGAACCCGGTCCAAATTACAATCTGCTTTGTGATGCAGCTTCTCGCCCAGACGTTTCTGTCGTTGGCTCTGCGCCTTGGGTTGAACCTGACCGCGCACATGCTCTCAAGAACATCGAACTCATATTGTCTCTCGCTGAAAAACACGACCTACATGCGGATTTTCACCTGGATTACAATCTCGATCCGGACGCCGTTCCGATGGTTTGGGATGTGTTGCAGCAGATGCGTCAGCGATCCTGGTGCAAAAGTAGTGGCAAGCGTGTGACTATTGGACATGCAACCAGGTTGGGACTCTTTTCGGGCGAAGAGTGGGCCGAATTAAAGCGCGCCACAGACATCTTACCGTTGGAGATTGTCGCACTACCGCAAAGTGATATCTACATGATGGGTCGTGCGGATCCTAGCGGGAGAGTTCCTGTCCCGCTCGCAGGGCGCACAATCAATGCGCCTCAGGTTTACCGCGATCACGGAGTCCGTGTTGCGCTTTCTGTGAATAACATCGAGAATGCCTTCACGCCCCAGGGGTCACTTGATCCCCTCACACTTGCTAGTCTTGGCGTCGCACTTTTTCAAGTGGGCACAGAACCAGACTGGAGAGTACTTTTGGTAAGTAAATTGGATGGAGTTAGCTCTGGCCATAATTTGACGATTGTCACAGCGATCGGTGTCCACAACATCTAAAGAAGCCATTGGTATCATGCACGGGGGCAGTGTTAGTGGAAAACCCGCGGATGAAGGCGATGGCATTGTCCCCCGTGTTGGTGATCCTGCTGATTTCGTTGTAGTACACGGGGCGCGTCGGTGGCAATCTGCAGTGCTGAGCCCGGGATTCGACCGCACAACATTTTACAAGGGCAATGTCGTAGCAAGACGAAGGGCTCAGAGGTGGAATGCAAATACGGGTGGAGAGATCACCTACTAGTTAGAATGGTTATATACACTTGCTTTAGGCCACACAGACTTCATTTGGAATCATGATACTCGGAAGGATGATTAATCTGATTCATGTCATGGTGACACCACCTCGTGAGTCGTCAGTAACCAAGCAACTGGATATAGATCATCAATAAGTACTCAGAAGCAAGTTGTATTCCTACAACTATATGAACTATATGAAGATAAGACACATATAGAAGTCCCCATTTACAAAAATCCGCTTTCTTGCAGCAATCGAGCCATCTTCTCGTCTTCTCTCTCGCGAGGTTCGCGTTCCAGACTGAGGTTCCAAAAATAATCGCCTACATCAACCTGCTCGCTGAACTTAGCAAGTGACTCCTCAAGGTAAGTTTGCACGCTCGTAATAAGATTGAAATTATGCGGGAATGTTTGCCAGCGCTGAATGTCTTGGATCACCTCCGAAGCTTTCTGTCGTTTTCGGAAGTTCACCAAGTTACCTGGAAGAGTGTCCTTGCTTCCATCTTGGATGAACGTCAGTGTAGTGAGGAAGACGCCTTTACATGTAAATGAATACATATGCAACAAAGAATCAAAGTAGAAAGCTCACCAATGAAAGGCACACAAGGGGGCGAAACTCTTGCAAGCGTCGAACGATAATTATTGAAGTTCTTGCCTGAATCGATGGTCATCTCGCATGTGTTGAGTTGAGTCATATGTCGCGCATTCACTTGCTCCCATGAGCGCTTGAGGCGCCTTATAGGAGGCGAATTCAGTCCAGATACTATAGCAACCATGCTTGAGTAATTGTGCATCGAGCGACATCGCTGAGGGAAGTAAGCATTGTGCGAATGAATTCCGTAGCAGACCACTTACATCAGCAACACTTATAAACTGCTTCAAGATAGCCGAACGCTTCCTGGAGTCCTCGTGGGTGAGAACTGAGTCAGCTACCCAGTTAGCAATCTGGTAAAGTTATGAGCATATGATGGCTATCGTGAGGGCCGGATCATACCCGATTGCTTGTCTGAATCACCCGAGCAATGTTATCATTGTGATCTGTCTTTTGCTCCCGCGAACGCTGTAGACATTCCACCGGTCGTATCTTCTGGTATAAGTAACTCTCCATAATTGTCAACTGCCGCGCCAATTCCAAGGGGTCTATGTCCAAAAGTTTCAACTTCTTATTGGGCTTGGGTAAGATCGAGGTAGGTGGACTGCCTAGAGTAGGAGTCAGGCCTTTCTTGACGTCTCCTCCACGCTGTGGTATCTGAGTCAGACAACCTAAACCATATCAACGGCGCTGAACTCACTGCGCGTTCAACAAGTGAAAGTAGTTGCTTTGCACCTCCAAACTTGCTAACATCCTCATTCTGCAAAAATTCTTTCATTCGATTCAGGATGTACATATCCTCTTTCTCAAGGAAATCTTCATCCGAAACCATGGCCTTGAGAGTATTTAGGACACTGAAAATCACATTAGGTATAGTGCGGAAGAATCAACAATGACGCACCGCATCTGAATGACATGTTGCTTGAGCTTTCTCCACTCCTCCAACTCAGTGGGACTCAGACCTTCCGGGGTTTGGATGCGGAAGCGGCGGACGAGGTGGTCGAAAAATTCATCAAGGGTAGTGAATGACTTGTACGTCATCAAGAATGTTTTGATGAACGTAGGGTCTATAATGTCCCCATACTGAATATGATACCGTAGGCAGATAGATCACGAAGCACCCGTACCTGAAGGATCATGTGACGTGAGACGTTCGACCAAAGCTGGAACAGTTCCTGCTCGAATGCTTCCATCTACATCGATAGTCATGTCACTCTTCGTGTAGTCGGGTCGCAGATACCAAGGCTTTGTGCTGATGATGTGCTCAGGAGCGTCATCGCCAAAGATTTTCTTGATTTTCGTTGCTGTTCTCGTGGTCGCAGCTGTACATATCATAAGCCGAGAAAGGGAGGGAATATACAAGTGTCGCTTACAGTCATCGTCAAGCACTGAAGCCGAGTCGCTCATAGACAGGACATCCTGCGGTTTATCAAATGTCGAAGGGATCAGGGTGTGTACAGACATAGTGGGGTCGTAGCTCGAAGCCGCCGACTTAAGTGACCGATCGGTAAGCGTAATGGTGGCATCAGACAATTGGGATTGGCTTCGGAATGGCGCGCGGTCGCCGAGATTGACCACCGACTTTTTCATTCCAGACGCACCGAAAGCAACTGCGATGTCAACAATGTCCTCGCTCTCTGGGTCTGCTGGGTCAAGGACCGACATGGGACGGGCGTCAAAGTTGCAGTCGATGATGCTTAAACGTGACATGCGCCACTCTATTGCACCTGTGTATTCCCCTTGTGCCATGTCTGCTTGATCGTGGCCAAGAGAAAGTAGGGTATCAAGGGTTTGCATGAGAAATTGGAGATTTGACTTGAGGGAGACGGAGATGGCGTCTAGGTACTCGCACTGGAAGTCACGATCTTGTCGCGAGACTCTGTAAGTGAGACGACGAACTCGCTGTATCGTGAGAAGCAGTGTGGCTGCGTCATCGTATAGAGCTTGTACTACTGCTTCGAGCGTGCGTGCGAGTAAGCGAGCTTTGTCCACGGTTTGAGCGTACAGAGCTGCACGTTCAGCATCCGCCACATTGGAATAGAAACCATCGATATCGACGTGACGGGCGATGTGGATATTGGCAACGAATAGGAGGAGTGATGAAAGGCTAGAAAGAAGCTCACGACCTGTAATCCATACTCGTTGCTCTGAAAATATATCAACAGATAGATCACAGCACAGATACTGACACACTCACGAGGTTCATCGCCAATAGTCTTGAGTGCGGTGTGGAATGTTCCGAATCTGGCCTGCATTGATACCATGTGCGTCTTGAACTCAGAGAAAACATCGCCATCTAAAATTCGCTGAGGGGCTTCATCATCATCATCCAGCGGTACCCAGCCAAAACCCCTCCAAGACCCTGCATACCCCGCACCGACTAGCCCTACCCCAAGGTAGACTGCGGAGAAGCAACCCAGAACTCGTTTTGCTCCTACGCCACCAAGTCGTTCGTTTTGGCACCGCTGAACTTCAACAACGAATGTCACGATGGCACGATCAAGCTCTGCCGCGTCACTTTCAACACGGGATGCCGTATCATGTGCCGCAGGACCTGAGTCATACTCCATGGCTCGAGCAGAAAGAACAAGCTTGGATAATGTGGCAGTTACTTTCCGTTGAGCTGGTTTCAAAAGCGTCTGTGATGCAGTCGTCTCGCGACGTCCACGGATACCGCGTGGTATAAGGTTGTTGGGTATGTGACCAGGAGGTGCAGATATGTAAAGTAGATTGCGGACGGTGATGACAACAGCCCTGATGAGGCTATCAAGGACCTGTCCGTGTTCTGCTCTTCGAGATATGCCGATTAAAGACTTGTTTTTCTGGACAACGGCAGAGATGGCGTTGTGTGCGACATTAGATAGATCGGAAATAAGGTCCGGGAGTGGTGGTGCTAATGATTGCTGGAGTGATTGGGCAATTTTCTCAGCCGCGGTAAGCTCAACGGAAGACTTTCTAAGAGCTAATTGGTCCGCAAAAAGATCCTGACCACTTTGAGAGCGCCCACTGGTTGATGGTGAATCACCGTGGTCTGGAGAGTAGAGGCAGGAATCTTCAGAATCACTGACATGCTCCGGCTTGCTGTGACTCCGGTCCTGCCCATGTCGGGTTTGGGATGTCGTTGAATCAGATCGAAATCGCGTTTGCACCGAATCCTCATCCAGACTATTGGATAAATCTGACGAGGTAGTGGAGGAGCTGGTGAGGGCACGAGTCCTGCCATTCTGTACAGCAGCTTCCGTTTCTGGGATTGTCCAGCTCACTTGACCAGTGAGCTTATTCCAGTAATAGTAAGACATGCCATCATCGGCAAGTCGTCTCACCCAAGGCTCAGGCGTCCCAGAGCGCTTGAGAACACCAAAACCCGGGATGGAAGATTCCATCGAGGCGCTGAATCCTAGCCCTGCGCTTGTGCCTGACCGCGAACTTGGTGGAGAGGAAGCTAGTCCAGCAAGTTCATCAGCGGATACATCATCGCCTTCGATGGGCAAATCTCGCGAAATTTGGCCTGTCTGCGTGTTAACATAGTAAATCTGGAGAAGAGGATATTGGTGTGTAAGGAATCATAGCAAGCAAAATGCTCTGCTTACCTGACCATCCTGTGTAACTTGGGGCATCCAAAAATCGCTTGACAAAGTCGCGCTGTGTTCCGCAGCACTGCGGGATTCGTGAAGACCGTTGGATGGAATAGACGGGTCACGTTTATTTCGCGACCATTCACTGTCTGATAAGTGGGGGTCCTGTGTCCGGGAATGAAAGTCATTCGAATGAGTACCGCGAGCTACTTCATGGGTTTGCTGGAAAGGTCCTTGTTGAGTTGTAACGTCATGGTTGGAAAGAGCGATCTCTGCCTCCTCATCAGATAACACTACTACATAATTCGACGGAAACCATCCCCGTTCATCGCCAAGGAGTCCGTCCCACCAGCCTGACTCGAGCTGGGTGAGAACCTCGATGATTTCATTCTTGTGGAAGGAGAGAGAGGAAGCATCTTGTGTCTGGTAGTCATATAGAGCTCGACAGAAGAATGTGGACATATATTGCTCCTCCGGAAGCTGTGAGATCTGCTGTTCCTGTTCGACAGTAATCGTGGTGGATTGTGAGGGATAACAGTTGACACCATTGTACATGGCGAGGCCGATTGCAGCCATATAACAGCTGACGTAGAATAGATAACCTCAAGTAGAACGAATTCTGATGGATTGGCGGAAGCGGAGAGAAGTCAACTCAGCTAGCTAAGATGAGCCGTATGCCCTCACAACGGACTATTACGTAATAACACAGTTCATATCGCGTTACTTAGACCACGCAACTGACAGTAAAGTCTACCGATCTCACCGTTTCAGCGTTCTTTGCTTCTCCGCGAACTCCACTATTTTCCGGTCCACAAACATACCTTTTCGCTCTCGCACGCTATCCATGTAACCTTTTGCGATATTGTCTCGGTCTGCTTTTTCACCCAGGTCTTCCAGCTCTTCCTCAGTCGTTGGTATCCAGAAGGGATCTTGATCAAGCAATTCGTATCTTGCGCTTCTTTTCAATGACCTGCGAACACCCAACAGGCGGTATCACTCACCCGCTGAAAATTAGCTGTGGACTTGCAGCACCAGATGTTCGTTTGCGTATCTCTGTATCATGGTATGAGACTACCCCATCGCAGCTTGCGAATTCAAGCTCACCGTCTGCGAAACCAAAACTCTCCACAACTGGAAGAAGAGCAGATACTGTGAAGAACGTAGTCCCCTCCTTCATCTCTTCAGCCACAATTCGACCACGTCGTTTTGCAACCACTCCATAGACTTTTCCAAGGACGTCCGCTGGAATGAACTCTAATTAATATAAGCTCCGGAACCGACCAGTGGATCACATACTTGAGGCTTGAATATCACACGAATATATAGCCAGCATAAGCCTAGGGGACCAGTCGAGCAGTCCATTCCTGCAGGCATCTCTTACCGCTGATATCACGGAGCCTGTCACTTGTGATAACCTATTTTGGACTGTTCAAAACGTTTAAACATATATCCTGAGGTCCACTTATAAAAACATACCGATCTCCTTTTGGACGCCGTCGGCATCAACGTCAATCGATTCAACAAAATAGGCCATCCCTTCGACAGGCTCAGCACACAATGGTCCTTGAAACATAGCTAGCTGGAAGCCTGTCTCAACGTAGCCCGTGAAATCAACATTATTGTTGGATGTGTTGGTGGGCTGAGCTAGAAGATTCCGTGAGAGGCGATGCCTCAGCCTGAATACAGCATCAGTGACACCGCAAGGAACCATAAGGCGACGCACGATAACGGTGTCATATCTTTACGATAGTCAATAAGAATACAGCCCCCAGCGTGATGGGGACCAAACGACCAGATTTTGTCGCAAATATCGACCCATTCCCCGCCAGCTTCGTTGCACTTCTCTTCCAGTGCATTCCAAAATTGGTCCGCTCTAACACTTGGAGTATGGAGCACATCGCCTTGGACACTAACCAATTCACTCTCAGAAACAATGTCGATACTGTTACTGGAGGTATCTCTGCTTGTTTGACCGTCCCTCTGCAATGCTCTGAGAGTCGTTAAATTATGCAGCAAGAATTGCAAGATGATACCGGGGACAGGCGCCGAGCGAATCGAAAAAGTGACCAAGTTCTGTGTGCTTGCACCCTTGATTGTTCCACGGGCAGCATTTGGAATTTTCGAGGGTGCCATATCTATCCTCAAAAGGTGAGTGACGAGACGATGCATTGCAGACTATGCATACCTTGGGCTTTCACAGCTGTTTCGCGGAAAGGAACAATTGGTTTGGACGCTTGAATCTCCACACGAGCGAATCTCTCTCGCAAGTCTTTCAAACATCTCTGTGAATAGGGTGAACGAAAGTAGATGACAATGAACAATCAAATCATACCTCTAAGTGTAACTCTCCTGCAGTCAGAATCACATGTTCTCCAGTCTGTTGCTGGAATGTTTCAACGCAGGGATCAGCTTGAGCGAGGAGCTTCATCCCGGCAACAAGTTTTGGCATATCAGAAGGGACGACAGGTTCAAGCGCAACCCGCACTATAGGGGATACCTATGATAGAAATAATGGTCAGCAGTGAGATCCAAACACTCCTGGGACACTTGCCGTGCGAATAACACCACCGATGTTAATGAGACTATCATGCACCTGGACAGGATCTGCGCTCTCCGGAACGCCTGTGCTTTGTGGCGCACAAAGTGTGGCATTCCTGTACACTTTGCCTCCCAATCCCCTGATTGCAAAGGTGTTTCCTGCCCTGACACTGTCCACGGGGATAAGCTCCCGGCCCATCATCACGTACAATCCTTCAACTTTGGCCGGAATAAGATGCGCAACATTATGGGCGTGATTTGGAGGAAGGGAGGTATTGTACTTGGGCAGCACGCAGTATATGGTGGAGCCGGTGCTTATTGTCCCTGAATACAGTCGTGCAAAGCCGAGGATAATTTCAGACTCTTCAGAAACGTCTAACACCTCTCCTAGACTACGAGGTGATTCTGGGGCTGCACGGGGAGGGTCTGGAGTCCCTGAGACTAAAACGCTGTTATCTCGTGCTTCTTTGGCATCTCGCGCCCGCTGGCGTAACTCGTCCGCTGTCGCAACCCGTTTCTTGTTTTCCGGAAGTTCTTTGGCTGCAACAGCGAACATCTTGCTTACATATGCAACTACGACTGCGTTTGGCGCGAAGTTGGACGTGAAAAGATCCTGCTCTAACTTGTTTTTGGGTTGTATGTTTTTGTCGAATACGTTAGGATAAAGCATTTTGGGGATGCGAATCGCCTGGGCAACAGGAGGGGAAGGAACGACATCAATAGTCGCCTGAATGATGCACGTAGACAGCGAAAGCCACTGTGTAAAAATCGTGGACAGCAACTGCCGACTGTCTTTTGACCTCAAATCCCGAGGCAAAATCTTCAGATTAAGAGCTGTTACAATCTTGGTCACTTTATCTGTGTTCCTAGGAATTTGTTAGCATATCATGTGGTATCATATGAAAAGATGATTACGGGTTCATCACAACGGCATCATAGACCGCCCAGATGTTCTCCAACACAAATTGGACAAACAATGGCTTTAATGTGCGTCCGCGAAGATGTTTCTGACTGATAACTTTCTTGGTTTTGGGATCGAGATAGAAGTCGCCCCACAAAACGCGCCTTAGATTGGCTTCCTTGAAACCGAGCTTTGCAGAATATAGCTGGGCGAAGTTCCCGACTCTGAAACCCCAACAATCAATGGCAGACGCAAACACTACATTACCCCGCTCCGGCGCGAAGTAGATATCTTCGTCGTCTTTCTCCTTGAAGTCATCTGTGTCATTGATGGATGCTTCGGCTTCATCTGCAAGTTGTTCCTTCTTTTCAGCAAGACGTCGATCGCGCTCTTCCCTCCACCGGAGATCGTCCTCCATCAATTCACTTGCAAAAAAACTGCCCATAACAGCATTCACTTGTTCGATCAGCCGCGAAAGGTGCTGGTAAGCTTCGGTGGGCACCAGTTTCAGCTCCGTGATGAGTCTATCCATTTTGTTGATGACGAGGATCGGGCGGAGGTTATCCTGCCATGCCTGTCTAAGCACAGCAATAGTCTAGGCAACTGGGGTTAGATGTATTCTGTGTCATAGACAGACTTACCCACCTGCGTGCACACACCTTCGACGACATCAACAAGGACCAGTGCACCATCACATAACCGAGATGCCGTGGAAACTTCGCTCGAGAAATCGACGTGTCCCGGTGTATCAATCATATTGACGACATATGTCTTTGGGGACCTTTCTAGGCATGTTTATTACTATTCCTTGGCATATGCATCATGGTGAGATGTGTACCTTCGTCAGGTCGTCCCATGACCTGAAACTTGAGCGATACTGCGCTGCTTTCCATCGTGATCCCGCGCTCTTGTTCATCCTCTCTACTATCAAGAAACCTCAGCTTCCCCGCCATCCGATGAGAAATAATGTTGTTTGCCGCGAGAAGGGCATCCATCAGTGTAGTCTTTCCGTGATCGACATGCCCGAGAGTCGTGATTATTCGAACGTTAGCTGGGTCTGGGGCCTCCATCGATGTACCTGTTGATTCTATATGTACAGCTACGTGAGGAAGAAAGTGGGTGCGAAGCGCGTGTGGTCTCTCTAGAATTGATATGATCGCTTTAAAATACGAGTTATGACTTGCCCGGGCCGGTGAACCATCGGAAGCGAGTTTCCGGATAAGGAAATCGCGAAGCGCTCCAATGCCAAGTTGTCTTCCAAGCATATATGTAACAAACTGAGCTCCCTACACTAATAATTTCTTGAGGCTCTGCCTAACAGAGTCATCTAAACCCTTCCCGATCAATACCAACTTCCCTGAATCGGGAATACCTGTAACATCCCCTTCTACTAAGGATAGGTCATACATACTCTGCACGCCCTGTAGAACGTACTGCTCCCCGGATTCCATCACGAAAAGACCCTTACAACGAAGAACCTTGAGTTCAGATAGTCCAGTCTGATGGTAATTGTCCGGGATTCGGTTCTCCCACAGAACCGTACGTATCCACTCGTCTAGTTCTTGGAGACGATGGCGGGTTAACGTAGGAAGAGTAACCTGTAGACTAGATATACCACGCAATTCGTAGTGCTTAGAGGAGACGGTGTGTCCTGCGTGGTCATGGTTGTCATTGTCACCACGTGGGTGTTGTGCAGATTGCAACCCTTTTGCCCCCCCTGCGTATGCATTGATGTTCATTATATGCGCTAGATCGATTTGGCCGCGGATAGTTCGGTGAATTGGAGCGGAGGGATTGACCCTTTGTATGAGCTCTTCAATCGAGCGCAATTGCTCTTCCGATGTCAGGTCGACTTTGTTCAGCAAAATAACATCGGAGCATGCTATTTGTCTGGAGATGTTGTAAGTCGCGAACGAGATTCAAGATATGATTCACAATCACCTGAGGCTTTCTCCAACGCCGTCGACAGAATGATCTTCTTCCATTTGCTAGAGTATGATTTAGCGGAGAAACTTGCACAAATCAGAAAAGCGTCGATGTACCTGTTGACCAAAGACAGCGTCGACGACGCAAATGACGCCATCCAAGGAAATCTGTCGACCTAAACCAGTGGCATACTCTTCATTAAGCCAGAACATAGAAGCTATAGGGCCTAGGAGACACAAAAGTCATATGAAAAACATCGAGAACAAATCATGGACTGCCTACCAGGATCAGCAAGGCCAGTAGTTTCTAGTAGAATATGGTCAAAGGCGCCTTTCCTTTGCATAAGTTTCTCAATAGCAGCTACGCCAGCGTCTTTGATAGAACAGCATAGACATCCATTTGCCAACTCAAGGAGCTCCTGTGACTTCTCTGCTGTCGGGTCATCTTCCGAAGAGATATTAATGGTTTTAGCTATGCTTAATGTTAGCGAGGAAGTTCACATCGTCAGGATAGTAACAGAAACCTTCGATGCTCTTCCAACGGATGTTTAATAGACGTAATCATGAGAAAATTAAATCATTGCTCACTGATGTATCGCCAAATTCATTCATGATCACGGCTATTCGATACCCGTGATGCTCCGTTAGAATACGCCTAATGAATGATGAGGTAGGAGCATGGTGCGCGTGGTGTCGAGCATTTCGCGTACCTCAGCAGGGTGGATTTCCCCGCCCCAAGAAAGCCACTGATGATTGTGCATGGTACTCGACCAGTCGAGGCAGAATCAGGCATGAGCTGTTTATCTTCGTGCTCGATCAATGTCCTTGTAAGCAAGAACATTAGCAATGCAGACGAGCGACAGACTAAAACATACCGCGAACATACGGTATGTCATCATCGAAGTCCATGACTTTGATCTTGAATGCTATAAATTTGGAACTCGCTTCAAGTGACTGATTTCATGTATTGAGAAAAGTGAACGACCATATATACGGAGATGTGGCTCACTGGTCGGGCGGATCAATGGACTCAGGTTGTAGAACGAAGACGGGAGCAAAGCTTCAAGTTGCCGCCGGCGATGGGATGGTGACGATACTGCTTCCGAACATTATGGAATACTATAACATTACTCTCGGTAGCTTGTTCTTGCTCTCCGTTTTATGGCACACTAGTACTCATTGATGCACATGTCTTTCCCATCCACTATGTCAACTCCTTCAAACAGCGTGTTTCCGCTCACAGATGAATCCCTCAAAAACCTGATACAGGGTCCAGGAGATGTGGAATGGAGGTATGCGCCGCACACATTCCTGCGCCACGGCTATGAATGCGCTCCATTTACCAGGTATGAAATGCGTCGGGAATGTCAAGAGATCATTCCTGGCCTTCTACTAGGCCCTTTCCAAGCGTCAAAGTCGCTCGAGGTGCTCAATTCGCTTGGCGTCACTCACATGTGAGGTTCAAACCCTCTTTGAATCGACGACCCAACTGATTAATCAATGCGTCTCTTATTTTATCCCTTGAAATTATATCCAAAGACTTTGTATACGTGATAAGAAGGAAGCATTCTCCGTGAAACCACGTTTCCCAGAACGTTTCGAGTACCTTGTGTTGGACGTGGAGGATAACGAAGACCAAAATGTCATTCGTCTGTTCCCGGAGTGCGTATTTGCTGCACGATATTCCATGAACATGCTAACAGTCACCCAGAGCTCACAATTTTATTACTGAATCATTGAATAGAAAGGGCACTGTTCTAGTTCACTGCAACGGTGCGCTCTGCGCTTGATTGTTTGCAGCGCCAACTCAGTCCACTTACGATACAGGCGGGATTTCCCTTTCACCTGCCTTTGTTGTCATGTTCGTCATGCAGCGTTGTCAATTGTCATGGGAGGATGCTCTTCACCTTGTTCAAAATCGTCGCTACTGTATTTCGCCAAATGGTGGTTTTTTGACACAGATCAAGGTGTGTTTTGTGTCCCCGTGCTTGGCCGGCTTTGCATTCCTGTGCCTCGAGCCTTTATCTTGCACTGCAACGAATCCTTATATGAGGAGTTTTATGTTCTTATGTTGTGCTCCAGGAATACGAGTCGATATACAAGGCATCCGTCGCTGTTGCTGGATTTCCACAAGGGCAGATGCAAAGAGTTGTCTCCCGGAGGAAGAGAGATGACGATGACGATGAGGAGGATTTCAGGTGTGTCCATCTTTAGATTAATTCCCATTCTTTGTGTCCCTCAAGTTCAACAATCTATCAGAGAGGAAGACCGCAAAAGAGCATTAGTTGACGGAGAAGGGGACGACGCAATGGCAACAGATCTATGACCGTGCTTTCTTGGAGCTTTCTCCGTTTCCTCTAGTTCAATTCTGTTTAGTCTACCACTATTGTATACTCGTTTTAGAAGTATTTCGTATCCTGTCATGATGAATGGTATAAGTTCTGTTGGGGTCCGATATGACCCAGTTGTCAACTGGGTATGATCTATAGTGACTTGATCTTTGCCTTTTCTTTCTCCAGTAGAACACGCTTTGCGTGGACCTCTGAAGAAAGTAATCAGACATAAAACATCCGCAGCAACAAGGCCCTGACCTTTGCGTTTTACCCACGCCTCAACTGAGATGCCCCCAAACACAATGCCCGCGCCTGCCCACTGCCCGAGTGTGAGTCTGTGGTCATAAACTACTACAGAGAGAACCATGGTGAACATCTTTCTTGTCAACGTAATCATTCTGCGGATTTGTGATGAGCAAAGAGCGTAACAGAAACCCCAGAAAAGGATTACGAACACTAAAGTCAACGATCCAAAGTGCTGTAACGTCTCGAAGATGAACAGCTGCCCAAGAGCGCCAGTCAAGGAAAACTGGACTAGAGGTATGATAGCAGAAGGATGCGTCCTTATAAACCCAATTGCATTTGCAAATTCTGATTGTAAACCGCTCGAGGGGTGAAGCACAGGAATGTGCGGCAAGGGAAGCGTTCCAAGCGCCATAGTCAATAGCGTGCAGAATATATTGATCCAGAACATCATCTGTTGTCCGGTCACCTTGTACCGAGCGAACATCTCGTCTTGCGTCGAGTTCACCGCGCCATCGAGAATGAGGTTGATAACAAGGTAGAGAATGCCAATCAGCTGGCTATGAGACCCCTGCTCTCCATTGGATGAGGCTTTTGATGGCTTTTCATTCCCAAAGCCCATGAAGACACTGATTCCGGCTGTGACCATCGCGACTACGATATACTTGTGTGGAGCAAAGCGCCTCCTGTACATGACGAAATTCATGAGCATCACTGGGACGAGTTTGCAAGACTTCCCCAAGACCATTGTAGGATACGTTATGTACGAGAGGGCTGCGAAGCCAAATGGAGCGGCTAGCGTGATAAAAGCCGATACTTGAAGATAGCGCAAGAGGAGAGCTTTGGATGTGGACGAATAAGTGTGCAAATGCGCGCTTGAGGAATGAAAATGGCCGTTGACTTTAGTGCTCGAAGATCCGTTTGTTTTGGAATGGGATGAATTGTTCGTTTGCACCATGGAGGCAAGGTCCAGGCCCAGTAGAGATGATAGTGATGACCCTGATTTTCCACGGATGAGTATGTATGCGAGGGCAGACAGTGAGCTCAGGAAGCTTTGACAAGTCCCAAGGAAGAGTGCCGACTTGAACTTGTCCGTTGATTGTCCGTCTATGTGTTGAAACGGAACTGATACTAAGAGCTTGTCTTAGTTCATGCAATTGGTTGTGTTTATACGTTGTACTTACGTCGTTCCTGTGCAACAGCCCATAGCTGAACACAACGCTGGTGAGCAGCTGTCTTTCGTCAGAACTGGTGAAATTAGCATACTAGGAACATTGAGTAGACTCCCAGAACACATAGTCCAAGTCTGTCGTTCAAAGCTCCTGAATACAAATGCGGGCTCTTTTAGTGAAAGGGCTCACCGAAGGGCCGACATTGTGTGGGCACACAAGGTGAAGGTGGTGGTGTTGGTGTTGAAACAAGTTGAAACGTAATTAGTTTAGTTGCAAAGTGGTACGTGTCAATCATAGTAAGACCTAGCCCTAACCCCAAACTAGGGTATGACATCTAAGCCCAGTTGGGCACCCAGCGTAAGAATACCTTCCTTCAAACGAATCACGTCCTCTCTAGTTGGCCTACCCTGCAACGGTCTACTTGTAGCACCAGCAGTGAGCCTCTGCAGCATATCTTCTAATCCCTCCATCTCTCTCTTCTGCAAAAGTTCCTCACTCTGTTCGATTAGATCGTCATTTGCATCAAGATGCTCTCTGGCGTGTTGCTCTGCTTCCTGATCGACAGGAGCGATATCGGAGAAGCGAATGCCTGCGAGCGAAGATGATATTTGGCGTGCAGTTGTTAGGGTTGTTGGGTTTTCTTGGCTTTTTGAGCTCAAAAATGATGCAATCGCAGAGATTACGCCACGCATTGATCCCAGATCACGGCCAATCGGAACTCCTACATGCGCAAAACCAGCGTCGAACCCCTCTTGAAGTGCGGATTCCTTGCCTGCGATTATCCCTTCTCGGTATCCAGACTACAGATGGAAATATCAATCAAGGGAAGAATGAAACATGAGTGTGCATGGTACGTTTGTGAACTCATTAGAGAGTTTTGCCCAGTCTGCTTCGGGAGCATAGTCTGCTCGTGGGTCTTCCTCCCAAGGTGAATCCATGCTGTAAAGCTGGACTCAGATGCTGATGCCGCAAACATGTTTGAATGTGTCCCACCAATATTTATAAGTACACTTAGTGGATGAAATGAATGATCTCTGAGTAGTTCTGCCGGCAGTTTACATACATTTACATATTATTATTATTTTCCCGTATTGTAGGTTTGCCTAATGCAGACATTACATGGTATAATACCAATGGAGTCTTTTTGATGAGCATATAGAGAATGGCTACGTTGTTATCTCTTGCCCAAATGCGTTTGTCTCAGACCTCAGCCACAGCCACGTAGTTAGCTAGACCATTCCTTCATTAGCAAAGTCGTTAGCAACAGCCCCATCTGAATCCGATCGATCGGACCGCCGAGGCTGGATCCTAGTAGTACACTTATCCACGGTTTCTGCGAACAGCTGGACTCAGTAATTGCATGTATGAGTCACTATGATTAGTCAGGACAGCTGGGCCGCCACTGGCTTGAATACCGGTGAATTTACCCAGACCGGGAATATTCATAGAAATTGGACCACATGACACCGGCGCTTCCGGATCCAGGCTTCTGCCGGCACAGGTGGGTATCATTGTGTATCGCTCTCATGATACGATCAGATCAACTAGTCGAGCTAGCGTTGAAACATGCCGTCTGTACTGTACTAGCTGATATGAAGTGTTTTATCGTGCTGACTAATTAATACTGACGACCATTATAATCACTTTATAATCTGATTCGGAAATGTACGTGGGAAATTAGATACATTCGCCACGTCGGCATTTTAGTGCCTTGCATCGCTGTGCTTCTTGTCCTTTAACTGTTCTCGAGCGACTATTCCTGCTTGTTCTTCCCAAGCTCGGTTTCGTTCTCTTCACTACTACAATTATTTCCTCTAGGTTTCGTCCACTAATGGCTGTCGCGTCCTCCTCGGACGTCGCAATACTTGCGCTGGGCGTGGTCCTAGCTGCTGCATATCTTTTTCGTGATTCAATATTCTCTTCCTCGACGCCCAAAGCTGTCCCGGTTGCCCCTTCGAAACTTGCGAACGGCCATGGAAACCCACGAGATTTTATTGCTAAAATGAAGGAAGGGGTAAGCTATCAGCTTCCAAGGTTCATGATCGCATCAATGTATCATATATCTGATATTCTTCTCAGAAAAAACGTCTCATCATATTCTATGGTTCGCAAACTGGTACTGCCGAGGAATATGCAATCCGCATTGCCAAAGAGGCAAAAACCAAGTTCGGACTCACATCTCTTGTCTGTGACCCCGAGGAATACGACTTTGAGAATCTAGATCAAGTCCCCGAGGACAGTTGTGTCATTTTTGTCATGGCTACCTATGGCGAGGGTGAACCTACCGATAACGCAGTTCAGCTCATGGAAAACTTGACCGATTCTGCATTTGAGTTCAGTAACGGTCAACATCGGCTCGAGGGCCTCAAATATGTTGTTTTTGGTTTGGGCAACAGGACTTACGAACACTACAATGCCATAGCACGTCAGGTAGATGACGAGCTCACGAAAATGGGCGCAGTCAGGATCGGCGAGCGCGGTGAGGGAGATGACGATAAGAGCATGGAAGAGGACTACCTAGAGTGGAAGGACAATTTTTGGCCTGCATTCGCTGAAGCTTTGGGTGTAGAGGAGGGTCAGGGTGGTGATACCCCAGATTTTGCTGTTACCGAATTAGAATCGCACCCTCCGGAAAAAGTATATCTTGGTAAGCACCTGCTGTGCATTTTTGTACGCCTCTCATTTTGGTCTGTAGGCGAACTTTCTGCACGTGCCCTTACAAAGACCAAAGGCATCCATGATGCTAAGAACCCGTACGCCTCTCCGGTCAAGATTTCTCGCGAACTTTTCCAAGTCGGTGGAGATCGTAACTGCGTCCATGTCGAGCTTGACATTGAAGGTTCTGGAATCACATACCAACATGGCGATCACGTCGGCGTCTGGCCTCTCAACCCTGACATTGAGGTTGACCGTCTCCTTTGTGCACTTGGACTCTACTCCAAGAAAGATACCGTTATAAACGTCGATTCGCTCGACCCTGCTCTTGCCAAGGTTCCATTCCCTGTCCCTTCAACCTATATCAGCGTCCTCCGCCATTACATCGACATCAGTGCTGTCGCCGGTCGTCAGATTCTCGGTGTTCTTGCCAAGTTTGCTCCTTCCCCTGAGGCTGATGCGTTCATGCGTAACCTCACCTCCAACAAGGATGAGTATGCAGCTGTTGTCGCGAATGGATGTTTAAAGCTTGGCGAAGTCCTTCAACTAGCTGCAGGCAATGACATAAATGCCCACCCTACACCCCAGAACACCACTGCCTGGGCTATTCCCTTTGATATTGTCATCTCATCAATTCCTCGTTTGCAACCTCGCTATTACTCTATCTCGAGCAGCCCCAAGCTTAACCCTACCTCCGTACACGTGACGGCTGTTGTTCTCAAATACGAGTCCATTGCGAACAAGCTCGTTACTTCTCGTTGGGTACATGGTGTTGGCTCAAATTTCTTGCTTAATATCAAACACGCCGCTAATGGCAAGACCGCTGACGCTAGCGAAGGAATTGAACATGTATCGCTGCCGGCGTATGCCATCGATGGTCCTCGTGGGGCGCACAAGGCTGAGGATGTTTACAAGATTCCTGTCCACGTCCGTCGTTCTACGTTCAGGCTACCGACAAACCCCAAGAGCCCTGTCATCATGGTTGGACCTGGCACTGTAAGTCAATTTGTTAGAGTACTTTGCGGCTTTCCGCTCACAGACATGGCACAGGGTGTTGCGCCATTCCGAGGGTTCATCCAAGAACGTGTTGCTCTTGCCCGCCGAACACTTGAGAAGAACGGCGATGATGCTCTGGCAGATTGGGGTCAAATCTCACTCTTCTATGGTTGCCGTAAGTCAACAGAAGACTTTCTCTACAAAGACGAGTGGCCACAATATACTGCCGAGCTGAAGGGCAAGTTCACGATGCACTGCGCATTTTCGCGGGAGCCGCCATACAAGCCTGATGGTAGCAAGATCTACGTGCAGGATCTCATTTGGGATGACCGGAAGAATATCGCGGACGCCATCCTGAATGGGAAGGGATATGTATACATTTGTGGTGACGCCAAAGCGATGAGTAAGGCAGTAGAGGAAGTTCTTGCGCGGATTTTGGGCGAAGCGAAGGGTGGGAGTGAGGCAGAAGGCGCGGCTGAGATCAAGCTGATGAAGGAACGCTCACGGCTAATGTTGGATGTCTGGAGCTAAAGGATATCATTGGTTTGGGTCATTTATTTGCCAGCTTATGACACGTCAGCACGCCGTGACACGACACTGATATTATATTGCAATAGATTTATGTAAACTGCATGAATATTTGTTGTTCCGTTGCAATCTTCCTGTAGCCTATTTGTTGAGTCTCCCATAAGCAAGACCTGATAGAATAATTGTTCTTTCAGCTTCAGGCGCTAACCAGATCTATCGTTTTCGGTGCGGCTCGGAACCGGCAGTGTGTCTTCTGCTCAACTATATTGGTCTAGGCATTATCATGCTGGGGACTAGGGTATGGAGACCAGTAAACAATCTACGCACATTCTCCCATTCATGTCTGCGCCCTAATGTGCAATCAACGAGATCTCTGTCGCCGGGGCCATCAAATGTTGACCCGCAAGCCCAATCCCGCCAGGAAACTCATGCTAACGTGCCTGAGGGCGTTAAACATCCATCCGGAGTTGTACCTGCTGGTTCAAAGGTCCAGTCCGACTCTCCTCGGCAACTCAACTCCAAGATATCCGCCTACGATCTAGACACCATCAAACAGCGTATCGGAGATTGGATTGCACTTGCAACTGCTGGATTCAAACAGCAAACAAACGGACTCCGTCAACGCACAGATGAGTTCACGCAGAAGACGTCCACAAGATTTTTTCAATTGGGCTCTCAACTCAATCGCGTAACGGGCTATGAGGAGATTGACTCGCTTAAACAACGGGTAGTCGAACAAGGTGTGCTGCATTCCTTCATTGTGTTTGTGCTACAACTGAGACTTATGTTGACGAAGAGGCTAGAATCATGGCTACTCGTCAAGCAGCTCGAGAGGCTAAGACATCGTATGATGATGCTGTTTTACAGCGCTCTCTTTCCCAGCGCCAAGTGAATGAGCTCTTGCAGCGTAAATCGTCGTGGACAGACGCCGACGTCAGCGCCTTCACTTCTCTTGTACGTTCAGATCACCAACTGGAACAACACGAGATCGCGACGAAGGCCAAGGTCTCCGAGAATGATGATGCATTGGATAGAGAGTTTGCTGAGCTCATGCGCGCCATTCTGGCTAGGTACCACGAGGAGCAAGTGTGGAGTGACAAGATCCGAAGTGCGAGTACCTATGGGAGTATAATGGTGCTTGGGGTCAACGTGGTGGTGTTCATACTGGCGATCATAGTGGTTGAGCCATGGAAGAGGCGGAGACTGGCGCAAACGTTCGAAAAGAAGGTGGAAGAAATGGCTGCGGAGACCCAAGCTCTGATAGAGTCTGGGATTGCGAAATTGGATAAGCGGTTGGTAAAGCAGGAGGGACTGACCTCAGAGATTGTGGAAAGGGCGGCATACGATGCTCGAGATTTGTCTAGCGAGTCGTTGTCAGTGCCAACTGTGACAGTATCTGTCCCTGGGAAACAAGCAGACGTTGGACCAGAGCACTCATCAATATGGTCGCATCCGATATCACGAATAATTCAAGACCGGGAGGTACTGCTTATTGTGGGCAGCGCTATTACAGGTAGTGCAGTCACGCTGCTAGCCCGAAGTCTTTTCGGAACTTAGCTTGCATACTTACGCGAGCCGACTCCTCCCACTGGCCAACCAGCTTTTCTGAATCTCATAACGATGCTAGTGTACCTAGTCATTTAGATCTGGACTCTGTACACCATGCCCTACTACACTTGCAAGCACCACATCCACGATAGATAGGGGCTGGGCCGCCTTTAGAGGTTCACGTGATTTAAACCTTGCTTTCTATAGTGTAGGTAGTGGCTGTGCTAGCTACACAGTTCACCATGAAGGTCGTTACCACCTTTCACCCGGCGTCATCTGTCGTGGATTCGCTCAAATTTAGGTTGAAAGATGAGCACCCATCAGAGTTTCTTGTCATTGCAAAGTCAAATAGGCTTGATATATATGCGCTACTTCCAGAAGGGCTCCGTCATCAACAGGGTCTTGATATCTGGGGAAGAGTCCGAGTTATCAGAGCTGTACCAGTCTTGGTGAGCAATAACTGCAAAAAACACGTCTGGAGTGTCATATTAAGATTATGGGACTCGTTTTCTAGAGTAGAAGCAGTATCAGCCTGCTCGTGCTTACCGATCACCCAGAGCCAGAGCTTATATTCCTATCTTTTACTGTAAATGGCGCAGGCTCAACGGGGATTACTGTCACGAAGTATCTCTCATTGTCTGAGCGCAGTGCTCGGCCGGCAGAATTCTGCCATACCCTTCTAGTTGATCCTTCAGGGGGTGTGGCTGTCGTGAGCGCGTACACAGGCAAGCTCAAGGTCGTGGTGCTTGACCAAGACGGAGGATATGACCATGACTTTGATGCATCGTATGTCGTGGCATTATTCGCGCTAATTTTCCTCATATTTTCTCGTCAGAATAACTGAGCTCAACCTCCTGGATATTACCTTTGTGTCAACTTCTCGGGATATGTATACCTTGGCAATGATGCACATCGACTACCAACAACGCCTCCAACTTCTTACTCGCGACCTTTCTATTGAGGACCTCCAGCTTTCCACATTACCCTCGCCACTCCTCCCCTCACTCCCTGTCCCAGGCAAATTATTTAGTACAGCCATGGACGACGACGGAACCCCTACCATCATACATATCCCCTCTTATAAGGTTGATGATGATGATTTCGAAGGTGGTATCCTCATCATCGGTGGGCGAAAGATCATGCTGTACGATTTTGTGGACGTCGAAACGCGGGCTAAGAGGGAGAGCAGGAAGAAACGTGCAGATAAGAAGAAAACTACTGGAGATACGGAAGCAAATGCTAAAGAGAAAGGGATGGAGTGGAAGAAGAGGAAAGCTAGGGCTGCGGTAGAATGGCCATGGGCAGAAGTCACTGCGTGAGTTCCGTTTGTAGGATCGAGGCTGCGGGCTCACCAATGTTAGATGGTGTCATGTTGACGACAAGCGGAAGTACTTGATTGGGGACCGCTATGGAAAGCTCGCGTTGCTTTCGATAAACCTTTCTGGAGGTACAACGCTGACATTGATGGCACTCGGGGAGGTAGGTCTGCTCAAGTCCCGCTGGTCGTTCTTGTTCTGATCATCTTCACTAAGACGTCTGCACCAACTACATTAACTTACCTTGCTAACCAAGTTTTCTACAATGGTTCGCACTTTGGTAGCTCGCAATTGCTCCAGATTACTACTACTCCATCTTTTGCGTTTGACGCCCCTACATTGCCTGTTCCATCTACGATACCGACCATCAGCCCTAACGCACTCAACTCCCATGTGTCAGGTAGAAACACCGATGCATCAGGTTATGTTGTCGTTGGATTGGGGAGTTATGTCACTGAGCTGGAGTCCTTCAGCAACCTCGCTCCGATACTTGATGCTGTGCTGATCGACACCGATGGCAGTGGACAGGTATGTCAAATGACTGTCTACTGGCTTTGGACGCTGAGGTGATGCAGAACGAAATTGTAACATGCTCTGGTGGCAGAAGCACGGGAAGCATCAAAGTCATACGGAGTGGCGCTGACTTTTCCGAGAAAGCGATAGTTCAGGGGCTCGGGAATGTCACCCATATCTGGCCATTGAAAGTAATGTACCGTGCACCGTAAGTTGTTTATTTGTCCCGACCTCTTTTAGAACCGCTGATGATAAAATTAAGCGATTATGCACATGTCGTGGTCTCAACTTTGCAGGAAACGCACGTTTTTCGTTTTGACAACGCTTCATCGATCTCCAGCATTGACGGAGACAAGAACACTGGTTTTATCACCGATTTACCTACCATCGCAGTCTCAAATATCCTTCGACGCACGTACAACGCAGAAAACAAGTCCGACTATGCAGATTCTAGTTATGTTATACAGGTTGTTTCGAAGGGCCTGTTATTACTTGAGTATGATCCTGATGTGCAACAATACACCAGAATTGGCGAACCATGGACCTTGGAAAAGTTTGCAGATCCTGGTAAAGAGGGACTGTGGAAGGGGCGAGAGATTGTAGCTGCGAGTATCAACGCGAGCCAGGTTGTGCTTGCACTCAACTGGGGGAGGGTGGTGCTGCTGACTCTGGATGACAAGCGATTTATCAAGCTGAGGTGAGTGTAAACATCTAGGTGAAGATTTGATTTGATTGTTGTCCATCATTGCAGAGAACGCAATTTTGTGCACAACAATCGTGATGCAGAGATTTCAGCAGTCTCGTGTCTTCCACAGGATCCAGCCAAGCGTTTCACGTTGAACATTGTGGTCGGATTCTGGACATCGAAGCACGTCGAGATACTCTCACTGAGACTTGCGGACGGAACCATGCCCACGGTTACAACGTCCCCTGTACTCCCCTCTGCACCCCGCTCACTGCTGTTATACAATTTCACGTCTGATGACTCCAAGTTTTCAAATGTACACCTACTCATCGGGCTTACGGATGGTTCCATCGCGTCATTTTTGTATCGAAATGATCAATTGCTTGATCAGAAACTGGTTTCCATCGGAAGTCTTCCCGTAACAATGCGTTCGTGTCGTATTGGTGCGAGACAAACAGTGCTTGCGTGTGGAAGCAGGACAGCAATTTTATTCTGGGAGAAAGAGAGATTGATGTATTCGCCGCTTATACTCAAGGTCTGTGACATTTTTCGCGTCATTGTCCTTGACCAACGTGTTTGCAGGATGTGACAGCTGCAGCGGAATTGAGTACAAGTGATTACCCATCGTCCATAGTCCTTGCCAACTCCGATAGTCTGGTCTTTGGGAACGTGAACAACTTTGATAAATTGCATATTCGCTCTGTAAGTTAAAGTACTTGTCTTTCCATAGGAGTCCCGCTGACAGTTAGTTCTCAGATACCTCTCGGCCTCAACAATCCCTTACGCATTACGCATATTCCTGCCCTTAGAGTTTTTGCCGTCGCATGCCGTTACATAACCCCGGCTCGCATCGGAGATGTAGAGGATATCAATGGCTCCATACAAGTCTTTGACGACATATCGTTCAATAGTGAGTCAGGTTCAACGCGCAAGATGGTTATTAATGATATGAATAGAGCTCGGGCATTTTAATTTGGAGCAAGGCGAGGAACCGACGTCACTGTTATCCTTCACAACAAATTCCGGATCGTATCTGTGTGTAGCAGCAGTGACTCTCGAAGATGAAGACACCGAAGCCTCCAAGGGACGTATTTTTACTTTGGAAATGACGTCGAATGCATTGCAGGTAAACATGTCTGTCGTAACTTCGTATGACGTCAAGGGATGCCCCTACGCATTGACGTCCGTGAATTCTATGATCGCTGCGGCAGTTAATAGCATGGTAACGAACCAGCCTATAAACTGTGGACGCGACTGCTCATTTGCCCCGCAGGTCGTTGTCTTCAAGATGGACACAGAGAGCGGAAATATGATAATGGCGAAAATAGCAACCTGGAACCACAACTATCTAGTGACGAGCCTCGCATCTCGCGGCGATATCATTCTGTTAGGTGACGCAATCAGCTCGATCTCGATGTTGCGGCTCGAGGACAACCGACTGCACTTGATTGCCAGAGACTATGGCCCACTATGGCCCACCTGTGTCGAGCTCATGGGTAACTCCACCTTGATTGGTGCAAATGTAAGCTGAAGTCCATTGTTTGACGTTGTATACTTATTCTCTTGTGCTCAGAGTGAATACAACCTTTATACATTCAGTCTCCAGGACTCGGGAACGCGGGAGCTTCTGGAGAGAGACGGAAATTACTTCCTTGGGGACTTGGTCAACAAGTTCCTGCCTGGTACGTGTGCGCTTTATCGTCACTTTCCCATACTTACGCATCTTAGGCACATTGTCGTCTCAGGAGGTCTCGCTCGACTCGCCGATGCAGCCCCAACAATTGTTCTTCACGTCTGCAGGCCTTATCGGTGTGATCATCGACCTTGCCGATGACCTTGCCTTGGATCTCACTGGCCTTCAACGGAACCTGTCCAACTATATCCAGAAACAGGAAGGGCCAAACCACACAAAGTGCGTCATGAGCCCATACTTTCAATAATTATTCAATTCACTTTGCGCATAGGTACCGCGCGCCAAAGAATGTCCGCGGTCGCAGTGACGCAGATGCGTCGTCCTTCGGGTTCCTTGATGGCGACTTCCTCGAGCGCTTCTTACAGTTTGTGGGAACCCCCCAGGCGCTCAAACGGATTATGGATGGACAAAGTGAGCCTGAAAAACTCACGATATCGGCAGACAGGATCCAGAAGGTGCTTGAGAGCATGCAAAGCATGCATTGATCGAACAAGGGGAATAAACAAAGTTGCAATTTGATTACTCTAAACCAATCATTCATCATCGAATCACAAACATGCCATAATGTATCAAGATTGGTACCAAGCGAATGAGAGTACCCCTTATGAAGACGACTACTGGCAACGATGTGATCGTTATATCAAACGAACGGATGGTAGTTGGAACAAGGAAGGTGAGAATTTAGCTGCATGGTCATAGTACTAGTCTTCCTACGACCAGATGGCCGCATACAGTTGTGAGACGACAGAAAGAGGCCCAACATCCCCAGCCACAACAATATCTTCCTGGTCATTAGAGTTACGCGGAGCGAAATAAAATCCGGAAACAAGGACAACATAGCTGTGATAAATTAATACGACGTACATATAACCCAAGGTAGATACTTACCTCAAAATGAGGATACTTCCACGGTGGTAATTACTCTTGGCCTCGATATAGGTATAGGTCATCAGAAAGACGGACAAGATGATCGCGATGACATCCCAGCGCGGGAATACGAGCCTGGGGAAAGATAAACGTAAATGAATTATCGACATCATCGAGAGATGGTTTGATACGCACGTGAATGCATTTGCGATCTCACCCATTTTGTCGGGCGCATACCAGGCGGAGAACGCAACCATGGCTGGAATCTGGAGCAAACAGACTTGCAAGGCATAGGCAGAACCAATCTCAACACTGGGAAGAAGGGGAGTTGGTTAGGGATGAAGGGAGACAAACAGGCCAAAGAGTACCTTAGCGAGATATTTCCGTTCAGGGCAAATGAAATAGCATTCATGAATTCCGTGGTATTGGGCACCAGCGCGAACAGAGTGATTCCCAAGAACTTTTCCTCGATCCCAGAGCCTTTTAGTACGACATCCACCATATCCACAAGAAGCTCTAGTGCCCCGATGAGTCAGCAGCCACAACAAAACGACAATGCAAATGTAGACGTACCAGCAATGAGGGCATATAAAGCCGTGCATGACAGCAACACTGCCGCACTAGTTATACGGCTCCACTCTGGCGCCTCATGTCCGTGAGCCCCATGTTCCTCCTCAGCCACGCTTGCGCGAGCCGCCCGAGTATGCGCGTGCTGGTGGCGAAGGGCGCTGACAGTCGCAACAGCTACTGCACGCGTAAAGTCATCGGTGGACATAGTAGAGGGAAGGGGCAGGGCACCGGTAGACTTAATGGCATGGTCAACGGACTCAAGAAGAGGTGTGTATTGTGTTTGAGATTGGGCGCTTTGGGGACTAGTGTGCGGGACATAGGAAACACGTCGAAGAATCGAAGGGGAAGTGGGGGACACTGTATTCGCCGTTGGAACGGTAAGACGTGGAGCCGGGGTCTGAAACCGGGGATCGTCCTCCACTCGCGTTCGTTCATGAGACCCCTCTGGTCGCAAACGTGGCTCGCGAATAATCGGTGGAATCTGTGACGGCGGGGATTGCGCTGCACTGATTGTGGTTGCATTGGAGTGAGGACGGTGATGTTGGTAGAGTGAAAGACGAGATGGATGCGTGGGTGGAAGGTCGAGGGGCTGCAGGAGCGGTTGTGGGTTCTGCCATATCTGAGTGGCATGTGTGCGGAGAGAAAACCACAGGCCTATCAAATACGACTACAGCAAGTATAAGGGTTATGAATGTCGTACACATAAAAACAGAGGGGAACTCACAAACAGTAAGATCACAGCACAAAAGTACATGAGGCTCTTCACTGTGGACTGATAAAATGGATCTTCAACAGGGTCAGGGTGTTGATAGTAACACTGGTCGCATCTCCACTCGGACGAGCGGCGGGAGCCGTCGGGACATCCACTACAAACCAGCTGGAACTGTAAGTAGTGTTAGTTTTCTGCTGGAAAGAAATATAAAGGGAGTAAAAGACGTACACTACCATATGTTTGATAAAACAATGTTGGTGTTAGCGTTCCAATGAATGCCATGATTAACATCATGCTCGTTACGCCTGCGCTCTTGGCATTGAACTTCATCTCCTTCTTCCTCAACGCGCCAGCGCACATGCTCATACCGGGCATCAGCAGTACTCCCGCTAATAAAGATCCCACGATAGACCCTTCAACGAGACGCCCCTTGCCTTGAGTCAACGCGATAGAATAGAGGACGACTTCGACGACACTTCCGAATGTGGCATTGATAACGGCGCCCATGCCGATAGAGCTTTGGGCGCTAATGCTCGCCACAGCCATGCCAATGAAGTAAGAGAGAGGAATAACGCTCGCAAGGCTCATGAGGAAAATGAGTGCTTTCGAGGCAACGAGTGCGAGGATGCGAGGGACATGTTCGCCTGCTTCCTCCAGATGTTCTGCCTTCGGCATGAGCACGAATCCATCGAGGATAACAAAGAAGACAAGCGGGAGGAGATTGACGAAAATGATATTAACGCCTCCGACAGTGTATTTGTAGTATTGCCACCCAACAGCGCGATAGACGCATAGCAGTACGGTACTCCTATGGCCAGAGGTAGAGGGGACAGCCTGACCAGCTGCGAGACGGTGTGTCTTGACCGCACTAGGTGGAACGAGAGGCGCAGCACAGAAGCGTATCCTAGTAGGAGATGCGAATATGTATTTGATGAGAGCCCAGTTAAGCTTGGCCATTGGGACAGTGATAATAAGTGCCCAGCAGGCGATACAGGTGAGCAGAAGGAGTGGGGCAACGAACGTTATGAACAGGATCCAGAAAATAGTCCTGCCCAACCAGTCAGCGGAAATCTTCTCGTACGGCGTGCGGTCGGTAGGACTTGGGACAGCTCCGTAGGATTTGGATGGAGCTGGAGGGCGCAGAAAAGCTCGTTCGCTGTTGGTATTTTGGGTGATGGTGGGCGTGCGAGAGAGGGACGGGTTGGCATCTACAGTGCTGGCACTACCAACATCCTCAGGTGGGGATGTGCTTTCTTCGTCATTGCCTTGAGCATCCCCTTTGACATACTTGCCAAATGGCCATGCAAGGTACCAGCCCAAACCGAACATGAGTACAGCATAGCGTCTGCCACCAAGTGGAACGAGACATAACAAAGCAGAGACAGCAAAGCAGGCCAGCGCAAGCCACCAGCCAAAGCAGATAACCCAGAAAATATTTCCCGGGAGGAGGTGACGCTCTGCTTGAGCAGAGGGGACGGAGTGTAGCGCAGCATCCGCATGGCGAGTGACGGAGCGTGATTTCTTGTACAATGCAGGTTTCCAGATAGGCAAACCAAAAGGGTGCTGAACGTTGATGAGCGACTGACGATCTTTAACTGTAATTGGATCGTCATCATCTCTGCTGTTTGAGTCGTCATGTTCCGAGCCTGTCTCTCGTTCTTCACTGTCTCCTTCTTCCACTTCCCCTTCCTGGTCTTGTGCAGTGCCTTTGCCACGATCTCTGCTTCCCCCAATACCTCTATCATTGACTTGATCTTCATAGCTAACCTCTTCATCCTGGCTGAGCATGCCATCGTTGTCCCTGATTGGACGGCGAGGGCGATGAGAGCTGTTGGTGCTAGTGCTGCGGGTGCGGCTGTTTGATAAACTATGGCTAATGGATGGCTGTGGGTACGGTGCTCGCGGCGTCGGTGACGAGGAATGAACGTAGGACGTCCCTAAATTATGGTGCGTTGGTGTCTCAGTGGGTGACCAGTGCGCGCTATGACTTCTGCTGCGGTGGAGATGGAGGTGACTGGTTGGAGTGGGTGTCGTGGAGAGCTCTTGGTTGGAGTGGTCGTCGTCCATGTTCACTGGACTTGTGTTTGTGGTGCACTTGTACTCTAGTGTTCCTATTGCCTAGTCTCTCGTGACGAGGCAGGCCCAATATTTACAAGGAAGACCCAGACAGTTTGTGATTACATTTAAACGTTCCATCTGTATTAGGTATGTAGATCTATATATACATACAATGGCAAGCTGGCGTTCCGTGTCAGATTTCACTAGGTATGAACGTTTGAACTCCTGCAGCCAGATGCCACAGTACTGTATCCAGATCAATCGTGCATCCAGACCCCACCGACGACCGTACCTGGCACTTCGAGTTCTTTCTACAATTTCACTCGAGGTTATGATAATAAAATAATTTGGATCTGTACTCGAACTCCATTCAATGATTGATATCGAGACTATTGTAGTACCTGCTTTGAAATCGTTGCCACGACCAAGTTTTCAAATTGACAACATGCAAGTGTAAATGCGAACGCACTGGCACGTCCGACGGCCCTCTGATCGACCGATTGTGATATTTCGCGGTGAGGTTGCGCATGCGCATTTGAGTATGAATTGGTTAATTAAAAATGTACAACCTTGACGGTTAACGTTGGTGAGCAGATACCATGTACCCCGTCATTGGTAGTGCAGAGGGAAAACGTCAGCAGGGTGTCAACGTGAACAATGACTTGACATGAGACGGTCCTAGGGTAGGTTGCATATAGCATCGCACCACCGCGGTCATAAAACGTGAAATGAAATTATAATTCGTTTGGGCGCAGAACTACTCACTGTACCGTGACCCAGAAAGGCCGGGAGGCTCATCTGACGAGTACCTGAAGGTCTTTGAAGGATCATAGCTATGATCCGCGATAATGACCGCGGACAAGTCCTTCCCCGAGACGATCCGTCGGATTACGAGCCGCAGCGGCGCAGCCTCCCCTTTGCAAGTTCCTATCAGGGAGTAACATAGTAACAACGTCACGTGTATAGAGGGCGAGCGGAGCTTGAAAAACGTTCGACGAAGCTGCACACCCAAATCCGACTGGAGAAATTCACATTCTTCTCGTGGCCAGTTCTGTTGGAGGCTCTGCAGCACTTAATATAGGCTTGGACCTAGCATACGACAGCTTATCCTCACGGAGCTCACTATGTCATCATCCTTCAACATACTTACATTACATCCAAATCAGCACACTGTGCGTTGTCTCTTCTCTCGATAGAAATTTCCTAAATGCTTCATCGCCTGGCCAAAAGTTTCACAGACTGCCACATCATCTCTTAGCCATTGCGGTAGTTTCCCGCGAATCGCAGGCAATGTGAATCGTCGATCAATAAGTACCAGAGAAGCCCAATCCCCACGGTGTCGGATGGCTCGGCCTTGCTCAGGGCTTAGTAAGCGTTTAAGTATACTAACATCGTCGGAAGTGCTTACCTATACTCTGATTGACTGCGCTCATGCACATGTTCTCATACATTTCGGTCGCTGCGTCTTTGACACCAACAGGCCTCCTTATACCGGATCGTACCTCTGCTTGATTCGCGTATCGCATACGTTCCTGTAGTTCTGGGGAATTTTTGTTGGCAAAGGGCAACCCAATTACAACAACAGCACGGGCGAGATCATCTGAAAAATTCAGCCCTTCTGAAAGCTTGGCACCGACAACTGCAAATAGTACCGCGCCAGTCTTCTTATCTAGCGGCATCTTAAAAAAACAGTCATGATGGCGAAGATGTTACAGTTCGTTAAACTTACATGTGTTTTGGCAGCTGTAGCATATTCCCGCAGGATCATCTCAACCCCTGAACTCTCCTGGGGCTCCAAGAAGACCTAAGACATAGTCAATAAGCCGCCTCCTGTTACTTAGAGACACTTACTTTTTTCTTCACGTTGAATTTGTCCAGTAATCCACTCTGACTCCAAGCTTCTCTTGCAAAATTCAACGATGCATAGGAAGGGAAGAAGATAACTATTCCTCCAGGCACGACGTTGCAGAAGTTCAATACGATTTGACCTAACTCGGACACGACCTGCGGATTACTCTGCTGCGCGAACTTGAACTCCAGGTCCAAGCCTGAAGGCCCTTCCGTAAGCAACAATGTCTGCACATTAGATGCCGGAATGATATGACCACAAGAGAAAGTTGTCAGCCTGTTTGGAGGCAAGTATGTGAAAAGTTCAGACACTACTGCAGAAATCTATCCCCGACATCACTGTATTGCGAGAAACTGTCAATGAAGGCTGCTTACCGGCGACATGGTTCCACCAGCAAGTACCACTGAACGCGCCAACTCCACGACATCGCGGAACAATGCCGATGGATTCAGCAGCTGGTATTTAATCTCGACAGCATCACCGACAGTAGAGAAGATTAGTCTCCCATCTGTAACAATGTTGAACAAAGAAACAACTTCGGCGCAGCTTGGCCCACCTTCACTTGCGCCCGCTAGTCCCAACATCAGTGCTTCAATCGTATGCAGTGGCGGAGTAGCCACACCCGATGAACGTCTCTCAGGTTTCTCCCCTACAAACTCAGAGATATGATTGTGCCCTTGTCAGGGTGACAAACCTTCAGAAACATCGACAGCATAACGAGATATCTTCCGTGCTATCTGCGAGTAATCAGAAAAAAAAAACATCTAATGAATTTAGTGCAACGTACTTTGCTGCGCTTAAGATACGATTCAATTTCGAGGAGATTAATACCCTCGACCTTTCTCCCGAGCCTGTGGATGAAATCTGGCACAGTCATGACTTCAGTATCTTGCCTGTTGGATTTGGCGCTCAATTTCTGTGCCATCCAATCCACTGCGACTCTCTGGAATGCATCCAGGAAATTGAGAAGCCTCTTCAGATGCAATGCATGCATTGCAGATAGCCGGTTGCGAAATTTTTGGTAATACACTGAGACCTGTTTCAACGAAGTCGATAGAATACTGGATGTGAGGCGGACACTCGAAAGGGACAGTAGAGTTGGTATCAAGTCTAAAGCAAAATCAGCCGGTATAAAGGGCGGTCTAGGTGAGATGCTTACTATGCGCTTCATCGATGATGACCACCTGGTTAGTCAAGTCGATCCCCAGAGTATCTCGGGCCGTCTTCTGCAACAACAGGTTATAAGGTAGAGTAATAAGCTGAAAGTTCAGTATGAGACCCAGGAAGGCACATCAGTGAGATTATCTGCTGACCTCTGCCTGTGGAATCGCTCGTCTAGATCCGTAATAAGGGCAAGTCTGTATATTCTTCCCAGAAGTGGCAAGGTCTTCTATATCTTTCGGCGATGCCTTGAAAAGAACCCATCAGCACTGTTCACTCGAATGGATCACCTTCACTAACCAGAATCTGATCTCGCAGGTCAAGCATGCGGCTGTCGTCACCCACCGGAGGTAAATACTGACAGCGTGTATTTTTCTTCCCTGTGAGCATATTTTCGACGGTCAATGAATACGCGGGTCATAAGTAAGTTTGGTACCTTCCAGTAATTCTCGACATTTCTCGTCTATATCTCCCGGTCTTGACCTTGCGTCCTCATTGATACACAGCTGTTTGCGAGACCCAAGTGATACGGTCCGCCACTGACGCTGATCAACTTCGCACTTATCACCATCTACGTCCCCGAAGGGCCGTTTCTTTTGGCAAGGATCGCGATCAACTCGAGACATGTTTCTCATTGTGCTCTCATCTGGAATAGCACCGCCCAAGGCGAGGTGTTTGAACTTGAGCTTGGTCAATTCAGGTAGGACCTGTGAAAGTTGGGAATGTGTGCGAGACGCATAGTAGATTTTCGTGCAAGACGGCTCGTCTCCTTGAGAGGCTGTATCACGTTTGTTATTCTTGTCCACTCTGTTCGTACACGTTAGTTGGGTCTCATATCAGTGAAGCTCAACCCTGACTTTGCCATTAGAGCGCGAACAGCGGGGGAGAAGTTATCTTGGTTGTTTTCGCAGTCGTCATCCGGAAGGTATGCGTCTTCGTCAACATGGCCTTGAACAAGATCGACTGCGACGCGCTACTTGTATAGAGTAAATAGGTTGAGCCGAGACATGAATTCGAGCGCACGCACTTGCTTTTTGGTAACCCGGGCCCGAGCCAGTATACGGAAATGAGCCTCGGTCTTCCGAGCTTTGGCAAGGCGTTCCTCGTATTCTTTATCCTCTGCCTCTAGCTCACGCTTCCGAATATCGAGAGCCTGAGCTGCCACCCATGATGGTGCTAATGTGGCTTTAAGATGTTGCTTGCAAGACCAACAGAGACTACCACTGACCGGCACTCGAGAGGGACTGTTGCGATAGCTGGCCTTTACGCGCGCGGTCTTTCTCGTCCACAAGCCACGACAGACTCGAGCACAGCAAACTTAGCGTCTTACCCTAATTCTCTTGCCGGATCAGAAATTTGCTAGTCAGCTGGTACAATTTAAAACACTCACGGTGCCCGTAGGACTCTCCACGATGGTGACCTGCCTTTTCTCAATTGACGTATAGACGTGACTCATCAAGTCTATTTGTATCGAATAAGGTGGGTCATAAGGAAATGCTGGGAAATTGACAGGAGTGGGAAGGGCGAGGTCATCGCTGTCCATGCCGAAGAGTAGTGCTGAAGCGCGACGCGTAACCTCACGTGTCGTCCTTTCACTGGCACTTGAAAGTTGACTGAAGTGTACCACACAAAGTAGTGATGTGGAGTGAGCTTGGATGGTTTACGAAATGATGTAAAGATGTAGTACACTGTATCTGGAACTAGTGCATATAGTGGAACATTGCGGAGTGAAAACAAAGGATGGAAGTAGCCAAGCGTAAGTGTGGCAGTTACTACTTAGATAGGTAGAGTACAGTGAAAATCATACAACCTGAACTCTTGGGTATGGTAACGAGCAAGCTCAGTAGAGAATGTCATGTTATCACGTCGGACAATACTCCAGTAACCAAATCTTTGCCGCACCGTATTCCTCCTTGACACGTTTTAGTAGCGAAGTCACTTCTTCGATGGTCTTGTCTGTAGGTGTACCCTTGGCTATGTTCTGTATCTTCTCGCAAGTCAATGAAACCTGCTTCACGCCCAGCGCGGCTGATGAGCCCTTCAGAAAGTGTCCTAGCTGCGACATTTCTATCAAGTCTTTGGTTTCCCTGCATTAGAAAAGTCAGATTCTAGAGCAATCATTCCAATAACAAGAAGACCTACATGGCCTTATCCATCTTATTAAATGTGGAATCGACCTGCCCAAGATACTCGGTCACCATCCCTGATACAAATGAGTCCCCATCATCCAATTCGACTATCTGGTCGAAGACTTCCATATCGATTATATCTTGTTTACTGGGCTGGTGGTGCAATCAGTGATCATCATCACAAGATGAACAAGATGACGAGATGGGCAGGGGCTAAGTGCGGGGTTCCCGGCGAACGCTCTGCTTCCAGGTGCATGCGTGCAAATAAACCACTTTAAGCTGGAGACATACCTTGTTCTCCTTCTTCTCAACCTCTTTCAGGTCGCTCTTCTCCTTGGCTGGAGTGATAGGCGAGGCTGCCTTCGGCGTTGACTCCTCCGAGGCAGGTCGCGATTTGACGTCTAGCTTCTTTTGTGGTGGGGCTTTGTCGGAAGGAGATGGTGGCGGACGCTTGACAATGTCGTCAATGATATTCGGCGAACGAGCACGCAGAGCAGGAGACATGAAGAGAATCCTGGCCTTGTTCACTGACAAAAGACAGCGTTCTGAAATAACAATCGGGATAGCGGCACTAGGACGTTAGGCTGTAGGATTCGGGGCTATGCTTAAAGTAGTCTACTGATTATCTGTTGCCGCCGCAGTGCCGCAACCAAATATGTAGCATCATTGACAGATTCACGATTCCACTGGCTATCTCAGAGAGCCAGATCGTCATCTCATTTTCTACAAAATAACCCCCTGGCCGGCGGACCCGCACCCAAGACCCAAACTCTCAATGAGACATTGCCTCAGATAATCTTTCGAGCCCTCAATTCGGCGATCTCGTTCTGAGAGTACCCTAGTTCCAGCATGACCTAAAACCAATTCACCATCAGAAACCAAAAAACACAATGCACAATTCAATAAACAAAATGAGGGTGGTGAACCAAAGATATCACTGGCATGTGCACGTACCTCCTTTGTATGCTGTGACAGCCAGGGTGGTGGTCGTCTTACCGGCATCCGCTTTCCATTGTAAGTAACAGGTGGAGCCACCATCTTCACTTTCCCTGCTCGTGGGTGCTGTTCAATTAATCAGTTCGACATAATCAAAACGAAGTCTATCACACGAGGACGAGGGGTACGTACATCAACCTCCACCGTAGCCTGCCGAGCGCCAACTTGCGGGTGCGCGAATGTTTGTTGAATATTATTGATTGGCCCAAATGGTACCCTGCACGGACATGCGCGTGTGAATATCTTGGCAAATGGATCATACATAAGTATACATCATGCACGACGCACCCTAATCCCGTGAAGCGACCGATCCAATAATCCCTTTCGTGTCTTTGGAGCACTTGTGTAATGATGTCCACCAATGCCTCCCTGTTTGCTACCCGCGCAGCATTATTAGCAAACCTCGCATCATCTGCCAGCTCGGGCTTCTCCAGAATCCTTTCGGCAAGCAGGCGGAACTAGCGTCACATGTGCCTCAGAGTCAGGTCGTCTAGAACTGCTTATCAGTGATGCTGCCCACCTGCTTGTCGTTGCCCGCGCCAATCATGAGAAATCCGCCTTTGCATGGGAAAACTTGGTAAGGAACGATGGACGGGTGGGCAGTTCCGTGCCGAGAGGCTTCCTTTCCGGCGATAAGATAATTCGACGCTATATTTGCAAGACCCGCAAGCTAAGTATATACGACAGAAACCGTATTGGTAAGCATAAGAAAGCCAGACAAGGATATAAACATGTGATAGCCACTGTACCTGTGTCTCAAATAAGTTGCAGTCTATCCAAACGCCTTTTCCCGTATGCTGTACGGAATGCAAACCAGCAAGGATGGCACCATGTGCGTAAAGACCTGTCATCAAGTCCGTCACCGCAACGCCTACTTTAGATGGTGGACGATCAGGTTCGCCTGTGCTACGATCCATGAAAAGCAAGACATAAAATTATCATTTGTAAGCGTCTGAGCACAGCATACATACATGTGCATCAGCCCAGCTTCGGCTTCAATAATGACATCGTAACCCGCGGCTTCGCGGAATGGGCCTGTCTGTCCGTACCCTGATTGCATCAGAACTGAATACTGATACCAGGCAAAGTGAAGCTCAGACAAACCGGTGATGGAAGCATACACAAGCCGCGGGTTGAGCACCCTGCAGTCCTCCCAACCGAGACCCATCCCTGCAAGCTTTCCTGCGATAAAATTTTCCACCAGCACGTCGGAAGTGCGAACTAGCCTCTGCATAACCTCAAGTCCCGCAGGATCCTTGAAATTCACAGTAATAGAACGTTTGTTTCTATTCACAGCAAGGAAATATGCAGATTCAGGGGGAAGGTGTAACGATTCTTTCGGGGAATTCGGGGAGACAGCAGCAGAAGGAGGTAGCCAGGAGCCTGTTTTTTTCCAGATAAATAACGGATAGGCTAGCACAGGCCACTCACGAGTGTCGTCGCCGCGGGTAACCTCCTCAACTTTGATGACATCTGCGCCCATGTCTGCGAGAAGCATGGTGCATGATGGACCTGCTAGCACTCGAGTTAGGTCGAGGACTCTGATACCCGTGAGTGGGGGTGGAATGCCCTGGTCAGTAGATTGATTGGAAATGAGGGAACGTCTGATAAGACGACTATCAAGACGGGTGGCAGCACTGAGCGCTTTACATTTTGACGATATCATCTCGAGCAGTTGAGCATGTAAACCTGAAAAAGAGAAACAGAACGATTAGCAACGGTTAGGACAATAATTTTTGAAAGTTGTCAAAAATATAAAGGTCCAACAGACAAAGTGTCAAAGTCTAATGCTAGTGCTTAGCGCGTAATAGTAAGTTATGTTGTAAACAAGGTGGCAGAAGTCCAAGTCCAATGTCGACAACGACGTACGCATCGCACCTGGCACCGCTTCTGCATCCGCAATGTGCTGGTACTGACAAGAAAACATAACAAAAACATAACAATTCGTTTCGTCTAACGTTCATTACGGTTATTCGCATATAACCATGGGCTTCTTCTCGTCGCGCAGGATAGTGGACGAGTCCCAGTCGTACATCCATAACGACAGTTCCGTGTCCATGTCAATGGTCCAGGTCATCCGTTCCAGATTCGTACGTGTTTCTATCCGTTCTCTTGATGGGACAATGCACTGACCATGATGGGGGTTGTGAACACTGCAGTATGGAAAGTACAAAGGCAAGGCGCGCGAGACGCACAATCCTTCCATGATTGGGCACAGTGACCACAATCTCCACCATCTCAGCGCCGGGCGCTCCCCTCTCGGCACCGAGCAGTTCTTACCATCATCACAAGATACTCCACGTACACATACAGACGTGATCACGTACGTCTTGCATCGACTGTCAATTACACCGCTCGCTCATGTTCTCCTCTTCTCCTGCTTACAGGACCACCCTTGCACAACGTCTCGATGAACTTGCTGCCGCAAATTCTCAGGGCTTGCTCGAGTGAGTTTGTTTTGGCTCTTGAGACTGAGGACGTGACTTGTGTGTTGTGGTAGCGGTCATTGCACCCATATGGGTTGACGCAGTGTTTCCTGGCCAAAATTGATCTTCTATGTCCACATCGAACCTCTCACCATGCTGATTCCGCTCACAGTGACGATGAATACCGTCTTCTGCGGCAGAACATCTTCGAACGACTTGCTTCAGGTAGCTCAGTCCCGCAGGAAGCCCCCCTTGTCCCCATTGTCTCGCACCCACCAAACAGTGAGCCTTGCGCTGTATGTATTTTGAAGAGACTGATTTCCAACTTTGTTCTCTAAAATTTACAGCCTACAACCTGGCTTCCGCCAAAAGTCGTTCACCGTCTGTCCGCTCCAAATCCTCTATCTCTTCTGCTATGAGCACTCTCTTTAAACGCTCTTCTCGAATCTCAGGCCACACAGCTCTCACTTCAACAACAGACGACACGTCCATCTTCTCCAGCGGTACATCTCGACGGCCATTTCCTCCACAAATGCAAAGTGATGTTTCTCTGACATCGGAGAACCTGCCGCATACGGGTGATGTGCAGTATATGAGTGCGAGTATGAGTACCAGCAGTATCAATGTTGGAAACGGAGAAAGAAGCAGCCCGTATCGGTCCCTCCGCCGCCTTCAAACAGGACCAGTTACCCCTCCCCCATCCTCCTTCCGTCTCAATAGCACAACTGGCTCGCCCTCCACACCCGTACCCCCAATATCAACAGTTTCACGCACGTCCTCGCATTCTCCGTTGCACTTGCGAACTCCATCTCTCTCAGCACCTACGAATGCCGCCGATCCCGATCATCTATCCTCATCGGAGCTGAAGCTCCAAATTGCGACGCTTGAAGCTGAGGGCAGACGCTTACTTGATGCGTTCAATGGGCTTGAGCTTTCCTCACTGACCCGACGTCATCCACCGCAAACACCTTCTGTGCGCCGAGTCCGCGTTGGAACGGGAGGGAGTGATTATGGTAGTAGAGGTGGGGGAAGTGAAAATGGTGGTGGTAGAGGGGGGGGAAGTGAATGTGAAGGCAGTGGATACCTAAGCACCGGGAGAGGCACACCCTGCGAGGCTGATACTCAATCCATGTACTCTGCGTCAGCAGCCTCCAGTGTTAGCCAACCACGCTCACAGCCGCAGTCATACCGGAATCCCTCGTTACGTGCTCCGCCATCAACATTATCTGTGTCGGCAAGGAAGCGTAGTATATCATCCATATCGTCCCGCGCCCGCGTCCCCACAAACGGTTCGATGTACGCTTCGCACCCCTCGCCAGGACTCACCCCCAGCAAGCTGCGGGAGCTAGGCAGTGTATCCTCTGTTAACCTTGCACGAGACTCTTCTATTCACCTCCCATCAACTGTGCACAACTCGCCGGTGCGTGAAGTACCTGACGATGATGCATCCATCTCGGCGCTCGAGAGCGAGTTGAATGACATTAGACGTCGGCGTGCAGAGGTGACTGCACGATGTCAAGTGCGGCTGGAGTATCTGCGGGCACAACTGCGGGGGGCAGAACTGAGAGAGAAGTTGATGAGGAAGTGAGAATAGTATTTCATCGGATTGGCGCGTTTGCGGTGGCTCAGTCATTTGTAATTTGGGATATCATCATATACCTCCGTTCGACACTACTGTTCTGTGTTATATGCGGATCATACTTTTTGGTTGTCGTCTCGAATTCACACTTTAGCGCTTAACCCCTCTAAAGGGGGTCTTGATCAATTCTACTGCAAATATCACGCATTTACTGCTTTCAACGCTTAAGACGATGTTTTCATTGCTCCGGACGACCCTCGTACCACATTTGCCAGCTAGCGTCCGTTTCCGCTCACAGCTCGCACCTCGTCAAGTCCAACATGTCAAACGACACAAAGGTCGCGTTCCGATACCCATAGGCGGGTCAACCAAAGGCACTACACTTGCTTACGGTGAATGGGGTATCCGCATCAAGGGCATGGGCGTCCGCTTCAGCGCGAAACAGCTTACTACGGCTGAGGAAGTCATAAAGCGCAAAATAAAGGTCGTCAAAGGCGCAAAAGTCTATCTTAGAGTTTTTCCTGATATTCCAGTTTGCATCAAGGTCTGCTATACCTGTGTTTGTTCTCTACATGAACTTTGACATGTTTTCAAGGGAAATGAAACTCGTATGGGTAAAGGAAAAGGGACGTTTGAGTTTTGGGCTACCCGGTGTGTTCTTCTTTGTGCTTGTACATCATGAGGCTCATTTGCGCAGCGTTCCCACCGGTCGCGTCATATTTGAGATCGGAGGGACTCCAATTAGAGAAGAATTGGCACGCGAAGGCAGGAATTCTTACCCATCTCTATTTTTATTCACACTCATTCCCTCACAGCCTTACGCCAAGCAGCAGACAAGCTCCCGACGATAATGGAATTCATCACGCGTTCGACGCCCCCTAGACTAGGAAATTTAGTGCTACAACCAGAACCTTCTACCGACCAACTTTCATCTCCCACACAGACAGCTGAGACCTAGTTACTAGCCTTTGTAATGCATTCATAATTGGATTACAAGGTTTTGTACAGTCATCAAACCACATCGCGAACGTTTCAGGCAGAATAGTAGTATCACAGGTAATGTATATTTATTGGACTGTCCGCCACGTAGCGAGTTTGACGGACCTTGTTTGCAAACAACAACAGCGAGAATAGTGATAAATGAAAGAAAAACACAAGCTCAGATCACTGCGATATGCTCATCAAACTTGCAACAAACGTCAAAATCTGCAGCGACAATCAGCACGACGATGAAGAATAGTCATGGAATAAAAGGAGACGCACAAGCCGTGGACGAACGTCCACTATGTCCTCAGGCACCAAGAAAATCAGCGCGTTCATCTTTCTCGCAATAGAAATAGCCAATTTCGCTTGAAAGGAAGAGAACCAAAAATCAGCATCCGAGAAACCCCGACGTTTACAAAAAACCTACAATTCTGCCGCCGATCTTCATAAGCTCCACTCTCGCTGACATTAATCACAAGAGCGGGATCCACGATCCCTGGTCTCATCGCATCCAGCAGATCGAGGAAGAATAGCCCAGTGGTGATAGCTGGATCTTTGAATGACCGGATGGGTCGAACGCCTGTTTTGCCGTTTTGTGCAGTTGCGTTTGCCCATTTAAGCATGTCTGTGTCGCTGATGGGTCTGCCGGTCTTGGAGAGCGCCATCAGGGTCTTTGTGATGTTTAACCTGCAATCGAATTGAGATGTGTAGGTAGTGTGAAAGAGACGATGTACCTCATTAATTGCCAGACAAGACCAAGAACGAGCGTCTTTGAACCATCGACTATATCAGCCCCCTGTATACCAACGAGGTGCATCCCATTCTGCTTCCCAAGCTCCACTGCGTAGTTTGTGTTCTCCACTTGTTTGAAACGGGAGAGTGTGCTTTGGTTGGGAGTGACGCCAATATCTTCCTGCTCTTCCTCATCGAGCATCGTTGGAGGCGCAGCTTGTGCACCACCTTTGGGCTTCGAAACACGGCGCCATACTACAGAGCCAGGCGAAATTTTGTCGAATGCTTGGAGGATGATGAGCCCATCGCGTAAGTTCTCAAATAAGTTGAACACTGCTGGCTCGACGCCGAGCGAGTTGAGCCATAGCGTGAATGCGCGTGCTTCACGTTCACCCTCTGCGTCAAAGTCCTCTACAGCGCCGTAATCCTTGGCTTCTTGTTCATCGAGGGGTTCGAGACCAGGCCAGGTATTAAAGAGGTTTGCGACGAAGGCAAGGTTGAGACGGGGGTTACCGGAGACGAGGGATGAAGGTGTTAGGTACTTGCGACAGCCGATGACTTCAGCGTTTTGGAGGACTTGTTCTGCGCGTTGTCTCACGTCTTTAGTTTGAAGAGGTGCCAGGGAACATTGGTCTGGTTTGAGTTGGTTTAAGAGGACGGTGTAGTTCTCGCCGTCTGAGACGTCGCGGCTGAAGTTGTTAACTCTAATGGATCACGCATGAGAAGGGATCAATAAGTATAGATAATGAGCGTACCTCCGTTTCCACCCTGCAGCTTTCAAGTGGTAGTTGAACCAGCGGAGTAGAATTTGATCTGGCGTCAACCGTAGAAGATCGTCAATAGTTTCGCCATCCTCGCAAAGCCGATACAATTCAGGGTGAATCTTGATATCGACCTGCGCAAGCAAACCACGTCGGATGATTTGCCAGATAAGCCCAAGGATCAAATGCTCCCTCCCCTCTGCAATATCAGAAGAGCCAATATTGACGACGGAGCATCCGATACCCTTCGCAGACGCGATCACGATGTTGTTGTTCTCTGTCATCTGGAAAGCATTTAACGGCTTCCGGGGGTTTGGCTTGTTTAGCACACGCGTATCGATGGTGTCGGGGACGGAATCGTTGATCAGTTTACAGAGGATGAGGCCATCTTTGCATTCGTCGAAGAGCTGCATGGTTGAGGTAGGGATTGGGAAAAGGTTTCCAATGTCGGGGTCGTTCTCGATCACCTGCGGCCAGTGAATAAGACAAAAAATGACAGCGATGAGAGGAACTTACTGTGTTGATGTGATTTGTGAATTCCGTCCGCTCATCTTCATTGATCGTATGACTGACATTAGCGTTTGAGCCTTGGACGGTAACCTTTCCTGCTCGTGTTGGAAGGACCGAAGCCTTGGTTTGTGTGCGCAGCTTGACATTGAGCTGGCAAACGATCGCCGATGAGTGATGTGTGAGATGACATCATGGATGGTGTACGGACCTCTACCCAGTCCTCGAGCTCGACTTTACCGCTGGCATCAACAGAGACATGTTTAAGCGTCTCTCGAGCCTTGTCATACGATTCTCCGGTATTCTGAAGTGCTTGAAGAACAGCGCTCTTGTCTATACGACCTGGCGTGTTGGTACTAATCGCGCTGCGGACGAGATTTATTACTCAGTAATTTCGAAAGGAGATCTCCCGTACTTGAAGCGATTTACGAGATCAAACATTTCATCTTTGGAAACTTCTGGGTATTTCTTTTGAAGTCGAAAGGCCTCCATTGGAGATGATGAAGAGGAGGATAGTGGCGGTAATTGGACAGAGTAAGTGGTGAAACGCGGTGGGGGTTGCCGCTTGGCTGCGGACGATTGACTGCTCCGGGTCGTTACCATCACCATCTTCAACTTGTAAGTTGTTTCAAACAAACTTCGCTCTTTCTTTTCTGCTTATAACCCTTCAAGTTACACGCAGCACTGCGCAGCTGCCCGCAGTTCCGATCAGAGGGTATGACGCAACATTAACGAGGCACTATCTCGACTGTGCATGACACAACTTCAAGCAATTGCCCTTTGCCTCATGTCAATGGGCAATGGGCACAGGTGGAAACCCACTATTCTGAGAATGGCTCTCAGAGGTTAAACTGAACGACACAGTCTGAATAGAAAAATGAGACTAACAGCACATGTGCAAATGTGCAAATGTGTGATTTCGTTTGTCGCAGATTGTGCTAGAACAGTAGACATGCTCAAGCCTCATATGCATACTGTTGGGACCGCCAATAGTTTCATCAGTGAATTGGTGAACAAATGAGGATAGTATTCAAAGCAATATAATGTAAGGCATTGCAACAATCAGACTCCAACTTGCCCAGCTGTGACAGTGACTATTTAGTGCGCAACACTCGAAATCAATGGCACAAGTGACAAGAGAAGAATGCTCTCTGGAATTAACAGGATAAAAGTCTGATAATCAGGGTTCAGAAAACACTGCTGTATGACTACGAATTGACTCTGGTTTTATACTACTAATAGGGTTCAGGAGATAACAGTAAAGCAAGCAGGTGGGGACAGAAACAGGTAGTAAGTACATCAGCCAAGCCACCACACCCTGGCAGGAGTATCCATACACCCTTGGTTATTGTAGTTGAAGGCTATGTATCCATACTCACCAGCTAGTATGATGAGTTTTCCGCAAGTATCAGACACATCTGTCGAAGTATGACCAACTCAGGTGTACAGGGAACATCAGGAAAACTGCATATTACTTAATGTTCCCTTTAAGAAATAAGGTCAGAGTCGCCGAAAGTGTGAAAAAGTCCAATTCAAGTCCAGAACCAGTAAGAACACTGCACTTAAAAAAATTAGATCCATTTTCTTATGTTTGAGCTTAAATTTGTCTTAACGCGCTTTGCAAAACAAATGTCAAAATTGTCCAACTTGAAACCGCTCGTAAGTGCGTAACAAGACACAAGTAAGTATGAAGTCAGGAACAAGTCAAAAACATGCCAAGCAGAATGAAAAGTGCGGTAGCAGTGAAACAAAACAAGTAGCAGGCTCAACTGAGATGATTAATGAGATGGGAGAAAATAACACAAAAGCATGCAGCACTGGAATGATCAATGAGATGGGAGAAAATAGCACAAAAGCACGCAGCAATGATATCAAATCATTGTACTAAGCTTGCGAGGATGCAACCAAATGGGCGAGAAACGTAAGTGCACCGGTGAACATCCAGGAAACAGCGATCTGGAAATCAGGATGATGAGTGAATGACAATGGTTAATGCATGCAGTGAAGTGAACTTACCTTTAGCGGAAGGCAAGTAAATTGACATATTTCTCATCAATCTCTTCCTCAGGCTCGTCAGCTCCCTTGGACCATCCTCCACAAGAGGAAGCTTTCATGTATTGCTGTGCTTGCTGAACAATGCCCTGCATGGCTGTAGAGGGAACATTCTTAATTGCTTGCAAGAGCATGCACATATCGTAACCCCAAAGCAGCTCAGAAAAGCTCTCATTCTCCCCAATAACAGCTTCCCAGATGTCTCCGTTGACAGCCGATGCCTTACCCTTGCGTATAGTAGTAGCCTTCTTCTTTCCCTTCCCAGTAGCCATCGTGATAGTGAAACTCATTGCTCCTACCGAAAGGAGGTACAGAGCGTGTTTTACCTGTCAAAAATTTAAGATGAGTAAGAAAAAGTGGAACATAGTAAATGTAGGATAGTTACCGCCCCTGCCAATAAAGCAAGTGATGCCCGCATAATGTCGTTTTCACTGTTGAGCGCTGGAACTTTCACCCAGCCTTGGGTATAGTTGAGATGTGCAGCAAATGTCTGCAACACAAACATAGACTGCCACATCCCCGTCCATGCCTAAATGATAGAACTGTGTTAGCATGAGGTGATGTAAAAAGACAACACAACCCTCTGGATCATCAGAACTAATGTCTGAGAAATGGAAACAGTTATCTTCAAGCCAGAACTTGGCAAAGTTGATGCGCTCTTGGTCAGTTTCATAAGTATAATCAGAAGCCATGAGACTCGTAATGATCATGACAGCAGCAGATCCAAACCCTCCATGCCATTCACTGAGGCATTGTTTAGCCTACCATTTGTCAAGTAAGTGTTGGCCTGTAAATTGAAGATACTGTCAACGTACCACATGATAGACGGCACCACCAAGGACAATCTTGTAGTTCTTCAGTGATGGATTGTCTGCATAAACGACATTCCACGTCTTTGTCAGAATCGGGATGAGTGTGTCGTCCTCGATCAACCAAGGGTGGACATTCTCGCCACCTGCTGCATGTGCGACTGTAGGGATGAAAACTCCGCTGTAGAGACTCATGCCTCTCATGGTGTGATATGGCAGTATTCACTAGGGAGCGCAACGCGCGCCATGCGCGCACCATTCCCGCGCTTTACGATGGATACGCGCGCGCGCTTTCCCGTGCTTGGTCGCCCTATAGCGCCAGCCTTCCGGAAGCATCCATCCACTGTCCACCAAGCTCTCTAGTGCGTGTATTTCCATCTCCCTTATTTACATATCATTCCACCTTTATTTATATCATGGACCCTTACTTACATACATATATCTTTACATACCTTACTCGGTAGCGCTTCGGCTCCGCGTGACAGCGCTTAGGCGCCGTATATAAGCGCCAGCATTACATACTATTAGAGAACTTTTCCAACTTAGACTTTACCTCCCACTTACCACCCACATACTACCTAGGAGAACATAGTAGAAATCTATTCTTTGACACCTCGCGCTCGTATCTCTTGTCTAGTATCTAATCACCCCTTAAGCAAACTCACTCTTACTCTCTCTCATTACCGCTCACGCGCGCGCGCTTCCCGCGCCTCGCGCGTACCTTCGCTTTCCCGCGCCTTGTGCGCACCTGCGCACTTTCTCGCGCTTCGCATCAGCCGACCAGTAGCGCCTTCGGCGCGCACTACTAGATCCTTGCTGCACTCGCTTCCCCTTTAGGGTCGAACGCACTTGTCGTCTCAAGTATAGCAGACTAGGCAACGCGCGACCTCACAACATTTACAGATACAGTCTGGAGCATCATTTGTTCCTCACAGTATTGTTGTTTCTACACCGCGCCATAAATTTCCATCCAAGCAACCAGGAGGAAGGTCACTGTTCTTGTATTTTGCCTTCGAGGGCTCTCCAACTGCCACCTCACTTTCTGCCTCTCGTTTGATATGCTTGGACGGAGGAGCATTATCCACAATTTCCACGCTGGCCTTGAATATGAATTTGTATCAGTGAAGTCTTATATAAGTTGATGTGACTTACTGATGCTGTGACTCGCTTATTCCCACCCATGTTCCTCATGGCAGTGCTAGCATCGTGGTGTTCAACACCAGAATCATCATCATCATCTACAAACACGATAGCATCTTCCTGGCCCTCCAAGTCCACAGCGATGTCCTTTGGTTCAGATCAGGTAATATGGGGACGGGTGTTACCCGATCCATATTGAAGGAGTCTTAATTGCGAAGGAACTGGTGGAGTTAGAGGTTGGGGAATATCTTGGACTTCAATCATGTCCTAAATAAATATCAATATTTAAGAAATTTGAAACTATACAAAAACTTAGCTACCATTGATTTTTGATTGTGCATTGTTTTACCCATGTTTGCAAGGGTATATGCCACCAAGCGCTCAGGTCCATCAGCTTCATCTGGTGTGTGCTCTTCAGCTTCAACATCATCGTTAAACACAGAGCCCTCAGGTGTTGCAGGAGGAGCTGTAGCAGTAGTGGTTGCATTGGTTGTTGCATGAGTGACTCGAGAGAGTGCAGATCCTGTCGGATGAGAAAGAGAAGAGGCACTTTCTAAGTGCAATGACACCTTGAATCCAGACTCGAGCTTCATATTGACTCATTGAGCCCAACCTGAAACTGCAGCTATTTTTTTGATGTCGCTAGTAAATTCATGGAGCAGATTCCAATAGAATAACATCGTTTCAGTCAGTAAAAGCATGATATGAGCAGTTAAGAAAAAAGCACCCACATCAGCTTGTTTCCATTCCCAGCGGCATCTGATGCACGTGGATGGGATGGCTGCATTAACAGCATCGTGGTGATCAGTCCTCTGGATACGCTTTCTCCGTTCAAGAACTTGAAAGTCATCATCATCATCATCATCATCATCATCATCATCATCATCATCATCATCATCATCATCATCATCATCATCATCATCATCATCATCATCATCATCATCATCATCATCATCATCATCATCATCATCTGCAACAGCCTGAGTGTGAGAGGAAGATGCTGTTGTCGTAGTGCCTTTCCCAACTGGGCGTGGTCATGGCTTCTTTGTTGAGACTGCGTTCTTCTGCTGGATGGCAGCTTTCTGCTGAGCAGCAGCCACTTGAGTAATGGCTTGTCTTGTCTTCTCATCTTGTTCATCTTGTTCCTTCTCTGCGTGCGCCTTATCCTCTTTGAGTTGAGCTGTAGTGCGCCTCTTCTGTTTGGCATCTAGAACCACCTGAGCAGGCCTCTTCAATGCATTGGTTGGACGTGTGTGAACCATGACCAGCAAGACTCAAACAAGGTGGATGTGAAGATGTGGCAATGAGGTCAACTCGCTGAAGCTTAGAGTTGTTAAAGGTTATTTTACGTGTATATTTTGTTTTTGCTACACACTATTACAACTCAATCCCTCGTGATTAACTCATTTTATCACAATGTCAAACACACACCCTCATCGCCAGTCTCAAAGAAGTCTTCATTCACGCAAAGTATTTCAGGCTAATATGATTTCCTGTCCTCATGCTGGCTGTGCGCATTCTTTCAAAAACAGATCCGGACTCACACAACATCGACATGCCATGCACGACTATTCTTTTGACATCCTGAATGAACTGAGAGCCCAAGAACGTTCTGTTCGGGCTGGAGAACCAAACCTTGAGGCAGGAGAAGGCCTCGAGGCGGAAGAATTCAACCTTGAGGCTGGTGAAGCAGACATCAAGGCTGGAGATTGGGACATCGAGGCTGGAGATCAGGACATTGAGGCTGAAAACTCAAATATTCCACCGACTCTGGTCCTAAATCCTAAAGAGACCTACTGAGATTATCACTTGGAGCTCAACGGTGCACATCTGACTATTCTATCATTGACATGTTTCTTATTTTTCTATTGATACAGGAAAAATCTGTGATGAACATGGTCAGTTCCTTGACCCGGATACTCCACCACCTCCATTCACGACAAGAGAACATGGTGACTGGACACCATTCCGCGATTGCACAGAGTTCGAAACCATGGAATTTTTATATACTCAAAATCAAATGTCCGGTGGTGATATTGACAAGCTTATGTACCTATGGGGAAGAACCCTTGCGCATCATGGAGACATCCCACCATTCGCTGATCACAAAGACTTATATTCAACCATCGATGCGATACCCCTTGGAGAAGTGGCATGGGAGAGCTTCACAATGAAGTTCAATGGGAAAGGCTCGGATCCTAATGATTCTGAGACTCACACCCCATGGATGGATACTCCTTACACTGCATGGTTTCGAGATCCCCATGCTGTGGTCCGCAGCATGCTTGCAAATCCAGACTTCAAGGATGAGATGGAGTACACGCCTTATCGTGAGTGGAAGGGAGAGGGAGATGATGCAAAACAGCAGTGGTGCAATGTGATGTCAGGAGACTGGGCATGGAATCAAGCTGTAAGTTCTTTACTACGTCTCAATACTTGACATGAAGCTAATCTAAATTAATCTCAGGATGAAATAGCCAAAGATCCGGCAACACATGGCTTGACCTTTGTGCCCGTTCTTCTTGGAAGCGACAAGACAACGGTCTCAGTTGCAACCAGGCAAAATGACTATTATCCCCTCTATGCCTCAATTGGCAATGTACACAATAGTGTTTGGCACGCTCATCGTAATGCTGTCGCTGTCATTGGCTTTTTAGCCATACCAAAAAGTATGTAATAATTTCATTTTTATGGCGCCTGCTTTACAAAGATTCTACAGCTGTAAAAAAATATTCCGAAGATGCACATTTTAGAAAATTTAAGAAACAATTGTTTCATTCATCTCTCTCACGAATACTGCGCTCTTTCAAGACCTTCATGACTGTTCCTGAGGTCGTGCGCTTTGGGGATGGTCACTTTCGATGTGTCATCTATGGCTTAGGACCATACATCACGGATTATCCAGAACAGGTCGTACTTTCTTGTATCGTGTCAAATTGGTGTGCTAAGTAAGTAATCTTTTTGCGTGAACTTGTCTAAATCTAATGTATTCTCAAGATGTCTTGCTTTTCCAACAGATCTAGATGGCAAAGATGCCCAACTTCGTGCTCGAGTAGTCACAGACGTCCTTTGTGATAATGTTGACTTCAATACTCTGTGTTGTCAGTGGGGTGTTGATGCTGACGTCGTGGTAAGCCTCATTTCATTTTAATTGCTTCAAGCTTTCTAACAACAGTAGCCATTTACGAATGATTATCCACGTGCCGACATCCATGAACTTCTGTCCTCCGATATCCTGCATCAACTTATCAAAGGTACCTTCAAAGACCACCTTGTCACCTGGGTTGAGAAGTACTTGGAACGCATACATGGAAAGACTCGTGCCAAGGTGGTGATGGATGACATAGACAGAAGGTATGCTCATGATATCTCTCTGGTGACCCTTACTGATCCACAGATTTGTTCCTCCAGAATCGCTGCAGTGCCATCATTCGCAGGCCTTCGCCGGTTTCCTCAAGGCCGTGGTTTTACTCAATGGACTGGTAACAATTTGAAGGCCTTGATGAAGGTCTATTTACCTGCGATTGAGGGGCATGTGCCCGATGATGTTGTCCGGTGTTTTTGTGCCTTCCTTGAATTTTGCTACCTCGTACGACAGGATATTATTACAGAGGACATGCTCAAGGAAATTGAGGAGGCCCTTGACCGGTTTCATCATTATCGCAAGATTTTTCAAGAGACCGGTGTTCGTTTTGATGGATTCTCATTACCACATCAGCATTTCCTGGTGCACTATGTTACACTTATCCGCATGTTTGGTGCGCCAAATGGTGTGTTCATCCATTACAGAGTCAAAACACATCAAGGCTGTGAAAGAACCATGGCAACGATCGAGCAAATTCAACGCATCTGGACAGATGTTGCTCACAAACCAGCGCCTCAATAAACTCGCTGCTGCACATACTGACTTCATAGCATGTGGAATGTTAGGTCCACATCCTGGTATGTATGTTTCTTTTGTATACTAATGCATACTGAATAAAAACTTGTGTACTAGATATCGGCCCACAACACCCATCGCAGGACAATGGAAATATGAAGGACGGTGGTGAGGCAGGTGATGGTGGCGAGGTGGACAATGGTGGCGAGGTGGACAATGGTTGCAAGGTGGACAATGGTGGCAAGGCGGATGATGGTGCAGTAGAGGGAGCCCAAGTGCAATGTGATGTGAAACTGGCACACATGCCTCATGCATTGTCTTTTCTTTTACATATACCATTATCTGACCCAACAAAAGAATGCAGACGACCGTACACCATTTGTGCACTGGCTAAAGAACTCGATGTACCAAACTTGCCTCAACTGGTCCGCCTTTTTCTCTATGACCAACTCCTCGCAGACAACGATCATACATCTGATACTGTCCCACTCAGTGCTTGCCCCAGATTTGAAGGCCGCATCAAGGTTTTTGGCTCGGCAGCAGCTACTTTCTTTGCACCAAGTGATCCAAGCGGTATTGGGGGAATGCGACGCGAACATATCCGTTCCGTCCCTTCGTGGTGTGGAGGGCCAGGACACTATGACACCATATTTGTGAACACCCGAAGCGAGGGTGGAATACACAGTATGGAGGTTGCCCGTGTGTTATGTTTCTTTTCCTTTCGTCACGGTTATGGCCATGATTTGAAGACTTTTCCGTGCGCTCTGGTACACTGGTTTAAGCTGGTCTCTGATGAGCCCGATCCTGGAGATGGAATGTGGATGGTCAAGCCATCATTTCTCAACTCGGAGCTGGACACTCGGGAGCTCTCAATCATTCATATTGACATGATCGTTCGTGCAGCTCACTTGCTGCCCATTTTTGGCAATGAATTTGTCCCAGAGAAAGCTACATTCCACGAGACTCTAGATATTTACTGTGTGTTCTATGTTAACAAATTCACAGATCATCATTCCTTCAAAATAGCATCTTGAGCGCATTATTTGAACTTGGTCACTTAAATTACTTGATTATCTTGCAATTTTTTCTCAGTCAGATGCCTAAGTAGTGTCAAGTAAAAACAAAGTAACTTGATGTCATCTTAGCTGACTTAACACAATTTTTACATTTTCAAGCTCGGTTAAGTGAAGTGTAAATTTGCTGATAAACCCATAGATAACGTGTAATGTACATGAATTGTAAACTACTCTTATATACTGTAAAATATTAGTACTCTTGGTCGGGTTTCTACATAGCCAAAATATTACACATCAGTGAACCACAAATTTCTCCCCAGAAAATGCCTATTTCGACAGTTTCCCACAGTTTCCCACAGACTCTCACAGAGTGGACAGCACTCACAAAAGTCACATAAGCACAGACAAGTATTTCACACAGCTCTGACAGGACGTACAGCTCTCAAGGTTGCCAGTGCTAGTGCTGTCTCAGTTGAATAGTACTAAACCTTGAATAACTTAAATTACTAGTATAGTAGTGCTAGATAATGCACTCGGTAAGGTAATGAGGAATGACGAGGCTATCTCTTCATGAGGAAGAGTATCATTTGAGTTGACAGATGACTGAGGTGTCATTGGAAGTGCCCACTTCCGAAGTCCAGCCTGGCTAGTAGTACTAGTATCACACAATGGCACGATACATCATTCCATTAAAAAAACACTCGATTGAATATATGCAATGGTATATATGCACTCGGTAAGGTAATACAAAAAACAGTACGTGACCAAAAACAGTGCGCGACCATGAAATACACTGGTCGTACATCAATTCAATTGGATAGTGATATTTTGACTGGCGGCCCACGACTCGATGTAAGAACCTGTAGCCTGTCCGTTATAGCACTGTGAATATCAATGTATTGGAAGACTTACCATCCAGAGCATAAGGAAGCACTTGGTGAGAAAGGCCGTGCTTTTTAAAGGCGATCCACATGTATCCCAATCCGACGTCTGCCTTGTCAAGTTTGCACTCGGATATGCTGGATTTGAACTTCAATAGATTGGCCAAAACTTCATGCTCATGGACCACGCAATCAGCCAATGATTTCTTGGCTCTGAATACCTCTCATCTCGCTCTCGCGAGTTCCATAAGCAAGTTGGCCTCAAGATCATCCATGTCTTCGATAGTCTACAAACATGTTAGACAATAGATGCTAGTTGCTGGTGGAAATATCAAGCCACTTACCATAGAGCCAATAGCATCAGTGACATCGTACAATTCCGAGAGATCATGGTCGTGGTTACTGATTTTCACCGGCACTCAGAGGTGAGCTGCATGCGAAACACAGCACTGAGGGAAGCGAGAAGATGCTGTAGTGATGTTCTCATGGATGTTGAGACTAACAAGTGGGGTCGACTCAGACATAAGTACTAAAATAATCAATATTATCATATGGGCAATGCTGACTCGTTTGGCCTTTGTTTATTCTATACAGTAGATTCGGTAAAGTCCGAGCTGACTTTGACGTACACATGTCCATGTTTTTCTCACACCTATACATTCTATTCTTATCGTTATGTTTCAGTGTCCTTCGTGCGGCAAAGGTGGATTCAAAGACGAGGTTGCTGTAGCCCGTCATATGAATCAGCCTCGCTCAGGATGCAGCACCTGGCTACAGGATATGATACAGTTTGAGTCTGCACGAACCGAGTCTATGAACGTTGATAGTAATGAGCTCGATATTCCGGACAATCATCTCCATCTCGCAAACACGTACAAAGACCATGACGGATCTGGAGGCTGGGGTGAGAATACTGGACATGGCATTGATTTAAATGAGGGTGGTTCTCCGGTCAATGAAGAAGGAACATTACCGACTGGCAACTTCATCGACTGGTTCCCCGGAGCTTCTCAAATGTATGGCACAGGTCATACTTTCCTTGACTTGCTCAACTCAGATGAGAACAGTGTGCACCGTGCAACAAATCTTTACTATCCATTCAGTGGCCAGAAAGATTGGGAACTTGCGTCATGGCTACTTCATTCGGGATTAAGCATGGGGAAGATAGATAGCTTTTTGTCACTTGAGATAGTAAGTACTCAATATCTTCAATTGGTAGAGTCTAACAACGTGCATGGTAAGATTCAGGGTCTTCCTCTGTCGTTCTCATCGGCCAAGGAACTGCAAGGCAGAGCAGAAATGTTGCCGAGCAGTCCACACTGGATGTCTCAAGTAATTGAGATGACACATCCAACAAAAACACCGGTCGTCTTATATTGGCGCGACCCATTGGATTGTATCTCCAGTATTCTCAACCATCCATCCTTTCACGACCAGTTAGACTTTACGCCTCGCAAGGTGTATACCATGGCGCAGCAGCTGTGCCATGTGTACTCCGAATGGATGACAGGAGATGATGCATGGAAGATGCAGGTGCATAGCTTCGCTTGTTCAAGGCACTCTCAGTACTTATCGTTTTCGACGCAGTCGGCTCTACCACGAGGTGCGATGCTGCTTGGGACCATTCTATCATCCGACAAGACAAATATATCTATGATGATGGGCGACAGAATCGCACACCCGCTCCTCATCAGCCTCACTAATATACACATGTCCACCTGACTCAAGACATCATCTAATTCTTTTGTGCTCACTGCCCTGCTCCCTGTACCAAAATTCCTTCATAAAAATAAATGTATGCGCAGTATGCTAGGGGATCGTCTAGTCCATCAATGCCTGGACATTGTTTTAGAGCTGCTAAAGCTGGCTGCCCGTGAGGGAATTATGCTGTCAGATCCTGTTGGGCATAGTCGCTACTGTTTCACTCCTCTTGCAAGTTACATCATCGATACTCCGGAGGCCATGATGTTGGCTGCTGTTGGTGGCAAAACTTTGCCGGTTACTATGGCCATGTTCAAGCAATTGGCAACCCTTTCCAACACGAGCCCTGAACTAGTTTAATGACACTTGCACAAATAGCTGCTGTCCGGAGCAAGGTCAATTCCAATGATATCAAAGCTTTCTTCTGCGAAGCACAGAGGTTTTGTCTAAATGGTGTCAACAAACCTTTTTGGCAGGATTGGCTCTTTGCTGACCCATCACACTTCCTCACTCCCGAAACCATCCACCATCTTCACCGAGAGTTCTACGACCACGACCTCAAGTGGATCACATGTGCAGTCGGGGAAGCAGAGATTGATTTCCACTTCTTGGCATTGCAGCCTGTGACAGGGTTTCACCATTTCCATGGCGGCATTTCAAAGCTAAAGCAGGTCACAGGGCATGCCCAACGTGACATCCAGCACTCGATTATTATATGAGCTCTGACAGACTTCCATTATCTCGTGCAGTCACCACAGATAGACAATCACAATATCGAGCATATTTCCGCAGCGCTGGCCAAATTTCACACTAACAAACATGCAATCACAGCTGCTGGGCTTCGTCGTGGACAACACAACAAGCCTATCGATAACTGGTACATACCGAAGATAGAGCTTATGTACAATATAGTTCCCAGTATATGCAACACCGGCATCACCATGCAGTGGAGTGCAGACGCTACGGAGCACGCACATATCACTGAGATAAAAGATTCTGCACGGTCAAGTAACAACAACAATTACGATTCACAAATCTGTTGTCACCTTGATTGTGCAGATAAATGTCGTCGCTTTGATCTCGCAACAAGTCTATTAGACTTGAGACTACGAACCAGCCTAGATCAACACCTCAACGTTGATGACATCGTTGATTTTGATGTTGACGGTGATGATGATGACAGCGATCTCTCTGCAGACCTCTTGGCCACGGTCAAGTGCCCTGGATATGCATGTCCAATCACTGACTACTTTACAATGTCAAAGGTTCTCTGCACAGGGAGGTAGGGACAGTCCCTCTACCATTGCGCACCTTCATTGTTGGACGTATGGCCTTTCATCTCATCAATCAGGGCCATCTCCATCAATGATGCTGCCCTTAGATTCGGCCTTCCCGACTTACAACCAGCCATCGCTGACTTCCTTTGTCATGAATATATCCACGAATATGGTCATGTTCATCCGCTTGGGGGGGGCTAGGAGGGATGGGTGCAATGCTTCACTTCCATTTGAACAACTGCAAATATGGTTCAAACTTTGGCTCCAGGATACAGAATTTCACAATACCACCAGCGTGCGGCCTGCACAGACCCTGAACTGCGCACCACCTTCTGACATTTGGCCATTTGGTCGGTATGACACTGTTATTGTCAATAATGAGGAAGGGCACTCATGGCCTGCTGATGGTCTTTGTGGTGATTGATCTTCTTTCATTATACTAAGTGCTCTCTAACTCTTGAGTTTCTAGGTCATGTTGTCGCTCAAATGAGGCTTATTCTATGTCCAATTAGAAAGACAGGCACACAGGGGACTCGGAAGAATTGCTTCCTCACTTATGTGCAACACTTCAACAATAGCGAGCATGAACCAGCTACGCAGCTACAAGTGCTCAAGAGGGCGAAACGGTCAAACAGGGCTCGCATTGGTGATGTGATACCAGTCACTCAGCTCAGAGTGCCTGTTAATGTTGTCCCTCACTTTGGTGCAAGTGCAGACCCTTGTCTCACTCAATATAACAGTATGGAGCTCCCAGTGATTTTTGTATGAATCTTGTGTTATTTTTAGTTAGACTGCGGTGATAAGCAACGCCTCTGAGTCTCACCGTCATCGTCCCTCTTTGTTGTCTCACCAAGCGCCAATTATGCCACACTTTTATAGGACAATTGATGACAGAATAAAATTGGCATCACTGTTGTCAATTCCTGTCAAGGACGTCGCTACTTTGAACAAAATGACGACCATTGAACTCGACTGTTTAGTGACAACTGAACCTCAATCCCTGGAAAATGGCTCACTAGGCCACCTACTCCCTCTGATCTTCAAGCCTTTCACACTCAAAGTTCCTCAGGCACACACACTTCGAATCAAACTCAGTAAAATTCTTCATTGCAACACATGGATTAACACAATCTTCAGTCAAAACTCTCTGGATGATATCGTGCCATTGTATGATAGCCAAGCCGGACTTTGGAACTGGGCACTTCCAATGACACCTCCTCAGTCATCTATCAACTCAAATGATGCTCTTCCTCAGCCGGGTGTCACCCATGAAGAGATATTCTTGTCATTCCTCAATGCTCTTTGTACTGCTATGGCTGAAGCAGAAGACAAGCTAATCACGCTACCTGCAACTTGCACATGGAGTGCAAGCAATTCCACGGTTGCAGTGTCTGGTAGCGATATCAAGCCCAAGCCTGATCTTGTGCTATCCGATGATATCAAGCCCAGGTGAGGCAATATTTGTCTGTGCGCTGAGCTGACATACAGTCAGTACAAGCCTGCACAGTGGATTGCAAAGGCTGCAGATACCCAGGCATATCTACTCCTCAGCAATCAGCCCTGGAGACATTTCGCACTCGTTCTATCATTCACACATCAATATTGTGAACTCAGGGTCTTGTTGTATGACCATGCTGGTGGTGTTGTGACCCCTAGCATCAAAATCCAGCAGAGTCCAGATGCATTCGCCCAAATTATTGCTTCTGTTGTCTTTGGCAGCCCAGAATGTATTGGGTACGATTCCACAATCACCTTCTGGAAAAATATTTTGCTTCCCCCACCCCCAGGTACAGATATACCTGGTTATCGCCCATTCAAGAACCTTCCTGCCCGAGCTACTTGGAGTATCACCATTCCTGGTGAACTTGACAGTGAGTCTCTTGCTGCGTTGGATGAGGATCCCCAGGAACTGTCCCTTAATGATGAGGCTGGGTCAATACTCCCCCCTGATAATGACCTTGAGCCGATACCCCCCGCTGATGACACCTCCAACTCAGAGCCAATGCCCAAGTCCCGCTCCCTCCCCTCCTCCCTCGTGTCTTCTGCTGCAACCCCTTGTAGTCACTAGCACTCCCTTGTTGGGCCTCGCATCTTGGGCTCCTCTGCCGGGGGCTAATACCACCTTCAGCTCTACACCCCATCCTTTCCATTTTCCCCACACCCCTCAATTGCCTGCAGAATCCTGCGGCCAGATCCGTGTCAACAGCAAGATCTACACTATCCTGAAGATCCTCTGTACCAGCAAGGGCCTCATTGGTTGCGGGACTGTCTGTTACCTTGTCAGTCTGGATGAAGAAGAATATATTATTAAAGACCACTGGGTTTAGGGTGGCAAGGATAAAGTCTTGAATGAGATCAACATGCTAAATGCGATGAGCAGCATTCCTGGTGTTCCCAAGCTAGTAGATTACTGGCTAGTCAAAAAGTCAGATAATGTCATTGACCGGACAGGGGATTATCGTCACACAGAAAACCTGAGCATTTGAGGTACCCATTGCACGCACGTTCGCCTCGTCATGAAGCCCTGTGCTTGCCCTCTTCATGCATTTCAAACCCTTAAGGAGTTTGTGAGAGCGATTAGGGACATTATTATCAGTGAGCTTTAGTCAATTGTGCATGTGTTTAGTATTCATTTTCTTATATTCTAGTCCAATGCACAGCAGTAGAACACGGCATTTTACATTGTGACTGCAGTCTTTACAATGTGATGATCGTAGGAGAGCCCAATGATAGTATGGGCTATTAATTGATTGGGAGTTTGCAGTATTCATTGCTTTGAGTGATGAGTATTCTATTGGCGGTACAGTAAATATATCTCGCTTGAATGTATGAAATTTTGTTGACTGGTTAAATGGTTTATTAGGGCACAATCCCTTTTATGTCATGCACGCTTCTCGTCCAACTTGCAGAATTGCAGACCAAGGCACTACAGCAAGAAGCGCGAAAATCCTCTTCTAAAACTTTGGCGCTGCCACCATCCTGTGTCTCTCAAAGCTTTGCGGATGACCTCGAGTCCCTCTTTTATGTCTTCATATATATTTGCATCAAATATGGCGGTCCTAACAGCAAGGAGCACCAGGAGTCCATACATGACTCGTTGCCGGATAGCTGGTCGACCCTCGACCTGGATGAGTGCAAATTGAGGAAGGTTTATTTTTTTGCAGTTTCCTCGAAGGAGGCCCATCTTGCAAAACAATTCCACCCATACTTTGCACCACTTATCCCCCTTGCGAAGGAGTGGAGGGCGGCGACCTTGAGGGACAACATGGAGACACGGGTCACTTTTGACAGTGTTATCAATCTGCTAGAACATCATCTTACCACCCTTCAGGATGACGAGGAGCGTGCATCCACGACCGAGGATCTCAAGAAATCTGCTGAAGAACTCGCTCGATGTATGAACAAGCGGACTGCAGAAGCAGGCTCATCTAGTATCTCTATGCCACAATTGGCCAAGCGGAAGAAGCATGACTCGGAGACAGCTGACTGGGAGAGTGACTTAGACGGCTCGGTGACTGAGGCGATGGTGGCCTCAAATGACTCACATCAAGTTTATGGCTTGGACTGACATTAAATTATCAATAGCTTAGCTGTAGCCATGTGATTGTACTTTCCTTCGAGTTTCCAGTGTTTCCTTACTAGAAGTAGCAGTCTCGTATCAATAGTCTGTACACACACATGTGTTCTTTACTCATTTTTTCTGAGTCATCTCCATCTTTCTTCAATCTACTATACCAAGCTGGTATACCGTCACTCAGGCTCACATATCTTTCTATTACTCTTCAAGTTCGCTCCAAATCGACCCGAGTCACTTTGATCAAATCAAAAGCATGAGCAAAAAGAAGTGATTTCTCTCTGAGTTAGATCTTGAGTATAGTAAAGATTGGTTTGGAGGCTGGCACGCTGGGGGGTGGACAATATGGTGAGTACCAGCTGTTAAGAGATGGCTACTACTTGTTGGATTGATAAAAACTAGTTCTGATTCGAGTCAATCTCACTGGTGCACTGCAAGTCACTCACTTACTAGTAGGCATGCGGCAGTTGGGGACATATTTCTCCTCGTTCTTCATATTACTCATGTACAAAATGGACTGTTCTTCAAGACAAATTGTCTCATGCTGCATCATTTGCCTAGGGAGAACCTGCAATCCCTTTCAACCTTGAGGCATCGTCGTATAAAATATTGGTGAGTCTGGAATGGCTCGTTAGTTATTCCTCCTGCTCAAGTTTGTTGCAGCTTCATCATGCCTCCTCACACTGTTGCCATTCCCAAGAAGAAACAGGCCAAGTGCAAAGGTTTGGAGGCATCCCAGCCTCAGCACAAGAAGCTCTGAGCAGCAGAACCTGTCGAGGCATCTGGCACGCCACTTGTGTCCCTCCGTCTAGATGCAACAAGCACTGACGAACCTGGTAGACGTTCTGGCTGTGCCAATGCAGGAACAGGAGGTATGAATGCTCAATTGGAGAAGATTGGCGCAGTGTTAGAGGCACCGTCTCAGGTACATCGACCTAAGGGCTCTACGTCTCTTGGTTCTACTGCTCCTGTCAACCCTCAAGCTCCAGAACCACTTTGTGGCAAGGGTCAAGGCCGTCGCCCAAAGGTCTGGTTGATAGTTATATTGTTATTTATATTAATCGGTTAGATCTAGGTCACACCCCCACCATATAGTTCACCAGCCGCTACAAATGTTCCAAACACCCCACATGTAGATGTCAGTACTGTGGAACCTTTGCAGCCTCTGAATATCTTGTTCTGTCAAGCTGGAGGAAGATTCAGGTTCACTATGCATGCACCTACTGTCCCTCCCGACCCTGATTTAAGCAACCTACATGCTCCTGTTGACAGGAAAGTTGCTGCGAAGCCAGATTACAAAACTGTAACCGGCCCTAGTCAAGCTAACTTGGTTGCACTGCCAGCTAGATTTCTGGACCAGAACATCGACCCAGCCTTGCGTGGCATCAATGTGGTGGAGCCTCAATCATTTGAGGGAGGTTGTTAAGACCGTGCACAAAGGGTAGGACTGATTCCAAGGGGCTTGGCTTCAGCTCGTGCGCTGCACCCCTTACCCGAGTATGTGCCCTTAACTTCAGAATGAAGTCCGGAGAAAGTCCAGTGAAGTCCGAAGGACTTCTGGAGGAGCGTGGGAACTTCGGAAGTACTTTCCGGACGAGTGCGAGAAACTTCCGGATGAGTGCGGGAAAGTTCCGGAGGGACTTCCGGAAATTACGATGGAGTTTCGTCCTGACGGGGATATGTGTAATGGCTACTCAGGACAAGTCCTGAGTAGAAGGAAACAGAGGAAAGGCTGCAAGGACAAAGTCCGAAGCAGAATAGGTCCGGAGGACCGCGGGAAAGTTCCGGAAACTCAGAGGATCAGAGGAGCAGAGCTCCGGCCTAGGGAATTCCTCCCTAGGCCTGAGATGGATAATTACTAAGTCGGAGGACTAGAACTGTTACAAGGACTTAGAGTGAAGGCTAGTGCGAGGACTAATATGTGTAATATTCAGACTGAGGAAATACAGGAGTATCTACTGGGGTTTATATACTAGAGGCAAGTCTGTGCAGATCAGTAAGCAGAGGGGTAAGGCTATGTATGAGCATGTGGAAATGTATTAGAAAATAAGACGGATCATAGGAAATAAACTCGGAGATGAAATGAGGTACGGAAAATGAGTATAGTCTAACTTGAGAAGGAATGTACAAAGGGAAAAGGCACGGAAGATAGACGCGGGTCAGATCCGGATGTTCGGAAGTCCAGAGACAGGTGATTACCATAAGGGGATGGGCGCTGATTTAAGGTTTGAGTTCGGACAAGACAGATAGGTTGGATCCAGAGATCCGGAGATGTAGATATCAGATCTGGCGTCCGGATATCAGATGCAGGAGTACAGGGATCTGGACGGATAGAGGATTGGGTCTGGAGACATGGACAGGAGGTCCAGAGGTCCGGATGAGGCGTGGGAACGTCGTCGGATGTTGGTCCGGAATGCGGGATATGACAGAAACTCAGAACCAAACATTACCATCACTGGTGTTGCAGTGCATGATCTCATGCCTGCACACTTCAAGATGACTTGCAGATAATGTGTGAGACGAGATAGGAGGCACAGTAGCGATTACATGCTTACCTAGTAGGGAATCCAATATATAATGCAAAAACTCACAGCAACAAGAGAACCAAGTGCATCTGACAGCTGGGGTGCAAAATACTGTGTGACAGTGGACTCAAGGGTCACTAGTTGCAGTTATTTCCTTTAGAATGTTTGATACACTGTCTGAAGCTTTCTGGCCATCATTGTCATCGGTCATCTCGAGAGGTTTCACAGAAAACTAATTATCCTATATAAGAAGATGCCAGAGGTACATTCCTTTGACATCCAAATCATCCCATTAGGGCAAAGTGCCACAGGACTGGAACAGTTCTTTTGTAAGTCCGGCCTCTGCAGGTATTTTATAAATGTGTTCTGGGAACTTGCCTGTTACTTCAATCAGATCAACATGCACATCATAGATCTAAGTTGGACTTACTGCCTAAATGTTTGCGTATCTTATTGATACACCCATAATCCTCCAGCAACTTGTGAATTTCTCCATTTAAGGCAAGCTAAGTGTGCTACCACACATCCTTTATGATCAAGTTGTCTGTATCAGCAGGAGTGCATTGGTAGGTAAGGCCCAGGATTCTGGTAGAACGACCAAAGGTCGAATTGCTATTATAGATCACCGACACGATATTGGTCATTGCCCCGTGCACTAATTTAGTATCTCTGTGCAAGGCCATCCTAAAGCCGTGGCTATTTCTTATAATAGAATTGTCATAACTGAGGAGCTCCAAGTCGGCATGCTTGAACCACACCATACAATTAATGAAATCATTAATGTCGTGATACATGTTGATTGGAGTGGTTATGGACAATCCTCCATGGGTGTATATGTACACAAAGATATTAGTACCCAACATGAGCAGACCCACAAAGTACTGCCGATCAATCTGATTTGTCAAAATGAATTGTGCAATCTCTAACATGTAATTCATTGCATCCTCCATGAGAGCCTTGGTGTCGCGATACTTGAACTCTAGTACAGAGATGACATCCATCCATTCAATGAGGTGGATAGGCCTCATGGTATCCACTAATACATCTTCAGGCTTGCAAAAACCAGGCCCATTAGGAGCAGCCATGTTTGCACCAGTTTTGGAACAAATCAAAGTGTTGTCAGTGTAAAGCCAAGTATGTTTATGAAGTTTTGACAGGACCAACCTGCCCTGCTGGTGGGTGATAACTTTGTCAACCCAAGTACTGCTCTGCATAACATTAGTGAATATCAAGCAAATTGATGTCATCTAGCAACATATTTGGAGCAGTAGTTGTAGATATATTGAGTTTTTGGTGTTTTTGAGAAGTTGAGGGGAGATAAGGGTTTTCTGGGTGCTCAAAGGCCTGTCTCATTTAGCTCTTTTGGCCTTTTACTATCCCTCAGTGGCTCTGTCTATTGCCTCAATCTGCTTTTTCATAGGACCAGTCATTATTGCCCTGCACCATACTCCTTCCTCCTCCACACATTTTGCACTTTCACCAGCCCATTTTGCATTGGAACCCCCTTGACCCTATACCCATTTTGAAGCCCTTGTTCATGGCTTTCATTCACCTTCATTGGCGCCACAATCTGATGCATTGTTCGCCCACCATTTGCGTTTTCTGCCACCCCTCTATTTCAATGCCCTCATTCGCCTCTTTCCATCCGTCGACTTTCTGTCATCATCCGCACAACCACTACTTCGCTTTATATTGTTTTATTGTTTTACCATTCTCCCAGTACTGACATGGTTTGCCTGGCACAAGAGATGTCAGGGCAAACAGGTGCTGGAGTCATTGTTTTATCTGTCTGCCTGACCCTCACTCACTGATGCGGTTCGCCTGGCACAAGAGATGTCAGGAAAACAGGTGTTTGAGGACCCCCATGTTAGTTTTCTCAGTTTAGCTTAGTTTTGGTTTTTGCATGGGTAGATGACTGGAGACAGTCATGATTTAAAGTTTGTATGTGATGTAGGGAATGATTCCTGGCTAACCTTGCAGAGACTGTTTTGCTTAGTACTATGTTTGCACCTTAGCTTACATAATCAAGTTACCTTTTCACCAGTCACCAGTATGAGTCTGAGTCTTCAGTAAGTTTTTATGGCATTTCCTCTCCTCTGAGCCTTGAGCCTGGTCCAGAAACCCTGGTTCGAAATCTGAGCTCAAAACAACATGTGATGATGGCATGTGATATATTTTATTGATAAGAGATAACAATAACGATCTGACACGTGGCGGAAAGGTTCACTAGACATACCACTGTCCATTTATCTTACAAACTACACCAGTCTTTTCTGCACCCCTCTGCTGCATGAATTTTTCCTTAAGGTGGGTAGCTGCCTGATTGAAAGTGGACATCTTGAAGCTCCTGTCACCTGAGGAAGGAAGGGCCTTCAAGAGGAACTCAAGAAAGGCAGTCTCCTCTGCCTTTGACCACACTGCAGGCGCCTTATGGGATGTTCCAGATGCTGCTGCTGCTTCAATGGTACCCTGAGAGCGTAGGGAGTGTAAAGATCTGCTGCTGGATCCATCAGACATTTCGATGATGATAATGCAATGATCAAAGGTATCTATGACAAAGATTAGTCAGTTGTTGACATAACATGTGCACATCATCACATGTTGTTTTGAGCTCAGATTTTTGAACCAGGGTTCGCTGTCCAAACAGCACCTTAGGGTCGAATAGCAGCTAGGTTCTGCAAGACCCAACACATTGTTCTGAATCACCATCAGAATTGTTGTACTCACACCGCCCCACTTATTCTGTTCTACCTTGCAATCATAAGGATACTTAATTGCTGATGCATCATCCGCTGTGGTACAGGTGAGCAACATTTTGTTACTATTGTTTAGAAATGCTTCTCAATAACTTAAGATTGTTAAAAGTGGTGGAGGAAGTAGAATGTGGAGCCCACTCCAAAACCAATGATGGCTAGGTTGTGAACTTCTGCAGGGTGTTGTGCAGCATGTGCCTCCATGAGTTTTGTGTGTTCTTGCTATGGTGAAATGGGAATTGACAGCATTAGCTGGTTAAGGCATAGCTAAAACAGTACTTCAAGGCAGTCATCATGAAGTTGCTCACAAAAGATGCAGACAAGCAAAACAGATAAACATATATATACTCTTTTCACACTTCTCCTCACAATGACATCAATGTTGGCTGGCTGGAGCCAGACCATGTTATATCTGCACTGAATCAAGGATCAGGATCATCTGGGCATGTTGATTAGAGCCATGATGGGCAAGAGAACGAGCAGTGGCAAGAGGAGAAACCAGGATGGGAGAATTGGAAGCAGCAAGAGAAAGAGCAGTGGAAAGAGAAAGAGCAAGGATAAGAGAAGTGGAAGTGGTGAGAGAAAGAGCTAGGATTGAAGAGATCAACATGATGAGAGAAAATGCGGTGGCAAGAGAAAAAGCCAGGATGATGGAGATTGAGGCAACGAGAGAAAGATTGGAGTGCCACACACAAGTGCATAAGTCGTCAAAGTTCCAATATGTGTTAGCAAGCTTGCCATGCTTCAGGCTACAGGAAAGTAAGTCATGACCAAGAACCCAAGAACCGATGGTTGACAAGTTTGTTGGCATCAACAGCACCAATAAAGCCAATTCCAATACATACGCAAATTCTAATTCAAACTGTGCTTGAACTATACTTTTGGAGAAGGGGTGGATGATGTTCCATAGTCAGCAGTTGTGAAAAGCATATTGATGTCATGCTCACTGTGCCATTTCACATCCCTTGTACAGACCCCATTGAGTTTTATATAATAGTTGCATGTCCTAAAGAATCTTCACAAGATGTGTGTGTCTGCCATTCGTGTATCATAACAATCTCAAGGCACTCCACCTTGATGATGTTTTGAGAATCTTAAAAAAAGACTTATGAGAATCTTGTCAAACATGAGGCTGGTGTGTGATATCATGCAGTTGTGTACCAGCTCCTAGAGGGTGAGCCCTCTGGTATACCTGAGAGACTTTGATTCCGACTTATCGCCCTATAATGGCTCTGCAGCTAGCACATTGAGATCCATAAAGTGTGCACCAAAGTCTGCACTTCCAATGACCTAGTGCCTTCAGAATGTATAAAAGCCTCCTTGCAAACCAATGCATGAGCAGTGTTTTCGGATGGAAAAATAATAATAAACCTATTGTTGGACACAATTATAAGCTGTATGTGAAGCTCACAATGCATGCCATGGGCACCACCTTGAACCACCCTGAGTCACCTTTGATTTTCAGCAACATCAGGAAAATGTAATTCACTACAGAGTATTACAGAGTGCTCTGTAGTGTTCTGTAGTACAGAGCAAGGATCCATCGATCCATGACATGGTTTGAGATGGGAGTACATGGGTTGTACATAAACTGCACGCCAGTGGTTTTGTCGAGAAGTGTCACTCGACCAATGAAGAATCAGATGGAATTCATCCAGAAGAAGAACACAAGAGATAACATCCCAAACACCTTCCTCGCAAAAGTGCAAGTTTACACCCCACACAGTGGGAGATTTGACCAGGAACATCCTGGAACAAAGTAAGATTGAAAGTAGTATATATCAATGAGTTGAAAGTGTGCTGGTGAATATGGCATGCTGGATGGTCACACTGTTAATATGGTTTGCAGATGAGGAAGCCGAGTCACCTTCCAGATTCAGACCAACAGTCAAACACTTCCTCCACACGCCTCAAGATGCCCTTACCCATCTTTGAAGGAATAATCAGATGATCAACTTTTTCACAGTGAATGTCTGTGAAGCCAACACCACTAGTAAGCTCCTCAAGTTTGGCGATGGAGCTGATGTAGACAACCTGTACTCTAATCAATTCACACTCATACTGAAAAATGCTGATACTAACCTCTTCATAATCAGTGGGGGAGGGAGCATTGACAGAACAAACCATGGTTGAAGTGTTGAGGTGAGACACGAGAAAGCGGTGATGAAGTAAAGTTGAGACCTGTATTGAAACCGATTATGTTAACAGTGTGCTCCTGAGTCATAAGCAACAGTAGATGCAGATGCATATGTAGAAGGAAATGTGATAAACAAAGTGATCTAAGTAGCAGATGATATGTAGAAGGGAATATATTAAGGATCGTCATATATATCTTGTCCTTGTTTCTCATGCTCAAGAATGTCCCCACCGCTCTGTTCGTCAGACCTTAACATAGTCAGAGCTGTCATCCTCTGCTCAAATTGTTCCTGGTGATCGGCAGTGCAGATAATTTCAGGTATTTCTGCACATTAGATATTTGTAAGCTGCAAATAATGAAGAGCAGGAGGACATACCACAGCTAGACATGTCTTTGAGTCGAGTTCCAAGGTCTCTTTTACCTGAAAAGCTCTCCTGTGACATGATTCGATCTAATCTACATAGATGCACTGCATTGACAGCAGCATGTCTGCACCATTGACGTTGCAGCTCAAGTCTGACAGGTTCATTTGATATGAGAAGGGAATCAATAGCGGCATTCACAGTGAATTCCTTGTCGCGTATGGCTGTGCGCACCCGACAAATTTCGACATTCAAGTGTTGAATTTCTTCTTGAGCACATTTAAGTTTGAAGTACTTCACCATAGCTTCGCGATGAGCAGGTTTGGTCCAATCCAAAGTGTGGATGTCAGAATGAGACTGATGCAAAAAATCAAACTTGCCCAGAAAACTGTACTCCACAATATCTTTCCAAGTGAGCTATGGACATGGAGGCACAAGAGCAGCAGCCTGCATATTGTAGCGGTTTAGTGCAGTTTGAATTGCCTCCAAACGTCGTTGCAAGGCTTTGCTGATTTGTTGATGTAGTTTGTAGCCTAATATAGATAAAATGAGTACTTATGCGACCGTGCAAAGATAATGATCTCACCTGTGCCTGAAAGTGAGAGTTTCAATAACTCAAATAGATGCATGACAACGAGTCGTTCTAAGTCATCGAGCGCTGTGCGATAAGTCAAAAGTGAAGCTTCTTGACGGAATTGACTGTAGGGTTCGCTGCCGATCTCCCATTGTTTGTCGATCCCAAGTTGAATTTCTAAGTGTGAGGCCATTGCTTCTGCATTTTGCAGCTTCAAATATGCTCCATCAACTTGGATCTGAGCTTGATTGATGGCAATGTGCATTTCCTGAAAGCCGCCGACATGAATATCCACAAGGGTACGATTAGTGGTTTGTCATGCTATGTTCATCCACATCTTCTGAAACCTCTAGATCACCCAAATCTTCACTGCCTCGGGACTCATACTTGTCCAGGTCTGATATATAGCGGTAGAATGGTGCACACTGGACAAGCACTGGACACCAGACAAATGTCTCCAAGGCACAACACAGGACAAGACCTCCAAAGCAAAGACCAAGGCTAAAGCCTCTGAGACAAGCAGAGCCTCAAGCAACAAGCCCGAAGCCTCAAACAGCAAGCCCAAGGCTCAGAACAAACACCCAGCACAATGCTGGTGGGAAGAGGTGTAGAACCTAACCCTAGAACATGAGCTATATATGGCTACCTATGACCTTGAAGACCTCTCCAGGACCCCTGCCACCTGTCCCTGCCAAACCCAACTGCTACAGTGGTAAATGCTTTCAGCAGCCACTTGCCAGTGGTTTATGCAGAGTATCTGAAATGAAATTAATATCAAAATGATAGTTAGTAATAAAATGTCACCTGAGGTGCCACATCCCTGAAATTTGTGCACCATAAGTACAAGTCTTTCAGCAACCCATGCATTTTCTCATTCGGCTTTGTATGGTAGTTATGTATTGTAGGGAATGATTCCTGGCTAGCCTTACAGAGAATGTTTTTACCTTACTGTTATGTTTGCACTTTTGTAGCTTACATAATAAAGAAACCTTTTCACCAGTACCAGTATGAGTCTGAGTCTATCAGCAGTTTTCATGACATTTCCTCTCCGCTGAGCCTTGAACCTGGTCCAAAAATCCTTTAGGGTCGAATAGCAGCTAGGTTCTGCAAGACCCAACACATTGTTCTGAATCAGCATCAGAATTGTTGTACCCACAGTGTTGCACCTTTTGCTTCAATATTATCAAAAATGTGCACACTCATGTGCAATTTGGGAAAGTTCCAATTCTTGTCACTCTTATCAACGCTCTCATCTATGTATTGCTATTACAAGCTTAATCAATGAATGATTATGTGAGGGAAACTCAAGGCATACCTGTAGATAGGTCAAGAAAGCCTGCACTGATAGTCTCAGTTGTGTGAACTTCAGGCGCTGCATATGTGTCAACTTTGAGAAAGAGGCGAATACAATGAAGTAGGAGGTAGCCAAGTGGACAGTTGTCCTCTGTCAAAATTGTGTGTGCAGCATAGATTACCATCTGAAAAAAGATTGTCAGTAGCAATTAAGTAATAATTTGAATCAAAAACAAACCTTAGAGATGTCCTTGTATACACTGCCATCAGCAAAAGTAATGTTCATGACCTCAGTTAGGTGCTTCAAGTTCCGCTAGCGTGGAAAGGCTTCATAACTAGTTTAACAAATCAGTTCAAGACATAATTTGACAGTGCTCGAATCACAAACTTACTTTTTGTCCATTTGTGCTACTTTCACTCATCCCAAACCGACAATGTTTTTCTGTAGTTCGGCCCAGAGATAGTCACAATATAGACCACCATTGAAGTGGAGTCGATCCCATGACAATGCATTGTGTACATCAGTACATGTCATGGTCGAGAAGGCATTCCATAGCTTTGTTTAATCAGAACAAACTTACAATAGAGAAAATATTACTCTGACATCACGAAGGCCATACTCTTTCAGTTTCTCCTCCTTCTTCTCAGCAGTTGCCTGGGCCCATGCAGCCTTCAGCAATTCCTGAGACTGGGCAGACATTCGACAAGGATAACACTTCAATGTGTCCAAAAGCTCATCATGGGGAACGAGACAGACCAGACATGGCCAAAGGCATTTGATCCCTTGGATTAGCGACATAACACATCTTACATAGTTAATGACATCATTCATTAGCAATTCAGATTAACATTGAAGCGTGATATTACTCACTGTTCCTCATAGTCTGCAGATAAAATTAAGATGATAGGAAAGAACCATTGTTGAATGTTATCAGGGCACTCAAACCACTGTCCTGTGCGGGATTTTGATGTGAGCGAAGAGAAAATGATTCATGCCAAACAGCATTCTTGAAGTTGACCCAGCTTGGCTTGCCAGTATGGTCTTTGTCTTCCTTTACCTATGTCAGAGTATCAGTCCCAACCACAAATATATCAACTTTGCTGTGTCATACAATCGGAAGCCATCCAACTACATAGCCACTACCTACACCCTGTCCATTATGAATGTCTGCAGGACATCAAATTTTGAGAAGCACTGCACATCAAAAACCATATGTGGGAACAGCTGAGGATCGTGGAGGAGATCGGCCACCCACTCCCAGAGATCTCAGTAGTGTAAATCAAATTGTCATATTGTATCATCATATGGTACAGAAATTATGTCCTGAGTAAACTAAACTTAGAAGTTGTCAGACTTTGAACCTAAGAAAAAGCGAAAGAAACACACCCATGTAGTGCGATTGTTAAGACCATGCACAAAGGGTAGGACTGATTCCGAGGGGCTTGGCTTCAGCTCGTGCGCTGCGCCCCTTACCCAAGTATGTGCCCTTAATTTCAGAATGATGTCCGAAGAAAGTCCAAGGGCGTCCGAAGGATGTCCGAAGCGCGGGAAAGTTCGGAAGGACTTTCCGGACGAGTGCAAGTAACTTCCGGACGAGTGCGGGAAAGTTCCGGAGGAACTTCCGGAAATTACAATGAGGTTTCGTCCTGATACGGATACGTGTAATGGCTACTTAGGACAAGTCCTAAGTAGAAGCAAACAGAGGACAGGCTGCAAGGACAAAGTCCGAAGCAGAATAGGTCCGGAGGACCGCGGGAAAGTTTCGGACGAACGTCCGGAAACTTCAGAGGATCGGATGAGCGGATAAGCGGATGAGCGGATAAGCGGATGAGCGGATAAGCGGAGCTCTGGCCTAGGGAATTTCTCCCTAGCCCCGAGATGGATATTGACTAAGTCGATAGACTAGAACTGATGTGAGGACTTAGAGTGAGATCTAGTGCGAGGACTAATATGATATTCAGACTGAGGAACTACAGGACATATACAAGAGTTTATATACTAAGGAAATAACGGAAAGATCAGTAAGCAAGCGTCCGAGGCTATGTATGAAGCATAAGCAAAGTTATCAAGTGCGAGTCGGAAATGAAGCATAGGTTAACGGATCAGTAAGCATACCGGTAGTAAGTATAACCGAGATACCGAGGACAAGGAATACCGAATAGAGGAATAGGCTGTGTTAACGTTATATGCACAGGAAATGAATTAGGAAGCTTATCGTATATCGGATCGGATCGGACTGGACCGGACCGGACCGGACCGGATGTCCGGACAAGAAGCGTGGATATACGGGATATGCTATTAGGGCAATAGGACAAAGGATGAATGATGCAGGCTAGCTGCGGAGGTATGGAGGTGTGATGTACGGAGGTAAAGGGATCTGGACATGGATGCGCGGATGTGGATGTGCAGAGGTGCAGGGATCCGGATGGGTAGAGGACTGGAGACATGGATAGGGCGTCTGAAGGTCCGGATGAGGCGTGGGAATATTGTCGGATGTAGGTCCGGAATACGGGATATGACAGCGATGGGAGACAGTATCCCACCATTCATGGATGTCTTTGTGGTTCTCAAACGTAAATATTTCCTGCCAGGAAGCGCACCTGTTACAGAACCTGATAAGACAATCAGTTTGATCGTTGTTAAGGCAAGCCTCCAGAGCGAGTTTGGCACTCTCAAACTCCAGTTATGACTTGAACGGAGCCCAAGGGTGTTTGTCAGGTGGGGCAGAAGATGCTAATGCCATTGGATGGTGTTTGAATTCATTGAAGGCATGTACTTCTGGTGTGATCCTGCTGCCAGGATGATATTCACACTTGATATTGTCGACCTGGCACACAGGATCCATGTGTTCAGGGACATCAGCATTGAGAAATGAGGGAGGTTCTAATTAGAGTTTCAATGATGAATATAACAAACATAACAAACAATTCTGAGCTCACCATGGTACTCCACATCGTCTACATCATTCCAAGTGCTTGGTGAAACATTGTATTGCCCTGTTTCAACTCGAATGTATCAATCAATAGTAGACCAATGTCAGACCTACCTCCCTGCCTCAATACTGTATCAGTACGATCTCCCCTCATCCGTCCAGGATTCGAGGGACCCACTAGCAAAATTAGATATTGTGAACAACAAGAAATTGTGCATACCTGTGTCCCTTTAAATAGAATCCACGAAATCTTGATTTTGCTGTTGTTTTTCGGCTTTCTTCTTGCAAGCCTTGCGGTGAGTGGTGTAACCATAATGTTTGATGTCTTGTTGACATAGGTCGCAATATTTTGTCCTCTCATGGCCCATTTTGTCAACAGGGATATTCAATGTATGTACTAGAACCAATATGAATGAAAAGAATGGGGGAGAATGCTCAAAAATGCTGTGAAGGGGGAATTCAAGCAAATAAGACACATATCAGTCACCTTGCATACATATTGCAACCGCTTGAAACTCCGCCATCAATCTTACAGCAACATTGCAAGTGTGATTATAATGTGACTGTAACGTGATATAAACAGTTCCTGATTACAATCGATTTAGGAACAGAAGGCCCACGAGTGTAAGCAGTGGTGGAGCCCATGACCTTCATCACTGTTTTAGTGAATTGTGTCACCCATCCTTGCGCAGCAGTGGAGTTGCTGTAACATGTATAAGCGACCCAAAATGAACTTGTAATACAGATAACTTATGGAACATCATTGTTTGAGATGTTGGGCTAATTCCTCTGTCTGCTTTTCAGACAGCTGGAATGAAGTGGAATACCAGTTTTGCTATCTTTAAAATGCACAGCAGCTTTAGGCCACTTCTTGAACCATTCACAAGATGTATTGGCAAGAAAGTAGTTGTTTCACCCTGCAGCTGGCTTAGACAGAATTTATCCACCTTATTTTTCATCCAAGCTGACTGTTTGGGCGTCATCCATAATACACCAGGCATCTATTAACCACTGGTATTAGGCTAAAATAAATTTCATCACCCAGATTGCATACCTTGAGTTTTTTTAGATGTTTTACTCTGTGCTGGTGTCAGGTGTGTACTGATACTCCATTTGGGACAGACTTTTAATCTTATTTTTGCAATTATCCAATGAGATCAGTTGATCACGTGGATTTCTTCCGAAAAGCTATTATATGTATATAAGTTGCACTGAAATTTCATACACAGCATCCATTTACCCACTCACTATTACTCCCGCTTGACCCAATTTGTTCAAAATGAAAGTTTCTCCCAGCCACATCAAGGAACAAACTTTCACTTTATCCAAACTGGCAAGTGCCATAGAGCTTGTGAGGACCCATCATGGTAAGTGCAAGTGCCCCAGCTAATTGACACTAGCCTGATTGATTATTTAGCTATTATCAAGGTGCAACTAGGGCCAACCAAAGTCTAACCAACCTTCTTGCAAATGAACTCATGAGCGGCCCTGCATGCATTTTTGTGTACATAAGCACTCGTGTTACGTGTGCGGCACCCAGCCAGATTCCTGTAAATACATAAAATCAATGTTTAATATTTTAATACTCAACATTACAGCTGAATGTTGAGTATATGTCAACAACTGACAGCATCAATGCTACTCTCACCCATATGTCGATCACTGATGCTGCAACTCCTGCTATCAATGCTGTTGTCAATACTGCTACCCCTGCCCTTGTAAATGCTGCAGGATCTGCTGTTTAGGCTCAGGCCACACAGCACTCAAGCACCTCTGCATCTGTGCACTGGTATGTCATCACTGTTGGATATGAAACTGGGGTCTTTCAAGGATGGTATGTTTTCTAAGATCTAATGATTTATAATTTAATTCAATTTTTGCCCAGGCACAATGTGTATGTGCATGTTGTTGGTATCCCAGGAGCTTGCTTTTCATGGTACTCCTTAACTGGTGCTGAGGCTGCCTATGAACAGGCTTTGAGTGATGGTACAGTCACTCAGGTACTGCTCTAGGAGTAGAATAAGTACTGTAGACTTGCATGTATATCTACATGTCACCTGTCTTGTTTCTTGTGTCTTGTAACTAATATTATCAGTTGCTGTCTTGTTGCTATCATTTGCATGTGCGTGCATATCAGCTGAGCTGTTACACATCTAAAAAGGCCTGGATTTTGCTGAAGGATGCAGAAGACCTGGTAACAACGGTCAAAAATCTTGCTGGTCCTTGCACCGCATATCTGCAAACTAAATCTTTCCATCTTTACCTTGATGCCAAAGAGGAGATTGTTTCCCTCATGGATGAGTATTAGGGAGCTCTTGATGCTGCCTTGTTTAGTGATGCACTAGCTTGGCAACATAGTATATATCATGTGACCAGATGAATGTTGTTGAATGCAGAATGTTCAAGGTGCGCATATTATTTTCTTCACACATGGTCAAAAGCTCTCTGGGATGAAAGTTGGGCAAGTATCAATGGCAATTCAAGGAGGAGAACAGCATTCAACTTGCAGCCAGGGCCAGGCAATGACACCATCAAGAAACTCAATTGCATATTCCTGAGGGAAGTGTATATCATGTGCATAGCTCTGTAGATGTCACCAACAGGAATCATCACTCTGTCAAAACTAGATCTAAAATGCCAACACATCTTCAGCTATTACCACCAGTTCTGAGGCTTTTGATTTCACTTCATATTTAAGCGTTGATGAACCATACTTCAATTATCTTGCCAACACCAGCACAGATACCTTACCAGTGAAAACCAAACGGCAACATACAGCAGTGGTGTGTACTATTTCTATATTTCTGTTGCTAATTTTTTCATTTCATGAATATTCAGGATGACCCTCAAAAACAATGGCTCCCAGAGCATGATAATTTCCTCAAGGAATTCATCCAGCTTGAAGGGTGTAGAGATGATGGATGGAGTAAGCACTGTCATGGGGAGCAGGCATGCATCAACCAGCTGTTTGTTTGGTGTATCAATTATGAAGGTTTATAGCTTTACTGTCAGTCTCATGTCATCTCGCTGCACCATATGATACCTTTGCATTATGTTCAAGTATGTGTTCACATTTATTTGTGTTTCTTTTAATTGACAATACTATAAGATTTGGACTGGAAATTACTTCCAGTGCAGCAACTTAAGAGACCTAGGGCTATGCATACAACTCAGGCATCCATCTGATGTTCATTGTTGCAATCTCTCTGCTGCATTCCAGGATGACTTCACTGTCTTTGACATCACTGGTGTCCACAGTGTCATGCTTGATTTCTGCAACTGCGAGACAGCACAAACACACACTACCCAACTCCTTTGCTCTTGCTGGTAGCCAGCAACTGTGACGGATCCCCAAACTGCTGCTACTTTTCACATTCTCAATCACTTCCAAATGTACACCTCTGAGTCAAAAGGATCTGCATTTGAATATTACCAAGCATTAGCACATCTAACAGATAATACTAGAAGGTATTAGACCAAGGTAAGTACATTGACTATTGCATTATTTTCCATGGCTAACATGAGTATAGGACCATTATGAAGCTTTTCTATAAATGAGTTGGCAATTTCAACATGTTGTAGGACTTGGAGTCCTTGCAGCCTTGTAGAGGCTATTTTTGCAGCATCCCTTGGGTCCTTGCACAGCATGTGCTATCTTTAACTCAACACACATCCCTTACATTGTTGGCCAACAGCCACGGCTCGGTGCAGAGACTGACATCTCTGTGGCCTCATAGAGGCTATATATGTGACTTGTCTCAAAGTACAGTTTGATGCACAACTGGTGCCAATACCTCTCCAATCATTCCCTATGCGAAGCGCAGCTCTCCCGCACCAAGTGTACACTACCTTCCCACGCATTGGCCGCCCCAAGCGCTGCATTCTTGCACGCGCGCCTAGCGCGCTTTCCTGCGCCCTACGTTGCACATCCATCCATTGTCAAAACTAACCTGACTGGTACATTTTGTATGTCATTTCTTCATATCAGACCATATTATATTTTAATGATTGCTCAATTCTCATGTCATGGACCCTTAATTACATACTTACCTACTCACTTCGCAAGTGCTTCAGCTCCACTTCAGGGGCGCATTTTTAGACATATATAGGCACTTGTAGTTCATGTTTTAGATCATCGAATCATATAGAAGCTCCCGGCACCACACTATCAGTGTGTAGCTCATCCGTCGTATGCCATAGTCAGTAGCTATTGGCAGTAAAAACATTCTTAATGTCTATTACGAACCTATCCTTATATCCCCCACCTTGCACTACTCTGCTCACTTTTCCCGCACTTCGCGCTCCTCAAGCGCTCCATTTCCATGCTCGCACTTCACGTCAGCCGACGAGCAGCACCCTCTGTGCCAATCCCTAGATCCCTGCTACACTTGCTTCCCCTTGAGGGTCGAATGCACTTGTCACTTCGAGCATAGCAGCTTAGGCAAGCAAGACCCAACATATAGTTCAGTATCCACCATCTGAATCATTGTACCTACATTGGTTCACATCAGCTCTCCTTCAGCTCCATCGCGTGTCCTTCCTCTGTCCTATCCATGTCCTCCGCTTGTCCATTGGTGTGTATTTTACTTGTTTCATACTAGGCTGACCATATCTCCGGCGCTATGATATATATATTTCTATTACTTGCATCACGAACCCTTATTACATATTACCGCTAGCTACTCGGCTCCAAATAGCGCTTCAGTGCACACTCATATATACTTGTACTTGCGAATTTTTCATGTATCTATCTCTCTCCCACACACGAAATCTATCATCCGCTTGCACGCAATAATGTTCTGACTCAGAATCTAAAACCAATGCCCAGTCATCACGCGCGTATCTCTAATGGCCACGCAGTGCATTCATATTCTGGTGTTCTTTATCTTTGTACAACCCATCAGCCCAGCCTTTTGGTTGCTTCACCTTTACACCTTGCAGCATTTGCATATATCTACCACACAGTTGCACATTTTTGCACAATAACATATTTTTTGGCCACTCAACTTCGCATCACATCACATCATCGGCAGTTCACTCACACTTGCATTGCATTGTGCTAAACTCTTGTGTTCCATCCATTCTCACTTACCCTTACCAGCTTCAGTGATTTCCCTCCAAATTTTACATAGAGGAATTGTTCTCAGTAGCAATCCCCTTGGGCTGAATCTATACTCGCGTCCAGAGGTCTATTTGAGTTTTACCCCACTTCACCCTTTCTCCCAGGCTCCTTCCCATCCACTTGCTTTGAGGTTGAAGTCGGTCTACTAGGGCCATGGGAATAGATTACTTATTGCATGTGTCAATTTAAACCCAGCCCAACTTTATTCCTTCAACCTCTCAGCAGCGGCGGAAGGAAACATTTGTAAACATCGTCAGCCACAGCAGCGAAACTCATGCCGACCTTGCGGAGCTCAAACATGAGGTCAAGAAAACCTAATTGAATATGACATAGATAGTTTATATAATCAGCAATCATGTTAGCAACAGCAGATCAAGTCGATGCCATCCTGGAAGCCTTTGATCTCATCGGCATCTCAGTATCTATGTTTATTATCAGGCTCCTGACTGACCAACATTTTACCCATGAAAAGACTGTGATTGATCCAAGAGAAAATAGTCACCGCATTACAGAGCTTCTTCAAGTCACAGGAGAGAGTACATTCAAGTGGGTGACAACAGTCATTAAAGACAGATGTGCAGTGTGCACAAGAAGTCCATGATCTATCAGGCACCCTTGGCAGCAAAGGCAAACAGCTCCCATTTTTCAGTCTCACACACATCCGTGCAGCAATTAGAGGAGTTTGGTATTGATGTGTTAAGTGAAGGGATGCAACAACATGCACCAGTGACGTGGGATTTGCTTGAGGTCCTCCTTGCTGCAAGGAGAAAGGGTATTAGCAATCCTACTGTTGAAGATGAAGACTGTGATGATGAAGCTTTGCTATGGGAGCAACTGGGTGGCAAACCGAACGAAGAAACACGCCTGATGGACAAATGCATACTATGTCACAGTCATTCTGGATAAAGGCCAACATAATCTTCATCTGCCAGAGATATGGTCGCTTGCTGAAGTTCTCCTGTGTGCAGGTTCTGATGATGCTTAGACTAGGGACTTTGGAATACTCGGACTCCTGCATATAGTATAGAAAATATTATATAAACTATCTATGTCATATTCAATTAGGTTTTCTTGACCTCACATTTGAGCTCCGCAAGGTTGGCATGAGTTTTGCCGCTGTGGCTGACAATGTTTACAAATGTTTCCTTCCAGCCGCTGCTAAGAGGTTGAAGGAATAAAGTTGGGCTGGGTTTAAATTGACACATGCAATAAGTAATCTATTCCCATGGCCCTAGTAGACCGACTTCAACCTCGAAGCAAGTGGATGGGAAGGAGCCTGCCTTTCTCCCCCCTTTACCCCTTCTCATCTAGCTATCATTCCTCACACACAATGTACTATCTCTCAAATGAGCTGGACATGGCCATGATCCTGGTGGTGCTCTTGGCACAAAAGAGGGAGAGCTTACTGTACTGTGCCCAGCCTGTCCTCAACCTGGCAAAAACTTGCCTTTGGGTTGGGAGATGTGCCAGCCATAACACTGTTAATCTTGCTGACACCAAGAATTCATGGGGACTGGCTGCCACAGGTGTTGGCGCCATTGTTTGCACTTGTCATAACCTCACATGTCCGTCCTCAGTTGAAGATCTCCAAAAAGGAGAAAGGTATGTGTCTCTGACATCTTCAACAATATCTAATCATGAGAGACTTAGATATGTGAATATAGATTACCTGTTCTTCTCGACACTGCAACATTCTGATGAGGTTCTGGTTCTCAATGTCTCATATGATATTGCCTGTCAATGGAGTAAACATTTGTGGGAGCGGATGTCATGCTATCCCTCCCAGATCCATTTTGCAAGTGACTCGAAACCGAAATCTCATCTACCAGCATACATTGCAGCATGTCAAACTTCTTATTCTCTTAACCTTATCAAAGGCATGGCAAGGACTGACGGTGAAGCCATCGAACATGAATGGTCCAATATGAATCCTATTGCTATAAGCACACAGGAAATGGGCCCAGGGTCAAGACACGACATCTTGGACAACAATTTCAGTGATTGGAATTGGCATAAAGTGTCCAACTTAGGTATGGACTACACTTAGATTATACCTTCACCTCTGACAGTTTATTAGGTCCCTCACTTCTCAAAAAAATCAAGGAGGCAATTCCAGAATGTTATCAGCATGCCATAGATCTTCAAGACTTCAAGAAAGCTATCCCATCTTCGGGTCGTAGTGCTTGACAGAATTTATTAGAAGACTGGGAGGCTGATTGTTCAAAGCCCAACCCTTTTGTGATTAAAGCATCAGGTATATTTTTGCTCGTATGGTATTTGCATTCTTTGACTTGTGCACTACAGTTATCACCCAGACATCTGTTAGACTAGAGCTCTCTCAGCTTGAAGCCCACCAACTAAGACAAGGAATCGACACCTCCCTCCATACAGATGTCTCCCCTAGTATATTAATCACTGTTGGGATCGACCTAGAGGCTTTACAGTATGTCTGAGTTTTGCACTGACAAGCTGGGCTTAACAAATCATTTTACCTCTCAGATGTCGACTTGCAACAGATACTGCAAACATTGGAATCCACACTGTAGTAGGGGACCCCAGGGGTAGTAGCAGAGCAGCAGCCGGGTAGCACTATAGATTAGTCAGTCATTTAGTGTCCTTTGGGCTTTGTCGTAGCACAGGCTCTTTACTACTTCTTGCCTTGCTCATGATATACAGGCACACAGTTGTGAATACACCGCTCCAATGTTACCGATAACCAATTGTCTACTATACAACAATGTACTAACACACTGCACTGTCATATCAAGCAGTAGATCCAAATCCAAATGTTATATATTCCTAGTGTTGCCAGACTTTGAGCTGACATCTCTGACACTGCAGATACCATGCCATCAAACCATGGATGCTGTCTGCATGTCATATCTCATATTCCTGCACGGTCTTAACACTGCAGTTATGAAGGCGGGCATGACTTGCAAAGTGAATCTGTGTAATATTGAGTGGAAGTTACGCCATGCCCAGGCACATGACGTTCTCCAGGAACTCCAGCAACACCTATGACTCAAGTGTCATCTTACTGGATTCAAGAAGAACTGGTTAACTGGTCAGTGAGCACACATGAGATCCTGCACTGTTATTGATACTGTGGAAGTAAAAATTGCTGCTGCTGCAACAAAGTATCGCACTACATGGAGGGCACTTGATGCCTTGGCAGATGCACTCTTACGATTTGATTGGAAAGTCAAGTTCCCAAAGCTTAAGGATGAGGACATTTACAGTATGATGGAGGTGCAGGCAGGAGGCTTGGTGTCAGAAGGTCGAAGGCTCATGGCCATGTCTTGGATTTGGAAGCAGCACACGGAGCAGGTGAAGAAGAACTTTCTGAAGGTGAGAGTCGCTAATTATTTAATGTAGTTTTTCTAACCAGAAATAGCAATGTATATCGAGTGGTGCAAGGCACAAGCTTGTGCAAACAGGTGGGTGGAGGAGGTCGAACTTGTGCAAGAGGAGATATGACATGTAATAGCATTCATTGAGTGGCATGCAGGTTGTTAGGAGAAACGGGCAACTTCCAGGTTAGATGACGGAACAATGGAGCATGAAGGAGCAGTGGGATATGCATTGCAACAGGCTGTGATCCACCAGTCCATGCAAGACAATTGTCTTTTCTTGTGGGACGTAGTTTCCAGCCTTCTCTCTGTTCAGATGACTGCAAAACAAGCACCCTTACCCATCATAACCACCATGTAGCATTCATAGGGATGTATGTTTTTTTTTGGCACATTTTTGTCATTTTCCTGCTTTTTATTCTACTATGCCTCCCTAGTTAGTAGACTACTATGAAATATGTTGTCCATCGTCAAGCTATACAAGTAATGCATTGACCGCATGACTATGCCCACAATGATATTTTTAGCATCTCTTTTTACCGTCTCTCCTGGAGGTTTATGCTTATTTGGGATATGTCATGTGTGGGTGTTATGACTGGGGTAAGTTGAGCTGTCTGAGTCCAAATGGATGTTCTGCAAATAGCAAGACAGACACAGTTCTTCTCTCGAATGAGAGATCAAAGGTTTCAGGCCAAGACAAGTGTAGGCAACTCTCTTAGAATAGTGGTTCTCTAGACAGTAAGGTTGGAGACCTTACTGAAGGACAAGTTCCAGCTAAAACCCAATAGATTAAAGTAAGGAATACAATCAGTGAGTTACATGTCTATATAGCAAATGTTCAAGCGGAGCCTGTAAATGGTGTATCGAGATAAGGAGATAAGAGATAGCAAACATAGTGCGGACAGCCCGCTTGATGGAATGATAAGAAAAATGAATAGGGGTCTAAATGTTATTGTAACAGTGGGTGTATGTGGTGGTTGGTTCAAACTTCAAACTGATGTGAGATATTTTTACCATCTATTTTTATCGTCTCTTGCTTATTTGAGATATGTTGCGTGTAGGTGTATTCAGAAGCTACATATTGAATTTGATGGTCCAGGGCAGGCACAATAATTTGGTCAACGATATACCCAAAAGAACAGTGTGAAGGCACACTATGGCTCCCAATGGCTGTATGAATACAAAGAAGTCTTAAGAATACTATGTTGGATTAGAGGAGCACTGGAAACTCAGAGCTCGAGACTGACAAAGTGCACTGCGCAGTTTGCATCAGTAAACTAATATGTGCTGTACAGAACTGGACAGCGCCCAAGGGTGACAGCTTGGTCCCTTTTAGACAGTGACTCACAGACACTCCAGTGACTGCCTCATGCACAGAACTTATGCTTAAATTTGGGTATCAGTCTGCACAGAAGCTCACAGACACTCCAGTGACTGCCTCATACACAGAACTTAGACATAAAATAGCACAATAGATCATATTGATAACACAGCAATAAGCGAGATAACAAAGTGCAGTAAATGAATGTAGGAAATAGAAATACTTGAATGCGAGTGTGAGTGTGAGCGTGGACATGTGAATACGAAGTGTCAGTCAAGAATGACCTGTAGGTGATCATGTCGAGCATCTGCAGATCCATCAACCTTCATACTTGCGGCCCTGTATGGATGAAATTAGTATGAAATAGTCCACACAAAAGCAACATTCTCGCCATCCAGCTTCAGCCCACTCCCGGAGTTGCGCCAACAACTTAGGGCCATGGTACAGATCCCAAAGGATGTCCTTGAGCATTTCAACCATTTTGTGGTAGATAGGGCCGTATTGCCTCGCAGTAAACTTGGGGTAATATTTTCTGTTGCCATTTCTGGCAAGACCGTTGAGGATGCAGTTGTACTATAGAGGGACAATAAATCAATATATATTATAATGTTAGGTAGGGGAAAAAAACTACCGCTGCGCTAACCAACGTTAGACATGACACAGGCAATTGGTTGTGGAAAATATCTGGTCGCCTGCACGCGATTCGGTAAGGTCCTGTGTAAAAGAAGGCGATGACAGCATCACAAAGTGCAGGATGAGCAAAATTTCTTGTTTTTCCCTACAAATGTTCCCTTAGAATAGACCTAGTCAGCAGAAGATCACTTACACATTCATCTAATCCAAAACGTAGGAATCCCTGAATTGCAACATGAAACAGATTGGTTTAAGAGAGAACGAGCGCTTACCAGCTTCGAACTGTTTACCATCCTGGTCCCATGCAACTAAAACTGAAACAAGAACCTCACATACGGACGATGGTAAATCAGAGACTAAAGCTGGAAAGGGATTCTCCAGGGCGTGTTGCACACGACACTCTCCTTTAGCATCTTCAAGAAAACATTTCCATTGTGGACCATACCATGCTGGTTGAGTGGGCTTTGGCCTGTCAAGTTTCTTTGATCTTTTAGCTTTAGACTGCCGGGTGGGTTGCTCATCATCAGACTCGATGGGATCCAACAACTTGAGGGTTTCTGGATCAGCAAGGCGTGGCTGACCATTCTTCTTGTGGTGGCATTTCAATATGTCATCGGGCTGCGACGTCATGATCTGTAATGGAAAAAAAAACAGTGAGCCTCGCGAAGAATGATTTTCATCGCCTCACCTGAACGCTTTGTGCCCGTGGCTGCATTGGTGAGGTATCCAGAGGAATTTTGAAAAATAAGTAACTATTAGTACAATACAGACAAGTCAAGTCATCATACCTGTGAACTGTTGGACTGCTGACTGGATGACGTGAAAGAATTCACTGGATGTGAGACACTGGCCTGTGCAACCGCATCATCTTCATCGTGGGAATATTGAAATTCAATTTCTGGTGTAATATGACGAGTGACCTGAGGTTGCGAAGGGAGCTCTTCCTCAGAAAAATCCTGCAATGTGTATCAGTAAGATTGTTTGAAAGGCAGGGTAAAAGGCAACTGATCCTGGCTGTTTCCCTCTGAACACGCAGGAGAGTTGCAAATACATTACCTGGATGCTCAGTGTGCTGTCCACCAACTTCCCCCCAGCCAAACTGACGATAACTCATCTCCTCCTCCTCCTCCTCCTCTTGTTCTTCATCGTCATCGTCATCGTCATCAGAGCTTATACCTCTGTCATATCCCGCATTCCGGACCAACATCCGACGACGCTCCCACGCCTCATCCGGACCTCTGGACCTCCTGTCCATGTCTCCAGACCCAATCCTCTATCCGTCCAGATCCCTGTACTCCTGCATCTGATATCTGGACGCCAGATCTGATATCCACATCTCCGGATCTCCGGATCCAACCTATCTGTCTTGTCCGAACTCAAACCTTAAATCAGCGCCCATCCCCTTATGGTAATCACCTGTCTCTGGACTTCCGAACATCCGGATCTGACCCGCGTCTATCTTCCGTGCCTTTTCCCTTTGTACATTCCTTCTCAAGTTAGACTATACTCATTTTCCGTACCTCATTTCATCTCCGAGTTTATTTCCTATGATCCGTCTTATTTTCTAATACATTTCCACATGCTCATACATAGCCTTACCCCTCTGCTTACTGATCTGCACAGACTTGCCTCTAGTATATAAACCCCAGTAGATACTCCTGTATTTCCTCAGTCTGAATATTACACATATTAGTCCTCGCACTAGCCTTCACTCTAAGTCCTTGTAACAGTTCTAGTCCTCCGACTTAGTAATTATCCATCTCAGGCCTAGGGAGGAATTCCCTAGGCCGGAGCTCTGCTCCTCTGATCCTCTGAGTTTCCGGAACTTTCCCGCGGTCCTCCGGACCTATTCTGCTTCGGACTTTGTCCTTGCAGCCTTTCCTCTGTTTCCTTCTACTCAGGACTTGTCCTGAGTAGCCATTACACATATCCCCGTCAGGACGAAACTCCATCGTAATTTCCGGAAGTCCCTCCGGAACTTTCCCGCACTCATCCGGAAGTTTCTCGCACTCGTCCGGAAAGTACTTCCGAAGTTCCCACGCTCCTCCAGAAGTCCTTCGGACTTCACTGGACTTTCTCCGGACTTCATTCTGAAGTTAAGGGCACATACTCGGGTAAGGGGTGCAGCGCACGAGCTGAAGCCAAGCCCCTTGGAATCAGTCCTACCCTTTGTGCACGGTCTTAACAGTTCCTCAGACAGATCCTCAATATGCAGTTCCAGATTGGTATCTATCACTCCAGAATGGTAAACCAGAATTCTATACCCTGGAAATGCCTGTATCCTGGTTTCCCAAGTGTCCTGGGATGGCTGGTGATTTTGGCCTTGGGCTGAACATGTTGGATGCAACCGGTGTGGGCAATGCTGTAACTACCACTGTATGTCCTTGTGTCATTTCTGTCTCTTTGGGCTCATTTTTTTCATAGGGGACTTTTTCTTTTGGCACCACCACCAACTCAAAAGAGACTCCCACCTCATGCATGACCTAGAGTCATATATTTTCCTGATTTGGATCATGGGCATGAATGTCAAGGGTCCGTACCATCAGGTCAAACACTGGCCTGATCCTCCAAAGCCGGGACCTATTCCTGACAATTCCATGCCTAATGACAAAGCCAGGGACCTCATATCTAGCAAATTTCAACAACCTCCTGCCACTGGTCTGGCAAAGGTCAGCCTTCTACCTTGGTTAAGTAGTTTTCTGCAATGCAACACACCTCTACCAAAAGTGGTGATGAGGAGTTTGAAAGGTGGAATGCAATAGTCCTGGAGTGGGCCAAAATGGGTTCCCTACACCCGTGGACTGAACCTATGTTGCACCAGAAAAGGGCCCTTACCTGTGAGATATTCGACCTGTCACTTCATCCATATTGGAAGATTGGCAAACTCAGTGATGAATGGTGCAAGTTATTTAACTTGTTTCGCACAATCAACTCGAAACACTCCTCATTGACCCATGCCATGCTTGTTAGCATAATAAGAGAAATGATACTCTTGATACCCCCGGCTGATGATGGAGTGCCCAGCAAGGTAGTAGTTGAAAATGCTTGACAGAGGTATTCATCATCTATCACTCGCTTGGTGAATGTGGACAGATTCAAGTTTGCCTCCCCCTCCTGTCTCTTCCTCTCTTCATGACTCTGGAGCCTCAGTTCTATCACCATCTTCTGACCTTTCTCGTTATGCACTATTATCCATGTCATCTTCCTATCAGTTCATAGAGTATAATTCAGGGTCAATGCATTGTACATCTTGGAATTGCCCTTCAGACACATCCACTAGCGGACCTTCACCACAAGCAGGCACTTCTTCACTTCAATCTGCTGGCAATACAGGTAGTCATATCTCTGACCCTATGTCCAACAGTTCTGGCAAACATCAGAAAGTTTGATTCCAACTTTTCGCTTCTCAATTTGTTGCTTCTTTGGGTCCTGTACATTTATAAATTATTTCACAAAACTCATTCAATCATGCATAATAGGCATTAGTATATTATTTATTTTTCCTTTTACCTGTTTTACTATTATATATATTAGTCTATGTGTAGCTCTCTGCTCTCGTGTTCAATGTGAAATGATGTCCAATTTTACAAATACTATGGTAGCAAAGATGTTTGTGTAGCTATTGGGCTCAGACCCACAGGGTCTCGTGACCGGAACACTGTTTCCAATCTGTGGCAAAAGCCCATTTAAGCTGTGATTCCCAACATTGACAATGTGTCAACACAGAATAGTCCAAACAATCGCAGAGATGCGACATAGTGGTGAGCTGTATGTTGTTATGCAAAATATTGCAAGATATTATGTATGTAAATAGTACAAAGTATCCCCTCACCACTATCAATGAATTACTCAATGTTTTTGGACACAATAAGGCCATCGGCTGCAGTTTAGTGAAGATAGTTGCTGCAAGCTCAATCTATGACAAGGCTGCAGACCACCACCTACTTCTTGTTGTCAATGTTTTCCATGAACACATATACAACCACAAATGTCAACTCCAACATCATCTGCTTTATCTTTGTAGACTGGGACTTGAAGACTTGGAGACCTGCAAATACATCTTTGTAGGCTCTAATACTGCAGCATCACGTATATGACATGCCTCACACTTCTATTATGTCCAATATCTTGAACTCAGTAAGTGCTTTGCTCATGTGCATGCTGCTGTGTAATGAATAAAAACTAGGTCACTTCCTTTTCAATAACTACCCATAAGCACTTACAATAATCACCAACTATACAAAGGAGATTAAAGCATATCATCTAATGTACCCTAATGAGGTACTAGACTTTGACTCTTGGATTGATGAAGAGTTTTAATATCTGCTTACTTTGAAGTCAGAGAGCCTCAACATGATGTGCTGACAGTTGAATATGTAGATGCACTTGAGAAGCTGGCCAAGTATGAGTGAGTTTATTTTTGTTTATTAATTACATACACAATTGAACTTAATATTTCAGGAATACTTTTAATGCCTCCCACTTTCTGATGTCTGTCTAGGATGTGAAGAGCGATAGATCAAGTTTAAGCATTAATAAAATAATGCCTGCACAGCCTTTGATGGCATGTACAATATTGGAATGCTCTGTGCTAACTGCTGTGCAAAACTAGTAAAAATAAGCATATAATTAAGTTATATCAATAAAATATGAAAGTACATACCAGAGAATCAAATGCTGTATATTTCTTCATAGACTTGTGGAGATCCTTGGGCACACACTGATACAACTCTGCCATAGTGCATTGAGCTTGGCCTCAGGTGAAGTTCAATATGCACGACTATGCACTATTCTACCCTTTCTGCACCTCCTAGGTTGATTACTACCTGTAGAGGTTTTCACCTAAGAGGTACTTTTCTGGTGATCTATCCAATGTTCTGTGGTCTTTCCCTGTTGTCATTAGGGACCAAAGGCCATGTACCATATATGAACCAAAGACCATTGGGAATATGTTGTGGGAGTACCATATGATGATTTGGACCACTTGAATTCCCTATGCTGTAGGGGTGTCTGGGGTCTTCAAATGTTGATTTTTTGGCAAATTTTCCTACCTTTGTAGATTGCATCTGTGCCCTGTGCCCTACCTCATAGACCCCTCCATAAACCTAATGAATCTTTTTTTATATAATTGAACAATATATCAAAATTGTATACTTTGTCCAGACGACCTACAGTCATCTCCAACACACCTGGCGCATAACCCACAACAGATTTCATGATATACCCACTGGACCTGCTCACATCCTCTGGAAAACTATCCTATGCCCAGTCTGGTTCCATCTAACACTACTGGTACATACATTTTAAACGACACACATGTTGGTTCATCACACCCACTTCTCAATGCTCACTCCGCTTGCATCTTGGTGGAGGGCTCCTTCCTGTCTAACCACATTAGCTGCAGTACCTCATGGCCATTTACCTACCTTTGGACCCAGTAGCTTTACTACAACCTTTGTCTATAGTACTCCAGACTTTCACATAGAAAGATCAATAGGGATGGCATACCATAGCATTGCAAAAATAATAAGTGGGCAAGACCACAAGCTTAATGGGAAGGACCATAGGTGTGATGTGCCTGCAATAGGGAAGACCACAGGCTTAATGAGAAGGACCATAGGTGTAATATGCATGCTATAGGGAAGACTGCAGGCTTAATGGGACGGACTATAGGTGTACTATTCATGCAATAAGAAGACTGTACCGCACCGCACCCCCTCCTTCAACAGACTATTCCGACTAGAATTACTCCATTTCTACTAGGAAGACACCATGTCCAATTCTTTCTGAAGAACAAGTATGTCACTCAGCTACTACCTTCATTTTTCCTCAATTAATGAATACATATGTAGATGTAGCTCAAAAGTACTCTATTGGTTGCTATTGTATAATACATTCTCACACATCTGTCAGCCAAAACCAAGTGACAACTATAAATTCTATATGCACCGACATTTATCTGACAATTTAATAGGGGAGGAAGGCATATAGTGATCATCAATGTCATCCATGTCATCCACTAACTCATTACTGTGATCATACCTGTACTCATCCGCTAGTGCAATGTCTTCAATAGCATCCATCAGTTCCTCATCTCCAATCTCACCATATTCCAGGTCTCCCTCATAATCACCTTCCTCCTCTTCCACACTCTTGGCATCATCCTCATCATGAAAGGATGACTGTGCTTGATCACAAACGGCCTGAAGCAATGCTTCGTCAGAGGGTCCCCAGCTCTCACCAACTGGCCATGCACAAGGAATATACTGAACCTTTTTCTTCCAGACTGCACATATGTTGACAAGTTCATCCACACGAGACTGAAGGTGGAAAGACATGACTGCGTCTGTCACTGCAATGTCACTAACAACTATTGATAACATTGTACAGACACACATACCTGCATTATTTGAGGCACCTCTTATGGCCCCCCACTCTGCCAACATCCATTCTTGAATGACAGCCCTCTCACACATCAGTCGAGCTTTCTTCTCCATGCACCAATCAACCTCAAGTTGCAAGTGGATACCATTTCGGACAGCATCATCTGATAGCCATGCTGGCAGCACCATAGTGTCATCATCAAGCCCGACATCTTGCCAGATGTTGTCATCAACATCAAGCAGAAAGATGCCATCACACAGGATGATGTGAGGCATAATAGCATAAGGAGGTACTCGATGCTGACATATAAGAGATCGTAGTTGAGAACACAGACCATTGTACATTGAAACTAATTTGAGGATGTCGGGCTCCCACTGCTTGATCAACTGCTGAGTATTGGCATGAAGCTTGTGCTCAGCTGGAAAATTATGAGATGTGCACCAGTCCAGTCAAATCGTCAATGCACCATTGATTGTTGCTCTGTACGATCTCTAGAGTCTCTCCAACTCAAACTTGCATTGACGAAGGCAGTCGCAAATACGAGTTTTGACTGCAAGGGCATTTAAGCAAACCGTAAGATAAATATCCTTCTTCATCTTCTCCAGGTTGACCTTGTCCTCCTTTCCAAGCGCAGCTCGACATCGTCGGAGAGTGTCAGCAGTTTTTACTTGCTGTGAGCGGATGTCTGCAAGCTGCAGTGTCATATCCCGTATTCCGGACTTACATCCGACAATATTCCCACGCCTCATCCGGACCTTCGGACGCCCTATCCATGTCTCCAGTCCTCTATCCATCCGGATCCCTGCACCTCTGCACATCCACATCCACATCCACATCCCTTTACCTCCATACCTCAGCTAGCCTGCATCAGTCATCCTCTGTCCCATCACCCTAATATCATATCCCATATATCCACGCGTCTCATCCGGACGTCCGGTCCGATCCGATCTGATATACGATAAGCTTCCTAATTCAATTCCTGTGCATATAACGTTAACACAGCCTATTCCTCTATTCGGTATTCCTTGTCCTCAGTATCTCGGTTATACTTACTACCGGTATGCTTACTGATCCGTTAACCTATGCTTCATTTCCGACTCGCACTTGATAACTTTGCTTATGCTTCATACATAGCCTCGGACGCTTGCTTACTGATCTTTCCGTTATTTCCTTAGTATATAAACTCTCGTATATGTCCTGTAGTTCCTCAGTCTGAATATCATATTAGTCCTCGCACTAGATCTCACTCTAAGTCCTCATATCAGTTCTAGTCTATCGACTTAGTCAATATCCATCTCGGGCCTAGGGAGAAATTCCCTAGGCCAGAGCTCCGCTTATCCGCTCATCCGATCCTCCGAAGTTTCCGGACGTTCGTCCGAAACTTTCCCGCGGTCCTCCGGACCTATTCTGCTTCGGACTTTGTCCTTGCAGCCTTTCCTCTGTTTGCTTCTACTTAGGACCTGTCCTAAGTAGCCATTACACGTATCCGTATCAGGACGAAACCTCATCGTAATTTCCGGAAGTTCCTCTGGAGCTTTCCCGCACTCGTCCGGAAGTTACTTGCACTCGTCCAGAAAGTCCTTCCGAACTTTCCCACGCTTCGGACTTCCTTCGGACGTCCTTGGACTTTCTTCGGACATCATTCTGAAATTAAGGGCACATACTCGGGTAAGGGGTGCAGCGCACGAGCTGAAGCCAAGCCCCTTGGAATCAGTCCTACCCTTTGTGTACGGTCTTAACATGCAGGTTGAACTCGACAATGTTAGGGACACGGCCACCATGGAGCTGCATCTTGAACTCACAGATAGAAGCCTCCTGAGCTTCTAGGGTCTTCTCCAGTGCTACAGTTCAGGACTCTTAGAACATTTGGTCATTACAGATGTACATGATGTGTGTTTTGTCTGGTGATCAACCTGAACCTTCCATTCTACATGAAGCATATGCTCATCCACCTGCAAGTCATGTAAACTGTCCAGTGCACCATTTTTCTTCGTTTGACAGTGAATCTAGCGCTGATGGAGTGTCCAAATCCTTGTAATGATTTCGAGTTCAGATGACTAATTTGTGTGTCGAGGATGAAAAGCTGCTGATTAAACTTCATAGTGAAGAGTAAGATACATAGAATGATACAAATAAAGCATACGTACCCCAGAAACTCACAAGGAAGGGATGAGGGGCTTGAGGAAACTCCACAGTTGTTCACATCCTTCACCATCAGACTGTCCAAATCCTTCTCACTTCCTGGGGTGGTAGACGATCTGACAAGGCCACTGGTGACCATAGGCATGGAATACGGCAACAGCAAACAATGTGAGATAGAATAGAGTTGTCCGTAAAACTTGCGACAGCTCCATTCAAGCTGGCATCCAATGTCATATAGAAGCCCGATGGTCATCTGAGTAGGGAGATGTTTAAACAACCGGTCCAATAGAGCAAGTGCATAGTGTTGTTTTTCTCCTGTCGATGTGAGGTTTGCGACCCACAGGACACGATCATGTCTACAAAGCAAGGCCATCAGGCCTGTATCGGTAAAGAAGCAAGTACTTGCCTTCTCTTGCTTTTTGTCTGCAGCGATGAAAGAGTCTCCACACCCGTTCAAGACCAACACTAGTACATGCATGCCCTCTTCATAGCAATCTTTGTCTGGCTCCGCCCTGGAGGCCCTTGCTTGATGACTTTCTCCATGACACCTTTAAACAAAATCTTCCATTGTGTTTACATCAGCCATCGGTAGAAAGAAAGACGATGTTGGGTTAGGAGGATTGTTGCCAGTAGCACCACAAGGATTTGTGGGACATTTTTGTGTGAAGCACATGTCAATGCAAACAATAATATTTGGCCTGGAAATGGTCAACTGGTGCAGTAGAGTCATAATAAATAACGCACATGGAAGGAGAACCTCTCACTTTGTTTCGCCAATTGTTCCCTCCGAAACAGAGTGGGCACCACAAACAAAGATACTCACTAGGCTGGTCCACATGAGAACCGTCCTTCTGGGCATCAGTAATGAGGCTAGAGATGTGATCCTGAGCCAACACAGTCAAGACCCAGTACCAGTGAAACACATTGCTGAAGCGACACCACAAGCTATTCTGAAAGAAGGTTAAGTATACAGGCGCACCCGTGAGCAGGGAAATACTGACCTTCAATGTCAACTTATACCTCATTCCATCAAGAAAGGTCTCCAGAGCATCACACCAAGCAGTTTGGTTGGGGAACTGACAAACGAAGAGGAGGCAAACGAACTCCAGAACTCGTAAGTCTACTGCCAGAGAGGGAACCATGGGTGCACATGGAAAAAGGCTGCAACAAAGAAGCTGAAGTGGGACAGGAAAACAAGGACAGGCGATGATGGTGATTTCTTCAAAAGCTGTAATGTACATCAGACCAAAGTTAGAAGAACAGAAGGTGGGCCAGGAAGATAAAGGTTCAGCTTCTTAGTCTCACGGGGCATTTCCATGTCTTGACCATCCAAGGTTCACAAATAATAGTGCTCAATTGTTGTGTTGACAGAGGCGATGGTGAATCAAGGATGGTTGCTCTACGACATCGAGGCTTCGGACTGCAGACCGCCATGACGAAATTCCTTAAAACCCAAAGTCTTACAAGGAAGAGAAACAACAACACAAAGTCAATTGGAGAACCTCAATTCATGGACGCGCAGTCCGGCAGAGTTCAATGGCAGTGATTAATTGTAGTGGACACTGGGTAGACCGACAGGCAGTTGAGGAGAGTTCAATGGAATAACTGGCAGTGGTGGTGAATACACTAGGAGTTGGAAGACCAAGCCCTCAAGGCAAATGTCCATAATCACATCAAAGCAAGTCCTTCGGGTCAGGAACCCTACATAGTCAGAAATCTCATCATCTGCATTTCAATGTCATGATGTAATTATGTCAGTAACTGCACTAGCTCAATAGGAGAATTTGGTGTGTGATCAACTGAACCAGATATATGTTTTGATGGGACTTGCAGAATGAAAAAGGAGCTTGGAAACAGAGGATACATGAATGAGAGCAAACAAATGAGAGGACAGAGAGTCCTACAAATGGAAGTCCATGCTGTGGCCCTACAAAGTCAAGTAACGGAGTGTCCTACATTGCACAGGAACATCAAATAACACTGGAGGCAGTGTCACTGATTATGTCACACAAATTCAACTAGCAGGAACACAGCAACATCAATCTAACATATAATGATGAGGTAACGAAACTGCAAAACATTGCTATGGGCAAAAGACAAAAACAGCAAAATTATGAGATCATGATTGCATGGGAAGCAAGTGGGGCACAATAGGAGGCCTGCTGAAATGATCGAAGAATGTTTGAATATAAAACATCGCCGCCGCGCGCCTAACTTCCCAGGAGTATGTATCTGTGATATTGTCCGAGGTCAGTGGTGTTGTAAGACAAGGCGGAACATCATCCCAATTGCAAAGCAGTCTCCGGAAATTCTCAAGGTAAGGAAGACAGCCCATCAAGGTGTTGTTCCACAACCCATAGTTCTCCGACGGAAATGACTCCGACCACATCACCAAACCAGCCTCGCTCGGGAAGATGCTATGGAGGAGCTGCTCACGACTAATGGCATCATTGTTCCAACATCCCTGTGCCAAGTAACGATCGAGATCCCTCAACTCGTACCAAAAGCCAAGTTCAAATAACTCCCATGTGATCTTCTGGACCAGAAGCGAAGGAGGGGTGGCGAGACTAGCGATGAAGATTTGTTCACCCCAAAATTCAACAACTCCTTCTGGCGAAAATATATCACCCTGAGTTTCCAACAGGTCATTGCCGAATAAGTCCCGCATTGCTCGCATCCCCTTCTCGGTGGCTATAAGACTCTTTCTGTCTGGCTCTTTCCCTTTGGAAGATTGTGGTTGGACAGAAGGGACACTACCAAGGAAATCGCACCAGAGCTGAGGAGTGGGATAAGTGCATGGAGGATCATGATCAACTCGGCCAATCCACAGTGGACAAGCAGCAAGCCAATTGGCAAGGTATAGTTGCAAACGTTCCGGCAACTTGGGACTGAGGAGGAGAGTGGGTTTGGGGAATCTATACCCCCGATCGATAACGTAGGGTGTGCGAACATGAGACTCATCCCTAATGACAATTTTCATGGTGCCCTCCCAATGCAGGTTCGGTGGTGGAAGGAAAGGAGTCTCGGGATCTTTCCACTTATCCCTAGATTCACCTGACTGTGTAGGGCGAGCTTCAATGGAGTCTGAAAATTGTGTGAGCATGCAACATATACAAAGAAAAAAGGTTACATACAAGGCCGGTGCCGTTGTTTGCCCTTCTGTTTACGGATATACCAAGCTGGGACGCCAGCGCAGAATAACTTCTCACAGATGTCGCTGCTCTGCGCGAACCCCCCCCCCTCCCCCCCCCCCCATCCATTTTAAGTTGACCTCATGGCGAACACTGAAAGTGGTATGAGGTTGGGCGATGAGTACCCAGTCAATGTAAGAGTATATGTCGAGAAAGCATTAGGCATGATGAATGCTACAAATCGTAAGTGGTTGTCCATAACAAAAGCAAAAGTCAATGTACCTTGTGTTGCATTGCGGAATATGATCGTGAGAGTTTGTGTCGCTGCTCACCATGACAGCAATGATACCACGCAAAGAACATGTAAAGGCAGATCAGCAGAAGTAGTTAAGAGAAAATATGTACACTTATTGGCAAAAGACTGAAAGTCAAGATGAAAGAAGAGAAGTATGACACACCGGGCAGAAAACAGATGTGAGGCACTCCCGTGCAAGGTCTTCAACTCTATTGGTGTAGCAACAAATGAGCAACCAGGGTGACCCTCCAGACACACAGTCTAAGAGTGATAGATCAGCGACACAAAGTCGACTAATGAGGGTTTGAATGGCATGAAGCCAGTTCAGATGGCAAGAGAGGGCCGGGAGTCAGGAGAGTTGAGGGCAACAATGATCTAGTGAGGCAGGACAAGAGAGAGAGAGGAAGGACAATGAGAAGAGAGAAGAGGAACAATGAATGGTGGTAGATAGAAATGTAAGGAATTGAATAGAAACACAGTGGGAAAATCCCCAATGAAATTCTGACTGAATCTGGGTAGCGAGTTCAATTGTGGGAAAGTCACAACTTTGTTCAACTCTTCACCACTGCCTCTATCGTCCTGCCCCCTTATTAGATTGTTGTCACCCTCAACTTCCAGCCCACCACTGCCTCCTCATTAGATTGTCGTGGCCCTCAACTTCCAGCCTCAACTCCAACTCCCGGCCCTCTCTTGCCATCTGAACTGGCTTCATGCCATTCAAACCCTCATTAGTCGACTTTGTGTCGCTGATCTATCACTCTTAGACTGCGTGTCTGGAGGGTCACCCTGGTTGCTCATTTGTTGCTACACCAATAGAGTTGAAGACCTTGCACGGGAGTGCCTCACATCTGTTTTCTGCCCAGTGTGTCGTGCTTTTCTTCTTTCAGTTTTTCACTAGTGAGCACATGTCTTATATACTTCTACTGATCTGCCCTCACATATCCTTTTTGTACACTCCACCGCAGATCAGAAAGAACTTAAGTCTGGATTGAGTGACTATCATCTTGTGGGTAAGTGCCATATCCTCAGAATATGCTAAAATCTTAATCATCTGTTTAAACAGGTCTTTTAACCTCGTCATTAATTTCTCACATATCATGATGGTGTGTTCAATCTGGTGCATCATACTTCACTTTCAGTCTTTAATCAGTGAGTGTACACATTTGTCTCATATCTACTTCTAGTGATATACCCTCACACCAAATCCTCAGAGATCACTATCGTCATCCATCCACATACCTGCATATTATGGTGGTCCATTCCATCTGTCTTTCTGTTTTTTTATAGGCGAGTCTACCCTCACATGTCCCTTTTGTACGCCATCCCTTACCATTGGAAATAGCAGTCATCCCCCACAAATGGAGGTTCTACTGGTGTCTCTACTGCGTATCGAAGTCTGGATTCAGTTTCTTCACTACCTGCGTATTATACTGTAACTTTGCACTATTTGATTTACCTTCTTTTCCTGGCCTTTATAATGCTGTAACTTATAACTCGATGTTCTGTACGCCACACACTGTCTCTCAACTCTATTCCAACCATTATTTTGGCTCCATTATATTACTGTGACACATCCCTGAGTAAGGGCCCACATTTACTAGCTTTATTTGTAATTGTCATTTTATTATCTACTAAATCGACATCAGCCACATCCTCGACCCAAGGCTTGCCCTCTTCCAAGGTCCGAATGTTCTGATCCCATGACATCATCTGCTGAAGAAGATATTTTTTTCTCTAACTTCAGCAGACACTTGTCACTTGGCAGGAAGAAGCACAGTGACATGAATGAAGGTCCCAAGGTCCAGTTGTCTGACACTGCCGACAGGTCCACAAATGGCACAGATGGCGATGTGCCATCAGGTAAGTTTTCTCTCAGTCTTTTACTCGCTATCAACTCTCATTAAATTTTGTTGTCCAGCTGGTCTCGAAGAAGATGGTACTAGCAATGATGCCAATGAGGATTCAGATATGTGTGTTGCTCACATGCAGGATGTATTTAAATATTGACCTGCTGCAGCGACGAACCACAGAAAGCAGACTGCAGGTAAGTACTACTAAACATTTTGTAGTATAATATGTTGTGTGACAGTTCTATCTGACAGTGAATGTGGTGGTGCTGCAGCGACAAATGAAGGGGAGAGAGATGCAGGTAAGTTTTGCTACACATGTCGTAGTATACAACAAACATATTTTATTGCAGGTCTATCTGACGGTGAATGTGGTGTCACTACTATGATGAATGAAAGGGAGAGAGATGCAGGTAAGTTTTGTTGCATGTCTTGTGGTATACAATCAACATGCTTTATTGTAGTTCCATCCGATGGTGAATGTGATGGTACTGCAGTGACGAATAAACAGGAGAAGACTGCAGGTAATTTAAATTTTGCTATATATATATTAGTACGCAACTAATGTGTCTTGCCGCAGTTACACCCACGACCATGCGCCCGCGTAGATCTGGTGCCCACAAATCGTATACTCCTGGTCATGAGAGCGAATCCGCAGAGAGCTCTGACTCTGACAGTGACTGGGCAGAACTCAAAGAGAAGCGAAAGAAAGCAGAACGCACTAATAATCCTGCAAGACCATTCAGACTGTCTGCGAATGACAAGCAGAAGGGACCAGCAGTGGCAGACAACCATAGTGACGATGCTAATGCTGATCCCGAGGGCTGCAATGAAGATCAGACGTCTGAAGATGGGGATAGGGCCACACATAAAGCAGGAAGACTGTCCAAAGAAGGTGTTTCGAAAATGGAAGAATTTGGCAAGAGGGTTATGGCTGAAGCAACTGCAATTGGAAAAGAGTTTGGGAAACACTGGAGGGTGATTCTTATCAAGGCAGGACTAGTGATGAAGGCAACTCGCAACAAGCCTGGTTCCCGACTGTACTACCTCCATCCAAAGAACGTAAGCTATTATATTCATGACTGTTTTGGTGTTTATGAATGACCTTCCAGCGAACTTGGCATCATGGAAAGTTAAGCAAAATGTGTACTATCATGCCCACCCATACAAAGACCCTAACCACGCATCCCTATGGAAGAGAATTCAACACCATTGGGATAGTGTGGTCGCCAGCCCTGAGGATCTTTCATCATGGGAGTCATCCAGTCTCATGACAGCAGTTCGTGAAGTGTTTGCGAAATTGGTAAGTGTTCTTCGGTGACTTGATCAATGACTAAATATTTGGAAGGCTTCATATTGGTACTGTACCCACGGAATCCATATCACTGGTATCACCATTTATCCAGGAGATGAGGAATCTGGTTGGCAGGCCTCTGGCTTTTTGCGGGGTATAATATGGTGAAGGCTCTCATTGACGCTTGACAAGTAGATGTAAAGCGCTTGATAGATGAGCTTACTACAATCCTAAAGTGTGTTTTTTTGTCTTTTTCTTCAAGAGGATGTGATACTAATATACATGGGATGTGTTACAGATACAAGGACTTGGAGGCTGCTCAAGCAGAAGGCAAGAGTCTCAGTTTTCTCCCACCGCCTGTCGCAGTCCCCAATGCTCCCCTCTTGTGCAACAGCAAATCTGCCAGGGATAGAAATTGCATGGTGGCGCCTATAATCATCAGTGAAGCATTTGGTCTGTGTCTCATTAGATTCTGCTGTCGGTGTACTCATTTGCTTTCGGTAGCTGATGCTGGTCATCCCTCTAAAACGTCAAACAGCAGGTGGATGAGGATGCTTGACATCCTTTACTCTATGCAACTTTGCATTCATGACTGGCCAGCAGGAGTTCCACCCCCTGACCCTGATTTTGATCTCAAATCGCTGTCTGCGAGTCAGTTATGTGCCTTAGTGGGTTCATATCTCAGGATGCATCTCGGTGACATGTATGAGGCTGAGTTGGGCCAAGATGAGGATGAGGGCAATGCAGAGAAAGCCATGATGACAAAGTAGAAAGGTAAATTGAAGATGTCCAATAAGAATCGCAGAACTTGTGGTGCGGTTGTGCAGGAGCCTGATGTCATCATCTGTGAGCATCTGATCTTGTATATTTGATTGAGCTTACAGTCATAATCAGACCAGCATCGCAGGCTTGGGGGCCTCAGCTTTTGGCTTTTCAAACTCAGTTTCATCTATTGCTGCAATGGTGACCCTGCTTGATCCGGACACTAGGACTCCCCTCTCTCACAGCTCTACTTGGGCCGAGTATACATGGGATGGCTGTTCTTTATTCTCAATGAAGCGTGAGACAGTGAGTAAGTTATTTTATCCTCTTGCACTCATAATTAACCTTATACCTCTCTCACAGCTCTGCCTGGGCCAAGTATACATGAGACAGTGACTGCTCAAACGAGTGAGTTATTTTTTTCTCTCACGCTGCTCACAATTAACCTGGCACCTCTCTCACAGTTCTGCCTGAACCACTCACAATTAACTTTGGCCCTATCATTCAGCCTGAGGGCATTTGAAATGTTGTCTAAGGTTCAACATGTCAAAGTGTTTTAATTTCATTTCTTTATCTTCATCCACCCTTGTTACCTTATCAAATCAGTTTTTCCTAGCACATAGAATGTACCGTCATTTTTCTGTTATTATAAATGCCCAACATTGTGTCACTTTCTTTGTTATTATTGTGAATTCTTCTCTTTGTTATCCTCTCATCTTTACTTGACAATAAGCATCCACTTCTATCATACCATTTTTGGACTACTGTTAAGACCGTGAACAAAGGGTAGGACTGATTCCAAGGGGCTTGGCTTCAGCTCGTGCGCTGCGCCCCTTACCCGAGTATGTGCCCTTAACTTCAGAATGAAGTCCAGAGGAAGAATCAGTCAGTGCAGTCTGAGGCTATGTGAGACTATGGACAGAGGATGTAGAAATGTCTAATACTAGTCTATCGGAAAATAGTAAATGAAGCCGGAAATGAGGACATAGGAAAATAAAGGCAGAAATGAAATGAGGTACGGAAAATGAGTTAGCCTAACTTGAGAAGGAACATACAAAGGGAAAAGGCACGGAAGATAGACGGGGGTCGGATCTGAATGTTCAGAAGTCCAGAGACAGGTTATTACCATAAGGGGATGGGCGCTGATTTAAGGTTTGAGTTTGGACATGACAGATAGGTCTGATCCAGAGATGTGGATGTCAAATCAGATGTCTGGACATCGGATCCGGGAATTGGACAAATAGAGAAGCTAAAGGTCTGGAGACATGGATAGGGGATCCAGATGTCCAGATGAGGTGTGGGAACATCATCAGATGTAGGTCTGGAATACGGGATATGACAACTACATTACTTAGTGACCATTTGCTCCCTGATCACCCACCACCTATCACTCCTACAGACTCACAGTCAACTACTATTGTTCATGAACAGTGGATGGTTTGTACATGCCGAGCTTCTCAGGCTTCCTGCCAACCTGCACCTCCTCTTCTTAGGCAGTGTTTTACCTCAAATGTAGGATCTTCATCCCAACATTCACTCATTCAGGATAAAAGCAATCAACACCTTCACATTGGTGCTGATCCCCTGGATATTGATCCTTTCATTAAGGACAAACCTATTTTCAGTGACTCGCTGTATATGCCGGATGGTCTGGTTGACCTTCTATACCAGCATCTCTCTGAACTACAGAAAAAGCAAAATCAATGGCAGAGATGATCTGAAGAAGTCATCTCTTCCCTCATTAGTCCTTACCTTTGTTACACCTAGCAATCACATTCATTGCAGTCAATCCCTAACCTTCGTTGCTCCCCTAGAGATGACTCACATTGCAGTAGATTTTGTTGACCGTGAATAATGGCAATCACCTGTGTACTCTTTGATCATGTGTGTTGTCTTTTGAGGGTTCAAGGGTCTTCACTTACATTCAGGGTAATAGGTCTATAAGCTGTCAGCATATCCTACTGCAAGTGTTCCCTAGCACCACTCCAACTCATTAAGTGTGGATTATTTGCATATACTCCTGTTGCTTCCTCTCTTGCAATGGACATTTGTGTTTTGGAGCTCGTTAAAAATCTGTTTGTCTGGATGACTCCCAGCTCAACTGCATGGTGTGAAGCACTGGAAATCTTTGGAGTGATCGAGGTTATAAATTGAATACCAAGGTCTGGTGATGACTATCTTCATCATTCTATCTTACTGACTCCAGTGTATAGAACAGTCTTAGACACTGGTTTAGCAATATGTATCATTGGTATGCTGTACTGACCACAATGGTGTCAGACTACATTACCAAATTTGTCTCTGACTCCCTACACGCTCGTGAGGACAACATTCCTTCTTATGAAGCACCTGACACATCACAAGTACTAAGTCAGCTAAGTGTCTATCTTTGTTTGCATTGCCCTCTCTGCTTTGGTGGGAATGACTGTTAGTTAGATGATCATTCACCTCTACAGTACACATTTCTATGTCTTTTATGTGTCTTATTGTGCCTTCATACTCATAGTATTATTTCTGACACTTTAATTACCATTAACATAACTTCCTGACCTTCCTAGGACGTCCCTAGGTCGAGTTATTACTTACTCTTTGATTGTGGCTTGTCTGTTTACATTTGTTTGCCATACATCGCCCATATCCCAGAGTCCAGTGCTCCCTGCCTCTTTGGCAACTTACTCTGGACTCTAGGTACTGTACAACTCTACTACATCATTCAATAGATTGGCAACTTACTCTGGACTCTAGTCTGATCTCTTCTGGTCTCTCAGTAGCCTCTAGAAGCGGCCCACTTCACTCCCATCTTAACATATACAGCCTGGTGGTGTGATTCTACCTAGAACAGTAGATGTTCTACAAGAGAAATCTAACATTATCTGGCAAGACAGATAATGTAGACTTTGTAGAGGAATATCTAGCCTTTTCTATGGCTAGATGGAAAATACTTTTTTGTTGACTAGACAGATAAATGATGTGAGGTGCGTACTGTTGTGCAACTGGTTGCAACTGGATGTAGCAGATATTGCTAGAATTTTCCCTGCCTAAATATGAAAGGACTTATTGATGGGAAATAAAAAGATTTGTATGACCGTGCAATACAAATCAAAGATGCTGATTTGGACTCCTTTGAAGTAAAGTACAATGGATGTGTACAACTACGAGTTATACAATTTGAAAATATGTATGCAGATAGTCCAACAAAGGAATCTACAGGCACAGATAAATTGCTTGACTTGATACTCCTAGTCCTCTGAAATGTATGTCAGATGCACACTAGACGGTATAGGTACAGTCAAGAAAAGAGTAAAATGCTCTCAGATTGCTCTGCACTTTCTGGCTAACACAAAGAGTGTCAATGTCAGAGAAAGTGGAAGAATGTGAGGGGGGATTTCCTTCAGATATTTGACAGGAAAATAGATTCTTGTATTTTTGAGTGGAGATTGGTTCTCCTTTCATACATGAGATGAGCAAAACTGTATAGTACCAGGAAATATGATTGAAAAGAGGAATGACATCAGAATTGCATCATAAATGACCTCATTGTGGAGCAATGTGGAACATTTGCAGAGCCAAGTGGAGTGGAATATTCTAGCATCCAATGACATCATATGACATCATGGGTAACATCAGGGAAACCAACAGAAGAGGCCAGAACTATCTGTGGAGCCATATGACATCATACCTTGCTGGTACATTTTTATGAAGCATTTGGGATGTCAATGAATCATATACATAAAGAAATGAAAGAAAAACATAGGGAAAATAAGGTAGGAATAATCATAAAAGAAAACAAAGCAAAACACAGGCGTTTTTTGTTAGGGTTTGTAGGCTTTTAACTTTTCTCGTTGGTTATTTGTAGTCAAAGTAAATAAGCCAAAAGTTAGGTAATAACCTAAGCTTTTGTGTACCTATTACTTAGACTATGTCAATATATGATTTCTCCATCATATTTGACTTTTCTTCAAAACACCATACTTTGTGTAATTGGAGCATACAAGGCTATCTGTTGCACTCGAGTCTATACTCAAAGTACATTTTGTGTAGTCTGAGGACAAGGCTAACAGACTGTAGATATGTGGGATAATATGTCATGTATGTGTTCTGCATGATTCCCATATCATGCAGGACAACAGTTGATAACATGGTCGTTCATGGGAGGAGGCATAAATAGCAGGGTCGTTCTAAACAAACTTCTAATGACTTCAGGTGTGTTGAGACAGTGACTGTTAACTGGCTTGATGCAGTGCTTTAGGTATTATGAAAGAGTTGTTAGTCTGTTAACTGGCTTGATGCAGTACTACGATGCTACTAGAAGATGATTGCAAAAGTATGCAATATGAAATGAAGATATAGTTCACAACAGTACACAATGAATCAGAGTAATATCTTGTAAACACTTCCTATTCTCAAAAATCAGAGGAGATCAAACTAAGCCTCTAACATAATCAAATCAACCGAAATACGTGGCTTCGAAAATAACTTCTCTGCTACTCAGGCACTCACGATGAGTATAACACAGAATCAGAACAAAGTACACCCTCTTGATGTAGTCTTAAAGCAGCCAAGCTCTTAATATTGTTGAATGAAGTGCTAGTCTTATTTGTTGTCCTCCTAATTATTAAAAATATGTAAATTCTCCCCACAGAAAAGGTATCCTGTGTCTTTAAAGAGAATGTGACGAAACTACAACTAGACGACTGATAACCGTGTATCAGCTAGTGTAATTCAAGGATTAGCTCAAGGTAGGCCTCAGAAGATCAGTATGTTGTGGGAAAAGATGACAAAAGAATGGAGGGAATAAACTTAATATTCACTCAGATGTTCACACAGATATGGGGTGAGAAATTCAGGAAGATACTCAAATCCTCCTCCCTCTCTCTTAAAGGAGGATTGTCTGTCCTCTCAAAGGAAGATTGATTTCAAAAGGGAGATTGTCATTATTTAGAGGGGAAATAGAGCCCCCTTATATACTACTCTCATTGTGGCTGTGTAACTATCTAAATAAGGAAATATGACTCATCCTGACTCATACTGAGTCATAGCAAAGATGACTCATAGTGACTCAGACTGAGTCATCGTAGAGATGTCTTATGATAACTTGTTCACTTCTCAAATATTCTCATCTATCAACTTTCTCTATTCAAATTTCTGACTAATCCATCTCATCTTACTAATCCATTTCATCTGACTAAGCCATTAATCACCCATGAACTGTTGATACGTTGAAATGTTATATTGACTATGTTTCAGAACATACAAAAAGAAATGTAAAGAATGTGTGAGAAATATTGCTGAGTAATGTATTATGGTATGTTTGGAACTTATCTTTGAATAGGATAAGTATTAATTGAATTATTATATAGTGTTATGGGTTTGTTATGTCTGAAAACTACTTAAATCAAATCATAACGTGTTATAGAACATTCTCAGTAACTTTGTAGAGCACAGTAGAGGATATCAAAGCTCAAAAGTAGCCATGACCATGCACAAAACAAGTTTGGTGCATGTCAGCGCTTGCTGTACATTGTATCTTTACCGTTGGTTCGTTCCAATGTTTCTCAGTCTCATTCCGCATTTGACCTCCCATCACTAATCAGGCTGTGTTACCAGTGTACCTATACCCTTTCCGTTTCCCCTTTACAGTATGGTAACCCAGCCCTCAACCCTTTCCATTTAGTATAAGTAGTTGTTAAGGTCGTACTCTCGTAGGATCGGATCCAAAGGACTTTGGCCTCAGCTCGTACGCTGTGCCCCTTTCCCAAGTACTGTCCCTTATTTCAAAGACTTAACGATAACGCGTCCGAAGGTCCGGACGAGTCTCGTAGTTATATCCGGATGACTTCCGGATATCGGAAACGCGTATAAGACTAATCCGGACGGATCCGGACTAGAAACACACAGAGTATAGACTATCCGAAGATAGAGGCGGAGACGTAGACTATCAGAATCGATCCGAAGTCTCAGAGATTGACAAGAGTTGTTTAGACTCAAGTCCAGAGGACAGAAAGAGGACAAACTAAGATGATATTCGAACTGAGGTACTACAGGAAATATACACGGGTTTATATACTAAGAGGATAACGGAAGGATCAATAAGCAAAGGTCCGAGGCTATGTACGAAGCATATGCAAAGCTTATCAAACGCGAGTCGGAAATGAAGCATAGGATAACAGATCAGTAATCATACCGGTATTAAGAAGCTTATCGGATATCGGATCAGACGCGGATCTATGCATCGGACCGAACCGGATCTAAGGGTCTGAAGTCTGGAAGAGAAGTGTGAATATATGGGATATGACAGTATCCCCCCCTTAGGGCCGATCCCTAGAGGCACAAGAAGCATCGGTCCGGACCGGACGAAATTAATGCGAGATGATGGAGAAGTCGATGGGGGGAGTTTCTGAGTTCGGAATCGGACAGATGTACACAAGGTAGGACATCCAGGATTTATTCTTCCTTTCCTACTTTTTCCTCTACAACGCTCTATTGGATATGTCTGGCAACACCTCCGGATCTCAGAAAACTGCTAAGCAGAAACTTCTGGAGCTTCAACAGCAAATAGCGGACGCGGAAATTGCGGCTCGGATGGAAGAAGAAGAGAATCGGAAACGTCAGGAGGCGGAACGGAAACACCAGGAGGAATTGAGGAAGATTAAGGAGGCTGAGAGTCTTGTAGCAGCGGAGGAGAAAAGACGCAAGGAAATAGTAGCAGAAATGGTGAGTTTCGGATGGGTATGGTAGATTTCTCTAACGGATGGAAAGACTCGTGCTATGTCTGCGGAAATGGACGGATCCTGCGCGCGTTGTGCTAACAGGGGACGGACTTGTCTTTGGACGAATGCAGAGGGCAACGCTCAGGTGAGTCGTCCGGATATTTCAGATCCGGGTTTTTGACGTCCGGATAGATCAAGTCTTGCAATATCTGCCGGAAGGACAAGGCTACATGTCCCGGATGACCCGGAACTGTCAAGGTGTCCAAGGGCAAGAAGAGAAAACTCACTGCCGGATCTCCATCTCTGAAGGGCAAAGGTAAGAAACGCCAGAAGAGTCCGACTCCAGAAGATCCGGAAGAGATGGAGGAAGAATACGATGACCAGGCTTGGGTGGCCGCGGCCAACAATATAGTGTTGGAACTGGCTCGGACGAACGCACTTTTG